GTGCCACGACGAAGCGGTCCGGTTTTACCACCAAAGGCGCCCGGTACGCGGTATCTCCGCGCGGGCTGTTTTCCGGGCGGTGTTTGTCGAGCCGCCGACAGCTTCACCCGAACGACCTCCAAAGCCACCGGTCAGTGTCGGGCTGACTTTCAAGACGCAATCCGTGCGCGAAGCGATGGCTGCAGGCGGCATGAACCACATGCGGCCAATCAAGGTTTTGGATCCGTGGCAGGGGGGCAAAACGACTGCGTTGCCGCGCGAGATATACGAACGGATGAACGCCGCGTTTCACCTGGAACTGCCCGCGGAACTTATTGATGCGGCTGCCATTTACGAACTCGAAAATTACCCGTCGATCGCAGCCGCGAGAGCAAGTAGGCAGGAGGCGGCTCTCGCGCCAACTGGCGGGTTTTTTACCCGCACGGTGAAAAACGTGGTTTCGTCAATCCGAACAAGAAATGCGGACGACCACGAACTTCAAATCCGCGCTCGCAGGGCAAAGACAGCGGCCACGGTAAAAAATCAGTTGCAGTGGAGCTTCCCCCAGCTCCACTGGAGTTTTCGAAGCAGCGCCTCTGCTTTTCACCCTTCTGCAATAGACGGTCGAGTGCGAAGCAACCTGCCTCTGCTGCGCGCGCTCGACCGCAAGTATCGACCGGAGTGGATGTCGCCTGAGGCCTATGTGGATTTCACTTCCCTCTTTCTGGCGGCGCCGTCTATGGGGCTGCGAGTCGTCGGTGGTGCAAAATCGTCTCCAACAGCACACACTTTGTTAGGCAAACAGAACATGATCACCGGTAGTTCTGAAATTGTCGAGAGCAGCAGGTGGAACAACCTTCACCACGACGACGCACAGAATCTCTTCCTCCTCGAGTCGTTCGCGTCCGCTTTGCGACGGCGGCACCTTGCAACGGACTCCGTGCTGGTGTGGCAGTGGATGCGCCAGCTATTCTGGCAGGTCATCGCAAAAGCAAGGGTCGTTGTTCGTGGTGGCGACTCAGGGATGAAGATGTTGGTAGAAGACGCTTTTATTTCGTCGAATCTGGCGAATATCTTGCTGCAAGAGCTGGACCAAATTGCCGCTGCAGCGTTCCAGGTCCCGCGCCACCCGTCCACCGTGTTCGATCTGCATTTCGCCGTGGAGGTTTTGACGAATTTGGCGACTCTAAATGAACAAGTGCACAAAAAATCTCTCCTCGCGGACGACGGAGGTCTTCTTGCAACAAGAGCAAGAGCTACTCAGGACGATGGACACGCAGGCAGAAGGACGACCCAAGATGACGCGGAACAAGAGCAGCGCCAGGCGTTCCTCGAGCGACCTCTCACCCAGCTGCTCACCCTCGCGGAGGAAGCGGTTCACGCAGGCTTCGATGCGCTGGACGAGCTGGAAAGGTTGCAAAAGAAGAAAAAGTTCGCGGTCGAAGCGGCTCTCGACAGCGCAGAGGGTAGCAGCCTCGAGTCGGAAGCAAGCCTGCTTGAAGACACCGAATCGATGAACGTGGTTGCGCTGTCCGCGAAGGGGCTGTTTCTTTCCGCGGCGCGGGGCTACTTGGAGATTCTCCTGCTGGTGGATAGTAGAGAGACAACAAACGCCAAAAGAACTGCAGCGCCTCCTGAAGACGATGTTGAACAAAGAGACACCCGCCGAAGCTCGTCGCTGCGGGCCGTCGTAGGTGAAAAGAAGCTGCCTGCGAAATTTCTGCAGTGTCTCCTACTGCTCGACGTGATCGAAGTCGACGAGGCGGGGTTTCATCTCGGCATGGAGCTACACGAAGGGAATTCATCGCACGACAATCTCCGCGAAAAGCAGTCTCTTCTCGCAAGTTTGAAGGATGCCGAGAGGCACTTTTTCCACAGACTCCGCGAAGCGCACCGGAGCCTGGTTTCGGAACCGACCGGCGTTTTTTCCGCACTTTCCTTTCCGCAGCACTTGTCCACCGCTCTGCTCTCGAACGAGAAAGCGCGCCAGGCGGTGTGTCTTCCCCTGGACCGCTCGACACTGAAAAACGGGGTCCCGCACCACGAGAATATTTCTACCGAGGGCGAACCAAGAACACCGGCCGACACAGTGTCCTATCTTTCCGAGTACACTGTCGTGTTGCCGGGGCTCAGTCCTGCCTCTTCTCCGCGGGGGTCCAGTGGAGGTAATAGATTGGCTACAACCACGTTGCAGCAGCATGCGGCGAAGAAAACCATCGCGGTGTCTTTCTTGACGGGGAGGCTCTACCTAGACGGTGAAGTGTGCAAGAAGTCAGATTTTCTACCGCGGGAAATTCGCGAATCAGCGGAATTCAAAGCCGTTTTCGGGGTTGGGCCAGGTGCTAGCGCCTCCTCTACCTCCGGCAGAATGGACGAACAAACCACTCCTGCGCAGCAGACCAACAAAAAGGATCGTGCTTCTCCGGTTCATCTCCAAGCGGACCAAGGCCTCGCGATTGCGAGTTCCCTGTCGGCACACGTCGAGGGTCACTGGAAAATCGTCGGAAGTCCTCTGCTATCCAAGAAAAAAACTGTGTAAGTGTAAGTCTGTGATGCAGAAAATGCAAAACAGTTATGCTTGTCATGCTCCACATGCATGATAGGCTCGTGTCCTACGTGTTTTCCCGTCCTATCTGCGCATGACAAGTTTTTCCTGTCATGGCAGACGAACTTGTGATGCTGTTTTCCCAAAAGACCTACACTAACACAGTTTTTTTCTTGGATATCTGCGTGAGGACGGCCGAAGCGCTAGTAAAAACGGAGAAGACGATGTTGGCCAGATCTTCAATAATGGAAGTGATCCGCTGTACTCAGTGAGCCTGAACAACACGCCTTTTGTCACCGATAGCATTCTCGGGGCAACTACAACTATATCGGGAAGTAGAACTACGCCGACCAGCCGTGCTTTCCAGGACGTCAAGATGTACTTTCAAGTCAGTGACGGGATCGCTCAAGAACAAAGCATCGTCCCGACGCAGCAAGCAGAGGAGTCTGGTGCTTTTTCACCTGCTGCACTTCTGCCAAGAGAGGAAAGCGCGGGAGGACCACCGCGAGCGCGGCCGCCAAATCCTCCACGTACTGTCGACATTTTTCTGCAGCTCCGCACGCAGATAAGCGAGAAGCTGTCCAGCGCGCAGGACGTTTTGCTAGAATTTCTCCCCGACGAAAAATTTCCCGAGGCGGAGCGAGTCCTGCCACAGAGCCTGAAGGAAAAATTGGTGCATTGGCGCGTGGTGACTGCGGATAGAAAATCCAGCAAGTACTACCGTTACATCATATCGTTCTACAAGAAGGAGTTTGTGGGCGACGCGCCGCACGCCCGGGAAATGTTAACGTTTCAACATACGACTGTTGGCGATCAGAAAGGGCGCGCTGACCTTTTGAAGATCTTTCCGGAGAAGATTCCCTTTGTCTGGCGGCAGGAGGTGGTTTTATTGGAAATGGAGCAGGAGACGAGAACTACCGCGACTGCACCGCGATTAGGAGAGTTGGAATTTCTGAAGCTGCCGATTCACGTACTTCATACCAACGCAATGAGCTTGTTGCGGTTGCTATCCGCCGGAAACGATCAAATGCTGGAAAGGCTCATCTTCAGCGGGACGAGCATGCAGCTCGTACAGATGGAAGATCTACCGGACCCCACCACTACTGCTCGGGGAGCAGATGATGATCCTGCGCTTTCTCATCTTCCGGATTACCTCCGCGTGTTGCAAAATCTGTTTCCGAGAACGAACGAAATTAGTGTTGCTGGGGAACAACAGGTAGTAGATGAGCATAGGCTCCGGCAGCAGAGCTTCAGTTGGGTGAAGGACGAAGTCGAGGTGTGGCGCCCGTACGAGACTCGAGTTACGGAAGATGGCATGATACCGGCAGATGAACAGGAGGGCAGAATTGGTGACCCTTCAGGTGCAAGCGCTTTCTTGGAAATCGTCTTACCCAGGTTCAACCTCAAGTTCGAGTTGAAACAGGCTGATAGCGATGCAGATCCTACGAGCGCAGCACCAGAAGGTGGTGCACCCCGAGGACCAGAACGTCCTGCCTCTACTTCCACCGGGAAGCTCCTGGGCAAGGGCGCGCTCTACGGCTACGAAGTATGCGCTGACCAGCGTATGATGTTTGCCGCTGTCGTCCCTCAAGGGCGGGTGCAAGTGGCAAGAGAAGGAAGCGCAACGAACACGGTGCAGCAGGAGCGTCATCCTCTCCGCAACGCATTTTTCTTCGAGCTCGTCGAAAATTCCTTCCCGCATATCTGGCTGGAGAAGTGTCAAGAACAGAGCGCGACGAGGACTTCCGGGGACGAGTCGAGTACTAGATCCTGCGAGTACAAAGTGCTGGTACTGTACACGTCCAACGGGTCGTCCTGGACACCTACCTCGAGAACGACGACGACTGGGAGAACATTGGGGGAGGATGAAATGAGTGCAGCGTCGAGCAGTTCCGAACAATCTTCCGAGCGCCACTTCTTCATTTATGATGTTAAAGGCGACGCCCTCGGTAGTGTTCTTCCCGGACCTGCAGCGGAAGATCGGGATCGAGCAAATTCCGCTGGCAAATTAACCCAGAGGATGGACCACATCCGTCTGCACACCGACCACAGCGCAGCAAACTTTCTGCTGGCGTATCATTTACTGCAAGCAGACCTTACAACCACAAGGACGGCAGGAGATGATAAACGCCAGGAAGATTCTTCTGGCCACTTTTATGCTGCACCCCCGGATGAGCGAAAAATCCAGGAAGTACTGTCCTCGATCCGCTCTGCCTGGCGCGAAAACTATGAGGATTACGGGATGACAAAGGCGGAATTTCGGCTCGAGCGCGAAATCTTCGGCAGCCTGGTAGCCGTCGTGAAACAGCTCCTGAAGCAAAGCGGCGTCATGTTCCTGGACGAAGATAATTCTCAAGGTGCTGCGACCGCAGCGAGACAGTACCCTGCGGGGGCCGCACAGATGAAGAGATCCTCTCCATACGTCACGATCTACTACCTGCTGTGCCAGTTGGCGAAGGAGCGCTCCTTGCTGCAGTTTTTGTACGACAGTTCTAAGCAGCTGGACGTTTTCTCCCGGGTTGCGCAAGAGTTGGATGTGGCGACACAGCTGTATCTGGACACCTTCAATAGAAGCGCTCCTATCGAGGTGGAGCTACAAGAAGAGACACCACTAGCGGACGGTGGTCGGACCAGCACAAGTGGGCCCCTTCTAAATTTTTACAGAAATCTGACAGCAGAGGAACGGCATTCGTTCCTGCCATACGCCCCGTCGCTCGGCGGGGACAAGCTGGCTGTGCAGCAAGAAGCACGCGCTGATGATTTGTTTGGTGCCGACGGAGAGTTTATCCCACCTCTCAAACAAGAATCGGCCAGAACGCCAACAACCACCCCTGTGCGGCCGGGAGAAGGGCAAGGAGCACCATCTGACTCCGTTTACAAGATCTCCGAGCCGCTGCAGAATCTGTTGCGCAAACGAGGTGAAGGAACTCTGCCCTCGCCGCTTTTTGCCGTCAGAGAGGAAGACAATTTGAGTGTGACGCAGAAGCTGGAAAGACTGCTAATGAGAAAAGTGTTGCTTCCGGTTCATCGCGAGGTGGACACGGCAAGAGTTAGTGTGCCGGGGAAAATTAGTGCAGCAGCAGCAGCAGCCGCACAAGGTCTCTGCGGCGTCCCATCGGCGTCAGCAGTTTCTGCTTCCGAAGCGAGCCCGGTCTTTGACCGCCCGCTCGGAAAGGAGCTGAAGGAGCAATTCGAGGCATCTCTGCAGAAAAACCACGACGCCTGTGTGGAAAGAGGAGCGGCTCAGGTGTCTTTGCAGCTTGCTGATTGGGAGAGCTTGTTTCATTCCCGAAACGAGGTCGTTCTGCGCGAAAAGAACCAGCGGATGGAGTTCTTGTTGGCGCAGCAGGGGAAGTTCCTCGACGGAGAAGTTCTACTTCCAAAAGCACATCCCCTGCAGCTTACGGCGTCGGAAAAGGAGCGCTTTGAAGAAAGCGCACTACACTACCTCGTCCACGACCATGCTGGCACGACCACGTCGGCGGCGATCCTGGACTCCGTCGTGAACTACTTCGAGTTGGTCATTCTGGAGAAGAAGCTGCAGCAGTTGGAAGCTCTTTGGAAAAGAGTGCAAGCCGAGACGAGCACAACAACTCACCTAGGAGAACTACCGCCATCCCCTGTCGGTCAGGTGTCATCCTTGGCCGCTCCCGTGCTCGGCCTGGCTGTGCAGAGGAAGCAAGCCGTCCTCCTGGACGACATTCGTGACAAGCTGGAGACCGTGAGAACGTTCAGCTCGAAGCAGTTCCCCTTTTGGCTCGCCCTGGAAGTCGTGCAGGGGCACAAGCAGATCCGGCCGAAACAGGTGCAGGTGGCGCTGCAGTTGATTCTAAAGAACGGCACCGTGTCGCAACTGAACATGGGCGAGGGGAAAACGTCCATGATCATCCCCATGCTCATTCTGTACTGGCGCAGTCGGAAGACGATCGGGTATAAAAAGCGGCTGGGCGGAAGTGAAGACGAGGTCGTGTTTTTGGACGCCGAGATGAAAAGAGATGCAGACAGAGCGGGAGGATCATCCGATGAGCATCAAGATGAACATGCCACTTATACATACGGCCCCACGCTTGCCTTTCAACCAGAACCATCGGGCGCTTCCGCGCAAAATGGTAATCCACCGGACGGTGCCTTCGAATTGGTCTCGCAACCGATCAGGTCGCCAACGGAAAGGACGCATTTGATTCGGGTGTTTTTGTTGCCTTCCTTGATCCAGGACAATTTCAAACAGTTCCACAAACTGCTCTGGCAAAGCGTCTTCAAGGTGCCGATCTGCACGCTGCCTTTCCGCAGAGAGCACTTGCGATTTTTCTCCGCAGCTGAGGGGACGAAAATATACGACGAGACTTTATCCTTGCACGAATCTGCGCGAGGGCACACCCAGACCACCGCCCTTCACGCTGAAAACATGCTTCTATCAAATGTAAAAATGTCTGGGTCTGGAAGAATACGCGATTTGTCATGCAGCTTTTCCATGACCCATGAGGTCTGGAATGCAGGACCTAGCATGACAGATTCTGTGCGATCTCTCCCATGCCTATCCTGCATGAGAAACTCCCTCCCGACTTGGTCAAAACTGGGCGACTTTTGGTAATCATGCAACACAGATTTTTGCATGCTTCAGATTTAGCATGACAAGTTGCATTCTTCCAGACCCAGACATTTTTACACTTGATAGCTTCGGAAGCTGGACCACTGCAAGACGCGCGGGGGCGTGGTGTTGCTGCAGCCGGAGAACTATCAAATGTAAAAATGTCTGGGTCTGGAAACTTGTGATGCTGGGTGGCATCTCATGATGAGGCCACAAGTGCTGGCTCAGCATGACAAATTTCTGAGCTTGTAGGTGTTGCCTATTCTGCATGACAAACTGCGTTTCTGCATCACAGAAGAGTTGAGCTCTTCGGTAATGTGCATGACAGATTTTAGAGTTATGTCAGACAAGCATGACAAACATGCATTCTTCCAGACCCAGACATTTTTACACTTGATAAGAACCGGTACAGTGTGCAGCTGAAATTTTACGAGCTGGCGCTGGAGTGGAAGGAAGCGCGGGAAAAGTTGTTGAAGAGACAAAAGGACTTAGAAGCGGCATCTAAAATGTCGTCGGCCGAAGCCGAACGACGAGAAGTCTTGGACGACGAGGGCTTCGAAGACGCCGTGGAGGTGGATTCGAGTAACGAACAGGCGCAGATTTCTACTTTGATGCAGGATACAGTCGCCGCTATGAAGAGAACTGTTACCGCTTTGCAGAAGGTTCTGAACTTGCCCTCCATCACGATCATCGACGAAGCGGACCAGATCTTGGCCCCGACCAACCAGAGCCTATTCTCCTACGGCAAGGGGTCGCCTCTGTCCGACCGGCAGGAACGAATTCTGGCCATCCACACCGTTTTCAAAGCAGCCACCCTGGTCGTACAACGAGAGCAGACGACCACGAAGCCGCATCATGCTGGGGCTGCGCAGCGCGCAAGAGGCAGAGCAGAAGGCATGCGCGAACAACCGATGGAAGAACAAGCGCAAGTAGGACGACCCTTGAACCAGAAGCTTGCGGATGCTGCGCGTGCGGCGTTCAAAAACTTCGAGACGGATGCAGCGAAGACGGAGTTCAAGAGAAAAGTGGTAGACAAGCTTTTCGCACAACATGCTGCAACCCGGGAAGGCAGCGCAGCTGCAGCAGTGTCCCGCGGACCTTTCTTTTCCTTCACGAACGCGGGGACACCGAGGTTCGTCAAGTTTTTGCAGAAAGTCGGGGCTCGCGCGGACGCGACAAGAAAAGCGCTAACCGACTTTGTGCTGAACGTGACGACCTCGGAAGAAATAAGATCTCGGCCTTTTCTTGTTGAAGAAAGGCCTCAACTTCCAGTTGTAGTCACGGACGCAGACGTTCTGTGGGGAAACGTGCTCGCGACAGCGGAAAAAACGGGCATTCTATACCGCGGTACATCCTCCTCGTCGTCTGCGGTCGAGGACCAGCCGGCGTATGACGGCGATGGGTTTGTGCAAAGCGTAATCGGTCCGCAGATCCGGATCCGCAGAAGAGATGTGGAGGACTTCCACACATTTGCCCTCGCTCTGCGAGGTTTCGTCGGGAATGACGTTTTGGTGCACGTTTTGGCGGACATGCGTCTGAAGAAGCACTTCGGACCGCGCGGAGGAGGTGGAAAAATAACCAGGCCAGAGGACCGTGGAGATGTAGTTGGCGCAGGAGGTAGTCCTCCAGGACGAGCAACTACTGCAGCCACGACGAACAGTAATCCGACCGAGCTCGCCGTCCCCTACACAGCGGCAAATCTCGCGTCCACAAACAGTGAATTCGCCCACCCGGACGTACAGCTGGCGTTGACCCTGCTGATGTACTACGAGGAGGGCATCAGCTTCTCGCAGTTTTCCCGTGTCTTGAAGTTTCTGATACGGAAACTACAGTCGAAGGCCAAAGTCCACGAGGACGAACATGTGCGCGACGCAGCCAAAAATTTTTTTCGCAGCCAGGAGCAGGACGTCGCGGAACGGGACCAGGAAGAGGTGAAAAATCTTTTGGACTTCGACGGCGGCGGCTGGGCGGGGGCGGTGCTGGCGCAGGGCTCGCTCCTGGACGCGCAGCAGCGCGGACGAAAAGATCAGGCACGACAACTTTTCGAGGAGCGCAAAGCCAAAGAAGCTGAAATGGAATCACTCGCCGAAGACTTTCGGCATACCAGCCTGCAGAAGATCGTGAACGAGCCCGAGCAGTCGCGAAAGTACTGGGAGGTGCTGCAAAAGTTTCCGGATCTCATTGCGTTTTTCCTCACGTTCACGTTGAAGCACGCGAGGGACAAGTACCACTTTTCCAAACAGTTGGTGGCAAACCCGTGGGACCTGGCCGGAGATAGGTTCCGGAAAATTGAAAACGTGTTTTTGGAGGACCGAGAAGATGGGCCGCTCCTGCAAGCAGAAGTTCCGGCAACCTATTTGGTCGCAGACAATCACGTCGCGGGTTTCTCGGGCACATCCACGAACGCGAAGTTCCTACTTCCCCTCCCATTAAAAGCGGAGAACCTGCCGCAATTGGAGCACACCAACGGGAGAATTATCTCGGTTCTGAAGCAGAAAGAGGAGGACTTCAACCTGGCTGCGCTCACGGGAGCTCTCACGGGAACACTAGCAGAGCATTTCCGCCTGTCGTCGCCAAGATATTCATCCGTCCCTGGAAGCGATCATGATGCTGGTAGCAATTCAGGAGAGGATGACTTTAGCACGCCGCGCAGCAGTCGAAGTAGCTCGCCTAGTACTTCTAGCGGTTATCACAGCAGCGGCACGTCGACCTCTTCACGTGGCCTTCTGAGTGGCTCGGCCCTTCCCACACATCTTCAAGCATTTCAGATCCACTCCAACACTGAAAGTAGCCGTGCGTCCAGCCGGTCTTCCGGGGGGTCTGCGCGACGTCGTGCCTCCCCAAGCAGGACCATGTTGAAGATCTTCTCCACTGCGAGCAGCGACGCAACTTCTACCAGTGAAAATAACCTACCAAGCTCTGCTCATTCGCTGCATGCGTCGACTGCGTTGAAACTTGCGCAACTTGCGACCGCGTTCCCAGAGCTTCGCGCGATCATGGACTCCGCAGGCCTGTTTGCCGGCGTTCCGAACCGGGAAGTCGCGCGATTGATCGCCGAAAAGTTCTTTTCCGTCGAAGGTGCGGACTTCTACGGGGAACCGCAGTGCGTGCTGTTCAAGGACACAGAGGTGGTGTCTACATCATTATCACCCGCCACAGTAGATGGTGGCTTCAGCAGTGCGGGCCTTCGTGCACCGTCGAAAACATCAAGGACCAGCACATTTTTACACCAGCAAACCAATTACCTGAACGATTGGGCCGTGTACGATCACCGGCAGCACACGATAAACCGATTCGACCGCGAGGGAGCAGGTGCGGAGCAGAGCAGCGCCTCGGAGTTTTACCACCTGTACAAAGAAAATTCCGACACCGTCCCATGCTTCGTCTATTTCGACGATCGGAACAACCGCGGCGCGGACTGGCAGCTGCCGGCGAACGCGGTCGGCGCGGTTTTGTTTAACGAAATGAGCACCTTCGACCAGGTCGCCCAGGCCTCCTGGCGGTTGCGGCAGCTGGAGCTCGGGCAGAGCCTCAGGTTCGCGGCGTGGACCACTTCCACGCATCAGGAACAACGCGACGCGGGGGCGACCACGCGAGGACTGTCGTCGTTGCAGTCCGTTGACGACCTCATCCAGTTTCTCCTGGAAAAATCCGCGGTCGAGAATATGTAGAGGAAAAAGAAGTGTTGCAGTTGTGATACACATGATGTTGTTCTTCGCGCACCAGGTCAAGCAAGACAGACATTCTCTATCATACTGGATCATGATGTGCTCTGAACCCCGGGTGTACCACCCTGGTTGCATGCGTGTTTTCTCTCATGGTTATATCAGCATTCATTTTGCAACACGTCAAGCCTCTTGACATGATGTAGATCAAGTTTATTGTGTTGCTGATGTTAGTACTAGAAAATAGAATCTCAATCCACTTTACATCGTGTAATACTTTTTTTCTTTCATAGAGAACGAGCGGCAGTTAATCCTCTACGCGCACCAGGCCGAAACACACCTGCACATTGGGGACGACCCGGATTTCGCACTGCTCGAGGAGAGTTCGTCCGTAAGAAGCATGTATGGAAACAGTCGGAAGTCGATCGCGCTAAATGAATTTGTCGAGGCGAGTTTCAGGCGGAAATTTTTCGGGGATGAAAATGTTCACGTTGTTGAACAAGAACCGAAAGCAACAACAGCGCAGGGACCTGGTGTTCGTCGTGATGTCGGAGGTCCAGCCACCCCTTCTTCAAGTATCTCCTGGATGGCGCGGATGTGGAAAAAGAAGTCGTCGCGGCATTACGTGGTATCAAATGTAAAAATGTCTGGGTCTGGAACAAAGCAACTTCTCGTGCTAAATCTGAATCATGTAAAAATCTGTGTTGCATGATTGCCAAAAGCTGCCCACTTTTGACCTAATCGAGAGGCAGTTTCTCATGCAGGATAGGCATGATAGAACGCTCGCAGAATCTGTCATGCTATGTCCTACATGCCAGACCTCATCGGTCATGGAAAACCTGCATGACAAGTCTGGCACTCTTCCAGACTCAGACATTTTTGCAGTTGATGCGTGGCGTTGCGGGACGAAATTTTACAGAAGATCCAGAAATATGGCACGAATGTGGCAACCACTACAACCACCATTCCGGCGTCTACTACTTCGCGCCCGCACTGCAGCGCCTCAGAACATGAGCAGGCGGCTTTTATCTCCGCAGCAAACGCCTCCTGTGCGGGGGCTTTAACCGCAACGATCACCGTTGAGACGGACCATACGGCTGAAACCACCACCGAGCAGGAGGTGGACCAGGATGTGAACATGAGTGTGCAAATGTTCGTGAATCAACACCGGCACAGCCCGCGCTACCCGTTTCCCGAAGTTGGGAACGAGTTAAAACCGTTTGTGGAAAAGGACTGGAGCTTCGAACTGGTCCGACTGAATGCAGCTCCTGCTGGTCGCCCCACGTTGGAGAAAAGCAGGACAACTAGGACGAGTACCCTCGGTAGCACGCTCCTGCTGCAAGAAGCGGAACGGGTGTTGGCGATCTTTGAGGACAAGATGCGACAAGCCAGGGACGAAGCAAGCCCTAGTAGTACCGGCACACGACCGAGTGCTGCAAGAATTGTCACTTCTCCGAAGACGAACTCGTCACCCTCCTCCCGCCCGATCGTTCGGCAGGGGCTCACGCTGCCGAAACTGGTGCCGCTCCGCGAGCTGCTGCAGGCCAAACGGGCCGAAATAAATCGTCCAAAGCTAAACTCCGCCGACTCTGACTCGAATGCGGAGGAGAGCGATGGTCGCGATCCCGCTGTGGTGCCGAGCGAGGAAACGGAACAGAAATTATTGTACGAACAGCTTCTCAAGACCAAAACCTTGGCTCGGGTCTTCGTCACGGAAAACTTCGCGAACGTTTTCGATGTCTCGTCGGGAAATAACGCTTACGGCTCCCGGTCGAGCAGAGGACCATCGCTTGCGTCGCGGTTGTTTCGTAGATCACCAGCGGGGTCGACGTCTTCAGACGAGGACTCGGATTACACAAATGCTGCAAGAAGTATCCTCCGCCGCCCGCAGAACGCCCTGTGGCTTCCGGACGACGAAACGACAATTCTCCTGTCCGACCGCGAGGCGGCTTTGGTGCAAGAGCAGTTGTTCGAGGAAGACGCGACGAGAACCGCGGAACTGGACGAGGACAGAATTGCGGATTTCGCTGCGTTCTGGGGAAAGAAACTGAAAGTGACCGTTGTGGCTCCTAACGTGGAGGTCGCAGGGTTTGATGCTCTACTTCCCCGCGAACTACAAGAAGTAGACTGTAAGTTGGATGTGAACCGCAATTCCGCCAAGGAGATGAAAGCTGTCAACGGTGAAGTTGTGGATGCGGATCACCACGTTGGTGGTTCTCGTACGAGCAGCTCCGTTGGAGCTTTATTCGCCAGCATGATGAGTCCTTTCTCGTGGGCGACGACCTCCGAGGCCGACAGCGCTGCGAGCGATTCATTCGAGAGCTGCGAGGCGAAGCTGATGTTCCTTGAGAAGCAGTTCCTCGCTGCGCAAACAGTGCGGCAAACACGGAACAACGTCGCAACACAAAAATCGGGCGCCGCGGCCCTTGTCAACATCAAGCTTCAGGCTGTGCCAACTAGAAGTATCGCCGACGAAAGGGATTTGGTGGAAACCAGGCTGACGAGCAGCTTCACGAGCTTCAAAAATGCGAAGGATTTTTTGCAGAAGGTGAGCAACAGGGCCGCCTTTGAGGACGACAACGCGTTTAAAACCAGAATCGCAAGCTTTTACTCGTGGTTGCGCTCGTCATCAGAGGAGAAGCAGATCACGGAGATGAGCAGTGGCACGGCTAGCGGGACCTCCGATGGTGCAGGAACCCTTCGTCGCGCGATTTCTGCGGCGTCATCCTCCGGAAGTAGATTCGACACCGCTTCTGCCTTCTGGAACACTCACTTCGCCGCGATTTCGTGGCGCGAAACGGACCCGGACGCGGACGCTGGAACAGAGGAAGAAGAGACTGTTGCGGCAAAGGAAGGAAAACCTCCTTCAACTACCTCCGGCTGGTTCTCGTGGGGCTCCTCACGTGGAGCGCACGGCAGTAGTGGGAAGAACAGCGCGACTCCCAGTGGTAAAACTAAAAACCCTTGGCACCATTGTGTCCGGAAAAAATTTGTTGACCCCACAGTGGCAAATTCGAGTTCATATTGGGCATTGCGCTCCTGGAGCCGGACATCCCTGTTCGGCGCTGGCGATGCAGCGGAGCCCCCCGCTGAGGAAGAGTTTGAGGCGTTGGAGGGCTTTGCGAAACAGTTTTTGTTTGGTTTGCCTACGACTCGTGGCGGGCCCAAAGTCGGGAGCGGCTGCGCGGCCTTCGCCGAACAGATCCACGCGAAGATGTTTTTGAACAAACAAAACGACAACGACCCGACGGAGCAGGACGCGATGAGCAAACCCAGCGACGGAGAAGATTTGACGCAAGATGAACCGAAGAAAAAACTGATGTTGAACGGAAATAAGCCCTGCCTAGGTTCCACGGACCCAGAACTCTGCGCGCGGACGAGGATTTCTGTGAAGCTGGAGTTCGACGGCCGCGTGATCCCCGGAGCCGTGTACCTCCACAATCTGCGGCCAGATCAGGTCGTGCTATCAAATGCAAAAATGTCTGGGTCTGGAAGAATGCAAGATTTGTCATGCATATTTCTCATGACCCATGATGCCTGTAATGCATGGCCTAGCATCGCAGACTTTTAGAGGGCGTTCTGATGCACCTTCCGCGTGAAGATTTGTCATGCAGATTTCTCATGACCCATGATGCCTGTAATGCATGACCTAGCATCGCAGACTTTTAGAGGGCGTTCTGATGCACCTTCCGCATGAGAGATGCCCTGTCCCTGTAGCACAAACTGTACCCCTCTACTTGCTGGCCATGCAATACAAATTTTTTTACAGTCCAAAAACAGCATGAAAAGTTGCAATCTTCCAGACCCATACATTTTTGCAGTTGATACGTGCAGGCGGTGTACAAGAACTGGGTTGCCGACGAGTCCGATTTGAAGTCGAGTGTGGACGAAAGAATCTACACCCCGGAGTTCCTGGACAAGATCCTCACAACTAGTACAACAGAAGATGATATCGCAAGAAAAAAGTGTTACAGTTACACATTGTGTTGCAGGCCAAGCAAGACAGACAAGCTCTGTCATGCCGGATACGCATAGAAGCCTCGTTTCATAGGTGTTTTCCCGTAGGATTTCTACATTACAAGTTGTCTCTCTCATGCAGAGAAATTTGTGTTGCTGAATTGACTACAAACGTGTAACTGTAACACTTTTTCCGTGGGATAGATGAAGTAGACTGGCAACGTGACCGGTCCTTGTACAGACGAAGTGGCTCCTCGGGCGGCCCGGCGCCCACTAGTAGTACAACTATGAGTTCTGAGGGTAAGATTTTTCTCGTCAATTTGACCCTTGCGCAGCGCAGCCTTCGTACAAATCTAAAGGGAGCAAGAAGTGGCTCTGGTGTAGAAATTATGAGTCTGATGTCGGCATCAAGCGAGGCTTCAAGCGAGGAAAAAGCCACGGAAGAACGAGAGTCGATCGCAGGAAGTGGAAGAGCAGGACGTACGGGTGGTTCCCTGTTTTTGCCGAACCGTGGGACGACCTCCACGCGGACCGGGCAAGGGACTAACGCACTTGTCCAAAGCAGGCCTGCAGCGAAGACAGTCGTCCCAAAGTGGCTCAGAGAGTTCTGCATGAAGGGCAAGCACCACTGTCCGCAGCCGTTGCAAAGTGGCCCGGCATCTTCGCAGTACCAAACGAGCAGTTTCGTGCGAGAATTAGAGGTCCTGCGACCTCGTGCAGCCGTGAGGATTTCGACCACGGCAACTCCCGAAGTAGGAGGGCATGGCACTTGTGCGGTGCAGAAAAACTTTTTACCTGGACCAAATAAGGGAGAGCACTTTTACCTCGGACTTGGCAGCGAAGAGCACGAGCCAACAAAGTTGTTGCCGCCGCCCGCAGTCGTGCGGGCCGTGCTGGCAATTGTAAAATGAAAATACTTAATAAACTACTGGGTTGTCGTGAGACAACGCGGCATGTATGATTTTTTTGCATAAAATTAGGTTTTCGAATTTTGACGGTTCCTTTTCCCGAATATATTTTATATTTTCTGTCTAGTAACTACATCATGTATAAAAATTACCACATTGTGACCATGATCTTTTTATGCCTCTCGCTCTACCAGGCGATTTTTTGTAAAAAATAATTGTTGACAAGAAGTCCTATTTGCTACTTATTCGGCTGTATGATCTTTATCTTTATGCCGAGCAAAAATACGAACTCGAACACTTGGTACTCGTTCAATGTAAGATGGTGCGTAACTATGTATAGCAGTCTGACAGAAGAACGCGAATGAGGAGCAAACAGCTGCCCAGAAGGCTGGCGTCGGCAGATTGCTAAAATTAGCTGTATTTGCGCGCTACCGCGCGTGTTCGACCACTGCAACCGTGATCGGTGAGTTAGCATTCCAAGTCAAGATTTGCTCGGTTCTTTTTCTTTTTTCATCTTGTGTTTTTGGATACGCACTATTGCCGCCAAGAATTACATGGCTCGTACTTGCAAGCAAAACCAAAATAATTCGGAAAATGGTCGTCGAGTTGTAATTGAAGATACTCTTTGTAGATGAGTCTAGCAGCTGCGTCGTCATCGTCGGTGCTGGAGCTCTCCGCGTGGTTTTTCGGACCCAAAAAAGAAGTCGATGAGACTGCAACACACGACCTTCTCGGTAAAAGGTGCACCTAAAATACCACTCGGCTCGAGAGAATTCGTGCTTTATTCGCGATCTTGCATGCATGCTACTTCTCGCTGTCGCTAGAGCACTCGTTTTGACTATCAAGCATACAAGAAAGTCTGCTTTTTGCAATGCAAATCGTCGAAGGCACGATCTTCAATGGAAATTAATGGTAACTCACTCAAGACAGGTCCAGGTGCAGGTCTCCGCTTTCGATCCCTAGGTTGCAGTAAGGTAGGGGTACTTGGTACACCATCTCCAAATAACGCGAAACGTCGTAGCGACGCGACATAAATTTTTGGATTAAGTGTACAAAAAAACAGTTGTTCAGCCTTTTTGCAGTTGTATCCAGTTGTTGTATAGATGACCCCATAAGAAACAAGTACCCGGGCCTGCCTTTCAGATTTGTATGGGATAGTGCAAACTTTCCCAGCAGCTCCTATACTTGCTATCTCTCTTTATTGTTTCATCACCTCCCCGCCCAAGGAAGGCGAAATTGTTCTGAAAGATTGTCGCATCATGATTACGACTTTCATTACTTCAACCATAAACTACCCCTAACACCAATTATAGCATCGAAAATTAATCAAAAACCATGACGACCTCTTTCTCCTCCTCCAACGCATCCGCCCTCTCGGCTCTGCTCGTCCCGGCGTCCGCGGCGGTGGGCTTCTTTCTAGGCGCATACTACGCAAAGGCCGGCGGTATCGGCTCGACGAAAACGAATAATTCCCCTACCAATGAAGAAGAGGAGAAGCAAAATGAAGGCAAGAGTGCGCCGTCGAATTCCGGCGAAAGTACAAGCACATCGGCTTCTACACCGGGCGGAACGTCAAGCACTTCTTCTTCCTCGAATAAACTGAAAAAAACCGCCTCCTTCCAGCCGACGGCGGACAGGAATGTCGCGCTCGCCGCTGACGAGCCCGAATTAGTCCGGGGGAGAACCCTTTCGGACACGCCGTCCGTTCCCTCGATCTCAGCCCTCTCCAGGAAACCCTCGTCCGTCGCAGCCATGGACATGTTGAACCGACTAGATGAGCAAACCGCGACCGCTATCCTAAGTAAAAACTACGGGGCCCACCACAACACCGCCCCATAGTCAAGTTTAGACGCGAAGAAATCTGCTACAACTACAAGTCCAGAACCTTCGTGCTGTTCATTTCACACGTAGTGCAGTCGTGCTTGGCTGTGAAAGGAAAAGCCGCAAGACGCAACAAATTGGCCACCTTCTTGTTAATACTTTTTTTCGTTTGATGACCATGGCCGATTCTAGTACATGCATTGACATCTGTTTATTCCAAAACACGATATAGAAAATTCTCCTCATTTCTTGGCTGCGCATGAGAGACAACATCCTGGGCTGCAACATGTAGATTTGCATGGCAAATAGGGCCGCTTAGGGACGTTTTTACTGAGGATAGCCGCCATCAACGCGTTCGAGATGACGGAAGAGAAGAACCGGGAACACAGTTTTCTCCTCTACAGTCTGTACGGAATCTACTTTTACCCGGGCTACCTCTACAACCGGTTCTCCGAGCGCAAGAACCACGTCGTGAAGCTGCAGTTGCTGGCTGAGCTGCTCGGAAGAAAATACCTGGAGGCGCAAAAGTACATTGTGGAGGTGCAGGACCGCGTATCGCATTGAAATAAAGTGCACCCACGTCGAGGACCCTAGAACTTGATAGCTCCTCTTCGAGATATTGCAACGGCTTCCCACATCTACGGGAATGTTTCCAATATGTTCTTGCGAATGAGGTTGCCGGCCTCGGATTAGCAAAACGAAAAGTTTATTTCACTTGGAAGCTTTGCATCAGGATGAAATTTTGCAGCTTCCGGACTTCGACGTTGGTGCATTTTTCACTGTAACACGTTGAAACCCTTCTCGAATCCTACCGGTCCCCCAACACGAGCAAGTGGCTGAAATACGAGGCAAAGGACATACTGGACACGCGGTTGCTGTACACGCTGAAGAAGCTGAAGCGAAAAATGTACGGAACCGCGGCGGAGGGGGTCGATCTGGTCAACAACAATGGAGCGGGGGTAAAGCAGGAGCTGCAACCTGTTCCTCCTGTGTCTCCGAACAGCTCCCCGCTGCAGCGCACTGCGTCCACAGGGTCGGACTACAATCAGACCAAGTACAAGCCTGAAATCGTGGACGGTACGGTCATTTCGGAAATCGCGGACGAGGTGTACCGGTTTCCCACTATGCATTGCAAATACGTTTGGGTCTGGAAGAGTGCAACTTGTGATGCTGAATTTAGATGCTAAAAAAAACTGTATTGCATGAGCAGCAAGGGGAGTCAAATTTGGCTACGCGGAGAAGGCATTTGTCATGCGGGATGCGCATCGATAAGAGCTCAAAGAATCTGTGATGCTAAGGCATACATCACAGACATCACGAATCATGAAAAATGTGCATGACAAACTTGTCCTCTTCCAGACCCAGACATATTTGCATTTTATACCCTCTTTGTCCAAGCAAATCTGCGACGAGTTGCTCGTCGAGATCGAGCTATTATCCTGTGCAAAAGTATCGTACTCGTACCAATTGCATTTATGCATTACAAATCTCTTTCTCAAGGCAAATCAGCATTAGAAATTCGATTTGTAATGCTGGGCCAATTTGTAATGCAATTTATACTAATACGATGCCTTTGCAATTCATAGCTGTTTCTCGAGTGGCAGGAGAAGCAGATCCAAATGAAGAAGCCGGGCAGTCTACCAAAGTGAGAAAAGCCCCCACCCCAAAGCAAAATGGAAATTTGTGATGCTGATTTGTGGTCACAAATCAGCTTTGTGATGCTGGACGGGAAGAGATGCGGATTGTAGTGCTGGCTGGCGCAGAAACGCCTTGCGTCTTTAGCATGACAGAAAGCAACTGGAAACGGGAAACAGCATAAGAAACTGCCTCCAAACGAGGGAACAACTGCGTCTCTTGGCCTTCTAGCAATACAAGTCCATTTGTGTACTCAAATACAGCAACACAGGTTCGGTTCGTTTCCGATATGGGGAGGGGGGATTTTTCCTCACAATACAGTCACTTGTTGAACACGAAACTCTGCGTCATCGACCACATCAACCACATCGGGCCGCACCTGCTCAACGTGTTAAAGGACGCCGTGGTCGACCCGTTGATGACGGTTTTGTACCCAGCCGTGTCGCAAAACACCACCTTCCAAGGGAAGCTGCTCGAGCCCGTGCCGAAGCTCGGCAGCACCGAGGCGAAGAAGTTTACCACGCACGAAGAACTGATGCAGACCGTGCAGAAACCCACGGACTTTCGTTACGGATTCAGCATCGGGTACGCGAACAGAAAGCGGGAAACGAAGGACTCAAGAAATATGGATGTGTCAGGTTTGAAATCGACAAAGTTGAAATAACTTGTAATGCATAAAATCGATACCAGTTGGAAGCCCAATTTCTAAGCGGTGCATGACAAATTTCGGCACCGTCTAAATCCAGTTTGTCATGCTGTTTAGGGACAGAAGGCGTCTCTTGTCCTGCTGCTTTAGCATCTCTGTCGCAGACCCCAAACAGGCTGACAGTCGGCCTGACTTGCCATCCCTGCAAGAGAGGCACTCTTTGCCTTGCATTTTATGCATGAGAAATTATTTCAACTTTGACGATTTCAATCCTGACGCATCCATAAGAAACATCTCCAGGGTCGGCCTGGACTGCCACACCGATGATTCAGAGGTACAATGTTGTGTTATGCTTACTTGTTTGATCAGCTCCTATGCTGTCAGAAAGCGGCGTTGTTTGATGTGTCATCACGGTTGCTCAACCATCGCCTATCTTGTTGTTGAATCGCGCTTCACCGTCATCGATACGTTGTGGTGTTTCCCAGCATGATGATGGTGCGATGCAGCTGTTGCAAGAAGAAGAAATCACAATGAAAAATCATGTAGTGGTCCAGCGGTCTGCCTTTGCGATCATGGACGTATGAATATCGTGATGTGACTCATCTGCCCTTGCCTGTGCGCGCGCCTCGCCCTTTTTTCCATCACAGGAGGATTTCCGCTTGCCGAGGCTGCCCAGGCGTGCCCAGGCTGCCCAGCGTGCTGTTGTACTACTAGAGCACACGCACGCCGTATTGTGATTCTAACGACAGGTAATGATGTGATATCGCAGCAGGGTCGTTGCGTTCAGATTATTTAGTCCCCCGGGCATGCGCCCTTTGTTTCCCTTCATCAACCATGATTTCGCGATGAAATACCAGAGAAATTTTCCGTTCCGTTCTTGTTGCGGCTTAGACCTCTTGAATTTTTCGTCAACGCTGAAAGAATTAAAAACGATTGTGTGAGATACACAAGATGCATAGAGGGATCGATCATGCAGTAGAGCGATGAAGGGTGCTTACTAGAGATCATGACAAAAACAAGTACGAGAGCAATTTCTTTTAATTCCTGTCCCAGGTCTCCCTGACCATTCGACTGGGCAAAGAGTATTCCGTATCGCAAGGAAAAATCCCCCCTCCCCATATTGAAGAGGTAGGTTTTCGAAAATTTGTGTTGCTGATTTGAGGTCACAAATCACGTGTGTGTTGCAAGAAGACAAGGGCAGCAGCTTCCGTCCCATTATGGAGCCGGTTTGTCATGCTGTTGAGCCAACATCGCGGACGCTTTTCATGCTAAGCGCCTAAGTCAAAGCCTCTCCATTCAGGCTTGATATGGGTCTGCAGTCCTCTCCAGCAAGACAGATGCGATTCGTGTACTCAAATACTGCATCACAAATTTCGTTTTCGATATGGGGAGGGGGGATTTTTCTTTTTGATATTCCGGCGGCGCGGTCGGGCTCCGGTGGAAGGTGGGCGACGATATTGTGAGGAAAAATCCCCCCTCCCCATATTGAAAAGGTACACTTTTGGAAATTTGTGATGCTTATTTGTGGTCACAAATCGTCTCTGTCTTGCAAGGAGGCAAACCCAGAAGACTTCCCGCATTATGCCAGCGGTTTGTGATGCTGTTGGGACTACGGCATAGACTTTTGTCATGCTGACCGCCTAGGCTAAAACCTCTCCGCTCAGGCTTGCTATGGGCCTGCAGTCCTCTACTGCAAGACAAAGCTGATTCGTGTACGCAGATCCAGCATCAGAAATTTCGCTTTGATATGAGGAGGGGGGATTTTTCCTCGCAATAGACGAGAACGAGGGCCAGCTCCAAACGAAAATTGTGCAGAAGAACGGCGAGGGAACCCTGTTCTACGGCCAGCAATTCCACGAGGTCGATCCGGTGGAGACCGGCGAGCGGCAGATGCTGGTGGTCTGGTTCCGCGGCGAGCACGGGTTTCGGACGAACACCTGCCCCTGCTGCCGCATGAACCGGCGGTTCGACCCCAATTGCATCCTCTGCTACGACAACTCCCTAAAAGACACGGGGTCGCCCCTGCGCCTCAGCCGCGCCGGCTCGCAGGAACTCACGGAGGCGGATCTACCGCCTGCCGGCATGTTCACGGCAGTACCCTACGCGCAGTGATGAAAAGCGGAGCCGGTCGACTCGTTCATCTTGCGAGTCGTTCGATAGTACTGCTCATCTATCATGAGCGAATTTTTTCAACACACAAATATTAATTGCACAGCAAAGGGTCGTGTTTGTGTTTTAGTTTTTGCATTTGTCGCAGCGAGCTAGTACTGAGCGCGGATTGAAAAGTTTGCAACTTCCGCAGCAAGTAAGTAGTTACTTTCAGGAGCTCGTCGTCGTCCCGTGGAAAGGAAAAATCATTATGGAATGTACTAGCGTAGTTCGACACGGCTCAGGTGCTTGCAACTCTCAGTGAGGCCGACAAAGGCACGGAAATAAAGTAGAACAAGCGACACAAAAGTATTGCTCAAGTCAGTTGGCTTTAAAGAACACCGATCAATAGTTACAGTAAAAGGCAATTTTTTTTGTTCCTCGGTGCCGATGGCGCTAGAAGTCGTGCCTGCTCCTTGTAAGATTGGGGCGCCGAGTCACGGCACAGCTTTGAGTACACGGCATGTCCACGACATCGGAGCGCGGAATGTCGCTGCGAGTCCTGATGTGCAGGATTTGTGTCTGTTGTTCTCCTCTTCACGAGAGTGGTTCAGTTTTTCGCGCCCTAGCTGTTGCTCTTCCTAGTGAGTGGTGATCAGATTGTCGTATGATACCTTTTTTTTGAACGTCGACGTCGTTCTCGTTTTTTCGTGTGCAGAGCGCACTGCAGATTTGATTTCTTCCTTGCACGGAGTGTCTTGGAGTGAATCGAGAGTTTTGTTTTTGCAAGCGGGGACTTTTTTATATTGCGTTTCTGCGAATCGGAATCGAGAGCAGGGTTCTCTGCGCAGCAGTCAGACAATTTTTCGCTGTGCGCGCGACCTGCATCTAGCCACAATATGTCAACTTTTCCATGGAAGATGACACCACGACAGGGCAGAGAGTTTCGACAGTAGAGGGAAATCGAACTCGTTTTGGTACAGTATCTTCCCGCATAAGCACTTAGACAAGTTTCTCAAGTATGAAATGAAAATACAAGGCAACTTCAGCCTTGCTGTGTGCAGGTAAGAATCGTAATCGGACAAACAGGTGCAGTGCAACTGTTACACTATAACCCTCTACAGCTCGCGCTGTCGTGGATGGTAGCATTCATTGCTCCTCATTTTCGTGATCGCTATACATACGCGCTATTCCCGCGCATCGTTGATATTACCCTATGGAGGCGCTAAAAGCGGGAGTAGCAGTACTAAACGAAGCAGCCAATAATTTTGGAAAGACGCACAACTTTCAACAAAAAAAACTGTGAAAAACATCATTAGAAACTATTTACTCACTCACAACTCTCTCTCGTCGGCAGCGTCCGTCGTGATTTGAAACGAAAAACTTTTTTTTGTAAAAAAGTTTTTCCAAAAACATCTGCAAAGATGGCTCCGCGGGGTAAGCACAACCTGAAGCGTCAGGAACAAGACATCTTCCAAAACGCCCAGCAGGTCGAGGCGAAGCGACGGTACATTTCGAGGTTTTTGTCGTACCGCAGAAATTCTCGGTAGTCCAGTTTTTTGTCAAAAAAATGCAAAAACGTAGACAACCACAGAGGCGAAGATCGTGCTGTTCTTCTTGGTTCTCGAATTCGTCAGAGACCACCTCCTTGTGGCGAGAACAAACAGAATGAAATCGATTTGTACTCCAAGTACTTAGATGTTAATTGCAAATAATATACAACAGCTATGAAACCCTGGTGAAAGAAGAACGGGAGTCCCTGGACGCTCGTTTGGCGGATATCAAATGTAAAAGTGTCTGGGTCTGGAAGAATGCAACATGTAATGCGTATTTCAGAACACAGAAAAGTCTCTCATGCATACGTAGCAAAAGCTCCCACTTTTTGTCAGCAAAATAGGGGACTTGTCATGAGGATTCGGCATTGCGGAAGGCTCTCGAAACCTGTGATGCTAGAGCTTCCATGCCAGACCTTCTGTGTCATGCAAAAACAGCATGACTCTTCCAGACCCAGACATTTTTGCAATCCATAGCGGAGCGGGAGCGACAAATCACGCAAAGCATGGAGGAGTATCAACTGCAAAAATGTCTGGGTCTGGAAGAGTGCCAGACTTGTCATGCAGGTCTTCCATGATCGATGAGGTCTGGCATGTAGGACATAGCATGACAGATTCTACTGCGAGCGTTCTATCATGCCTATCCTGCGTGAGAAACTGCCTCTCGATTAGGTCAAAAGTGGGCAGCTTTTGGCAATCATGCAACACAGATTTTTACATTTACATGATTCAGATTTAGCACGAGAAGTTGCTTTGTTCCAGACCCAGACATTTTTACATTTGATAAGGAGGCGCTGGCACGGGAGAGAGTGGTGTTGGAGGAGGAGAAGCAAAAAGCGTTGCAGCAGCACGAAGAGGACTGGAGGAGGAACTATCCAAGACAATAAAGACCGTCTTGGTCGTCGTGTATAGCTTGTATTGCATACTACTTTCTTCCCTTCGAAATATGCATGAAAGTAGGCAGGAGAGAGAGCAATTATCACGTGTCACGCTCAATGAGCTCCCCGCACATAGGGTACTATCCTCAGGCGTGTCGCATTTTTCACTGATACTAGCCGCACATGGTGAGTTTTTCATTTCCGGCGCACTAATAGGGCCGCGAGAAGTTTCTTTTTCTAAGAATATGATAAGTCAAAAGATATGTATACATTTACATCACGAGCACGGTCGTGTTTGTTTTCTTGGATAGCGGAGAGCAGGAGTTCATACAAAAAATGGAGAAGGAGAAACTCGAATTCTCGGAGAAACGCGAAAAACTCTGCCAGATAACGGAGAAGGAGAAGTCCGACATGGAGAAGCGGGTGCACATCTACAAAAAAGTCGAGCAGGGGAGACTCAAGCAGCACGAGAAGGTAGGACAACTCTTCATCTGTTGATCATGATTCCGCGGACAATTTATTAGCTCCATTTTCATTTTTCAAGAGCTTGCTACTTTCTTTGTGATGCACAATCGAAGTAAAACTAGACCTTCTGAGAGAAAAGGCACAGTAGTGGCTACTGTGCCTTTTCTCACGGACTAAGTCCGCTGGTGCTTCAAACAAAATTTGAATCACATGTCAAACATTTAAACCGAAAAACAGGAACTCGCAGAAGTGCGGCGGCAAGAGGAGCAGAAGATAAAAGAAATGATGAAGGAGCAACGCGACCAGCTGAAAATACGCCCGATGAATAAGTTTGTCGAGTCAACTGATTGAAAAAGTGATTTTGTACTTCAGTGTTGTGGACTTGATTTCGTCCCAAAGAAAGGAGCTGCGAATCGCATTTGTCTTTATTGGATTCTGATAAGTTGAGCAACGCTACTGCCATGCCTGCTGAGATGAAAGCGTTCTTCATCCCGCCTGGGTATCTAATCAGGAGCTTCTTCAAGTTTGTTTCTCTTTGATACCGCAAGGAAACCCACGTGAAGCTCGCACTGGAACGCAAGAAATTTGAGGACAAGCTCTCGCTCAAGGAGAAGCAATTGCTGAAACGCAAGGTACTTGCACATTTAGAATCAGGTCGCGTTTGTGCGATACTCTGGTGGCACCATCGACAACGAAAATTCGTATTTTCGTCGACATTTCAAACTTTTTATACGAAAAACTGATGAAAAAATAAAATACACGAGGGTATGCTAGTTGTGATATGTTGATGGAAATGGGAATCATGAGGCTATGATACGCAAGATATTGCGACGAGGCGTGCAATTTTTGTAGCCCCCATGCACGATTGCATTTTTCACATGAATGTCCAGAATGACATGCAGTTTGCTACTGAAAGCTTTGCAATTGCTGAAATTCTAGCAAGTAGTTTTTTTTGATTCTCTTTGCACTTTACCTCTTCGCAAACTTCGCATTCAGGAACAAGAACTGGAGCAGCTGCGCAAGGAGCAGGAAGAGGAGGTGCAGTACATCAAAAAGAAAACGGAGCATATCACTTGGAAAATCCCGAATACTAGCGCAAGTGATATTTTGTATGTAATAAAAGACAACAACCAAGAAGCGGAACGAAATCAAAAAGAGTTTGTTTTGCACGATAGGCCCCTTAGTGAAACATCAGCGCACATGATCCTATGCGCGAGCGGAAATCATTGCACGCGACGGACATTTTTCTCTTGCTATGTCTCTCTTCTTGCATGTCGAAATTTCCTACAAGAACTTCTACTATTGATTGTCCCATGCTAGTAAAAGGAGTTTTCTTCCCCCCGATAGAGGAGCGCAAATGCCAGATGAAACAGCAAATCCGCGACCAGTTGCAGGAAGAATTCGAATTCGAAAAGGAGCGCTTGGCCAAGCAGTACGAAGCGGAAATGTGCGATCCAAGGTACTTGCCGTATCCGATACTTGCTTCCGGACGAATGTGAAGACATGAAAGTCATTTTTGCGAAGAATGTTTTTTGTGGGCATGATCTTCACTGGAGTTTTGAGAAGTTTTGACGCATGGTATGATAGATCAACATGCAGGACGCTTCTTTGTAGTTTGTCTTTGTACTAGTGACACCAAAAAATTATCATCAACAAAACAGCTGGGTGCTTGTGGACAGCGTGGCGGGTGTGCTGGTGGAGTAACAATCTCACCACACTGCGACATTTTTGTTTCTCTTCTCTTCAAGACGATGTATATAATGGTTTGTTGAGTTGGTTCCAATGTGTTTGAGTAAATAGTTTCGTCTCTTTTCCTATAATGCTAGTACGAACATTTTTCCCGACCGAGTTGCGAGTTTTATCTGACCGAAACAAGGAAGGATGTTGTTTTGAGATTTTGACGTTGTTCCACCGAAAACTCGATAAATGCACAGACAAGATGAATTGTTTTTGCTCTACCCTCGATATCGCGCGTTTTCGATTGCTTAATTGTCCGATTATATATAGTGCTCTTTACCACAGAGGATACATCAACAGCAGAATCAGTTTACCAGCAGGATCAGACACTTATTTGCAGAAAGTTTAGAGTTTACAGACGAATCAAGCGAAAATTGTTCAGACCATACGTGAGAATGGATTTACAGAATCAGACGCAGAATCAGATGACTTGAGAGCCGATTTATTTTATCAATCCCGCTTTGCCTCTTTCGTTACTTACCACCTCCCTAAAAAAAGAGCCTTCTCTTACCGTTCTGTGTTAGACCCTTGTTTAGCGTTTTCTGTTCTCATTTCCCCGTTCTTTCTACCGCAGTGAAAACGTACCTGATGATATTTGCAATTTTACGAAAATAGGAACAAAAAAATCAAAATCCTCGTAGTAACCGAACCTTTTATGTATCGAAATACAGCTTTGAACTTTTCTTTTCCCCGACTCGCCAAGTCGGGACTCTGTGAAAGTTCGAGCTGAAAGCGAGTTATCCGGATTAAGAGTATGAGAATACTAGTCAAACTTTCGGCGAAAGTTTTGTCTTGAATAAACGGAGGCGGAGTCCCCTCTCCCTGTAGATCTGAGGTAAAGTGGAATTGCAGAGCAGAGTCGATGTTGTGTAAATAATTTTACTTTTCTTCAATTTCTATCTCATTAATGATTTTCCGGGTGCCCGTCACAAAAGTAAAAGACGAGACACAATGCAGAGTGCTGTGCTTTTCCACATGAGTACAGCATGCTGGCGTGGTGCCTCGTTGAATTTAGATTTTATTACAGAGCTTCAGCTGCTAAACACGTCCTCGCAATTCTGAATTTCTCAATTAATTGCTCGTTTTTAGTGGCGCCTTTTGATATCGGCACAACTATCGATAAACCGTGCGTCTCAGCCTGGGCACATAATCACACGGCAGGACCGGAATCTATTTTGAGTTGCGCGACTAGAGATGTATTGTGACTACGCTTCCTGTGCGACTGAACCAAAATCAACAACGGCATCGCGGCCGTTGGAGCAAAACAATAATAAATAAGACGCTAAAATCATCATTGATCTTCGACCTCGTACTAGCGTAGTTTACAGCACTCGAGTCTTCGTGATTCTATGTATAGATCTGCGCTCTTACCTGTCGTGGCAGCGGAGTATGGCAGAGAATTACGCGGTTTCTTTGGTAGCCGCTGAATTGATGGAACAGATTTTCTTGATTGTTTATCAATGAATGTCGGATTTAAATGCATGCGTAATCAAATTTGACGGAATCTGATAAGTCTCTCCGCTCTTGTTTCAGCAACAGCTTGATGTTTAGAGATACAAGTGTATAGAAAGATCAGCAGGCTGAAAACTATCGCGAGAGGACCCGTGGGTTTCCAAAAATTACAGAGCAGAGCCCGGTTGCATGAAAGCAAAAGTAGAGCCAACACAAGATGACCGCAGGGTCGGCGCTATAATCATCTAATCGCAAAGCTGCTTTTGCTGCTGGATTAGGATTAATTTTATAGTCGTAACGCCGTGCGTGTCAAGCTCAAGACAAGTGTTGGTGAAAAGTCGGAGAGCTACTGCTTCTGTGACTTTACCAGCAGAGATAGATTCCCGGTAAGATTTAGACAGGACGAAACGGAGCCTCCTCGAAAACGTAAGAACAAACTTGCTTTTTTCATAGAACTACCAGTCTTTCGCAAAAATTTGTCATAGCAGACCGCAGCAACAACTTGAACTTGATAATTCGAGCCTTCCATATCGCGTTTGTGTTTTTGCCAATGCCGGTAGAATTTATTTGGAGCTTTTGTTTGCGAAAATTATTTGTAAACGAGATGGTTTCAGGCAAAGAAGCACAACGAGGTGAGGAGGATCTGCTGTGATTACAGCTCGTTCATCACCATCGTAGTGCGTTACTTGCAACACGACAGACTGCACGATACGACCATGTCGAAAAAACATGACGACCACTACAGATAATGACGAAAATCTAATGACAAAATCGAATGACAGACGACAATAGAAGAAGGAGCAAAGCAATTAGTCCGAAAATACCCGGGTCTCTGCTCTGCTTTTTTTTTTCGGAAAAAATAACTGCAATGTACCTAGCTTGATACAACCCTGTACTATACTTCCTTTTGTCCAAATCCAACAACAAAACCTATCAGCAATGGTGGCAATTGTGAGTAAAATTCAATTATGGGTCGAAAGTAAAAGATTTTTATACGTAGGTGTAGACGTCGTCGCCCGGACCACAGAGGATGCATCCAGTACCTTAGTTGCTACTAAGCGAAGGTGCTGGCCGCGTCGCAGGTCGGGTGAGCAGGCAGTAGAATCAGGCCACAGAGTGCAAATCAGGTTCGGACAGACAAACTTTTCCGATGGTGCTACTATCAGAGGATATCGTGATACGATACAGAAATATTGAAATTAATAGTGTGGCTTCGATAGTGGAAATACTTACCACACAGCAAGCTGTATGTGACGACAGGCTGCCGCGGCTCTTGATCATATCAGAAACGTCAAGAACGTTGCCAGTAAGTGCAGGAATCACATTTCTAGTAGAATCGGGTTCGTGCTCTTTATCGTGCGAGATGTTCCTTCAGGAACATCAGAGACAGGATGCGAGGTATTTTTCACGTGTAATTCTACAATATTGCTGCACGGTGATACATGATTGAGCTTCTGTTTGACAACTGCAGATCCTCTTTCCTGGCATTCTGAGAACAGTTGGAACGAGATTGCCGGGTAATTTGGATTAGCATAGTTGTACCTTACTGTTACTCCACTGTGACTGATGACCTGTACACTAGAGTCGGTGGAGCCCGTCTTGCATTTTAGACTTCACGACCTAAGGGCTTTCATCAATTTCCCACTTGCATTCTCCCCCAATCAATAACCTACACTTCTTGCAGCGTACCATGGCATTTCTTGTCACCGAGCATGATGTGAAGCTATGATAAATTTACCCTTGCGACAAGGCGCGTGGTTGCAGCTACTTACCTGTGAGGACATCTTCATAGAAGCGGTGGCAGGATATTGATCTAATACAGTACGAGCCTGCAGCCTGTCGTTCGATGTGAATCTGTCAAAGATATCGGACCCAGTGGATGAAGATAGGAGTCACTCTTCAGCACTTTAACCCGGCAAGGGCAGCACATGCGTGCGCCCTTGTGAAAATATTTGAATTTTATGTTTTGTATGTAATACTATCGCCGGGGAAAGAACAGGACAAAAAGTAGACCCTCCGACGATAATTACAACAAAAACATTTACTGCACGTTTTGCCACCATTGAAAAACCGTTTCTTTGCCAGAGCCATGTATCTTGGCATCGAAAAACTGCAACACTATTGCCGTTGTTGGTGATAGAACAAAAAACGAAAACGTATGGAAAGATATAACCTTGCAAAAGTACCAATCGTCGTTTCGGAGACCTGGAAGGTCGCGCTTTCTTCGGGCTGGAAAACAATCAGGTGTGTTCCCGTTTTTTTACAGGAGTACGCAGGCTTAGAAAAAAAAGAACACAAGCGAATTTTTATTCAAACGAATATTTTTCGAACCAAAAATATATTTTTGATAAAAAATATTCGTTTGGTAACGCATTGAGTGGTGTCGCGAACGACATTGGACGCCGTACAGTGTAGATACCACAGCGCTTGCGCCCTCCGGGCGATCTAGGACAGAGGAGTCGCGCTGCGAGCCCTACTTCTTCTATCTTGAACACATAGCTTGACTTCGCTTGCCGTTCCTTTCTGCAGTTGCGCTTGCGCACGTGTTTCTCTTTCTGCTGAGAAATTTGCATTCGTTTCCTGGCCCCTTCGGGCAGAATGCAGCGGTATTGTCGCAAGTGGGGCGGTTTACTTTTTGCTAGTTGCGCACGTTGGGAAGATGCGTAGTGCTATGCGAGCCGGGCGGTCGTTGGCCGGTCGCGAAAATGTATTGCGCATGCAGTAGCGGCCGCTTCGGCTTTCTGCCTTGTTCGGAAGAGCGCGAGCGCCTTTTCGTGTTATGCCAGCCTTCGCTCGGGGTCGGGGCCAGGAAAAAGCCTTTTGCTTATTGTGCGCGCCTGTTTCGGCGCCATCATTGGTAGTGGTGATTGTGTGCGAGTGGTGTTTTGTGCTCTGAAGGCGGGGAAAAAAAATTGGCGCGCTGCGCGCGCACAGGCGCCGCGGTTTTGGTAGTTGCTTGCGATGCCCCTATCACGTTCGGCAATCAGGGGCCGCGGCCGGCCGAGAAAAAAGATGCGGCGTGCTGCGCGCGCGCAGAAGCCCTGGCTTTCTTCGGGGATTGGGGGCTGGTCGAAAAATTTTCTTCGCGCGCTGCGCGCGCGCAGGCGCTCTGACCTGCTAGGGGCGCGACAAAAATTCTTTTTTCACGCTCAGCAGCCGGGGTCTGGCCGACGAAAAAGCTTGCGCGCGCTGAGTGTGCGCAGGCGCCTTGGCCTGGGAGCGCCGAAAATTTTTTATAGCGCGCCCGGCGATCATCGGGGGCTAGTAGGAAAAACAATTATCGCGCGCTGCGCGCGCAGACACCTAAGCACCGCACGCAGACATCTCCGTAGGCTCTTGCGTTGCCTGGGGGCGTGGACAGCTCTACTCGCGTCCGGTAGCCGGCGGCCTTCCGGGGAGTAAATGCCGCGTGCGCACAGACGCCTTGGACTGGGGGCACGGAAAGTTTTCGTTGTTTGTGAAAGCAGGGGGGTGCCGGAAAAAAAATTTTGCGCGCGCCGCGCGCCGGCGCCTTGCCTAGGGCGGGGCGTCAAGCTGCCCTCGAGGGCTGGCCGGATTGATTGGCCAGCGCGCGGGCGCGGTTGCAAATTTTTTTCGCCCCCGGAAGTCGCAGCTTTGCCAGAAGACAACTTTGCGCGCGCGCCCCGGTCTGAGAACGCGGACAGCAAACTCTGCTCGCGTGCAACAGCCCGTCGGGGGATTCTCTGAAAAAAATTTCGCGCGCTGCGCGCGCGGATGTGTCGCGGCCACATAGGGCGGAGTTTTTTTTTGGGCCGGCGCGCGCGGGTCTGGCTGAAAAAGGTGGCCAGCCCGCGCGCCCGTTCGTTGTCGCCCTGGTCTGGGATCGCGGAAAATTTTTTCGCGCCCGGCAGTCGAAAGCTGGGGGGAAAAAACTTGCCGCGCGCGCGGGCGCGGGCTCTGTTGCCTGAAAGTGCGGCGAGCAGCTCTATGCCCATTCGGCAGCCGGAGCTTGGCCGGAAAAAAATTTCCAGCGCACGCTGCGAGCCCGCGCGCAGGCGCTTCGGTCTGGTAGCACGAAAAATTTTTTCGCGATCCACCGGCAAGCGAGGGCCTGCCTGAAAAAAATTGCCCTGCACCGCGCGCGCCCGCTGGCGGGCGCCTTGGCATGAGAGCGCGCGCGGAAAAGTTTTTCGCGCCCGGTGATCTGTAATTGGGAGGAAGAAACATCTTCGCGCGCGAGTCGGTAATTGGGGGGGAGAAACGTCCTCGCGCGCGAAGCAGGCGCGCGGAGTTGTTATCTCGCGTTCGGCAGTATTGGGTTGCCTTGGAAGAAAATTGTTGCTGCGCTGCGCGCGCGGACCGGAGGCGCCTTAGCCTGGAAGCGCCCGCCGCGCGCCTTTTCCTCGCCCGGCAGTTCTTGGGGGCTGGTCGGATAAGAAAGATCTTCGCTCATTAGGCGCGCCCAGGTGCCTTGGCCTGAGAGTGTGCGTGGGGCGACGACTCCGGGCGCGGAGCGTTTTTCTCGTGTCCCCCGACCGGGTGCCGCCCGGATTTTTTTATGTTAATCTCACTTCGCGCGCTGTCAGTGCCCAGAGATTCTCCGGTGAGTGTTGTAAATGAAATGCCCGGGCGCGGGCCGTGCCGTTCAGCGTAGCTAGGTAGCTAGGGTTTTTTTGTTCCCCGCGCAGCGTGGCGGGCATGCCACTCGAAAGGCCCCACGCATGCCCGCCCTGTCTCCAATGTAAAGGAGCCACGGAAGCCGCCCGCCCGCCCGGGTATGTAAAAGTCGCTTCAACAAATAGCCCGCCAAAAAAGTAGGTCTGTGTTGGCCGTCTTTTTCTGAGAGTGAGAAAAACCACTGCGCCTGAAGCTCGGGTCTCTGTTTCGCCCGCGCTTTTGCGCTTCGCGTGTGGAATCCACCTGGAAACCCGGAGAAGCCATGGGGAGCACAGGGGCGGGACGGAGGTTAGGGAGCGGCGTAGGTAGCAGCGTAAGTGGAGAGATCGGGAAACAGAGAGGCTGTGGGGATGCGTGTGGGCTTCGGGAATGTGGAGGCATGGACGCCCGTAGCAGCGGGCGCAGCCGTGCAGGCCGTCGCGGTCTGGCAATCGCTCAGGTCGCGCCCGGAAACACCTCTCTGCGTGCAGGTCAGAGGCATTGCTTCACTCTTCCCGAAGAAGCAGCGCTCCAGGCCTCTGCCCGAAGTACCAGGTCGATGCCTGCATGTTGAGGCCACGGCGGCCCTTCTGTCCCGCCCTGGCCCTCCTTGGCCTTCTGAGGCCGCCGTGGCCCTTCTTGGCCTTCTTAGGCCAAGAAGGGTGCAGGGGTCCGGGCAATCGGCCAAAAGGATATATCTTTTCAAAAGCATACTTTTTTCAAAGGGATATTTTTGCGATATTTTCGCCAATTCCTTGCCTTTTTATGCTTTTGGTTTCTCTTTTTCTTTTTCTTTTCTGTCTTTTTTCTTTTCTCTTCTTTTCCTTTGTGTTTCTCCTTATCTTTGTCATTTTCTCATCCTCTCCTATTCAAATGAATATTTTCAATCAAACGAATATTTTTCGTGTTCTTTCTCTCCGAGCTCAGGTGGAGTCGATCTGTCTAGGATGCAGCAGTTGCAGACAGGTTTGAAGAAAAAAAATATTTTCCGCGTCGTCATGGGGAAAGATAAAATGGGTAAAACGAAGACGAACAGATGAGAGAAATACGATTATGCTTCACCAGACTCCCTGTCGTGCCTTGCTTTTGCTCGTTCTTTAATTTTTGACGAGGTAGTGCAGTTTTTAGTTTTTTTCTTGATGACAGCTCCCATGGTGTTTTCCTCCGCGGTTGTCACTTTGTTCTCCTTGTTACATTTTGCGTCACTTTGTCACTCTGCATTCCCACCCGACGAGGAATTATCCCTGAAAAAGAACAACGAGCCAGAGCTACAGCAGCCAGGAGTAGTTACTGACAGCGAACAGGAGTGGCCCGAACAACCCGCAGAGGAGCCACACGACCGACAAGAAGCGTCCGACTCAAAAAGTCTGCCGTGGGGCATTTCCGAGAGCCAGGTAGACGCGTATCGAGGCTGTGTGCAAGATGCGGTGCGGAGCAGAATCCATTCGGCAGCGCAGGGCGTGCGACCACGGGAGGACTCATCTTCAGCTGAACGAGGAGAGGCCGCAGAAGAAGATGCTGCTTCATCGCACATCGGCGAACGTGGACGAGAGCAAGCGCCCTCTGCTGAAATTTCCACCCAGGTGGAAGTCTCGAATGTTTGGGTTTCTGTCGATTTGGAAAAGGACCTCTACGTTCGGGTACCGGTCTTAGTGAACCACACCAGATTATGGATTGTAAAAATGTCTGGGTCTGGAAACTTGTGATGCTGGGTGGCGTCTCATGATGAGGCCACACATGCTGGCTCAGCATGACAAGTTTCTGAGCTTCTAGGTGTTGCCTATTCTGCATGACAAACTGCGTTCCTGCATCACAGAAAAGTTGAGCTCTTGGGTAACGTGCATGACAGATTATGAAGTCATGCCAGACAAGCATGACAAACATGCATTCTTCCAGACCCAGACATTTTTACATTTGATACAGATTATCGTGAAAAAAAAGTGTTACAGTGAGGACACAGTATGTGGTAAGTTGGGAGACAAGTAAGACCGATAACCTTAGTCAGGTAGGTCGGGTACAAGTAGTCGTACTAGGCGCAATGATTAGGTGCTACGCTACTCGCCACGCACGCCCATACCATACCATAGTCATGCGGAAAATGCTTGCGAGCCTCGTACTCGTTTCATGCGTGCTTATTTCCCTTGGGATCTCCGGATTGCGAGTGTTCTTTTTCACGCAGGACAATCAACTTTGTGTTTTGTCTGAGCGAAGTAGCAACAAATGTGTATTGTGTCATACTTTTTCCTTGGATGCAGATGCTCTTTTGACAACTGGAAGCGGAACCGGGATTACAAAATTATCCTGGAGCACGTTCCATCGGAGGAGGCCTTCGCGAATCGAGCGTGGGTGCAGCTGGCGCTGCAGCAAGCTTTTGGTGGTTCATCTTCATCTTCGTCGAACAGCCTGGTCCTCGCTGGCACCGAACATTCAAGGAAGGTCAGTCAGTTCTTCGCGCGTGTGCGGCAGACAAACTGGCACGGGGAGCCGACCCAAACTCGGTTTCGCCCACCTGTGGGCGACTTGTCCCCCACGGTGCTGCGCTACGTCAGGGAGGTGCTGGTAGACATGAGCTGGATCTTCGAGCGATTGCTTTCTTTGAAGCGGAGCGGGAGGTCGAAGGATGTGGCAGATGGTGTCGTGGAAAACCGGAGCGGTGCAGATGTTGAGCAGGCATCAATGCCACCCATTGGTCTCCGCATCACCGAGATCGGAGTGGGACACGGCGGACTTGCGCACTGCATCCACAGTTTTCTCGAGACGAAGTATGGGGACGCGAAAGAACGTGCTGGTCGGATGCTGGATGAAACTGCAGAAGATATAATTACAGATGACAACGCTTTAAGTAGAATACGGGAGCACGACAAGGACCATGAGAGAGTGCATAAAAATACTCCTACTTGGTCGAAGATGGAAAAAAGGAAATCCGACATTGCAACGGACACACAGGAGGCGTCCGCAGGCAGCTCAGCAAGAATGAGCATCATCGAGTCCTATACGCTCGGAGACCTTCCCGAAGTGCAGGAGCTGGCTTTTCTGCAACTGCAAGCGATGAGCTCGACCCCTGGCGGGTCCGTCCCACCTGACCGCATCAGATTCTTCGACAGTACGGGCTTCGTGCCGGAGTTTGCGGAAGGTAAAGAAGTATTTGATGTTGAAAGGCGTAAAAACGAAAACAGCAAAGAAAATGAGGAGGCCACCACGACCAAGCACACAGATGAAGACAAGGAGGATCTTCATTTGAAGAACATGTTCCCACGCCGCCGTCCCTTTCTCACCGAGCAACAGGACCTCTGTATCTCCAATTATGCTTTTTCGGAGCTGCGGTCCACGGCCCTCGCGGATTTTTATGTGGACAAAGTCTTTCGCTTCTGCGACGTCGTCTTTCTGCAGTACATCCCGAGTTTCGCCCCCGGACTCGCGATCGACATGGGCGAGAAAAATTCTCATGATTATTCGGTGCCAGAAGAGGCTGAGGTTCGTTCTCGCGAGAAACCTGGCCTAGGTTTATTTCCGGAAGTAGCTGAGCAGACAACGGAAGAAGTCGTGCCTGGACGAGTTGTTTCTGAGGATGAGACTGGAAGCGGTGGTCTGGTGCGCCATGACAGCCAGAAAGGCCCACTGAACCGGCACCATCTCACAGGGTATTTGCGGAAAATTTCAGCTGCTATGGGCAATGCGGTGCCGTTCACCCGCCTCGTCGTCCCGCCGCCCGCGGACCATCCAGGAACGACACTGGCCGTGTTTTTTCGCAATGTGACGGGGGATGTGGAAGAGTTCTTCACGAAAAAGGATTTATTGTACGCACGCTACGTGTTGCCGTATTTGCAGAACCTGGACAATATAAACAAGAACCGAACCTCTTTCGTAGCAAGCCCGGGCACTTTCAGTTCATCTTCCATTGCAAGCCCTCAAAATGATATTACGGAACAGAAATCTAATATTGAGAGTTTTTGCGTACCACGAAGTTGTCACGACCGCGATGTTGATGCGTGACACCGTTGTTCGTAAATGAGGGTCTTCAGGCATAATTGTGGGAAGGGTAGTTTGTATGCAGTGAGGTCACGAACGTTGACGTTCTAATCTAACGTTTTTTTTGACGCCTCGTATTTCGGCTTTTATCGCACCGACCTAAGGAGCCGTGATGCCACGGTATTGTTTGTCGTCGTCTCGAAGTCGTCTCGCTTCGAAATCGCTGCTACTTTTTCGAGCAACTACAATCAAAGATGTTATCAATCATAACAAGGTCGCTGTTTTGTGTGCCCTCAACTGCTCTCTGACTCGACACGAAATTTCTTGTTTGATTATGCTGAAAATTGTATCGAGTCAGGAGTCCCCCTTCGTTGGCGCCAGTGAATCTCGTTATGGTGGTTGTGCAAGAACTACAACTCGACGACTCTGCAAATTTTGCGTCGCTCAGCACGACGTGAGTAATTACGGTGTCATGTTTCCACAATTAGTTGTTTTTCTTCTGGAAAGCAGAATTTTCTGGGTACCTATTGGTATTTTTCTAAAATGAACTTCGAGATGCAGGATTACATGTACTACACATTGCTGGAGTTTTTCGTTTTTTTCGTGTACATGGTTTTAAAGATGAGTGCCTTAAAAGCGTTGGTCAGTGTGAGGCAATGCCGCGTGAGCCGCCGACCTGTGCCTCCTCTTGGAGCTGGTCGGCGTATGCCACTTGTGCACTTTCGTCTTAAACGATGCTAACGTCCAAAAAAATAGAAAAGCAACTGAAGTAGTGGAGCCTGGGTCCGAGCAGGCACTATGCTAAAGTATACATAGCTATTGAGTTGTGTTCTCAGGAGCGAGGCTCTCAGCATGCAGATTGGCTGCAGTACTCCGACTTCTCGCGGCGTGCAGCCTTCCGAAAGCCGTCCAACGGCGGCGGCTCCCATAAAAAGTAGAACGCGGCAGTCCGCAGAGTGTGAGTGTCGCCTGGGATTTCAGGAGTGGAAAGAGGAAGCCCCGAAAACCTTTGAGATGAGAGCGAGCAACTGAATGTCTGCAGCCTTGCAAAGTTCATGATTCCGGTTCATAATCATATTTATGAGTGTGCCTATGCTAGAACACCAGGCTGCGCAAGGGCCCCTGGTCTCATCGATCGCTGTGAGGGAAGTCAAGCCCTCCGCTCGGTTGAGATTGGGGGCTTCGTTCGAGATTTATTTTTCCTAGTTTTCGGAAAACTACCTTTTCATTTTCTTCTGGTGCTGCGTTTTTCTTTTTCCGGAACCGCGAGCGCAGCCACTGATTCTGCTTTGGATCATGTTGAGTCAAATCCGCCCGGCCCGGATGTTTCTTACTCGTTTATTCGTGTTGCTACCCGAGTTGTTGTTTCTGGTACTGCAACAGCGACGCACGAGCAGCAGCTTCGCGACCGTCTCCGCGGCTCGCCATACGGATTCCTACGGTGCGGACAGTACAGACAGGCAGCAGGACGGGACGGGACGCAGTGGCAGCACGGAGGCCGATGACGACGCACAGGAACTGGGAGAATCTTCGCAATCGGACAGGGAGGAGGAGGCCGCTGGTGAAGATGCGGATGCACCAGAAGAGGCGAATGGCAGTGGCCTGAAGTTCCGGGTCGCAAGCGAAGATGAGCCGCGAGAATCCACATCTGAGCAGGAACGCCAGCTTCCCGAGCCCGCAACAGCAGAAGAAGTGGAACAGGGCAGCAGCTACGTGGGACTTGCAGCACGTCGGAGAAAAATGCCAGCGCGTAGCCGTCGTCCACGAACCCGGCACAGCTTTTCTTACGCGGCGACTAGCCAGGACGCAGACCAGCAGGACGCGCGGTCGGCCCACAAAGTGACCTCCGAGTTCATGAAACGGTTTGCGCGGATATTACAATGAAAAATGCCCCCACCCCCGAACTTGGGAACATTTGTATTGCAAACCTTTCCAAATGAAACATTCGCCCTCATGCATCTATCAGCATTTCCAATCGTGAATAGCAAAAATTTGTATTGCAAAAGACCCCAGCAAGAGCGGCGCTTGTCATGCAAGCGATGCGATGCACACCTAGACTCTGCATCAGAAAGATTCATACTCCTTTGTTCATGCATGACAAAAAGTTTTCATTTGGAAGCTGCGCATCACAAATTTTTGCACTTTCAGGGGTGGGGGGCACTTTTCACTGTAATAGCGGAATATGCGGCTCGCGGTGTTGTCAGACTCCAAGGGTGACATGGACGAGAAAAAACGCCTGAAAATGATCCACGCACTGCAGCTGGAGAATCGGGAGGACGATCTGAAGGGGCGCGCAACGGCGGAGGAAAATAACAGTGCGGAGGAAGATCTTCTTGCTCCTCGTCCCGAGACCACTCCGGTCGCCGCGCAGGTAGCAGGAGGACAAGAGGACAATGATCTTGATCTTCCGGGGGAAGACGCAGATGGTGGTCGTGCCATCATGGGGACGAGCAGGGAGGACCACGTCGCGCAACCAGGCGCGGAGGCCCGCGTTTCTGAGAGAGAAGAAACAGACTGGGACGGCGGGCAAGGGGAGGGCCGAGGTGAAGATGAGACCGGTCGAAGCGAAAATACTGAAGTCGATGGAGCGGATGAGGACGCTCTTGAGCACGGAGCCCCCCGTCGTGAAATAAACCCTCATCAAAATAAGCATGGCGCTCGCAGGAACGCCCAGAAATTGCACCAGCTCCGACGACGAACGAAGAAGATCCGCATGCTGAATCAGCTGGTGCGGTCCTCTAATAAGCAATTGCATTCAGCATCGGCACAGCTGCCGACCAGGATTCTGTCCCTGTCCGCTTATCGCAAAAAGATGCACGCCTGCCGAACCGTTGCCTGCATGAACGCTGTGGAAAAGCGCAGGCCACGCGACCGTGAGCGGGATAATGTCGGGTCTGAATCTGATCGCGCGCAGCCGAGCCCGGCGGAAAGTGCCGCACTACAATCTTTGCGCACGACGCAAGGGAAACAAGAATTCGCTGCTGCTGACCGAGAAGAGGATGATACTTTTGGCCAAGCAGAAAGTACGTCTGCTCAGCGAGACGAGAACGCCGACGTCGAATCATCGTCTGCACAACAGGGGAATCTTGTCAACAGTGGAGCAAATGTCTTTATTCCATCCGCTTTCCGTGCACCTCGGCAGCCCCCTCGGGAGAAAAAGCGGCTTTCTCCAACGGCGCGCCGGGTGAAAGCAATGCGCGTCTGGGGGGCCCACGGCGACGTGGAGTGGGAAATGCGGAAGAGAGTGTTGCAACTGGATCCCGCACACCCGGCGCAAATGTTGCGGAACATGATGCGAGCGGTGTTTGACAGTATCGAATTCTTTTTTTTTCCGGTCTGAAATGGATACATGCAAAGAAACAGAAAATGATGTAAAGAATAAAGACCATCAAACAAGAACAAACCATTAAAGCCGTGTGCGATTACAACTGGCTAGAAATGATTGATCAATTGGCCGCTGCATCGACAGCTCACTGCAGATTCGATACCACAATTTTCATCAGCAGTCGATCTTTCATGAAGATCCCATAGCAGAGCTAAAGTACGCAACGAATTTAGAAAGACCGGAGACGAAAAATGTTTCAGCCCCAGTTCTGAAAATCTGCTTCTGTCTGTTGAAAGAAAAGGATCGCAAGATGAACCAGCTCGGTTGTAAAACGGAGTCGTGTGCGAGAAGATCGGACTGCTGCGTGAAGAAAACTCATGTGCGGAAAAGACCTATCCGACCCGATCCCAAGCTCCTGTAGGTACTTGTGCCGTGGTTTCTAAGATTTTCGATCTACTTATTGATGAGCAGTATACTAGGGAGGAGTAGTAGAATTCCTGTCACTAAACGACTCACGGGGGTCTTACAACTGCCTTCGAGGTAGTTCAGATCCAAAAAATGAAAACCATGTTGACCGATCTTGCTGCGATCAGGACACCCTAGTTCAAAAATCCGAGTTCCAGCATGCTGAAAATACAAATTAATATAGCACATTTAGAAATTCAAGCACCTTTTTTTGGCCCCAGCGCTAACAGCGACAGAACCAGACGTATTACTGCTAGGTACAACAAGAACAAATATGATTGTGATTCCCATAAAGGATTCTCATTCATCCTAGTGCTACTGGACTGGTAACTACCGCTGATTTTGTTGACCACGACTCGTGTGGCCGCTGTGTTTATTGAATGGGCACATATTTTGAACACTAGAGGACCAAAATTTTCGCGCCGAGATGAAAAAGCAACTGAAGACCAAAGCCCGCCCCTTCGACTGGGGCAAGCAGGAGCTGGAAAAGGTTTGCGTGCGGATCGCTTATTTTGGGAAAAACTACCACGGCCTGGCGTTCCAGAGCAAGGAAAACCAGCCCACCATTCAGCCGACCATCGAGGAGAAAATATTTGAGGCCATGGAAAAGACGAAGCTGTGGAAAAGTTTGGAGGAAGCGAACTATTCCCGCTGCGGCAGAACCGACAAAGGTGTGCACGCAGCGGGGAACTATTTCGCCTGCCTGATGCGGAAGGTTGGGCAGAACCAGTCGAACAGCAGTCCTGAGAGGACCACACGATCAGTAGCTGCAAATCAAGAAGCTGAAAGCAGAATACCAGCGAACAACAAGCCCGACTTTCGCATCAAAATGCTGAATGGAGTCCTGCCGAAAGACATCCGCGTGCTGCAGATTTACCCCGTCCCGGACACCTTCGACGCGCGGTTCTCCTGTCTGTTCAGGATCTACCGCTATTTCTTCGTCACAAAGCCCACTGCACGAACAACCACGAGAGCAAGCGATGTAACAACGGAGAATTCCGCTGCACAGTTGATGCACCGAAACCTCGCGAACATGGAGAAGGCGGCCAACTACTTGGTCGGCGAGCACGACTTCCGGAATTTTTGCAAGATGGATTTGGAGCAAACGACGAACTTTGTGCGCCGGGTCCTGTCGGTGTCTTTGACCGCGCACCCGCAGTTTTCGGGCGTGTACCAGGTGGAAATCCGGGGCATGTCCTTTCTGTGGCACCAGATCCGGTGCATCATGACGATCCTGTTTCTGGTTTTGGAGGAAAAGGAGAAGCCCGAGATCGTCCTGGAACTGCTCGACATCAACAAGCACCCCCGGAAACCCAACTACGACCTGGCCGACGAGGCGGGCTTGGTGCTTTACGACTGCGTCTTCGACCAGGACAGCATCGTCAGAAGGCCGAGCAGGAAAACAGAGCCATCTTTTCCGATGAAAAATCATGTAAGTCTAGTACTGCCCACGGCCACCACGGAGGACGAGGGCGGCGCGACGAGATGTGTGGCGCCGAGTGCAGCTGAAACTAGTAATAAATGTGTCAAAAACACCACCACCACCACCACCACCACTTCTAGTAGTACGCCAAGTCCGTCCACGGTGTCAACGGCCTCATTCAACACCACGCCTGGATTTATAATGACGTCTCTCTCTGGGAAATCAGTGGCTACTTGCTTATCGGAAGAAAACAATAAAAATTCTAAGGCGTGCGATCGCGATGTCAAATCTGCACCAGAGATCAAACTGACACAAAAATCCACTCCCGCCACGGCAAACACCGTGCACGGAAGTAAAGTGGTCCCGAACAACAAGTTCGGTATATGCCCTTCCGCCTGCGTGCCGTACCTGGAGCAGGCCACCGCAGCGCTGCGGGACGCTGCTGTGTTGCAGTGCTTATCCGAAGCTGCGGGGATCGCGGAAATTCTGGAAGCAGAGGAAAGCAACCCGAGCAGCTCCTTAACGTCCGGAACGATGACGATGAGTTCTTTTTCCCGACAGACGCTCAACACGGCATCCGCATCGCACCAGGGGAAATTTTCCTACACGCCCCTCCTGAACCGGTCGAAGGCGCCGTCGCTGGAGGAGAAACTGGCGACCTTTGACCAGAAGTCGGACAAGAAAAAACGCGATTGCTCCACGCTGGTGAATGACCGAGACGAAGAAAAACTCCTCAAAATTCAAAAAGTTTTAGCCGCGGAGCAGGGGTAGAAAGGTCGAGGAAACTACGTCGTGTGCTCCGTCCTTCTGGGAGAACCTCCTGGGAGAACAACTTCTGATCATGCTGCTCTGGGTGTTGAGACAGATGATCCATAACGCAGGAGGAGAACAATAAACGCACGCGTTCTTGATTTATTTCAGATACAGCTTAATGAATGCATAACTTGCGAGCGACACAGCATAAGTACGGGTAGCGCCACATTGCTGAAGGCGTTTCAATTGCTGCGCCTGACGCTAGTAGGTGATGAAGTTTCGCGACCTTGTTCGTCCCACTTCCACACAGCTGTTTCATTCTTTTCCTTCGGTTCTATTGTTTCTGTAGCATGCACGGTCACATGTCATCGTTCAAGCACTAGTTTCAAACAATTACAAGCAAAGACAATGCGAAAGACGCTGGAGCGGAATAAAGACACATGTCGAGAGCGACTGCTGTGAAACTTTCCACAAGCGGTAAGCAGGAGGAGTGCTGGTGGGTGGTTCCTGCGGCTGTTTTCGCGATACAGTAGCGAGTGGTTGTCCATCAGCTTGTCTTCCGAGTACTGCCCAGTGTCTGTTGGCCAAATGTTGTTTTACCTCACATGCCCTGGATTGCGGTCCATGTTTTCTACTTTTTTTCCAGTTGTTTCATTCGGCTAGTTGCAACTAGCTGCTTTACTATTTCGATATCCATGACTTGAACGCGCTCTATCAGTTTCCCGGACACCTTCCGGAGCGAACTCCGAGCTTTCCGACGAAAACACGCGCTGCACCATGCTGTCGCGGTCCTTGGCCTCTCGGAGCAGCGCGGGACGCTCCGGACTCGTGAATGCTTCGCGGGTGCTATTGAGAGGAAAAATCCCCCCTCCCCATATTGAAAAGGTATGTTTCCAAAAATTTGTGTTGCGGATTTGAGGCCACAAATCACATCTGTCTTGCAAGAAGACAAGGGCAGAAGCTTCCGCCCCATTATGGAGGGGATTTGTCACGCTGTTGGGCCTAAAGGGGGTCCGTTTCCCATGCTGAACTGCTAGACCCATACGCCCCTACCTAGCCTGGGGATCTGGCCGCAGTGCCTCGCTGCAATACAAAGCTGATTGGTGGCCGCAAATCAGCATCACAAATTTCCGTTTTGATATGGGGAGGGGGGATTTTTCATTTTGATAGGTGCTCCGCGGCGCCGGAAGCCACTACCAGGGCCCACGGGTTCCCGGACACTTCCGATACCTTTCGAAACTGCCGAAAGTGGTACTATGTATCTATAAGACCGAGACCGTACGGCTGTGCTGCAGCTATGTGAATTAGTGTCATAGCCCGTTCCTCCAAATCAAAATATTTTTGCTGTGTACATATCAACGGAGTGGAAGTTCGTGAATGAACCCGTGAAATAATATCAACGACGCATTATAGCCCGCCAGCTACGGGAGCCATGACATTAACGGACCGACCAGCCAGCTCTGTACAGAGACGAAGGAGGTCGTTTTTCCATTCAGGTATGCGAGTTTTTTGTGATGAAATGATATGTTGAGATCGTATCTTGATTTTATGTGCGTGCTCAGACTGAACAAGATCAGGATCTAAATTCGAAGAGAATTCCCGCTCTCAGGTCCGCCTACAACGAGGCTTACATGCTTCCTTTCTGGATTGAGTTCGGGAACTGGACGATGATTCTGTGCACGCTTTGGGGCTCCATGTTTTACTACAACTACAAATTTTTGGGAAAAAATCCGCCGAACCCACCACGATCCAAGGCGGACGACTACGCCCACCGTCCTCTGGTGCACCCCCACGCGGCGGAAGAAGATGACTAGGTCCTGATAATGTGGGATTAGAAAAGTAGTATGAGAAGCTCCTGCACGACCCGAACATCAAATCAGTGGAACTTGAAATTATTGCGCTGCTCGCGCCAGATGAGCAGAAGCAGATGCAGATGCACAGCTGATAAATTCCGGGTCCCCTGGTTCTTGAGGAAACAAACCGCCGAAACAAGAATACCACTCCCGCAAAGAGAAACATTGATTGTTTGACTAGTCGGAAATAATTAAGAAAACGGAGGGCATTTGTAGATGTCAATGAATCATTCTGACGAGTTGTCAGTGCTTCAGAACAAAGAGAACTACTACATCTACGGGTACTCACTGTCAGAGAAGTAGCCTCTGGACGCAATTTCGCGTATCGGCATGGTGATGTTCTTCATTCGTCTTGTTGCTCCCAGGAGCACTGCTCCTTGGACGCGAACTTATCCGTCGAACAACTCCTGTGTCACCTCCCTTTTTTTCCAAAAGGCCAGCAAGGATAGCTGTTTCTTGGCTTTTCGCAGCCCCGTGATTTTTCGTCGTCTTCTCGTTGGAGCATGTTGCAGTCGTCGTGTGTGTGTTTTTTTTGTCCAGAAGCAAGTCGATCTGTTTTTGTTGGAAGTGTACCAAGTGCATCATCTGGTTCTGTACAAAGCCACGGCTTTTTTAGTTTCGAAATGTTGCTCTGTGGACGTGCAGTCGGTTTCCGCTGGTGATTCAGCAGCTCGTGCACGCACAACAAAACATCTGGAGCAGTTTTACTGCTGCTCGACTGATAGATACGTTAATGATCGCTGAAGTGGTGAAAGACAAAGTTGAACAAAAATAGTGTTTAGTTGTGTCAAAGCACACGACAGTTTTCGGGAACGAGCCGGTCGAACAAAACCACCGGTAAGTAAAGTGGGCAAAACTTCTTGAAAGGAAACGTATTAAAAACTCAGCAAAAAAGTACTAGCACCATGATGCTGGGACAGACGTTGCGCCGAGGGCGGTCCTCGACGTCCTATCTCTCTTCTCGGAATAACCGATACTGCTCCTCCGCCCCCTCGCGGGCGACAGCTAACTTCCAGAGGAGACAGTTCGCCGCGGCTGCGGCGGCTGCGACGGAGCAAAATGAATTCGTTACCAAAGCGCTGAAGGACGGGGGCTCCAAGGGCAGCATCGCAGCGGTGATCGGCGCCGTGGTAGACGTGAAATTTGACTCGGGAAAACTGCCGCCTATCAACCAAGCCCTGGAAGTGCAGGACGTGCTAACAGAGAAGGGGGCACCCGGCAGACTAGTATTGGAGGTGGCGCAGCATTTAGGTACAACACATTCTTTCTTGATTGGCTGTTGCGATTTTTTCCAAAGCTACAACGACTGTCTTCACCAAAACTTCATCGGAACGGTGACGGATTGCCGCTCTTGCTGGGGATCAACGGACTGTCTGTGAAAATTCTTGCCCTGCAAGGAGGACGAGGAGGACCAGCGCAAATTTTTTGAAAGCTCCACCCATGCTGTTGCAGTTGCCCCTGCCCATGTCGCATGGTCTTCTTTGATATATATTAGCACAACCTGTTTTGTTTTCATCGATCTTTAGGTGAGAACATCGTGCGAACAGTAGCAATGGACGGGACAGAAGGGCTCACCAGAGGGCAGGGCGTTGTGGATGCGGGGGCACCGATCATGGTCCCAGTGGGCGAACCCACGTTAGGAAGAATCATCAACGTCCTCGGTAAAAAATGTTAGAAGAGTATAATTCTTGCAGAAATGTTAGCTGATTTTTTGTCACTTACAGTTTGTCAAAAACGACAACTTCAGAGGACGGCGCGTCGTCGTGCAACATTGAAAGGCCAGGCCAACAGCTTGAATTCCTTTTCTACCATAGTAAATTGCAAAGTGCGTCATTGTTCAACGTGGCAAGGCCATCAGCTCGCTCTCCCACAGGTGAACCCATCGACGACCAAGGCCCTATTGCGAAGGGGGGCTCCTTCGCACCTATCCATAAATCCGCACCAACATTCGAGCAGCTCGGTGCCGGGGGAACCCAGCTCTGCACAGGAATCAAAGTCATCGACCTGCTCGCGCCGTACTATTGACTTAAATAAACGTGTACTAGCTGCATTCGAAGATTCGATCGTAGCAAGGTCGCAATTTACTTTACAGAAATTTTTCTATGCGACCAAAAGGTAGGGAAGTCGAAGTCCTGCTTTATCATCATCCTCGAGTACTATTTCGAGTGCAATTTGATTGTTCTAAAGGGGGGGTATTAACTTGATCATATATTCGGCCGCTACTGCACTAGACTTCATGTCCACCTCGTTTTCCACCATCATAACCGCTTGCCATCAGGTATGCCAAGGGTGGTAAGATCGGTCTCTTCGGCGGTGCTGGGGTCGGAAAAACCGTCGTGATCATGGAACTGATCGCCAACATCGCAACGCACCACGGTGGTTTCTCCGTCTTCGCTGGGGTCGGCGAGCGAACACGCGAGGGCAACGATCTATACTGGGAGATGATCGAGGGTGGAGTCATTCAGCAGGGCGGCGGCGGCAGTACTTTATTCGTAATTTGTTCAAGCGTCAAATCTTTCGAATCCAAACCCAAAGGAGTTGCGGACCTTTACTCACTTTGCTCGTATGGAAAATTACTGAATGCGAATTCTTCTAACCACAGACTCCAAGGCCTGCCTCGCCTTCGGGCAGATGAACGAGCCCCCGGGTGTATGCGGTGTAAAAACGTTCCAACCTCCCTACAGTTTTCATGCAAATCTGCACGCCGAGAACATCTTCTCTCATGCGCAGGGCCGTGGGGAGTAAGTATTTTCTAGTAGCGTTAATATTTTGGAATTTGTCATGCTCTAAGCAGGATAGCAGGATTGGGTGCCCAACTTGTGATGCGGGTGTATTAGCTAGGCGCGTTGACACTGCCTACCCAAACTTATCATGCGTGGGTTCCAAAGCTTTTGGGTTTATGTAGCAAAATTAATCCGGAATCTGATGACTTCTCTGGGGTGGGGACGTTTTTGCTCAGGATAGCATGCCCGTCAGCGCATCGCACTCACCGGTCTTTCTCTCGCTGAGGTATGCACGCGCAAAGAAGCCTCCATCACGGTTGGGGCTGGGAAAGGAAAATGCAAATTCCGATACTAGTAATCATTCCCTAGTAGACCACATTGCGCAACATCTTCCAGCACCTATTACCCACTGCAGCATCTCTCCATGAGTTGGATCGCCGTGGTTTGGTCTGCAGGACGAGCAGTAACGATTGCAACTGCAGATATTAGAAGTGTGCTCCGTGCTTGGCACGCGAAAATATAAACAATTCATCATATGTATGTTGCTCTTGCCCTGATCTTGAGACATAAGTTTTCCGTGGATAACCGTATTTCCGAGATGAAATGAACCAGGACGTGCTCTTTTTCGTGGACAACATTTTCAGGTGCCTTATTAGCTGTTTGTGATGAAGATGCACGGTGTCGATGTGTTAGTATAGCAAATTTAGATGTCATAGCACCGGATGTGGAGGCTAATGTGCAGCTTTTTTTGCTACCACTACCACGGGCAAACTCATTTACACTTTCAACACCTCGTTTTTTACTTTTTCACTTGCGTACTGCTACTGCAATGCCCCGTTACAACATCTTCTTGCTTCCTTTGATCTAGGTTTACGCAAGCTGGTGCCGAGGTCTCCGCCCTGCTTGGACGTATCCCCAGTGCCGTGGGTTACCAGCCAACGCTCGCAACGGATATGGGTGCAATGCAGGAACGCATCACCACCACGGCCACCGGCAGTATCACGTCGGTGCAGGTACAACTCCACTCAGTTCAGCACGCAGTAGTAGTTCTGAGTGGCGCGGCGCCCGGGTCGTCCGATGACAAAACTACCGGGATTACGCGTGTCTAAAATCATGTCAAATGAAAACGACCAGATGAGTCATGTCTGTCGTACAACGATCACGTTCACGCCCGAGTTTTTAGTAAGTTAGTGTAGATGTTGTAGATGCTGAAAATAAAAATCCCGACTGAACGTCGTCCGCATGACAAAAGAAAAAAATGCCGTGACTTAATACTCTGTTGCAATGTATGACATCAAACTACAGGCTGTGTACGTTCCGGCTGATGATTTGACGGATCCCGCCCCGGCAACGACTTTTGCGCACTTGGACGCCACCACGGTGCTGTCGCGTGAGATTTCCGATTTGGGGATCTACCCGGCCGTGGATCCCCTGGACTCGACCAGTCGGCTGATGGACCCAGAGCTGGTCGGGGAGAGGCACTACACCGTGGCGCAGGCGACCAAAAAGATCTTGCAGGATTACAAAAACTATGCATTGGAAAAGTATCCTCGTATTCGTAGTAATTATGCAATCGATCATAGATGATCTGCTACTGTTTTATGACCTGAATACCCATGAATGAAAAATTCAATTCTTTCATCTTTTGGAAAAATTTGTCATGCGAATCGTACGAGTACGCGTACGATACTTTTGCAATGCATAAGAACTTGCAGGATATCATCGCCGTGCTGGGGTTGGACGAATTGTCGGAGGAAGACAAGGCAACGGTCAACCGCGTATGACAGTGCACAACTCCCCCTTCCCCCTCATTTGTATTGCATGAACAGCAATACAAACGCCAGCGACCCTGGAGCCTGTGCATGACAAATTCATGTGCCTACTGTAGCACTATTTGGGCTTTCGAAATTTGTCATGCAAACAGGGGCCGCAGGGAAACGCAAACGACCGGATTTGGGATTTTGCATGACAAATGAGGGGGAAGGGGAGTTGTGCACTGTCATACCGCGCCCGACGCATCCAGAAGTTCATGTCGCAGCCGTTCAGCGTGGCTGAAGTGTTTACAGGTAGCTACTTAAGTACTTACTTAAATAATTTTTGGGTTTTTGATTCAGTTGCGGCTTGATACATCGAAAGAAAGCGACTGTGCGCGGCACCATGGTGATCACTAAAATCACACTGAGCAAAATACATGTCTACCTCTACAGTGGCCGTACTGTAGTCAAGAAAAAGGATGATACTTATGTGCTACAGGTGTCAAGGGTGAGTTTGTCGACTTGGAAACGGTTCTGGGCGACTTCGAGCGCATGCTGAAGGGAGATATGGACCACTTGCCGGAGTTGGCGTTCTTAATGATCGGAAAGCTGGTATGGAAGTGTCAGAATCGAAATTTACAAAATCGAAAAATTTGTAATGCATAAAATGTAGGGCACTGAAGGCCTGTATTGGGGAGCAGGCGAATGAGACCGATTGTAAGCCTGTTTAGGGGTATGCAATGTGCTGCCAGAGTAGCATGACAGGAGCAGTCTCCTTTGTCCAAACAGCATGACAGACTGGATTTGGGTGCTCCCGAAATTTGTCATGCGCCACTCGGAAAGTGAGGCTCCAACTGGTATCGATTTTATGCATCACAAATTTTTCGATTTTGTCAATTTCGATTCTGACACTTTCATAGCTGGATATGGCCGAAGAAAAGGCCATGAAGGCTCTGGCCAGCATTCGAAAGTGAGAAGGTGAATCCGTGACGTAGCTGCGGCTTGCACTAATTTGTTTTCCAGGCTTATCCAAGAAAAAAACGTTGTTAGTGTAAATTTGTGATGCGCAACATGCAAGATGATTGCGTCTGTCATGCTTGGCATGCGTCGCAGGGTACATTAAAGGGCTTTTTCACGTACTATCTGCGCATGACAGGTTTTTGCTGTCATGCCAGACAAATTTGTAAATGCTGTTCCTCCAAAAAAGTTACACCTACAATGTTTTTTTCTTGGATAAGGCTGCCACTTCTGGAAAATAAATACCTGCTTCAGGCGAACTGTTTTTCTACCTCCTGTTTGCAGCAAGAGCTGATGAAAACTGCAACACTAGAAGCAAGCACTTATATATGCAAGACAAAAACTATGTGCGTGTAAGTTTGTGATGCAGAAAGTGCAAACCTGCTACACTTGTCATGCCGGATGTGCATCAGAGGCTCTTTCCTTCGTGTTTTCAGGTGCTGGATACGCATGACAGGTTTTCTGTGTCATGCAGAGCAAACTTGTGATGCTATTCTTCCAACAAAATTACAGCTACACAGTTTTTTCCTTGGATATTATAAAAGCAAAAGCTTTATTTGCTCTACTTTTCGTCTCGCGGGATGGAAAGAAATTTTCCTGCTTTGAATGATAGCGAATTTTCATACCTTTTCCTTCTTCCGTGTAATTTAATATTAAAATCTTCTCTGTACTGTTCTCCGAAAATATTAAAACAGCCAGAGTGAGCCGACCTAATTTCTTCTCTATCTTCTAAATACTTGTAGTTCCTACGTATCAACAAAACATCTCATCGCAAAAAAGCGAAATCGCTCTGCTCGGCAGCCTGGTCGCGTGAATACTTATCTTCTTCACAGTGGTAGCGCTGGTTGGTACCCGAAATGTTCTTTGCTATATTTCAATCCCAAAATAATTCGCTTGCTTGCACTCCAGGCCAGTCGGAAAAGAGGAGTTCATTCTTCAATTACACAACACAGAAGGCTGGCAAAAAGTCTTTTAGGAGTTTCTGACAAAGGAACCTCTTGTAGTTCTTGTGGAGGAACATCCGATGATGTAGTAGCAGTTCAAGCAACATCAACAGGGTTCGAAGGAATCTTGAACTTCGTACTCGTTCGAAAAAGAACAAGCGACGCATGAGAAAATCAGTAGGGAGTGGGTATGAATATGACAGTTCGAGAGTGGACGAGTGGAAGCAACAAGCTTCACGAGAGACATGTCAGGCACCACGCAAAAACGCCTAAGGCTTAGCTAATATGATGCCCATGCATGGGACTGTGGCGCCGTCTTGAAGATAATCAAAAAAAAAGTGACAGCACTAGACCTTCGGGGTGCAAACAACCAGAGCGACAAAAGCAAAACGTGGTTTTTTCTTTTTTCCTGCATGGAGTGAGGAAACGAGTTGTAACATGCCGCGTTGACTGCGCATGAGCACACCGTTCAACTTTTTGTTTTTTTTTCTAATGTTTTTCTGCAGTTTTTTGTTTCTATTTTTTTCTCGCGGCACAGAACGTTTTAGTTTTTGCATGCATCGCTCTGAAGGCAAAAATGGATACTTCTAGAAGACCCACGTGGACGGTGCCGGCGGCGGTCAGGAGGACGCAAAGCTGTTGTGGAATACCCAGCTAGCATGGCTTTGCGCTCTGTGCAGGAAAACGTGGTCGACGGCTGTGCGTGAAACAATCGGAAGTACTGCTTCTCACGTGTTTTTCGCAGTACTGCCGGGAAAATTGAGTTTTTTCTCGAAGTGCTGATACCAGAAGCAGATTTTTTTGATGGTGCCCAAAGGACAGAGGCTTTGGGCGAAGAAGCAAGCGCACACGTGACCAGTGGCGCGCACCGTCGGCCGCTGGTGAGATTTGAGATCCGCATTACGAAATCGGATCAAAGCTCCCGTTCTCGGATCTGCTTCGGCAGTTTTTAGCAATCGTTGTCGTCAGGACCAGACACGTGTTGACTCTTGCCCCATCGACGAGAAAGAAAGCCAAGTGGCAACAAGAAAGGGAACCACTCGGGGGTGGCGTACCCGTACGTACAACGTGCGCCGAAGCCGAACTGGAACTGCTGGTTTGCAGCAGTCAGCATATTTCACTTTACTCGTCGGAACTTGCTTGTACGTGTGTGCAAGAACAGGCGGGAGGCCGCTCAGTGCCATCACTAGCAGCCAGATCTGAGGATTTTTGGAAGTAACCTCTGGCCACGAACCCCGAGGCATTACGAGTGCGAGACCTCCATTACGCGACGCGGTAGAAGCAATCTCTTTTCTGGAGGACGCACGGCTCTCAGGCGAACCTCGACCGGCACCGGCACCACGAGCGCGACCCGTTGCCGCACCGAAATCGGAGACAGTGTGGCAGCTCATTCGAGCAGCTACTAGCAACCTTTCAGCGGCTTGCTCATAAGCAGAGTGGTTCGGCGGCGCACCGACGGAGCTGCACGCACCAAAGGAGCAAGTCCACACGACTTCTTGCTTGCACCGGGTGCGCAATAAGTATTTCGCGAACGAATTTTTTGAAGCTGCGGTGTCGACTGCGTGTTATTTCCACGACGCATCGATCATCGCCGTACTAGCTGCGGCCCTACATCAACAAGATGGATTTCGCGGTGTGTTTCCCCGCGATTGACGCGGACCTCAAGGGGCTGCTGGAGTGGAAGCACGAAATCACCACTATTACAGTGAAAAATCCCCCCTCCCCATATCAAAACGGAATTTCTGATGCTGGATTTGTGTACACAAATCAGATTTGTATTGCAGAGAGGCATTGCGGCCAGATCCCCAGGCTAGGTAGGGGCGTCTGGGTCTAGTTGTTCAGCATGGCAAGCGGCTTCCCTTTAGGCCCAACAGCGTGACAAATCGAGCCCCTAATGGGGCGGAAGCTTCTGCCCTTGTCTTCTTGCAAGACAAATGCGATTTGTGACCTCAAAGCAGCAACACAGATTGCCGGAAGCATACCGCTTCGGTATGGGGAAGGGGGGTTTGTCCTTGCTATAACCACCCAACTGAAAGACAAGGACACGGAGATCGAGAAGCTGAAGACCGACCTGGAGGTATCAAAAGGAAAAATCCCCCCTCCCCATATCAAAACGAAGTTTCTAATGCAGGATTTGCGTACACAAATAAGATTTATCTTGCTGGAGAGGAATGCAGCCCCATACTAAGCCTAAGTAGAGAGGTTCTGGCCTAGGCGTCTAGCATGAGAAACGTCCGCACTGTAGGCCCATCAGCATCACAAACCTCCTGCACAATGCTGCGGAGCTTGTGGAGTTGCCTTCTTGCAAGACAGACGTGATTTGAGGTCTCAAATCAGCAACACAAATTTCCAGAAACATACCTTTTCGATATGGGGAGGGGGGATTTTTCTTCTTAATAGGAGGCCGCCCAGGGTGAGATCGAGAAGCTAAAAACCGACATGGAGGCGCAGAAGGGGGATGCGGCGTGCACAGAAACCTTGGACACTTTGGACAAGAGGGTGAAGGAGCTCGAGGCCATGGACGTAAACACACTCCGAACTGACTTCGATGTCAGATGGGGAGAAGTCAAGCCGGTATGTTGATTTCTGCAACATACATGCTTTGTCTCTACGTAAATCATGCAGCGTCATTTGGGCGTCTCACATAGGTACCGCAACTGTAGAGAAATCGGCAATCAATTTTCATATTGTTAACGTTGTACTAGTACTACAAACGGTGCTCCTACGTGGTAAAGAAAGAGAGATAAAGGAGCAGAACATCATCCATCAACTGAAATGTAAAGAAACTCTATTTTTCTTCAGGAACTGGAAAAAGTCGCGGATTTCGTACCGAGGCTTGCGCAGCAAGACCTGAAAATTGCAGAGGCAGAGGCCAAGTCAACTACCGCAAAGGAGAAGTGCGACGATTTTGAGGTGCGCGTCACGATATCCACTGCACATAGATATGTCTGGGTCTAGAAATATTGGATTTGGAACTTGTGGTGCTCTCATCTGTCAGGAGGCACACAAAGATTTGTAATGCATGAGTAGAAAAAGGAAAAGCTGTCCACTGCTGGCCACGGGGACGGGACAGGATTTTCGAGTGCAGAATAGGCATCCCAAAGCTGTGACAGAGCGTGTCATGCTGGGCGTTGCATTCCAGAACCAGATCCTCTGGGCCACGGCCAGCATACATCACCTGCATGACCAATCTCGGCGCCCGCCTGACCTACCTTCCCTGCGTGGCAGCCATCTCCGTCCTTTTACACAGGGAGAGGCAAAGCATGCCGTGCTTCGTCTGTTCTTTAGCATGACAAACTTCGGCACTTTATTTCCAGACCCGGACATATTTTGTCGACTTGATACACGAAGATCGACAACGAGTGGGCGGCGTACCAGAAGGACGAGCGAAAGCTGCAGGACGTAATAACCAAATTCGACGACGGCATAAAACGGGTCGAGGGGGTAAGTGTGGCTAAGAAATCATGTGTTTTACCAATTGGCAAGGCGCTGGAATGAAAAAGCAGCGTTTGTCGTGCTCCTGCGATGAAAAAGCTAGAACAGGTGCTGTTAGCGTTGTTCAGGCATAGGTGGATATCACCTTCTAGAGTAGTAAGTGCAGCGGTACATTGTATTTATTTTTCGCTTGAGGCAGATTTGCGTTTCGAAACGGAGAAATGAATCCGCACTGCAGCAACAACTGGAGATGGATGCGAAGTATTCGCGGAAATATCAACAAATGTGGAACGAAGTGCCAAAAGCGCTCGAGGAGATGAACGGCAGGCACATCGAGCAGCTCGAAAAGCAGCTGCAAACCAATGCGGCGGATAAGGTTCGTACACCTGGTTTCTGAAGATGCGTCGTGACAAGTAGCAGCATCTTTTTTCTGCCCTCTACTTTGATCCTCTATTGTAGGTAGTATAATAGGACCACCACGTGCAGATTTATAGTAAGTTGATTGTATCAGGGAACATGTCAAAAAACGACAAAAGAAATTTGCCTTCAGGTGGCCGAAGTGCAAAACCTCGTGAAGTACTGTCTGCAAATTCTGAGCCGGGTGCAGAGCGAAAAAAAGAGCGAGACGGACCAGAAAAACTTACTGCTAGCATGGCGGGAACAGTCCTGGATAAACGCGAGGAGAAGAATGGGCATGGAACAGCTAAGAAAATTCGTATTCACTTTTTGACTCGGCTTGTTTTCCGGCGTTTTTCTAAATGCATGGCCATGGCGAAGGCACTACCGCTACGTTGTATTCTACTGTTATTTTTCGCATTCGCATTATTGATTCCCGCTCGTCTCGGCCACATGGGACCGGTCTAGTTATCGTCACCCCACGTGCAAGACTTAGTTTGAGCTTGTACCTAATATTTACAGCTGAAGTCCCGCATCAAGGATCCATTCCAGACGTGGAAGGTCCAGGCCATGTACGAGACCACCATAAAGCGCATCACTGCCGAATACACGAGAAGGATATCACGCGTGATAATTTCATCTTACCCCTCCGATCCGCTCTTGTGGAGTGCGAAAGTAGAGGTCAGCAGAGAAGAACTACCAGGATGACGGAGATAAAACCCGTCTTAAGTATATTTGCATGCTGACATAATTGAGGTTGTTGTCTTTCTTGTATCGAATCATGATCAGCATCGAGCAAGAAAATAGGCGGCCCTGGTCGATCGAACCAACGTGTCATGCGCAGCTCTTGCCTGTCTCCTCTCTGTTGTGCCGACGTTTTTAGGACTGTCGCCGTCGCCTCCGCCTGGTGACTATTTATGCGATGATCGAGACGAGAACGATAACGAAAGAGATCGAGGGGAAGGTGGAAAAAATCTTTGCACACGATAGCTGATTCCGGACGTGCCCAAACAGCTGGACGAGCTGGGCTTCCCGGCAAAAATCGAATCCTTGCAAGACCACATCAGCAAGCTTAGCGACGAGAAGGCAGGAAAGGTACCGCTGAGGTGCTGCTTGTGGATAGAAAAAGATATGATTCTTGTTTATTTCCTCGTGCCGATCTGCAATAGTAAGGTCTGTACAACACGAGGAGCACGTACGAAAGTTGTTTCACTGCGTGCCTTTGTTCCTCCTCGCAAATGGGGCGTGCGAAAACGAAAGATTAAGATTTAGATTACTATGTACGAAAACTTTTCTAGGACGAAGTCGCGGAAGAAATCAGCAGCACAGTATCAAAGATCGACGCCAAGGCGGAGGAACTGGACCAGTTACGGGAAGAATTCGTCGACCACAAGGGGGTCACAGAAACCTTGGAGGGTGGTATCAGCGCTGCCAAGGAATTGGTCACCTCAGTGGAAAAGAAAGCGGGCAGTGTACAACTTTGCTTCTTCATCGATTTTTGCCCACTGTAGTACTATCAACCAGCGTTTGATGTACTATTTGCAGAATTCCATAACTACTTACGCAGATGCAGATGCTGTCGATGTCTGTGAAGATGGAAGACAAACTAAAGCTTCGGAAAAATCTAGAAGGCAGCTCGTGGAATCAAACTCATCCTTGCGATGGTAAATTCAGCAAGTTGAACGAAAATTATTCAATCGACAATGACGACGTTATCAGGCCGAGAGCCGAGTGGAGCAGCTGAAGCAGGCAATAGAAGCAAATTACGCGCAAAATACCGAAGTACAGGCAATGGTCAAGGACGTGCTCCTGATATGGTATAGAATTACTTTGCACGGACACGGAGGGCGGGTCATTGACATTGAGTATCGGAAGTGAAGGTTCTTTGCGTTGATGATGTCCTTCTTTTTTTATTGCCATCATACAATTTGGTTTTTTCTGGAGAATTGTCGAAGTGAAAGTGTATACTTGTGCCAAGGTATTCCATCAAGCAGCTAGATGCGACCAAGGCCGACAAGAAAGACATGGAGGCCTACGCCTTGGAAAGTATAAACCGCGAAAAAGCTGTATGGAATGTGGAAGATTTCAGCCCGAAGTTATGTTCGCCCAGATAAAAAAACAGCTCTTCTCAGAGGGCATTCTGAATAAAGGAAGTTGCACAAGATTTGAACGCCGCTTGACATGATAGGTAAGTAAGTAGCCTCCTCGCGGCACGCCGTGTCTTAGGAGGAGAACAGTTCTTCCACCACATACACAGATAATTTCAACTTCCTCGCGAACCTCAGCTCGGAAGCACATTGATTGTGCAAAACTTTTCATACTGAAGACGAACATAACTCTCGGCACTGTTTTCCTTTCGATAGAGCAACGTCAGACAAGAAGTCATCGAGAAGAACGAAGAAATGAAGGGCGAACTAGGAAGCATGCAAGGTAACAAGACGGCAAGATTGATTTTTCTAGCGAATATTTTTCACCTCTTTTGTGCTTAAACTGAAGCAGTACAACACATGCAAATTACGAAATTTGGAGCTAGAAACGCAATGAGGAGTTGTCACTGGGGCGATGGCGATGACAGCCTGGGTGTCCCAAGCAAAACTTCATCGCTCCTTATACATTCTTCGCAACAAATACAAAAATCAATGCAGGCAATGTCGAAGAAATTGGTCGCGGTTTTAACGAGCAGCAGGGCCAGTTTGTGAGTCTGCAGCAGATGCTCGGAAACTTGGCGTCTTTTGTCGAAGAGCTGGTCGTATGCAATGCATATATGTCAGGATCGGGAATAAACTTGTGATACTAACAATGCGCAAAAAATAGATAAGCAACCTCCGCTAGAACAAGTACGGAGCCACGCGTGACAAGTTCTTTCTGAGCGACCATGTCGAGTATAAATTGCATGATAAGCCGCATTTTTGGTGCCATGCAAAGAAGTGCGCTCCTGGAGGGAAAGACGCATGACAGCCTTTTCTCTCGTGTCAGCCACGCATGAGGACAATCTTCCAGACCAAGACATATGTGCAACTCATAGGTCGTAAAGATCGCAGAAATGCAGGGTGTAGAGGTCACCGGAGGAGCGGTATGATTGCAAATGAAAGAATAAATACAAATGTTCTGCTTTGCAGTAGTTCAGTGACTCACTTACCTCGTACCATACCCGCAATTTTTGTATATGTTGCACATTGCTCCTGGTTAGCCTTAGAGGTCCCAGCACTGGATACAGCATCGTCTTGCACTACAATCCGGATGCTGAAGGCGTGGTATGTAGAGTGAGGGGATAAGTACTACCACACTGCTGGTGGAATAAACGTCGCTCGAATTACTTATCATGATGTTGTTTGTTGGACTTGAAAATGATCAGGAAAAGGAAGCGAAGTCGATGACCAACATGGAGGATATGGAGCAGTGGCTGCATTATGCCAAGGGCGTTGTCGACCAGAGCCTCGACAACTACCACGGCGCCAGCTCCGGCGCAACGGGAGGTATGGGCGGCAACCTCAGTCGGGCCGGCAACAACTCCTCCCGGGGACGGCAGCCCCGACCGAAATCCGCGGCCAGCATGGGCATGGACGGAGCACAGGTGTCCGGCCGAGGCCTATCAAAAGGAAAAATCCCCCCTCCCCATATTGACAAGGCACGTTTTCGAAAATTTGCGTTGCTGAATTGTGGCCACAAATCGTCTCTGTGTTGCATGAAGGCAACTCCACAGGCTCCGCCGCATTCTACAGTCGGTTTGTCATGCTGTTGCACCGAGAGCGCAGACGTCTGCCATGCTAAGCGCCTAGGCCAAAGCGTGTCGACTCAGGCGTAGTATGGGCCTGCAGTCCTCGCCAGCAAGACAAATCGGATTTGCGTACGCAAATCCAGCGCCAGAAACTTCGTTTTGATATGGGGAGGGGGGATTTTTCATTCTGATAAGGCCTCAGCACCGGCCGTAACGGGGCCGCGCCGAAGAGGCGCATGTAAAAACAACGAGGGTCGTGGTCTTCGATCGTCGAAAGAACCACAACAGCACGAACCTGTTTTTTACTTTGAACTTATTTTACCAACAGTGAAGAAGATGTTGCTTATTGAACAGAAAAAGTCCCCCGTGTCTTTGAACACTTGAAGACTTCGGAAGAACTTTGGTCAACTGTTACGTTAGTAGAGCTCCCTAATGTGAACAAGAAACGCACAGTTTCCAGCAAACGAGTTAAGTCAATTTTTCCATGATGTAGGCAGGCAACTAGAAAGTACGATTGAAAACGATGAAAAACGACAAAAAATGAACAGAAGGCACCAAGCAATGGACGATGCTATTTTTCCTATTGCTGCTCGCTACTACCTAGCGGATGAACTCGAATGAATTTAAACACATCAAGCGGCGCCAGAATTCTGGGCTTTGTGCTTGGAAATGATAGAAAAAATCGTAAACCCGCACCCACTAAGTAAATCGAAAAATTCTACTTGCAGGGTTTCTTCTTGGAGAACAATAGTACCACAAACGAGGAAGGGGATCGTTCTTCTGTGTGATGGTCTCAGCTTTTTTCCAGCGTGCTGCGGAACGCGATAGGTGACCACGTCGTCGGCATTCGATCTTGCGCACGTTTTATCGCATCTTTTCCTTGCAGGAGAGGCACTGCTGTCTGAAAGTTGAGCTCTGTGAAATCATCTCCATGAAGATGTGCTAGTACTAGATCCTGATCCTGTGCTGGCGGGGGCGTTTCGCAGATATTTGTCGAATTCGTGCTATGAACGATTTTTCCTTCGACCCGCTTGCCGCGCAAAGAGAACAGCATATCGCAAGTCCTCACTGGATTGGTCTCGCTTACAACATTGATTGTCATCAGCATCTCTCAACGTAACCGTAAGCAACTACAAGCAAGCAGAGCCTCCTGACGCCAAGCGAATATAAATGAAGAACCGTCTGAAGTAGACAACAATCCGTGGAATGTTACTGCACTTTGAAGATTTTTGAATAAAACATACGATGTGGACCCTCGATGAGTTCGAGCTTGGACAAAAACTCGGCGAGGGCGCTTTCGGGAAGATCTACCTGGCCAAGCGGGGCCGCGCGATCGTGGCTTTGAAGATTTTGCGGAAGGCGCAGATCAGCCGGCAAAAGGCACAGAAGCTGGTGGAACGGGAGATCGAAGTCCAGTCCAATTTACACCACGAGAACTTGTATCAAGTGCAAATAGTTCTGGGTCTGGAAGATTTGCAAGCCTTGGAGATATTAGGTTGAGCACTTTGTTCTCGGATATAAGAAAGTATCTACACCTTCTGTTGGACTTTGAACACACCTGCCACACTGAGTGGCCAAAGCTTCTACCTTCGAGAGGTCTCTAACACGTTCAAACACTTCAATCTCTCAGCAGACAGGGCGAAAGCCTCTGACTGCGTTGCATCCTGTGAAGATTCATCAATCAAGGTTCATCATAGACATCATTCCACTCATCACAGGCTCTGAGGCTCCAGATCTCTAGTCATTCTGGGACCTATTCCCCACTCTGTATGGGTGCGATTTTATCAGGGACGGAGGTCCCTGGTAAAGTTTTTATCAAGGTCGACGGTCCTTGATAAAGTTTTGATCTAGGACGAAGGTCCTCGATAAAGTCTACCTCTAGGATTTGGCTAGGATCTGGACCATTCTGAGATCGGCCAAATCGGTACCGTAGGAGCCTGCGTAGGGATTTTATCAGGGTCGGGGGTCCCTGGTAAAGATTTTACCAGGGTCGCCGGTCCTTGATAAAATCCGAACCAAGAGAGCCTGACTTGCTCAAATTCTTCATCATTTGCATTTGGAGAACAGGCATTTCGGGATCTCGTAGAAGCTTCAGTCTTGCGTGGAGGTAGGGTTTAGATCACATGACCAACGCCCCTCCTCAATCGATGCAGTCTGTAGCCCCTAAGAGTCCTACTCTACCTTGTTCCTAAATAGATATAAAGTTGCATAAATTCCCCTTCTCGGGTCAAAATCCAAAGTCTACAGCGTACAACACTAAAGCTACTCCACTATCATCGTAGAAACTAGTATAGAAAGAAGCATCAGAATCATCCTCATCATCCGACTGGGCGTCAGGATGAGAAGAGTCACAGGAGATGACTGGATTGTCTACGTGATGTAGAAGCAGCCTGCGCTGTGGCGCTGAGCATTCCAGCTTCGTAAGTCCATCCGCCTTCATCAAATGCGTCGGGCAGAAGACTATACGACTGGCAGCATCTCGCACACGCAAATAGCGAAGAGCGCAATGCCGTGACTTCGGTTCTGTGTCTGTGCTTTTGGCTGTAGCGATTGCGGATTGGTTGTCCACCCACAAGATGGCATCACCCAGGGACGGAGATAAGCCGTCCTGCGTTTCTACCATTCTGGTAGGGAGAGGAGCGAAGAAGTCAGCGAAGTCGTTCTGCTCACTGAGCACAATAGTGTGAGAAGCTGCGATATACTCGCTTTCCGCCGTCGAATACGCACGCACAGTCTGCCGATTGCTGCGCCAGCAGATCGGGAAGCCGCGGTAGTACATAATCGACCCGGTGGTAGAACGCATCGTCTTCAAGCAATTCGCGAAACCAGCGTCAGAGAACAGGTTCAGACGTGGCACGTCCCTGCCCTCCGGCGCAAGCTTCTGATGAATCTCACTGAGCGTCTCTTCTTCCTCTGGACTGTACGATAGTCCCACTTCCTTCGTTGTCAGGAGGAACTTTATCACTTTTCTACAGGCGTCAGCGATCCTTTTCGTGGCTGGTTTGCTCACGTAGCGAGCTAGAGTAGAAACCGGCACACAAATGTCAGGACGCGCAGTGGTCGCGATCCATTGCAACGCACCAACTACGGATCTGAGAGGATAATCCTTCAGCTCTTCAAGATCTTCTTCCGTCAGAGCTGACTCGTCAAAATTCGGAGAGCGTACCGGCTTGCCAAGCGTGACAGCGAACTTCTTAGCAATTTTCTCTATATACTCCTCCATGGTCACACGCGCTGACTTGTGCTCCCTAGAGTAGTACACAATCGCCCCAAGGAAGTCGAACTTTTGCCACTCGATACCATTGGAATCGGTAAAGAGCTCGACAGCTATCTCACGCCCGGGGACGCGCGACAGAGTCTTTCGCAACTCGGCACGAAGTTCAGCAAGATCAGGTCCTGCGATCAAGTTGTCGTCGACATAGACAGCAAGCTTGAGATATCTTCCTGGGTGCGATAAGCTTGGCTTTCTCCACAAACCAGGCGCAGAAGGACAGGGCTCCCAACCTAACTCGGTCAAGATGCTCTCATACTTCTTAAACCAGGCCCGCGGTGCGTCCTTTAGCCCATAAAGCGCTTTGTGTAGCTTCACGACTGCCGTCTTGTGCTTTGCTGCCCAGATGGGTGGCAAACGGCAATAGACGTCGCGATCTAACAAGGCATTAAGGAACGCGCTATCGAGATCATGCGGGATGACGTGAGCACCATCTGCGGCAGCAGATACCAGTAGCAAGCGATTAGCTGCATGCGAGACAACTGGCGCGAAGGTGTCAATGTCACCCGATCGATCAAGATTGCCAAGTACACAGGCTCGAGCTTTATACGTCCCGTCGCGCTTAACGGTCAGTATGATAGCGATTGGAAGCACTTGCTTCGCGGTAGCTAGCTCCTCGTCAGAGGCTGGCTTCCGCGTCTCATATGCTAGCAGACGAGCTTCCTCCTTGTCAGTTACCTTCTGCCACTTAGCTGCAAGCTCAGCGTCAGGCAATTTGACAGCCTTCTCAGCGGAAAGATAAGCTTCCCAGGAGTCAGCATTCGTCAGCATCGCTATGGCCTCGACGATCTCCTCCCCATCGTCAAGCATGCCAATAGCGTTCCAATTCGCTGCGGCAAACGCCTCTGCGTTCTTCTTCAACTTCTCGAGCTGTGCTTTTGTGCGCCGAGAGCGTTTCTTCTTATCCTTGGCCCCTTTTGGACGTCCGCGGCCCGGTTTGGAGTTGCGGTTGCCAGCCACAACCCTCGCCGGTGCGTGACGTACCCTAACAGGACTAGAAGACGCTTCTCGAGCTTGTTCCCCTCCTCCACTGTTGCTCGCTGCGAGGTTCCCCGCCTCAGCTTGCGACAGTATAGGAGCTTCCGGGGACTCTACTGGACCTTCTTCCTCTCTGTCCAGTGTCTCCGCTTGAAGTTCTAAGCCGGCGGTCGATTCCTCCGCGTGCCCCGCCCCATGAACCTCCAGGCGATGAGCCGAACTAGATTGCGAGTCTAGCCGTCCAAGCGCGGGTGGAACCGGTTGCGATGCGCCGCTTTGGAGATCTTCCAGGTAGCCCATCTGAGCGAAGACTCCCTTCGAACTGGGTAGGAGCCAGTCGATGTTCTTGACGAGTATATCCTCCCGAAACTTGACATCGCGAGTAGAATACTCGGCCCACCGATGCCCGTCTCTTGTCCGATCGTCTGTAACGAAGGCGCCCACGAGCCAGCCCGATGACTTAGGACAAAGCCCGAGAAACACTCCGCGACGAAAGGGCGGACTGAGCTTGGGACCTCCTTGCCCTTCTCTGTCCGTCTTGATTTGTTCACGAAAGTAAACAAGACAACCAAAACGCCTGAGCAGGCCAATGCCTTGCTTCGCACTGTTCCTTCCTGTCCTCTTCTCAAGGATCTCTATCGGAGTCTCTCCGTCATGCTCTGGCATCTTTGCATATTTATGCGGCAGCCGGTCCCAACAGTCACCGCTGTAGACTATGGCATAGGACCACAGACGGCGATCGACGTGAACCAACAGTGTACGGCAGGAGCCGAACAGCGTCCGCATAAAACGTTCGCAAGTTCCGTTTTGCTCTGGATTGTGAGGAACAGTTGGAGCGTCACAGATCTGCAGCGATTGCATGACCTTGGTCATGTGCTCACTGCCCAGAGCTGGCGCATTGTCCCGTCTCAGGAACCAAGCGACCTTGTCATCCAAGGACAATGACCAGTCTGCGCGAATGCCTTTGATAATATCTTCCAACTCCTCCACGCAGTCGCTCTTGTACAAAAGAGGCCTGGCAAAACACTTCTTGATGGCATCGCAGATACCAACAAGGACACAGGTGTGCTTCATGATAGACATGGGCTTCACACCGAAACCGAAGTCAAACGCTAATAGTTTTAGTGGTTGAGGTTTATAATTCTCAACGTTCCGTGCTTTCGCATGTGGATTCCTCTGTCCTTTAGTTCTATCGCATTCGGGACAACTGACGTCGAGCCCGTCCACATGGAAATGTCCAAGACGTCCGTGTAAGTAGCTCTAACTTAGTCAAGTAACAACTACTAGTAGATACCTCGGCGACAGAAGTACAGACAAAGCCGTCCGCAGCATCTGCCTCTCAGGCAGCCGGCCCGAGGCAATTTCCGCTAGTGGAATTTCGTTAAAATGGCACTAATTCTGGGAATCGCGGGCCGGTTGGTTGGGTGTGGCACCCTTTGGGTGCGCGCCGTATTCGGGGCGGAGGGCGTGGCGTAGTGTGGCGCTCCCGCTTTCCGTTTTCCCGGGTGTCGTAAGCTTCCGGGCCGCCTCCCCTGGTTGTGTGTTCTCCCCCGTCCTCTTGGGGATGGGGGCCGCTTATCGCTGGGCCCTTTCGCGCGCGCGGCGTCTTGGCTTTTGGTGGTGGCCTGCCCTCGGGTGCTCTTACTTTTCCCCTACCTCGGGGAATGTCTCGGGTCGGGCCCTTGCCCGGGTCTTCGGTTTTTCTTTGTCCGGCATCTTTCCGAGGGGCGGGGATCTTTTGGTGTGGTTTGGCCCATAGGGGTTGCTCCTTGTGGCCATGGCTCAAATCCGCCGGGGCCCGGCGCCTTTGCATTTATGGGGGGCGGCGCGCAGTGGGCCCGGCCCTGGAAATCAGGCAGGCGCGAGGCCGGGGCGTTTTGGTCTTTCAAACACCACCCCGGTCCCGGGCGGTTAATGAAGAGGGTAATCCCGGGGGTAATTTCCGGGGTTAATCTGACCACAACGAAATCGGGAAGGTTTCGTTGGTTTTGAAATTAGACCAAAAATTAGACTACAGATTAGACTACAAATTAGACCACAAATTACCCCAAAAACCCAAGGAATTAACCTTCCCCCGAGAGGCAGTCACTCCGCCAGACCGCTGGGCTCTCAATCGGCGCCGTTTGTTCTTAGATGCCCTGCTTTTTCTCGGCAGGCCGGCCGCCCGCAGTTCCCGCCTCTCGTGGCCTTTGCGTCTTTGAATGGATTCCCCCCGGCCGGCGCCTTTTTCAATTTGCCCCGAAGATTGCAGGGGTGGCGCTCTGGAAACCCACAGACAACAGGTCCGCCGGGGTCGTGTTCCGGCCTCCGTTGTGATTTGGTGGAGGCCCCCCACGCGCAGGCTTCGCAGGCTCCTTGGCCTTTCTTCTGTGCCGGGGCACCCTTTGGCGCCTTTCCCGGCGCGCGCCTCCCCTCCCGGGGGGCGCAGGGGGGTGCCCGGAGGGCGGCGCCCGCGATGACTATGCGCCCCCGGAAATATGGCGGCAAACCCCGCGCGCTTTCTAGTCGGGCCCCTTTGGCGTCTGTTCTCCTTCGCTTTGGGGATTAGCCAAAAATCAGCCCGGAATTAACGAAATAGCTTGCCACGGGCCGGCTGCCTGATGCCTCCTGCAGGTCGAACAAGTTGCAACCAAGGACGGGAAGGCACTTTCTGGGATGATTCTTTATGTCCAACACGCGGCCGGTACCAGTGTGAGCAATGGTTCCGCCGGTGCTGTGAAAGGTGAGCTCCCATCCTACTTGTGACATGTTACCTTCACCGAGCCAAGGCAAAATCCTATCAATATCCTTCGGTAGATCTTTGAAATAAACACCATGTCGCAGGTTTAATTGGTTGGGTTGCAGTTCTCCTATAAATCCATCCCGTGCGCCAGCTGTTCCGTTGATGGTACAGCGTCGGCCCGTGATGTTCTTAAAATCATCAGCGTGCTTTGATAAGTATCTATTTGCACAGCTGCCAACTAGGTTTACCTGCTTTGCACCTAGGTAACTGCCTGGCTGCACAATAATCAACAACAGACAACATCTTCCCCGTTCCGGATCTTGATCATCGTCTCCTCAGCTCGTTCCGGGCTTGCCGGATCCCGATCCAGCGCTAGCTTCATGCCAGACCCAGGCACCACCCCAGTCCTGGTAGACCGTAGGTTCACCGAAACCGGTGTACGCGTTGCCCCCTCCTTTGCCTTTGCCTTTGGGTTTCCCACCCGTAGACGCAGCAGCGGTAGGACACTCCCACGCGTAGTGACCCCAGTCATAGCATTTGTAGCACTGGATATTCTTCTTGTAATCCTTGAACTTCTTGTCCTTCTTGCCCTTCCCCTTCTTGCGGGTAGAAGGATCACCACCCTGGCTTGCGTGGACTTCGGCGGTGACTTTCTTTTTCAGTTTAGCCTTGAACCGCTTGAGAGCAGTCTGAGACATGAAAGTTTTACCGTCCTTATCGTTACCACTAGCCTGGGGGCGCTTCTTGGAAGCAGCAGTCTTGTCCTCGTCGTACTCAACCGCCGGGAACGCCTTGCCGAAGCTGGAGTTCTCCACCTTGTACTCACCGTCCTTGATCATGGCCTGCAGACGGGTCGCCAACTTGTCACCCATCTGCTGCGTCGTCAACTGGGCACCGTCCTCGACCATGCGTGCGATCGTGTCCTTGAAACCCTTGGGAAACATCTTGGGCAGGTAGTCTAAGATGTTCTGGGCCTGTCGATCTTCAGGAGCACGAGCTAGGTCGGGCGGAAACACCGCAGGGGACTGGTCCATGACGCGCTTGACCTTGGCGAGAAAGGAAGGCGGGTCCTGAGGTTGGTCGCGGTCATCGAACTTCATCGATTCGAGACACGCAGCGCGGGTTTTCTGCTGGGTCCTGTTCTGCTGGTTGTAATGACCTTCATCACGCAGCTCCAAATACAACTCTCCGGCATTCAGAATGTTGTAATTCGGGCGAGCGTGCAGCCAGGTCTTACAAGAACCAGTCAAGGACTTCAGCATCGCGGCCTTCAGGTTGCGCCATTTCTGAGCAACCGTCTCAGCCTGCTGACCGACTCCTCCGGGGAGACCGGGCTGACCGAGATGGACGACGACGTTGTCGAAGTAAACGCCTAGTCCGAGGCGCTCGACCTCCTCACGGACAGAGCGATCCCATTCGATCCAGCCAGTCGCATCCGGCAGCTTCGCGGCGATCTCTGCGGATACCACAGTCATCTTGTTTTCTTAATGAGTCTACTGTCCTTAGTGTAAAGTAGCACAGATTGGAGTCTAAGTCGCAACGCAGTGTTGGACTTTGAACACACCTGCCACACTGAGTGACCAAAGCTTCTACCTTCGAGAGGTCTCTAACACGTTCAAACACTTCAATCTCTCAGCAGACAGGGCGAAAGCCTCTGGCTGCGTTGCATCCTGTGAAGATTCATCAATCAAGGTTCATCATAGACATCATTCCACTCATCACAGGCTCTGAGGCTCCAGATCTCTAGTCATTCTGGGACCTATTCCCCACTCTGTATGGGTGCGATTTTATCAGGGTCGGGGGTCCCTGGTAAAGATTTTACCAGGGTCGCCGGTCCTTGATAAAATCCGAACCAAGAGAGCCTGATTTGCTCAAATTCTTCATCATTTGCATTTGGAGAACAGGCGTTTCGGGATCTCGTAGAAGCTTCAGTCTTGCGTGGAGGTAGGGTTTAGATCACATGACCAACACCTTCTGAGCTCTGTAGTATGCATGTTGCACAGTAGCCGCGCTCCTTGTAGTTCTCTGTGACCCGAATCCGAAAACGTGATTCCTCATGCGCGTCGGTGCGCTCTGCAAAACTTTTTCATGCTTGGTTGCATACTGCAGTCAGTGAGTTTTTTTTCCATTCACACATTCATTCTCTTTCTCACCGCGACTATCGATCCAGGCTGAGACGTATTTGCACTCCGACAACTTACTCTCTCTGTACGCCTATTTCTGGGACGACCAGTCGATCTTTCTTGTGCTGGAGCACAGTCACTTTGGGGACTTGCGGAAGCTCATTCTGCAGAATGCTGCCGGCGCGGACGCCTCGGGAGGCGCAGCTCCGCTTATTTCTAAACAAGACATCAAGCTGTACTTCAAACACACCATCTCCGGGCTGCAGCACTTGCACAAGAACGAAATCTATCAAATGTAAAAATTTCTGGGTCTGGAAGATTCTGAGATTTGTCATGCATATTTTGAATGATCCATGATGTCTGTGATGCATGCCCTAGCATCACAGATTTTTACAGGGCTTCTTGATGCGTATTCCGCATGACAAATGCCTTCTCAGCGTAGCAAAAATTGTATTTCCTTTCGTACTCATGCAATACAGATTTTTTTGGAATCCAAACGCAGCATCACAAGTTGCATTCTTCCAGACCCAGACATTTTTTCATCTGATAAAATCCTTTTTCGCGACCTGAAGTCCGAGAACCTGCTTCTCTTCCATCCGAAAATCGTCAAGCTCTCCGACTTGTGGAATGCAAACCGGAATCTGGGTCCGGAATAAGCTACTTTCTTGTGATGCCAAGGTTTTAATCGTGAGCTGCAGCCACGACTGGCAAGCTTCTTAGGTGCTGGTGTGTCTCTTACGTAAAAACCGCCTTGCAAGTTGCATTTTTGCATGACAAACGGTGTGGGGGTGGGGCTGTATCGCAATAGGCATGACAGGTTCATCTTTATTTTCTCTCGTCCTGCTGTCAGCCAAGCTAAGCTCAAGCACATGACAGACCTAGTAGATATGTTTGAAGTTGATACGACTTTGGCGCGGCGGTGCACGGGCCCAAGGAGTTCCAGGCGGACAAGAGGAAAACTATGATCGGCAATCCGCTTTTCTACGCCCCCGAGATGATCACGGATGACGCCTACGATTTCTTCGTGGACATGTGGGCCGCCGGGCTCTTGCTCTTCGAGCTGCTCTTTCACGGAAAGTTGCCTTCGAGTCCGGAATTTTCCCCGTCATCAACGTCCGGAGACGGAGCCCGTGCCGCAGCGGGAGGAAATTCAGTGGAATTACCTCCAGATACTTCTAGAAATGATCGCCGGGGGTCTGAAATTGTAGATCGCACCGGAAATAAACAGAAGTTTGCGGAGCACGACCAGCTAGCCATCTTTCGCGACATTCTGAAACTTGACGTGAAGAATGTGCTGTCCAAAGCGGCACAAAGCACGGTAACGAGCGCGGCGACGGGTCGTGATCAGATGCCATCATCGACCAGTGGTGCAGGGACCAAGAACTACCGTGGTCAAGAGCAGTCGTCCTGGTTCCGGGACGAAATAGAAACGAATGCCGAAGACCTCATTTCGAAACTGTTGGTCAGCCCCGCGAATAAAAGGCTCACATGCGCCCAATGCCTCACTCATGCGCTTTTAGCGTAGAGACGCACGGTGCGGACAACAACATTTTGGTAGAAACGTGGCTGATTTGAAAGAATGAGAATATTTCAAGTACATGTGAAACGCTGGCCAATTTTCAAAAATGGCCTAGAAAACCGTCCGCGAGTTCGACGCGCGCGGAGGGTCTAAAGCCTAAACCCTCAACAATCGAAAGTCGCGTTTCTACAGACGAGTGACAACTCGAGAACGACATGTCGATTCATATTTTGAGAGCAGAGGGACAGATCTCGGAGTGCAAACCTAGTGTTATGGACACGGCCTTGATGTTGCTCGCGCCGACCGAGTGAAAAAAAAATGTACCGCTAGTCGCGTGACTCGAAATTTTTTGACAAGGCATTGGAGAAGAGCACAAGATACTTCATATACATTCATTAACCTCCGTACTTCTAGCACTGGAATTTCTTGATGATGTAGATCAGAAAATGAAAAGATGCCGCCGTCGACGTAAAAGTCACCACTCGCGGTGGTGCCGCGCAGGAGCGGAATCGGGCCACCTGTGAATACGCTGCGCGGCTTCGGCGTGGCTGTTGGAGAAGCTTCCCGTGGGGGAACCGTTTCTTGGGCATTGACGCACGGCAAGCGGAAAAGGGTAGAGCCGGCTGGGCTTGTGCTCGTGACTCGGTACTACGTGTTTTCTGCTTGAAGACACGAAAAGGGACGACGGCAACTTCCAGCAGGCTGTTGACAACTTGTCATCTAAGCTGAGCCGACGTGACACCGCTCTCTCTCATAACGCGCACTCGTCGCCTGTGGCAGAAGGAGCAGCGCCCACGGGCACCGAAGAATTTGGAGCTTCTATCTTACCAGCACCTTGTACTGGAAGATTGTGACTCGACACTGCAGATCTTGTTCTGCTGACACGAACTACTAAGCTGCCCTAGTACTAACAACCCGCTTCGCCTTCTCGCCAAGATGGGGATGTTTGGGCCGAGCAAGCAGCTGCTAAAGCTGGCCACTTTAGCGGCGGACATGCGGAAGGACTTGACAAATCTGGAGAAACAGATGGAGGCCGTCCAGGAGGAGGGAAACAAAAAGCAGGAAGCCATGGCGTTCGAAATCGAACAGCTGAAGCAGAAACTCGGTATTGTTTGTACAGGATTTAAAAAAAATTAAGAAGCTCCTTCTACTACTACTATGCCTGCGCACGACGGCATGTTGAGCTCGTCACGAGTTTTTTTCCTGGTTTGTTTCCTGCATCTTGACCTCCACGACAGATCTGCGTGTTTGATAAAGCATAGTTTGTATGCATTGTAATCAAAATGAAACACCACGAACCTCACCAGATAAAATGACGTCGATCCTGCAAGCGCACGTGAAGGCTGTGTTGCCGAGAATAGAAGCCGAGGAGAAAGTATGAGAATGCAGAACTCCCCCTCGTGGTCATTCTACTCATTTCTGATGCAAAGCACGAGCAAATTTGTCCATGTCTACTATGGATGACAAAAACTACACGGAAAGTAGCTTAGACAGCACTTCAGGTGGCACATAAACCATGCGCAGGCTCTATTTCTTTCGCGGGCATAAGAAGTTCAGGCCCGTGCAATGAGGGGGAGGGGGTGTTGTTCGGCGGTATAGAAAAAAACCGAGGAGTTTGAGGAGCGTATCTCGCGTTTAGAGTCCGGCGACATGGATCCGAAGCGGCGGGGGCGCGGCCGCGGCGGCGTCGATTTGACAGACATTGTGGAGGAACACGATACCAAAATCGAGGAATTGGTCAACATCATGCAGGTATAAATGAAAATGGCTTCTTGTGCTGGTAGTGAACGTTGTGATATACTGCAGTCAAACTACCGACTGCGATCAGTAAAATGGGATTGAGTCAAGTTGTTTTTGTACCTACGATTCTTGCCGCGCCGTCTGTGCCAACACGGCGGTGCGAGTGGAACATACTTGTACTACGCCTAAATGGATGCTGAAAAAAAAAAACGCAATCCGCGACTTTGATCAGAACGACATCCTGCCAAAGTTTTCGCCGGTGGAAAAAGAGGTGAACACGATGCGTACCGAAGTGAACACGCTGAAGGAAACTGTGGACCACATGGACGCGCGGATCGTGGAGTGCGAAGGCGCAGCCACGGCCGCAAGGAGCGTCGCAAATGAGTTTGGCGACCTGAAATCTCTATTGTTGAAGAAGGTAGAAGTTATTGGTTCACCGAAGGTGCTGGTGCCCCGTCTGTGTGATACTATAGTTTATTAGAAACAAAACTATCGAACAAGCAGAAGCGCTTATGCTACCCTCCGACTTTTCACTTGCAGTGTTGTCTCCTCATGGGACTGCTTCCTTTCATTTAAGTATTTGATTCGCTGTTGATCTTTACGTCTTGGGCGAATTTCAACGATCCTACGTCTGTGCTGCCGATACTTGTTGGGTCATCCTGAAAAATATGGACATCCTTGTGTGATATTTTAATTTTGTTGACTGTTCTTTATCAACTCGTCGGTAGGTCGAAGACGTGTGCGAGGACACCCTGAATCTTCGATACGACTACGATTTGATGCTGCACACCAACACGCGATTTGTGAACTGGAAGATTGATGCGGCCAGGACGATATCAAATGTAAAAATGTCTGGGTCTGGAAGAATGCAACTTGTGATGCTGCATTTGGATTCCAAAAAAATCTGTATTGCATGAGTACCAAAGGAAATGCAATTTTTGCTACGCTGAGAAGGCATTTGTCATGCGGAATACGCATCAAGAAGCCCTCAAAAAATCTGTATTGCTAGCGTATGCATCACAGACATCATGGCTCATGCAAAACGTGCATGACAAGTGTCAGAATCTTCCAGACCCAGACATTTTTACAGTTGATAGACGAAAATCACGGAGATGTTCCTCCGGTCCTGTTATGAATTGCAAATATGTCTGGGTCTGGAAACTTGTGATGCAAAAAGTGGATGATAGCCGGACTGCAATACGCAGCTATGCATCACAAATTTTTTGGCTGCCATGTCTGACGTATTCCGCATGGCAAACTGCGTTTTTGCATGACAGGTAAGAGGGTCTTTTCGTGCCTATGCAACACAGATTCTCGAATCATGCCAGACAAGCATGACAAACTTGCATTCTTCCGGACCCAGACATTTTTACATTTGATACCTGTTCGCTGTGGTCCCCGCCCTTCACCATGGCCACTTTCCCGGTGATGTACCTGCAACTGCGGGTGCAGGCCGGCGATTCCCCGGGCAGCCAGTCCGCGGCCCGCCAGGTGCAGAACCTGGGCCGGCACCTGCCGACTAACGGCGGCCTCATCGTCACGGTGTGGACCCAGCCGGGCGTGGAGGCCGTGTTCAGAATAAGCGTTGGACCCGTTACGAAAAAGTTCCGCGCGATTTTCGAGCGCGACGAATCGAACCCAGAGCAAGAGGTAGTCGGCTGCACCGTTGTACGCTTCGCAAAATACTTACTATCGCATAGTGCGTGCACGTGCAGTAAAGCGCACTGAAATTGGTGGAAAAAAATGAATTCAACCCAGGCGGTTCGGACGTGTGAGGAACTACTGGCAAAACCAAAGATGCGAAGTGATTGTGATTCTGCACCTGCTGCACTTGCATGCGTAGAAACAGTATGCGATAGTACTTTTGCACGGGATGGGTGACAAATTTTTGCGCGCTTGACCCGGCCTGGAACCGATTAAACGACACGATCACAGTGGGACTTGAGATCATGGAGGCGGATTTGACAGGAACTGTACTCAAGTTTCTACGGTTTTTGGTTCTACTTCTCGTAATTCTTTTGTTTCCTCTGCTACGCCTACAGGTCTGGGCAGTGCCCTGCAAGAACTTCGAGAAAATCTTATTCCCCCGTTGCAGGTCATACGTAAGTCGGGTGTGGTGCAAGATTGCCTACAATTTTTTACTAGCATACCACGAATCACACCCATCAGTCGTTGTGACTTTTTCTTCTTTTTCATCCAGGTCGAGCTTGCCGTTACCCAGCCGAAAGTGCTGACGGATTACCCGGCTTTCAACAATCACAAGACGGCGGAGATGCAATTCAAGCGGAAAATCATCTCCGACACGCAAATGCTGGAACAGGTATAATCCATGTTGCTACGGGAAGGCGACGCCTTGCGATTTGCTACGTTTGATGTAGAGCAGTCACCGAAAGATGGCTCTCAAGACACTAAGTTTGTGAGTACAGACAGCGAGAACGAGATCAAACATTCTGATTCTTCATCATGACACTGTACTTTTGGTGCCTTCATACTTTACTGTTCATGTCCATATAGATACTAAAACCCCTGCTCGTTTTTATCTTCTAGGTGGACCGCAAGCTTCAGAACTTGAAGCAGCGGTGGGTGCGCAAGGTGGAGTGGCAGATACGGCAGATCCTACCGCTCATCGACAAGTCCGCGACCAACGACGTGATAGAATCCCCGCCCTTTTCCGCAGCGGGGCTTTCCGAACTGAAGTTTGTGTTTTACCCCCGGGTAAGGGAGTACTTACGTCTGATAGTTGGTGACTTTTTTTTTTGCTGCACTCGCACTACACCAATGCAACATGATACACTTCATCTTGACGAGCGCGTCGTGCTCGTTGTCGTTGATTCGATGCTTTTACTAGTTTGTTCCAGTCGTTGATGCGTTACAACGCTATCTTCGAACTAGCCAAATAAAAAGCTCCACCACTACTGCTCAGGGTATCGACCCCGCGAACCCGGGGTGGTGCGGGCTGTACCTCCGCTGCGCCGAAGAGAACGTGTTCATCAAGTTCCAGCTCTCGATCGGGAAGCAGTCCAAGATCTTCGAACACTTTTTCGCCACGCGAGGAGAGGTGTACGGGAAAACGAAGTTCTGCTACCTCGAGTCCCAGATTGAAAACCGCAACGACGCGGAGCTTTCGGTCCTAAATGTCAGCATTGAGGTGCTCGAGGTGAGTCACCGAAAGCGCGTATTGTGTGTAAAAACGTCCCCACACCATAGTTGTCATGCAAATCTGCATGCTTAAGATGTTTCTCATGCGGAGCCCCATGAGAAGCATTTTCTAATGGTGTTTTGAAATTTGTCATGCTCCAATCAGCATGAGAGACTAGATCTGTAATGCTGCTAAACTAGCTCAAACAGCACTATACTACGCGGCCAAATTTGTCATGCGAAACAGCCAAAGCTTGTGGATTTGTCTAGCCGATTCCCCATCTTGACTATGGGGTGGGTACGTTTTTACATAGGATAGCGCGACACCGAAAACGTCCTCCTGTTCCATCGGGAAGACACCTACGCTATTACAATGAAAAATGCCCCCTCCCCATATCAAAACGGAAATCTGTGATGCAGATTTGTGGTCACAAATCAGCTTTGTGATGCTACAAGGCAAAAGATGCGGACTGTAGTGCTCCCAGCTCCCTAGCGTGGGAAAGCCTTGCAGCTCCAGGATGACAGGAGGCAACTGGAAGTGGGAAGCAGCATGACAGACTGCCTGCAATTTAGGCCGTAGCTTCTTCTCTTGGCCTTCTAGCAATACAAGTCGATTTGTGTACTCAAATACAGCATCACAAATTCGCGCATCTTCCGCTTCCGATATGGGGTGGGGGCTTTTTTCACTTTGATATACGCCAAGGAGGAGTACCGGGTACTCACCCTGCCTCCGCGGGGCGCGAGCTGAGCTGCGTTCTGGCAGAGTTCTGGCGCCAAGGTGGAGAAAGGGGGCTGCTGGGTGCTCTGCCTTCCACCTCGGTGGAGAGAAGTGCATTAGAAGACGAGAACGACTTACTATGCACGCGGGCACGGCAGTACGAAGGAGGTGTCGATTTTCGTATCGTGCCTAGGCACCCAGGAACGACAGAGGTCTCTTTGTACGATGAAGGTAGTAGTTGTTCTGCAGATGGAGGTGCAGAAAAAAAAGTCTGAAAGATGATGAATCTATAAAGTTTGTTTGTTTGTAGATATGCGGTAAGGTGGAAACGCGATTACTCACCTTTTTTCTTTAGCGCTATTTCAATAAAAATCCCTCTACCCAAAGAAGCTTGAAAAAATACTGAGTGACTGCTACCGGTAGTGCTAGTGTGCAACTGCTTTAAAAATAAAAGCGGCCTGTTGGAAAAAGATACTACTGCCCATACCCATCTGTCGTTGAAAAAAGGCGCAGCTGACTGCAGGTTGAACCAGTCCTGCCGTGCTTAGGGAGATCGCGACACTTTGGTCGCTTTTTAACCTTTTGATCACTCTAAAAATTTAAATGCGAAGTAGAAGCTTTCTGCTAAGTGTGTAAAGTCAAGATCAGAGCCTTAGAGAAAAAGAAGGCGTTTATGAGAGAAAAAGTTTTCAACTAGTCTGGAGTCTTTTGCAGAGCGTCACTCATCGACCGCGTTGCGGCCGCGTGCGTCAGACCACCACTGGTGCCGGATTGCTGGGAAGGGGCCAGTGAGTGGCGCCAGGGTTGCATTGGCTTCCGCCAGGGCCCTCGCGACTTGGTTCGGTTTGTCGCGGCACTCTTCCATGTGCCCGAGGTCCCAGGAGCGGAAGAAGGGCTGCGTGATCGGACACTCGTGCACGAAGTGCGCCGTCGTCGCCTTCCCCTGTCCACATAGAGCACAGTCGAGGTCTTCCCCACTCGGTTGCGCCGCCAACAACCCAAAACGCAGGGCGTAATACATGGTCTGGCCAACGCGGCCGCCGGCGTCGGTCACCAGATCACGCCCCCAGCCCCCTGTTTCCTGGAGCGTTTGCGCTGTTTTGCTCTTTGTCTTTTCGTCCCGTTGCCGTTCGGCCAGGTTCCGGCGGGCTTCGTTCCGCACGTAGCGGCGGGCCTCCGTTTTGAACTGCTTGTGCGTGATCGGCTCGCCCTCTTCCTGCAGGTCGCTGCGGTTGGCGTACCCCGCGAGGTGGTCGGCGACCACGTTCCCCGCGATGCCGGCGTGCCCTGGCACATATCGGACGACCAGCTTGGCACAGCTTTGCAGCGCGTCCGCTGCAGCCGTGTAGACCTCGGTGTCCAGGTCGTCCCGCAGTCTCGGATTGAGCAACGCCCGCACGTTGGACTGGCTGTCCGTGCAGATCGTCACCTGCTCGCTTTTCAGCGCGTGGCGTGCCACCGCTCGGAAGGCTGCGATGAGCGCCATGCGTTCGGTTTCGTACGAATCCGTGTGGAGCCCGATGGGCCACGCCGCCCCACACTGGATGCCGAACCCATGCAGAAAGACGCCACAAGACCCGGCAAAGTCTTTGGCCGACCCGTCACAATACAGCACCAGGCTGGACTCCCGAAGGGTGTCCACCAGCGCCGGCGTGCCTTCGTTTCTCCACGTCGCCTCGAAGCGGCCCTGTTCCTCTGCCTCGTGGAGGACGGACCGCCCCCGCCCCGCCTTCGCACCGATCTCGGGGAGAACGGACGAGGCCGCGACGTTTGATTCGTCGATCACTTGCAAGCCGGTTTCTAGCCAGTCCACGCTCGAGGTGTTCGCGACCTCCCGCAACGCGTCCCCGGGCGGGCGTGAGAAAGCGCGGGCCGTGAGCGCCGTGCTTTCCACTTGGTAGAGCTCTGGGAGCGGCAACAGGCCGGCCGTCATGAGTGCGCAGGCGCGGTTCACCTGTCTGAACTTCGGAAAGCCCAGCACTTCTTTGGCCCCCTCCAGCTGGAAACTGTTCAGGGCGGCCGCCTCCTTCGCCCCGAGCCCGTTCCAGTATGTTGTTAGCCCATACGTGAGGACGCTTTCGCAGAATAGCTGGTAAAAAGCCCGGACGGACTTCGACCCGGCGCCCAACGCACGCGAGAGGATGCGCACCGCCGCCATCCTCTTGGTCAGGGTTTCGGATATGACTGCAAAGTGCCGACAGAAGGCCAACTTGCGATCAAACCACACACCGAGAAAGCGTGGGTAGGGGTCGTAGACGAGCCTCTCCCCGTCGTGGTGCAGGGCGAGCTCATCCAAGTCGCATGCAGACTCGTTCTGGAAGACGACATACGAACACTTCCCGGGGGAAAGCTCCATATTGCTCCGGCTGCAGAAGTCGGCGACCACGTCCAGGGCTGCCTGGAGGAGTTTCTGCGCTTCCCCTGTTTCCCCGGGGCCGTACTCTAGTGTGAGCGCCAAGTCGTCCACGTACGCGAGGACTTGCACCCTCGGGCACTTCTTCTGCAGCTCTCGGAGCAGTACGTCGGCGAAACTGCACCAGACCAGCGGGCCGAGGCACGTGCCCTGCGGGACCCCCTGGCGCAGCGGGACGGCCTGGGAGGTCTCGCCGTTGAACCTCACCACCCTGCGTCGGTTGGTGACGAAGGAGCAGATCCACCGCGTGAGCAGCAGGAGCTCCTGTTTTCGTGCCGGGTTTTTAAACTCGTGCCGCCGCTCCAGTAGTCCGTTGAGGAACAGCGGCGGGCACACGCGCTCAAAGGCCGAGCTCAGGTCCAAGAAGCACGTCGCCCTGCGGCGGTTCTTGCGCAGGGTGTCGGAGGCCAGGGCCCCCAGCGTTGCCGTGTGGTCCGTCGCGCTTCTTGCGGGTGTGTCCCCGTACTGGTTCTTGCTGTACAGCGGGGCCCCCTCCGCCTGGAAGGTTAGCCGCAGGCGCCGCAGTACTGTGCGTTCCCAGACTTCCCCCAAGCACGACGTCAAGGCCACCGGCCGGAGGGATTTGGGAAGGTCCGCGGCACGGCCGGGCTTTGGTACTGGTACACAGACTTCTAGCCGCATTACCTCCGGCGTCACGCCTTCGGTGACCCCTTGCTCGAAGGTTGCGCGCAAGAGCTGCTTGCCCTGTTGCGGGAGGTTTTTCAGCAGCACCCCGTGGATGCTGTCTGGCCCGGGAGCCCCGCCCGGCTTTTGTCCCCGCAAAGCGAACTCCACGTCGTCCAGCTCCAAGCTCAACGCTGTGCTCGGCGCTAGCTCTTCCGCTAGTGTGTGCTGGTATTGGTCCCAGGCCACTCGTTCGGCCCCGGGGTCCAGCACCGGGTGGGACCCATAGAAATGCGCCAAGACACATGCGAGCTTTTTGAACACCAGCTTCCCCGCGTATCGCAGCGCGGTGGTCTGCTGTTTCGGCGGCGGCCGCCCTTCTAGTTCCCGCAAAAGCCGGAAGGCCCCACTGGTTGTCTGCTCCGCTTGCTCGAGCTTTTGCCCGAACTCGTCGTCCCTCCTGCTGGCCTCGGCGCTTGCTACACGCGCCGTCGCGCGCCGTAACGCGGTGCGCCAGAACAGTCGCTCCGCCGGCGGTGCGAAGGCCACGCGCTTCATGCACTCTCCCCGCTCTTTCAGTGCGAGGTCTAGCTCCGTGCCTGTTTGCCACCGCGGCTGCCTGTGTCTCTTTCTCGTGACATTGCTGCGCGGGATGGACCTGTGCGCGGCGGCTTGTATCGCCGCGCGGATGTGTGCGAACTTGCCCTCGACCGACAGTGGTGCCGGGTGGTCCCGGAGGAAGGTGCGCATGTCTGCGCGGTACAAGTCCCAGTCCGCCCGGTTGAAGTTCAGTCGCGTGCGCCTCGTCGTTGTGGGGAGTGGTTCCTGCCAGAAGTCCGGGTTCCACGGAGCTGCCGTGGGGTCCGTCGGGAGGGTCGCGACCGCCCCGGGGGCCGGCGCAGATGGCGTTTTTGTGCTTGGTGTCGGGACCGGTGTGGGGCCGCCAAATGAGGGGACTACCGGCGCCAGCCCGGAGACTGCGGCAACTAGCAAACCCAGCCCCGGCAAGACCGGCAGTCGTTTCTCCCCTGTGCTACTCTGCGCGTCCGCGCTGTGCTTGTTCGCGCGCTGGGCCCGAAGGCGCTCGAACTTCTCCTTGCGCAGAGCCTTCTTTTGCCTCCCGGTGAGATTTACTTTCCCACCCCCTCCTCCTGCTCCCTGTGTTTCGGAACCGGCGTCCTGTGTGCCCCGGAGGCCTTGGTCGGCCTTTTGCCCCGAGCCAGTAGCGCGGCCTCGTCCCGCCCCTCCTCCCCCGGCGTCGTCTTTTGCTGTGTTGCTGGCGGTGAAGTTCTGCTTCCCCGGACGCTGATCGGCACGTGGCTCCACCAAGTCGAAGACCAGGGCCGCATGGTCACCGCCGACGAGGCACACTGCTGGCCCCTGCGGCTGTAGTTCGGCAGCCCGGGCGAGTAGTCCTCCGGTCAGCAACACTACGTCCGGCGAGGTCTTCGACGCAGGCCGGGTCGGCAGCGGGGTGGTGTAGAACTCCAGCGCCTGCGCAGTTGCCCAGGTCTTCACCTGGGTCGCCCGCGGCTCCTGTGTGTGGTTCGCGTCCCAGGAAATTGCAATCTCCTTCCCCGGCGGCATGTTGATTGCCGGTAGGGCGGGGATTCCGTTCCCGGAGGAGTGTAGACGTTCGCGCTTACGCCCCACTCCTTGCCCGTGTCGAGGTTGAACAGGGTGGCACAGGTGGAGGCAACGTTCTTCCCGCCCTCCGCGACAATGCGGAAGTCCGGGTCTGACTTCACGACACCTACTCGCCCCTCTCGTACGATGCTGGCAGCCCCTCCCCCGCTGCCTTCGGACTCGCAGACTTCAAGCACCTCCCAGCCCGGAACGTGGCGCTGGAGAAACTCGCGGAGGAACTCTTCACCGCACCAGGTTTCCTGGAGGTGGCACAAGTCCGCCTCGTGCTCCTCAAGCAGCTGGCGCAGCGCCGCCCCCTTCACAGAAGCCGCCGCTTCGTCGCTTTGGTTGAGCGACTGGCAGTTCCACTGCGCGACCCGCACAGCCCCTTGCACGACTGGGTGCCTGACACCGTACTGCTCTTCCTCGCTTTTCGCTGCGCCCTTGGCCGGCCCGACCACGTGGCGGGTGTAGTACTTGACCTCCTTCCCCCGGCTACACTCGGGTAGGAGGAAGGTGGTGCACTTCTTGTGCGCCTTTGCGATGTGCTCACTGAAGCCCTGGATCCTACCCGCGTACCCGCGGCTGTACGTGCAGTGCGAGCAGTAGTAGCGCCGTGTTGCTGCTGCTTGTTTTAGCGTGTCCCCCAGGCCGACTACAACGCAGAACTCGGTGTTCTGGTAGTGTGGGAGGTCCTGGACCGACACAACGCCTTCGACCGCACGCGCAGCTTCTTCCTGGTCTTCGTCCCCGTCAAGGCCACCACTGGCGCGCCCTGTGCTCCTGCTACTACTCCCACCCCCTTGCAGGCGATTTAGTTGCTCCGCTTGTAGTACAGGGGCTGCAACGCCACTGGCGCCGCTGCCTTCCAGCCCGGGCGGCTGACGTAGGAGCCTCTGTTGCTCTGCTGTCGGATGCGCCGCTGCAAGCATTGCTCTTGTTCCGGAGTTGGAGATGTGTTGCAGGGCTTCCCCCTGCGCAGGTCCGCTTGCGGCCTGCGTCCCGGCAGCACGCCCCAGGCCAGGAGGAGTCTGTTCTGGCTGGACCTCCTGCTCCTGCCGGGCCCGCGGGAGAGCAGGCTCCCGCGCCGCTGCTGTGTTGCCATCCTGATGATTCGCCGCTGCTGTTTCATCATGTGCAGGAAGGGCAGGGGGGGCCTGCTGGATTTGTGTTATTGCACCCCCTACTTGTCGGCTGCTGTGTCCAGGGAGCAGGTCGCGCTGCGTCACCAATTCTTGGTGTGAGGCGGGGGTATTTGCGTGGGCCTGAGGGCACGCGTGTTGGATCGGAGTCGCTGCTACATCGGCGCCCCATCCTGGAGGCGGCGTTCTGTTCGAGCAGGCGCGCCGGCATGCGTCTGCGACGACGTATACCACCCCCAGCGCCGTGCCCGTGCACACTACTATCGCGACGGCGCCTAGCGGCGACAGCACCGACGGGTCTGGGTGCCACCGCCCATGGTGGAAAGCAGCAGCACTGGGCTCCGGTCCCGTTCTTAGGTCCGGGAAGACCCGGCGCAGCGCTGGGCTTCCGTATTCTCCCTCCCGGTCGAGGTAAAGGTGCCCCGGGATCTGGCCCGAGACGACCGTCTCTTCCTCCAGCTCCGCCCCCGCGTGTCCCCCTATCATCATCGAAGCTCCCGGGTTGGCCATGTAGTGCGAGTTTATTTGCACCGCTATTCCGACGGCGACAACGACAAGCGCCAGCAGGCAGTGGTTCTGTAGGGCCCGGAAGACCCGGCGGAACTGCTCTTCCAGGATGAGGGTCAGGACCGTCACGAGGTCCATTTCCTGGTGGGGGTAGCACGCACCCTGCTGATGTACCCCTATTGTAACGGTGGCGCCGGCGCTTGGCGCAGGCCCTTGCTCTCCCGGTCGTGTGTAGGCGGCCTCCTCGCGAGCTCCGCGTTCTGTCGCTCGCGACTGCTGTGTGCCCGCCCGTACCTCGCCTGTCCTGGGCAAGGCCGTTTCTGCCGGAGCGCCAGCAGGGAGGGGTCTTTGCGGGATGACAATGCCACCGCTCGGCGGGATCGCGTTGTAGGTGCTTTGGGTTGGTGGTGTTGCTGTCGGGGTACTGATAATCTGGTCGGAGTGTTGGTGATGAGGCTGCTGCTGCTGCAGTTGCTGTTGCTGTTGCTGGTGCGTTTGCTGGTGCGTTTGCTGTTGCTGCTGCAGTTGCTGTTGCTGTTGCTGCTGCATTTGCAGTTGCTGCTGCAGTTGCTGCAGCAGTTCCTGCTGTTGTTTACCAGTACTACCACTGGCCCCTGCCTCCGTGGCGGGCTTCGGGGGTTGCTGGTGGGCCGCCGCGTTTTGGCTGTGCACCATGGACTCCAGTACCTTGCGGACCTCCCGCATCTCCTCTGACAAAGCTACGAGCTGCTCCGTGCCGGTCTGCTCTCCGGTAAGAGCGTTCCTCGTTATCAGTGGAACGGCGATCTCTCGCCCTTGCAGCTGCCCCAGCAGATGCCGCACGTCTTGGTGGTGCTGCGTCATGGCCCCCAGGAGTCCTGTCGCATCTCCCGCTGGGTTCACACCCTGTGTGGCCGGCGTCACCGCTTGCCCGGTCTGTGCTCCGGCCGGCTGGAGCTGCAGCTGTTGCTGTTGTGCTGCGAGTAGTCTCTGCACGTCTTGGAAACTGAAAGACGTCTGCTGCGTTGGCGCCGGCTGTGCCGGCGGCAGCATCGTATGTGCACCGCCACCTTGCTGCCGGTTGAAGGCACTGCCAAACGCAGGCGCGGAGAAGTTACCTGACTGTGCCCCGAGACTATCACCCGATCGCGGGAGGCCTCCCTGCTGCCCGACTGGGAATGCGGTCTGGTATCCTGTCGGCCCTCCACCTGCGGCTCCCTGCATCGAGTGTAATACGAGGTAGTCGTTTACTGTCGGAAGAGGAGTGGCTCCCTGCCCAAGAGCCGGCCCCCCATAGTTTGGCGCGGGAGGTTGGACGCTCTGTGGCAGCACATGGTTTGTTTGCTGTAGTGTATTTTGCTGCGCCCATCCTTGCTGCGGGGGGTTTTGCTGCACGACGTTGTTGGTCCGCTGTTGTGGGCCTGTTGGCCACTGCTGGTACCGGAACTGGCCTTCCGGATTGCCTCCCGTGCCGAACATGCCGCTTTTCTGCAGCCGTTTGTTCACGGCAGGTTCTGGCTGGTTCTGGCGGAACTCTGCGCTGCACTACTCTAAGGAGGTAAAGTCGCCGTTTCCGAGTAGCGATTCGCGTCGTTGTTTGGGTTTTGGAGAAATGAAGTCCTTAACCCGCCGAGCTGTAGCCGCGATTTCTGGGAATCTCGGGTCCCCGTTTTTCCGAAAACGCAGTTTTCGCCCGGCGGGATTGGGACACAAAATTCGCGGCGGGGCGAAACGGCTCTGCGGGGTGCGCGACAGCTCTACTCTACTCGCCGTCCCCTGCAGGAGTCCCGACGTCCGGTGTCCCCCCGGTGTCCCCCACCCTCTTCAGCCTTCGCAAGGCGTGGAGCTCCTGAAGTAGCGTCGCGTTGTGGTCCTCCGCCGCTCGTGTCCTCTCTGCGAGGTCCCGAGCGACCTTCTCCTCGATCCTTTCGATGAGCAGCGTAATGCCCGGGTCGCCGCCGAAAGGGTCGTATACGATGCCCAGGCTGTACTGGCCGTAGGCAACCCGCTCAACCTGCAGAAACGCGCTACTGTCGTGCTGGGTGGAGCACAAGAGGTCGCGCACTGTCAGCGGCAGTGACTCTGTCGTGGCAAGGGCCTGAACGGGCGCTCTGTTCCTCGTCAGTTCCACGATGAGGCTGCAGGGGCAGTACTCGTAGACGAAGAGCGCGAAATCCCCTCGGGACGCTGCGAAGTGCTGCTGTGATGTCTCCTTGGACCGGAGCCACCCGCGTCTCTCCTCTGTTTCCTGCGCTAGGTTGTCGTGGTCGCGTTCAACCTTTATCAACGCGGTATAGTTGCTTGTGAAGGGGATGAGGAGCGGGAGGTGGTGCAGGCTGGTTAGGTGCTGCTTCGTTTCCTCCGTGTTCTCGCGGTATTCCTTCGCCTCGCGTTCTGTGATCACGCCTGTCCGCAGGAGCTCCTCTATCGCTGTCGGGCTCCGGCGGCGCGGCATATCATCGCGAGACGCAGCGTCAATATTGGCAAAGGAAAAACGGAGAAAAGCAGAACCCCCGGTGGCTATTTCTGTGTTGCCTCTTGCCACTCTTCTACTTTTTTGAGGTCTTTTGTTTTTGCGGCTAGCTCTATACTGTCCCTGATGCCGTCTTTTACTTTTTTGGGATCTTTTTGTTTGGGGGTTCTGCACGAGACTAGAAAGTGTGGACACACACGACTACGGCTCACCACCTCGATCTTCAAAGACAGTAGCGCGTGCTCCAAACCGCTGATCCCGAGCGTCCTTGTCGGGGCCGCGCGGACTATGACGACCAGCTATGGCTGGAGGACGGCAAGGGTGGATGTGCGTCGGGTGGTCACGCCTCTTTGTTTCGCTGCTGCCTCCTTCCTCGGAACTGTTGCTGTATTTTACTGTCTTCTGGACAGCTGAGGGAACGGCAAGCGTGCGTCTAGTCTCGTCTTCACCACCGGTTTGGGCCTTCGGTGGAAATGTGGGGCACGGTGGCGACGCAGGTGCCCGGCAGTTCAGCACGATAGTACTGCAGGATCTAGGGGGTTAAGCTGCGAACTGGCCCTGCACGGATTCCGCTCCTCCGGGACGGTTGTTCGTCTTCAGACACGACGGCACGCGGTTCCGGGCTAATAAAAATCCTCTTTGTAAGAGGATAAATCCACTGTCCGCTCCTGGCTGGAGACGAACAAGGACCGGGCTTGCGTAGTCTTAAATCGCCGAATCCCGACCCCAGGAGCCTTTGTCGGGGGCCCCTGGACTATGACGGTCGGGTTCGGTTCACTTGCTACGCGGGACGCCGGCTCCTTATTGTCTTTTAGCGTCTTCCGGCCAGTGGGGGGGACGGCAAACGCCGTTCGTCGGCAGCAGCAGGTAGTCTCTGCTTCCAGGGCCCGGCTGGAGGGCTAGAGCAGCGGGTTATCCTCCGGTGGCGCGGTGGTCGTGTCACCGTCGTATCACTTTCCAGAACTGGCGACCCTCCCACGCAGCAGATCGCTCGCGACAACTGCAAGAAGCAAAATCACCAGTAACAGCCCCCGGGCTTCCTTCCTTCTTGTGGTTACCCAGACTATGTCGGCCTGCTCTGGGTCACTGGTTGTTTCCTTTTGTCGCGCTGCTGGCTGGGTCCCAAGAAGATGGCTGCACTCGGAAGCTGTCCAAAGCCAGTGGGTGGTGCAGGCTCGGGTGGAAGCTGCAAACCCGATGACTGCAAACCCGATGACAGCAATAAACTGGTGCCGAAGGGACTTCAACACGGAGACGACCAAGAGAGAACGCGGAGTTGGACAACCATCATGCTTTGTGATGGAGTTTCAAAAAATTCCCGGCTCTCAGTTCTCTCAGAAAAAAGTCCAAACGAGGACTCCCACACGCCGTGGGCACGGTGCAATTATTTCAACCGTGTTAAATAAAACAGTAGTGTTCATCTTCAGTGCAAGAAGTATCTATAAAGTTAAACGTATGGTAATGGTTCTTTTTACGCTCTTTACTCAATGCTGGTTCTTGCTTTTTACGCTGGTTCTTATTTTTACGCTGGTTCTTCTTCTTGCTCTTACGCTGGTTCTTCCTCAACATCCTTTTCGAAATATACACACCAAATTGTTCTTGCTCCTTTCGCAACAAACGACGTAGAATTGGCAGCGGAAAATAAAGCTATTGTCGGAAAGAAAATTAATGAAAAACGACAAAGCTGTCGATTTTAGCTTTAGGTCTTTTCGTGATGGTCTTGTATGTAGTGAGGTCACCGAACGGTTCTAACCAGGGAGTTTTCTTGACATATACCCTGAAAAACGACCGGCAGTTTTCAAGCGGCCGGAAGCGTTTTTTAACAAAAAAAATTTCCAATTATCAAGCGGCCCTGGCTGACCTGGCACCGAATCGCCAGCGGATTCTATCGGTCGCCGCTTGAAAAAACGACGCAGAGGAGCGAGCAAAAGGAGCGCCATTCTGAGGCGCCCGCCGCCTTGGTTTCTGGCGGTTTGGGGCGCCCAAAAAGCAGTGCGAAAAAAACGCGCCGAAAATCAGAACAGCGAAACAGCATGGCACGGCTGCGATTTCGGAGCATTTTGGGCGGCCGCGAAAGCGGCCGCATTTTCGCCGGTTTCAGTGCCTGGGAAGCTCTGCAAAAAGCGCCGGCTAGAAAAATAAAAACGCAAAAAAGCAAAAGCGTGCCAGACGTGCAAAGCCAATCCGCATGCTATGGGCCCGATTTTTCTTCGCTTTTTGGGCGCCCCCCGTGGCACCCGGATCGGCCCCATAGCATGGAGGCTGGCTTTCGGAAAGGAATAGTAGAAATCTGCCAAAATTTGTGACGTCTTTCTATCAAGCGGCCGCCTTACCGTGCGGCCTAACGTTACTCACGGCGGTATGGCGAGCCCAGAAAAAGCAAAGCCGCGGCCAAGGCGACGGCCGGCAAGAAAACGCCCACGACCTCACTACCTCCGCCCCGGCGGCTATATTTGGTAGTGCTCCCAAAAATAATGAGCTTGATTTTGAAGTTTTTTGACCACCAATATTACCAAATGCATCGTGAAAATGATGTTTCAAGAATGAACACACCGACAAACTGTTGTAAAAAATGTACTTTACTGATACTGTCACGAATTTGAACTTCAATCGGACGCAGAGCTTTCATTTTGATTTTGGCGCAAATAAGTACTCAATTCAAAGAGAACAAGCAGCAGAAACAAGCCACTTTTTGGCGGACGTGAGCATTCTCTGTGTCTGTCTCATAGTACTTTTTGCAGCGAGAAGCTGAAACCTTTTCGTCCTCGCACGGGGATTGCGGCGAGTACTTAGAATCGGGCTTTTCGAAAATCGTGATAGATCGAAAGGCGTCAAGTCACGTAGTGCTTTTCCTTTGTTGGAAAAAGTAAGGGTCTTCGTACTCACACTCTGTCGTGTGTGAAGAAAGTCTTCGGATCGTCTCTAGTGGTCTGTCTGTGGTCTGCCTGTTCTAGTACCTCGGTCGATCCTGAAAGAGAATTCGTTCAAGGCATGAAGCAGGGCGCTTCTAGTCAAGAATGGTCCTTGCGGCTTCTGGTGTCAGAATGAAATAGATGTGGGCCGTCCTCGTCAAAAAGGGTACCAGTACCGTACCTTTGGGTCAGGGATGAATCTAAATTTACTCGGGGCGGTTGCAGTAGTATTGGGACATGGATTCAAATCTTAAGCCTCTATTCTGCTACTCCTCCGTACAGTACAGCTTGACCTTGACGTCCCTGCGTCGAAATGAAGAAAAATATACCAATCATGTGCCATCATGGCGTTTTGCTTTGTTTGATGTCATCTACTTGCGCTATGTTGCGCTATCTGAGTATGAATTTCGGTGAAAAATATGGGGTTGAGTTTCTTTATTAGAAGGGAATAGGCACACGACCCGATGAGAACCACATCAGGGCAACACCTTGGTAACTCGAATTCCAGGCTCAGGTAGAAAAAGCTCAGCGCACCTCTACTCCCCCCCTCCCCGCCGGCACGATGGCGGGGATGACAACAATGGAGGCCGTGTCCATGGTGGACTTCGAGGAGTTTAAGATGGAGGTTGCGGAACTTCGGCACAAATTTGAGGACGAACATATCCTTTGGAAATTAATAATGTGCCCCGACATTCCGAACAAAAGGGCCTCCAAGACTTTCCACAGGGAAACTTTTTGTATTGCATGAGGCGTCGAGGTCGATGAACTCAAATAAATGCCGCACATTTTTATAGTATTTTGTGGCAAAGAAAGTTTGCATCACAGGATTTCATTTTATTCCATTCTGGGGTACTCGGGGCGCTTTTCAGGTTGCTAAGACAGAAATCGACGGCAGAAAACCTGCGGAAAAAAGAAACCACAATCCGAGAACTGCTCAAGGAGGTGGAGACCCAGGGAAAAACGATCAAGCAGCTGAAAAAGGTACTTCTTGGTGCTCCCGTCAGGAGCTTCATTTGGTTGATCTCTCGACTTCTTGGTGCGCGGGTGCTTGATATCAATCCATTTTTATTATATCTCGCGGGATAGATTTTTGGGAGGCGGTGTCCATTTTGACGCGTGCCTACGATGGTATACCCTTGGATGATCGGAAAAAGAGCTAATGAGACATCGTACTTACTTACCCCGCAACGCAGCTCTATGTTCAGGAGGAAGCTCGTGTTGTTACTCACTCACATCATCGAAACAAAAAAAGTTTTTGTACACCAATCCTTGTTCAGGGTGCCGAGGAGTCGAAGCGCTTTTTCCGCGATGCGCTGAGCACGCAGCTCGGCGATTTGAGACAGGAATTACTCGCGAGTTTCGAGGCGCAGCTGGACGTGAGCGACCGGATGATGCGATCCCGGGTGGACCAAATCATCAACACCAAGTTCGAAGAGGGCTTCAAGGTGATCGAAGACCAGTGCAAAGAGCTCTTCACGGTACATGAACTATGTTTTGTTTTGATCAGAAAAAGTCACTCATGAGTGGGTCGTCTCTAGTGCTTGTCTAATACCGCGCAGCAGAAGCCACCGATTTTTGACGACACTGCATCTCTTTCGTGGTACGGTGTCAGGATTCTTGTTTCGATAGAAAGTCGGCACTACCTTTACCTAGTATCAGATGACATTGCGTAGTTGGTAGAAGGAATAGAAGTGAACTTTTTGCTAGGACAGCATCTTATATCTCATCACGATTCATCTCTACACCAGCGTATCAAGGACGAAGTGAACGACCGAGCTTCGAAAAACGAGAAAGCCGCCATCGCATTGGTCGACGGCCGTTCGGCCGAGATGGAGTCTAAGATCAACGGTAGTATCCAAGATGAAAAAGACTGTGTGTTGAATAAGGAGTGCAAGTTTGTTGTATTGCAGGACACCACGGCGTCCCAGCGCCGTAAAAGTCACACCTGTCACGCCGGCAGACAACAACGATCATGGCCTTTCATTTTCTTCAGCTGTTTATTCGTGTCTTCACGTACTATCTCTTGGTTTTGCAAGCTGCTACGTGGGCATGAGAGATGTTTTGTGTGGTCATGCAGTGGACCCAATTCGGCATGCATGAGCATGCTATCGATTCAACAACAAACAAGAGACACGACAAATAAGACGGTTTTTTGCTTGGATACCCAGGTGTAAAGAGCTAATCCAAGTGAAAATGGCCCGGGTAGAGCGCAACTGGTTTTCCATGACCGCGAAATCGTGGCAGTTATGCATGGCAACTATAAACATGTCTGGGATGTCGATGATTGGTAGTGGAATTACTTGCGTGCGACGATCGTATGACGAGAAGTGATCTACTGTAATATTCATTGTATGAATAGGATTTGTGAAGATGGCGTTGGCGCCTCTTTCCGTCGCGCTAGAAAAAGCTACTTTGTCAAGTGACTCACTTATGAATGAGTCTGCAACCAACTTACTACGAGCTTCGCAAAAATTGTGATGCTGTGCATCCGTCCAACTACAACGCGAGACTATTCGAAGTAAGAAAAATGCATATGCAAGATGCAGTGTCAGACATGTTTGCAGTTGATAGAAGTGGTCAGTGAACAATTTTCACGAGCAGATGCTGAATTTGTACAACGTCAAGGAAAATATCGCGACCATTTCCAGTCCCACCTTCACGCTGGCCACCTGCCCGCGGATGTTTCTGGAGCTCACCGTGGAGAATCTCAGCCGGGGCTCACACACGAACGAATGGGCCGAAGACGCGGGCGGCGCTGCACCGGGAGGAGCCACGCCCAAGTCAACCCCGATCGCGGGCAATCTGTCCCTAGTGGTTTACTTCGAGAAGCGCGTGGATCATTTGAAGCTGAAGATCACAGTGGGACCCCCGGAGACAGAAATTTGCCGGGTTCTCTCCCACAAGGACCTGATGCCGATCAGCCAACACTGGCACTATGACGACCCCCGGAACCGCGGTTCCCGTCTGCACAGCACCTCGACCGGGCAGATCATGCACCGTATCACACAGAAAAAAACGGGCAGGGTAGATTTGTAACGCGAAAATAAATACGCGAAAACAAAAGATCCGCTACTTGTGCGTCTCATACAGCATACTACAGGCTATGACAGCCTTTTTTGTCAATCCATTTTTGCATTTGCGCGGTCTGTTAATCATCACAAATATGCCCTGCCGGTTTTTTTCATCATGATACACCGCGACTACAAGCCGACGGGCGGATATGCAAAGAAAAAACTAACTGTCTGCTTGGTGTAAAGTCGTGAGTGATCATCGTGCAGGCTTAGAATCCTTTGTCTTGCTACAAACACAACATTTTTGATGTTCAGGCATCGCGGTTTCCTTTTGGAAGCACCCCTAACAGCTTTTCTTTGTGATCATGTCGAACAGGCAGATTTTACGGTTTCTTTTTGTAGGCGTAAGAAACTGCACGAGGCACTTTCATGTAGAACCAACTACAAAATCTAGATTATGTTGTGATGTAATACTTCGTTGGGAAGTCATATCAAATCGTTACAGTGAAGCTGAAGTACTTTTTTCTTACGATAGCGGCGGCTCGCACGGCGCGCGGGCGCGGAAAAAAATGATGAATAGCATGAACGCGCACCTAAATTCTTTGGAAGAAGCGATCGCCTACGCATTCGAGGACGAAGTTTCGGAGACCAACCCGCGAAGGCAAGACCCGCTCGACATGTGCAAGGATATGAGAGGTGACAACTTCCCCTCCTTTTTATTTTAAAGCCCAGCAGCGGCATCAGAAACAAGCTGAACATGGAGCCGGCGCACTAAAACTCGTGCCCGCACTGTAGTCGTGCTTCTATGTAGGCTCTCGGAACCTCAACATGTAATGGAAAAAATCCGGCCAGCGCCAAGCGGTAGCGCAAGAAGAGTGGTCGATATCATGCATGTGCATCGAAAATGAAGGGGAAGGGGAGCTGTCCTCTAGCATAAAAGACATGGACGCACCACCTACAGACGACGCTGCAGAACCACTGGTAATGACAAATTCACCTGTGCTGCTCAGCTCGTTTATTTGTGGCTAAGAACCAATCTTCCGATGGAGCTCGCAATTACTTACTTAATCTCTGCACCATATGGTAGACGCGGTGCGCTTTTGGTTTTTGGTTTTGACAGTAACAGAACAATCAGAAGCTGATCATCTTGTATGAGTGCCATGCATTCCAGGTTTGTTTTTGCGTGGGAACAGAAAAGCGGTCTAATAGGATACTTACAAGCTACTTTTGAATTGCCTTCTTTCGTGCGCCGCTGGGATTCGTTTGCTGCTTTGAAATAAGTGATGTAGATGTACTGCAATTTGATGAATTGTGCGCCAAACAAAAACAGTACTCCCCAATCGACCACAAGCCTTGCGAGATCCGGCTGACCAATTTCGGCATGATCCAGCGACTGTGGGATCGGCGGCACGACCAGATCCCCATCAAGGTCGAGGTGCTCGAGTGCGGGTTCAAGCGCCGGTTTTCCAAGCGCGTCAAGGCCCCCGGGCTGAACTACGGCAGGAAGGAGTTGTTTCAGTGCTACGACCAGTTCCTGTCGCCCAACTACCTCACCTTGCAAGTCTCGAACTGGGTGAACCGGGTGAAGTACAAGCACTTGAAAAAGGCCACCTGGGACACTATCACCTCGTCAGATGGAACAATGATCTCAACTGGAACGATTTGCGATGGAGCGTCCAACGGACAATAAAGATGTTGATTTCTGCCCCACTGAAGATGCGCAGCGAGACAGAGATCTTTTTCTATGGAAAAATATCCGGTAGAAGTCCAACTCCAACTCCAGGCACACCTCGCATGAAATGCGCACGAAATTTGTCATGCAAAGCTGCAGCAAGCTGCAAGCAGTACTAGCAGATTTTGCTTTTGCCCTTTTCGCAAGACTACAAATTTGGCGGCTTTGATATTGTCCCAGTTGAGATTGTTGCAGCTGCGCAAGCCATAGACATCTCCAACGTGCAGGAAATCTGCAAAATGGTCCCCAGCGGTTCTTTATCCTGTGCAAAAGTTGTCTCACAGTCGTACTAATAGTTCCTGCAGTCTTCGTTCGTGGAGCTTGATGGAGCTACTGTGTTATGCCCTCGTGAATCTGCGTGACGCAAAGAAAAAATTCAATGCAGTTTGTTCCACTATTAGCAATACGACACGAGAACATATTTATTGCGCTGCATATTCCTGCATCGAGTCCAACCTGTTTCGCATCGCCGGACTGGACAGCCTCCGTCTAGTGCTGTACCCCAACGGTTTCTCGGAGGACCTGCCGTTACAGTCTGCGCTGTTTCTGCGCTCCGTGTCGGAGGAAAACGGTTCCACCATGGTCCGCGCGATCATCACCCTGAACGCGACGTCAAAGACCTTCCAGGGACCAATCGACAAGAGCCTGGGGCGAAAAAAGTTTTCGTCGCTGCTGAACGTGGATTTCATCTTATCGACGTGAAAAGTGCAGCGGCCGTCTTGCTTCCTTGGAAGATGGGATATTGAATCTGAATCTGTTTGATGCAAAGTTTACGATCGCAAAGAACCTTTTGTCTTGTTCCAGTTTACTAGCCCGCGTACAAAGTTCTTCCCTTAGCTTACAAGCATGGTAAGGCCTGCTGTTGCTGGGGTTGCGTGCAAGAAGAAAATTTGCTATTGTCCTCGTTAGTAGTACTTACATGACAGAAGCAAAACGGAGAATCTTCATGTTTGTAGAAACAAGTTTCCAAAGGAACGAGGATCAGATTTGTTTGGAAAAAAACTGTCGGAACTTGATTCAGGGAGAGGGAGCGAACGCGAAGCACAGTTCACTTCGATACTTCCAGATCACTGTCGAAATCGAGGAGTGCGTGGACGAGTCGGTGCAGCTGCGCACGTTGAAAAAGTACGAAAAACTGGAAGACATCTACCGGTATCGAATGTAAAAATGTCTGGGTCTGGAAGATTGGCAGGTTTGTCATGCACATTTTGCATGACTCCTGATGTCTGTGATGCATGCCCTAGCATCACAGATTTTGTGAGGGCTTTCTGATGCCTATACCGCATGACAAATGCTCTTTCCGTGTAGCAAGACTTGGGCTCTATTTGCTGCTCATGCAACACAGATTTTTTTAGAATCCAAAATCAGCATGACAAGTTGGATTCTTCCAGACCCAGACATTTTTACAGTTGATAACCGGATCCCAGACGCCGGCGGCGTCTCCACCTACGCGAACACGGGCACCTTTTTATATGAAATGTAAAAATGTCTGGGTCTGGAAGATGGCAACCTGTCATGCTCTCTTTGGATTCCAAAAAAATCTGTATTGCGTGACCAGCAACAGGAGTCCAGTTTGTGTTACGCGGAGAGGGCATTTCTCATGCAGAATGGGCATCAGAAAGCCCTGTAAAAATCTGTGATGCTAGATATTGCATTACATGCATCATGGATCATACAAAATATGCATCACAAATCCCAGAATCTTCCAGACCCAGACATTTTTGCATTTGATATTTTATCCCGTCCCACCACTGTCACCACCAGTTCCTCCGGCGGTGCGGATAGCCGACCTGTGACCAGTATGCTGTGCAAAAGCTTCATCTTCTTCATGCATTTGCCCGAGGTGAGAGTTGCAAAAATGCGGGCGCATCTATTCAAATCTCATTTTTCCCTCGGGAAAAATTTGAATGCAATTATTAACAAAACTGACCTACTTACAGTTCTACTGTGTCTGCGATAGGTGCGACTTTTGCAATGCATAATAACCGGCGCGGGCTTCGATCCGACGCAACTGCCGACGACGTTCGAGTGATGTTGATTACAGTATTTGTACATATAGTTCGGTCCTCCACGCGTTCGAATCATTCACGTTTTCTCACACATCGGATAAAACAGTAGGTACAGCACACTTCGTCGTGCCAGGTATAGAGGATTTCAACACACCTATGATTGCCAGCTAAGAACTTGGAGTTAGAATGGCACGTGTTATTATATATTCTATAGATACGCTTTTTAATTAGTCAGATACAACGCTTCATTCTGTTGTTGCTGTCCCTCCTCTTTTTGTACCAAAATTTTTGCCTTTCTTTTGGCTCCTCAACATGTAAGATAACACACTCATGGCGTAGTCAGTCCCTGACTATTCCGAATAACCGTGTACAGAAAATTATTGGCAGCTTGAATGTACTTTGTATTATGTTGCTCCGCGGCCAACGAGAAAATTCTATGGTGCTCGTCACCTGCGACAATTGCAGATGATCGAAGAGCGAGGTCTTCTCAACCGCTCTCCAGGGGATGGTGGCGTTTTCTTGAAATTGCAGTGGCGCCACTTTTCACGACACTGTTGAACAGCAGTGCTGGTCACAATCGCATTCGGGCAAAGCAGAACGGATCCAACTCGCCTTTCTGAAAAGCACACGTATTGATTGTTGTGACTCGTTATCGTTTCTTTTTCGGATCGTTTCTTTCATCTCCCGGCTCACTTTTTCGTTATTGGAGCGATTGGTACAACAACGTACAAGAGAACGACCGAGCGACGATCTCATGCCTAAGAGAACGATTATCAAGAGCCTGTCCAAAAACGGCAACTCGAAGGTTCTCCTGAGGATCAAGGCTTGTGTGCCGCGGTCCAAGAATCATCGTGGACTTCGATCTAGCTCCAGTAAAGACCACTATTATTTGATACGTAGCAAGTTTGAGCATGGATCTCGTTCTCGAAGTGCATCTCGATAAAAATTAGGAGAAAGATATAAGCCACCGAATCCGAAACCGAATTGTTTCGTGACTGAAGAACGTGATGATATAGGAATGAGATATCGAAACAGCAGGATGATCAGCAGTTGTTGAGGTTGTGCATACACTCAATCAACAGTCATCCGTTTTTCTGACAACACGATGTCCGAAAAGATTCACTTTCGTCTCGCTCGCCATGGAAGATCGATATTTATGGTGGCTCTGGGCCGTGTGTGAACCATTTCAAAAGACTTTTTTCGTCAAAATGTCTGTGCACTCATTTGAGTTTTGAAATTATGTTTCGTTATTTCCTGATGAAACTCGTTTCGTTATCGAATCGTTCTACACTCAGTAAGCCCGCAAATGCGTGTTCATCTTCAGCGCTAACTTGAAAAAAAATTTTCTAGACCTGTGAAGCGCAGACGTGCAAGGCTTTTTTTACGTATTTTGTGATTGTAGAAACGAATCAAACGTAGCGGAAGCTACAACATCTGTGGTATTGCCCACCCGGCGGGCCGAATAAAATTATTCTTTGTTGTATGACACAAATAACTCAACCAAAGGCATTTTACCATGCCCCATAAAGCAAAAAAAATTAGCTGGGAGGTTTGCTTGTTTTTGCAATGCAAATAGTTGAGCGCCTAAAGTCATGTAGCCACTCAACAAGGACGCTAGATAAGGCGCTTTTGCGTGGTGAAAGGAGCCCTCCTAAAGTGGACTCTTGTGGTCCACAGATTCGGTTTGTTGAGATTCTCTGGTGGGAAAGATGCCCCGCAGTTTTTTGAAATGCTTCCGCTACGGGAGATCCCCCGTCAGCGATCCCCATCAGCTGGAGACTTTCAGAGGCCTCGCACCATCGGTCTTTGAGAAAAAAAGCATCCCCATACAGGAAAATAGCCAACCCCCCCTGGCGATGCTTTGCATAACGCCTGTCGCCGCCAGGCTTCAGCTTCTCTTGATCTTATAAAAATGCAGGCGAATCCCTGGACCGGGAGAGTCCACTTCCGGGCTTCTTTCGCCATGCAGTAGTGCCCTATCTAGCTCGCGCAATCAATCGACAGACTACAAAGTGGCTCGCTTCACAAGCGCCTTGTAATTCCGTTTTGCCCTAGTCAAAATTTTTTTTTCGATCCCCCATGGTATTTTGAGTTTGGTTGAGTTATTTGTGTCATATGTTGAAAATCCTAGGACCATCGACGACTTGAGTCAACATTTCAAAGCAAAGAAAGCGCTTTTTGGAGTCAAATTGTTGTTTTAATCTCATACTTTCATGTGATGTTTATGTGAAAACGGCTTTCGAACCGATTCGACTATCTACTTACTCGCACAGCTCATCGGAGGACAGAAGCAAAAAATATAAAACTGATCTGTCTACCCCTACTCCTTATAAATATACTAGTAGAACAAGCACGACGTTTAAATACCATGCCCGAGGGTGGCGACAAGTCCGCATCCGAGCTTAGGGAGCTCCTGCACAAAAAGAGAAATCGTGTGCAAGAAAGTGGTGACAAGTTGTCCACTCCCGCGGGCTCTCCGCCACCGCATAACAGCAACGTGAAGATGAAAAACGAAGGCGACGACCAAGTAGAAGAGGACATCGACAAGCAGGAGCGTCTGCTGGGCAGCACGCCGCGGGCGCACAAGAAGCGCAAGCTTTTCGACGATGTTTTTTCCTTCTCCCCGGAGGAAGAAGAGCTCCGGCACGACCAGAATCATCCTCGTCGCGGGTGGCAGGAGGGGCTGCTTGAAACCGCGGAGCATGATGATTTTGATTTTCCTCCACGAGGATCTGGGCCGCTTGGCGGCTTCGGGAACAACTACGGCAGCGCTGACGGCGAATCAGACATGAAGGAGAACAGCGTGGGCAAGAGGAGTGGCGCTTTGAAGAACATTCCGGGCCTGACGAAGAAAAACGATGCCGGCCCGAACGAGGTGCAGAGAGATGAAAGTGACGACGCGGACAAGAGCGACGACGAAGAGGGGCTACTGGAAGAGAGCCACGTGCTTCTTTCCTCCCCCAGCGGAGCAGCTCCTCTTCTCGAAGCAGAGGACCTCGACGATGTTGAGCTGGGGTCGTTTCTGGACCCCTACCCGGAGTTTGCGTCCCCCGTCACCGTATGCATTGCAACTATGTACTCTGGGGAGTCTGGAAGTACCAGAGTGCAAGACTTGTGAGGTTGTGCAGCAAGGACAGCGAAACGGGAAAAGCTCTGATGCATGTAGCGCAACAACTGTGCCTGTGTGTTGCTGTTTGTGCTGCAACAAAGCGACGATTTCGCATCCGGAGAAGGCAAGAACAGATAGCCTCTAGAAAACTTGTCACGCAGAGCTCCGTAGCGACGTGTCCTTGAATGTCATGTGCATGCTTGACAGCCGCATGACAACTCTCCAGACCCAAACATATTTGCGATGCATAGACCGAATTTCGCGTCGCGATCAGCAACCGGCGGGTTTGGTCCCTCGGCCTGGAAAATGGTGAGCGATTCGACGTGACCAGGAATGGAACCCTGGTCAAAGACGGCGGCGTGACGGTGACGGGGAAAACACTGGTCCTGGCGCGGGGGAAAAGCGTGGTACAGACGAAGGTGGACACGCTGGTAAAGGCCATGCGGGACGCTAAGGGGACGCCGGTGCGCTTCAAGTTCACGGCTGCGGTAGGAACACTATGTTTATTTTTTGATGGCTCAAATAAAATGAGATGTTGATGTTAAGTAGTTCTACTTGCATGATCAAGTCGTCCGCTTATTTCTTTGAGCATTCAAGATTTTTTTTGACTTTTGTTTTCCGAGGTACACCCGTAGACGTTTATTTCAGTTTTTCACTACCCAGGAACGGAAGAAGCTGGATGCTGCTCTTGGGTTTGCCACCCGCAAAGACGACGAGGAGGCTCAGCACTGGTCCAAAGTAGAAAAGGCGGAGGAAGAGTTTGTGTGGAACGACGGCGACCCGAAATGGCAGAAGGTGAAGGTGAAAGGCAAGGTGCAAGCTAGGAAGGCGGCGCAGAAAACGGGGAAAGATCGGGAGCAGATGAACCGGCGCGAGGGGGACAAGGTCTTTGCCGCGGTCTACAAGACACTGCATGAGAAGTACGGGAAGAACGAAGTTGTGCAGGGAGGTGCAGCTGCGTCCTCGTCGAAGCCACAAGCGAAAAAAAGCAGCAGTAGCAGCAGCAATAAGCTGGCGGAAGAACTTCAAACCGGATGCTCCCTCGTATTTTCGCAAGCTCAGTTTGTCGAGTGGTTCGGCAACCTGGACGGCAACACGCAGCGCGCGTTCGCAAACGTGGCGAAAGCCCAGTTTCAGCCGGAGAAGTACCAAGATGCAGGAGGAGCCGAAGGTGAAAATATTTTTAAACTGCCAGGGCAGCAAGATGAAAAACAGCCCTTCGCTGCTGCACCTTCTGAAGGACATCAAAAGCAAGCAAAAGGGGCCAAGATGCCGGCTGCAGAGGCCGCGATGGAACAGTTGAACCACGGGAAGAAGAAGAACAGTCGCGTGCAGCTTCGGAAGGAAGAAAAAAATATTTTTGGCCTTGAAAAGAAAACCAAAAAACAGCCGATCCTGTCCGATCCCAATTTTCCGATGGAGAACCGGGCCGGCTCCTTTCGCGATCCGTCGATGCTGGGAGCCGTGGGCGCGTACTTCAGTGCGGACGAGACCCGGCAGCATCGGTGTTTCACGTTGTCCCGGGACCTGCTGTCCTTGCTGGGCCTGGGCGGGTCCCGCGGCAACACGTTTTTCCGTCGGGACACAACGTTGGTAAATAAAACCGACGTCGAGGAGGCGAAGCGGTTTGACAAGCTCGCGTTGCAGGTGCCGGGCTACCAGTGGGACCGCGGCGGCGACGCACTGCACAGCGCGAGCGGGTTCGGGGTGCAGGGCTGCATTCTGCCCATCGTCCGCGTCGCGGTCACCGCCGATCCGGCGAACAAAAAAACCGCGGCGGTGCTGTCCTTTCAGATCGAGCTGATCAACGTCGGCGGCCAGCTGTTGCACGAGCTGCAGGCGAAGATGCGGTTTCCCTGCCGCAGTCTGCGGGCCAAGGTGTCCATCGCGATGGAAATGGAAACAAAATTTCCGAAAAAGGCGATTTTGCAGATGGCTGACAAGAAGAACTCGAGTTCTTCATCTCCTTTTGCGAAAAGGGATGATCAAATACTGAAACACGCCGAGGACAAGATGGACACGGGCGAGGATGAAGACGACGCGGGGGCCGAAGACGACGTCAACAGCAGTGCCTACTGGATCCCCAGCAACGACGCTGACGTAACCCCGGACCAGCCACCGCACTGGAGCAAGCAGCACCCCTTGCGGCCCGAGCAGCTGCGGGCGCTTGGCTGGTTGACGCGCAAGGAGCGCGCGGTGGACCACTTCAGGTGCGTGATTCCGGTCTTCAATGCCGCGGCCGATCTGGTGGACACCGAGGGTCTGAAATCCTCGCTGGAAAATTTTACCTCCGAAGATGACCACAAGAAGCCCGCTGCAGCGCAGAAAAACAACGCGAAGAAAGTGAAGAAGGAAAAGCAGCTGCAGCCCATGAAGAAGAAAAACGCGGCGGTGGCGGCGAATAAAAAGAACGTCGCCGACGAGTTGTTCGGCCTGGGAGCAGCAGGAGATGAAGAAGAGGTGGAAGGAAATATTAGCAAAATAAATCCGAAAAAATCCGTCAGTAAGGCGAGCAGCCTGCAAGAACCGACATCGGAGGAAATAGGGGAAAAGGCCGACAACGACCCGCTTGAAGCCAACTGGTGCGCTTATTCGGAGTTGGAGGCCGAATACCTCGTGCGGGGCGGGTTGCTCTGCGACAAGCCCGGACACGGGAAGACGGCCACGATGATCGGGGTGATTCTGAACGGGATCGCGCGTCCCTTTGGCGATGCGTTCGAACCGGACCCAGGCTGTTTCAGCGCGCCGGAGACGACGCTGATCCTGGTGCCGAAACGGCTCGTGCGCCAGTGGGAGGAAGAGTTCGAGAAGTTTTGCGAGCCGCAGTTCTACCGCGACCACTTGCGAACCAGGATCCGCGTCATTGAGACGGCGGACCAGTTCCAAAAGCTGACCGTGAAGGACATCCAGAACACGTGGGTGCTGCTGATGCCCTTCGACGTGCCGTTTCACAAGTCCCTCAAGGAGCGCGCGCGCGACTTGGGAATCGGTGTGGGGGGCCAAGCTGAGGCGCAGTTCACGCCGAACAACTGCTGCATGCGGCTGTTGCGCCATGCGACCTACCTGTTCCAACAGCACGTCGCGAAAAGCAAGAACAAAAAGAAGAAGAAGCCGGCCAAGACCGAGGCGGAGCTGAGGTTCGAGGAAGAAGACAAGGAGCTGCGCGCGCGACTGCGCGCGTACCGCAAGGCGCGGGAATTTCAGGACAAGCGCCACGAGGAGAAAGACGGACAAGGCTACGTGGACGACTTTTGGAAGCGCGACGACGGGTCGATGGAATCCTACATTGTCAAGGAGCAAGTGCTGAATCCCAACTTCTACAAAAATTTTTACAACAACTACAATTACTACAACCCGTGGGGTATAAATCGATTCTATGGAGGTGGATACAATTATGGCGGCAACGCCAACCAGCAGCAGCAGAACCAGAATCAGAAGAAGAAGGAACCCCCGGAACCGAGGTACATCACGCGCGACGTGACCAAGTATCGCAAAAAAGGTCGGGTCGTCCCGGAGAACCTGCGGTCGGACGCCGCGAACCTGGAGTTCCCCGTGCTCGAACAGATCAAGTTTGGTCGCATCGTGTTCGACGAGTTTCACGAGAGCGAGTCTTTCAAGAGCCGCGAGGTGCACACGTTGTGCAACCTGCAGGCCCACGCGCGCTTTGGGCTGACCGGCACTCCCAAGCAAGAGGACACTCGGAGTATCGTCGCAGCGGCCTCCCTGTTTCAAGTGGACTTTGTCGGCCAGGACACCGCGGACGCACTGATGCTGAACAAAATCGAGTATTCCTCCAGCAAATTTCTGGACCTGCTCAAGAGCAAGGGGGAAAAGGAGTTTTCTAAGACCTGGTCGCAGGATTTGAAGGTCGACTGGCGCAACGTGTACGCAGAGAAACTCGACGAGTACAGCTTCGGCGAGGCCCGCCATTTCGGGTCGAAGGTTTTCGACGCGGACAAGGTTGCCCGGTTTTGCAACTGCTGCGGCCAAGCCGCCCCCAGAAGTAGTAGCCCCGACGGGTCGACGTTCTTCGGCGGTCTTGATAATCCGGAGTTTACCTGCAACTTTTGCGGGGAAAAGAACCACGTGGCTCCGACCATGTTGCAGGTGCAGGACGCCGGGGGTGCAGGAGCGTCCTCCGCCCTGGGAGGTCCGCGTTCGGGGAAGTCGAAAAAGCGGCCGAAGGAGGAAGATCAGGTGGCGATGTACAAGTACAAGGTCCAGGAGCGCGAGTTCTTGCTGCAGCGGGCGGCGTTTCTGTCGAAGCATGCCTGGGACCGGAGCGCGTACTTTCGCAAGTACGCGCAGGAATTTGTGGAGCACTTCATGCGGCAGAACAGCATCAAGGGCGTGGAGGACGAAATCAAGATTGTCGAGAAGGTCGTCCGCGTGGTGCTGAAGCCCGAGGAGCGGGTGCTGTACAAAAACAAGGAGCAGAGTCTGGCATACGCGCTGGCGTCCTCCTCCGCGGCAGAGGAAAAGTTGGTTTCGGTGCTCGAAGTGGAGCAGTTCGGGTTGCTTGATGACGAAGCGGAAGAAGAAGATGTCCCCAACGACGATGAAGGTGGCGCTGTTGGTTCTGGTGTCCTCGCCAAGAAAAACCCGAACAAGGCCCAGGTGGTGCAGCACAACAACCACGAGAAGCTGGCCGTGCGGAAGGGCTACCTGAGTGCGGAGGATCTGAAGAAGCGCACCGCGCTGCTGAAGCTCTGCTGCCACTTCCAGAACAAGAACGATAATGCGGGCTCGGCGAAGGAGCAGGTTGCGGAGGTAGCTGAAAAGAAGCGCCAGGAGACCGAGCTGCGCAAGAAGGAAATCCACAAAATCCTTCTCAAAATGCTCTGCTACGAGCGCGCGGCCACGTTTTTCCGGGGCGTTAAACTGAAGCGGGTTACCGCCGACCTGGAGAGGATTTCGCTCGACGACGTGACGGCAATTCTGAATTCCGCGCTGCGCATCGAGCAAACAAGCGCCGGCTCGTCGTCCTCCGCGGGACCCAACAAGAAGGCGAAGAACAAAAAAGATCAGCAGCAGAGCAACAAGCTGCCGAACAGCAACAGTGCCGTTAAGGAACAACACCAACCGAAGAAGTTGTCCAAGGAGGCCGAAGCCTTCGAGGCACTGGTCCAGAGCGCCATGGATTTCTGGGTGACGCACGACGCCCTGGACAACCTCGACCTCCTCGGCGCGGCCTTCGGAAAACACAGCTACCCCCCGACGAAGCACCTGCTGCAAAAGGTCCTGCGCCGCGACCTGATGGAGCGCCACGTGGAGCGCGCCAGCATGGCGGCGGAGGATCAAGCACTAGCCCGTGGGAAGAGCGATGCGTCCTCGTCATTCAAGAAGAAAACCGAAAAGCAGCTCCGGACAGAGATGGATGGCAATTTGAAAGTGATTTTCGACGACTACGAAGAATTCGTGGACGGTTTCTGGCTGGAAGACGAAATCCGGAAAAAGTCCCGGCTCGCCAAGGCTCGCATGGAGGCCGCGCGGCTGCAGCAAAAGATCGCCAAAGCGGTGTGGAGCGGCGAAGACCAACAGCTGGTCGATTTCGACGATGGGACGGTCATCGATGTCAAGGACATTGCGCGTGCTCAGGTCGCGCGCACCTGCGAGGCTGGGATCCGGGACGCGCGGGGCAATTTTCTAGACCCCAATGACATGAGTATCGTTGACGTCAGTGTCGATGCCGGAGGCGGTGTCAACGGGAAGAGCAAGAAGAAGAACAACAATAATAAATCTGCCGGGCGCAGAAAAAATAAGAACGCCGGTTCAGCGCTGGATCTCTTCGTGGTTGACGACTCCGACGACGAAGAAGATGAAGTCCTGGATCCGCGCGATCGCGCTGCGGGGAATTGGGAGACGCTCGTGGGTCAGCTGCTAACGGCGAAGATGGAAGCCAAGCGCGGAAAGGAGTACGCCAAGGGCCTCGCTGAGTTCCGTGAATTCGGCGCCAAGCTGAAGGAACAGCTGCTGAAAACCGGGATGGAGATCCGGGAAACCATGGACGCCGAATTCGCCTTCCAACGGTTGTGCTCGGTGTCCGAAGGAAATTTGAACTACTTCAAAAGCGTGATGAGTTCCGACCTCGCGGACGCAGAGGAGATCGAGTGTACCATTTGCTACGACGACTTTGAGCCCAAGAACATGCTTTTGATCGAGCGGTGCTGCCACGTTTTCTGCGACGGCTGTCTGCGCGGTGCGTTGGCGGACCGCAGCAAGCCGCAGATGTGCCCGACCTGCCGCGGGCCCTGCTCCCTGGACAAAACATCGAACCTCGAAGAGGTGCTCCGGACCTACCGTGTGTACGAGCAGAAGTCCGGCGGGAAGTTCGGGCAGCTGCATCAACCACCGGCGAAAACAAGTAATGCTTTAGTTGTCGATTCCTCTGCTACCGAGCGCGAAAAAGAGGAGGACAAGCGGAAGATGATGTTGCAGCAGCCTGGTGCTGCTGGAGCTTCCGGGGCTGGTGCGGGTTCCGCTTCCTCCTCGTCCTCTTCTGGGCAGAACCAGCACGGTGGAGGCTTGCTGGGCCGACTGATGCAGAACGTTCCCTCGCTGCGCGGGGCTGGAAGAAGCGGAAGCAAGAACATCAAACCGTGGAACAAGAAACTTTCGTGGCTGGAGGAGGAAAGCGTGAACGAAGAAATCGAAATGGAGTCGAAGTGGATGCAACAAGTCCCGCGAAAAGACAAACACGGCTCCAAGCTACACTACGTGGCAGCATTGCTGCAGAAAATTTTTGCCGAGGACCAGACGGCAAAAGTCATCATTTTCTCCCAGTTCGCGGACTTGCAGGCGCAGGTCCGGCACGCCCTAGACGAGTACGGAAGGGTGAACTTCGCCACGGTGAACGACCGCCAGGGGCTGCAGGCCTTCCAGAAGAAACTGACCCCCGAGCTGGTGGCCGAGTTGGGTCCGGCCGCGCTGGCGGAGGAAACCCGCGTGCTCCTGCTGTCGCTGGAAAAAGAGGCGAGTGGACTGAATTTGACTTCCGCGAACCACGTCTTCCTCCTGCACCCGATGTGCACTGAGACCGTGGACAAGGCGTGCGCCTTTGAGCTGCAGGCCATGGCGCGGGTGCGCCGGTTGGGGCAGGTCCGCAAGGAGGTCACCATGTGGCGGCTGGTCACGGCCGACACGGTGGAGCAGGACTTGGTGCTAGAACACCGGCAGCAGATCGACGCGCGGCGAAAGCACAAGGAAGAGCACGCCAAGAAGGTGGCCGCACGCGAGCTGGCCAGCAAGCAGAAGGACAAGGAGCTTCAGGCTCGGGTGGACGCCGGCACAGCGAAGAACCAGGCCGCGGCGACTGGCGCAATGAACGGAAAGGAACTTCCAGCAGATGAATTACTAGCGGGAGGCTCTTTACCTTCGCGCGGAGCAAGTGGTAAAAATGAAGCATTGTTTCAGCATCCGGAGGACGAGCAGGATTTTTTGCAGGAGGAAGAAGATCTCGATGTTGACATGGAAGATTTTATGCTGCACGACCAGCAGAGTCGTGCTGGTAATGGTAAAACGAACAACAGCCAGAACAGTTTCGGTTTCTTTGGGAACAAGGATAAGCCCGGCGGCCTCTCGTCGTCCTCTTCTTCCTCGAGCGCCACCGGTAGTTCCGGTGTCTTCGGATTCGGAGGTTCGGGTGCGTCCAGCAGTTCGGGAGGTTCCGGGGCCGCTGCGTCCTCCAGCTCTGCGGCCCGTGGCGGTGTGTTTTCTGGTTCGGGAAGAAGCTTTCACCTCTTCGGCTGGAGCGGAACTGCTTCAGGTGAAGAGGGAGAAGCTCGTCCTGCGCAGGAACCAGGCGGAGGACCGAGCAGCGCTTCGACTGGTGCAGCTTCCTTCTGGTTCCCCCGAGCCGGCCTCTTCGGGGGTGCAGATCGCAATAATGCGTCCTCTGTTCGTCCAGTTCAGCAGGAGAGTGAAGGTCCACCGGAGGAGTCGGGCTCCGCTGACGACTTCGAGGATATGGAGGACGACCTGCTCCAGGACGACCAGGTGTGGCGGCCGCCGCCGCCGGCACCACCGGCGCTTCCTCAGCAACAGAATCAAGGCTCCTCCGCGTCCTCCTCTTCGTCTTCTGGCTTGCACGTCAGAAACCAGGACCTCCAGCACTTGCAGCAGAACCCGAATGACAAGAGCGCTGGAAAAAATAATCCGCAAGATGAACCAGACGGAACCGCAGCAAATCGCGAGCACGACCAGGACGAAGTGATTGAGCTCACCAGCGACGAGAACGACAGGGACTTGCAAGTGCAAGACGTGGACCAGGAGCAACAAGGCGGCGACGCTCAAGCTGCTGGGCAGCAAAACCTCCAAGTGCCTGACCTGGTTTCCAGTCTCGTCGCGATGGGTTTCACCCGGGCACTGGCGGTCGAGGCGGCGCGGCAGAACGATTCCCTACCCGAAGCCGTTGATTACTGTCTTGCGAAAAAGTTCGAGTAAGTCGCAAATACTCGATATATTCGGTGCCCCGCGAGTAAGTCGCAAATATTAGAAGCTTCAGGAATAAAAGTCAGCTTCAGGAGGAACAGGTACAGAATCACCACCGAAAATGGGAGTGTGCTGCAGCCTTCGCGTTACATTGCCACGGTTGTCGACTCCCACGCTCAGCTGGGGTGGAGGCAACCCGGTGGTGTGACTAGCTGCGTACTGACCAATGTGAGCAACCGTAGCATTGTCGCGAGGAGGAGGGAACAGCAGTCCGGAGACCGGTGGATTCGCAATGCGAGAAGCCGGAGAAGGGGTCAGACCGCAACCTACAGAACACGAATTGGAACCGCGATGAGATGATGACGACGAGCCTGGATCAACACCATTTCCGATCTGAAGTTGTCATTAGATGCCTTGCAGTTTTATGCTTGTGCCTATGTATTTAAAAAAAAAAAAATAAAAATAAAAGTCAGAGATCTTCATTCATCAGAATTGCAGTGAACAATCCCGCTGCTCGTCACGTCCTCTTCCAAATGCACGCCTGCAGAGATTTTTTAATTTAGCGAATACTTTTTACGTGAAACTGCCACTGAAACACCAGCGGTTTTCTAATTTTACTCTCGAACAAGTATAGAAGCCTACGTCCCATATTGTTAGACACAGAGAGAACATGGATATAATTTTCCAAAATTAATTTCAATCTTTTCATTGAATAGCGTCGACCGAGCAAAGCATCTACATTTTCCGCTGCTATCTAGTGCATTTGACATCCCCATCAATGATGTGTTTGCTTATGGATCGCTGATAATATTCTTCGGAAAAATAATTAAAAAATAAGCGTTAGTACTAGTTTCAGGAGCATATCTTTGTATATGATCGTATTCTCTGATCGTATTTTCTTGATCACCTGGGTATTTTCTTGAGGCTCAGGTCGAGATTAGTCGGACAAAACAGAAAGTTCTATGTGTTTCTTGATGATGTAGTTGCCTTCTGTCCAAGCGAGATTCCAGATAACAACTCGCACGTATAAGTAAGTAGAAAAACGTAAACGTAAAATCGTGAAGGCCAGAGTCGCAGTTGGCCTGTGTCTACTAGTGTCAAATCGTGTCGCTAAGCCACCGCCACGATATCTTATCAATCTCTTCATGGACCTTCCTACAAATGTCAAATGAAGCCACTTCTCTTGATGTTAAAGACGAGTTTAACGAAAAAAAAGACCGCTCTGTTGACTGGATAAAACTGTATGCATTCGATATTTAGTTCTAGGTGATTATGGCTCACCTGCTGGGCCTAGTGAAGCAAGAAGGACACTCTAGTTGATGCCGATAGCGATACGACAACAAACCGGCGGCATTTAATTTTGAGATGACAACGACAATACATAGATCTTCGATGGTCTATGAAAGCGAGATGAAGGAAAACAAACTTACTACCGAAAACCAAGGAGAGCAGGCGTCGCCCTTGCTCAACGAAAGTAGCTGTCAACGAAACGACCTTTTGTTCTTACAGTGGGCCGCCGGCTAATGCAAAAATCTTTGAATAGCATCTCGGTCGGACGACTTCCTTGCAGCTCTCGCGGTAGCCCCTACATCTTTTTGCGACGTTGCGTCAGGGAAAATTGAGTGCGATTTGCTTCTATCCCTCTCATTGATCATCTGTTTCGATCTGACTGGCGCTGTGACCTGTGACCATCGGCATCTGTCTTTACCGGAGCACGTTAAAAGTCGTGGCTTCCCCGTGAGCGCAGCACCAGGACCAGCAGCTGCAGAAACAGATCACTCAGTAGATCGTGGCTCCTTCTCTGTGTCGAGCCATCAAGTTCGCACTTTGCTACGGGAGGAACGATTCACGCACTGAAACTGACCAGATCACTTTCGTGCGCGACAGATGTGATATGATCTCTTCAGTAGTTGTACTTTACCCGAACATAAAGCAAAAGAGGTTTCCTCACTCTCTTAGCCGTACTCGTGTTTTACTTTTCTTGTGGTTTATAGTTTTCCTTGCTTTTTGATCTTTGGTGACTTGCATTGTTGCAATAGTAGGCAAATAAAATAAAAACTTTGTTGCCTATTATATGCACAACTTTATAATTGGACTGGCACGACAACTCTCACTTTGCTTCTGTCCCTGTCGTGATCAGGTCCTTGATGTAGCTTTGAGAGATTTAGCTCCGAACCGCGAAGCGATGTATCGCCACCTACTTCTGTTTTGTTCTAGTAGTCTTCATTCCACGGCGTTGCAAATTTGCCTTGTCGTCCTGCGTTGTTCTACAATATTGGTCTTACTTTCAAGCGAAACAAGTTTTTGCACAGCTAAGGCAGAACAAAGTTCATCAAACCACGAGGATGCTGGACGACTATCATCTGCATCCGAGCAGTATGAATCGCCTTACTGGCGGCATCTGCCCCAGCCGCAGCCGAATGAGTTGGGTGACCTGCAGAACAAGGATCACACGGCGCTGCGGAACCCGATCCGCGAAGAGACGGAAAGGTTCCGTAAGGAGTGGCAAACGCCTATGGAGTACCTGAAAGAAGCGCACACCAACTTTCTCACGTATCCGAACTTCTTCTGCTTCCCGCCCGGAAGCGAGTACTCCTTTTTTCGCTGCTGTCTTCCCAAACTCGCAACGCGGGACTGTTGGGGCCGCAAGTTGCATTTCGGGTCTGTGAACCCTTTCAACTTCTACCGCGGAAATAAAGCCTTTGGTCGTCGACGAGAACACGTCGCAGATGAACCGAAACACGAGGAAGCGACCGCTGATGTTGAGAGAGACACCAGGTCGCCGCGACGCCCTTCGTCGCGACACGCCGTGAGGCACGAGGATCAGCTTACTGCCGAGGGCGATCGCGGAGTTCTTCCCGACGAGAAAGATTCCGGCCGTGCGTGGGTAGAAAAAGCGGTGCACGAAGATGCCAAGAGGGAGCTTCTGGACGCGGTCAGTGATTTTCTTCATGCGGATATCCTCCTAGGTAAAAACGTCCCGACGCCGGTACTGTTGTAGTGCAATAGAGCAAGGTGGAAATCCACATGGCAAAGCTATCTGCTCATCCTGTTTGGAGCAGTATAAATGGCAAAACGCGTCTGGAAATACTTGTTGTGCGGACGTGCATGACCAATACAAATGTTCCTGTGGTGATGCAAATGTGCGTGACAACAAGGCCGGCGTCGGGACGCTCTTACGCAGGATGGCGGTCGAGGAGGACGGGCCTCTGCACGCTCCTGGGGACGACCACGAGCACCGCCATTTAAAACCGAAAAAATCGTATGTCTACCAGCGCATTTTTCGGCACTTGGAGCGCAGGCTGCTGCCGCAGCTGCGGCGCGGCGGTCCTTCCGAGAAGATTCCGGAGTCGCGTGACGAGATCAATGTGGACGACATTGTCGCGTATTTCAACCAAACGGACCAGGATGTGCAGAATTTCCTGGCGGACGGGGGTCTCAAGCGGGTAAAACAGCGTCGGTTTGAGGTGACACGAGACAACGAAAAACTGATCCACCGACTAGAGGGTATGTTCGGCCTGAACGTCCACGACACGGCAGCAGTACCCCTGGCGTTCGAATGGAGAGAGCACGACGGGCACCTCTTGCGCACGACCATCCTGGAACGATTGAAGAACGGAGGTAAAATGGCCCAAGATATCAAAGTGAAATCTCAAATATGTAAAGTGCCCCTACTTCTACTCCTGGTACTGCCGTAGAGTAGCGGGCTGTTCTTTGTGATGCAATGATTTTGAACAACCGAGGCGTGACAGGAGGTGCAATTATAAATATGTCGCGGCACATTTCATTGTTCGTATATACCTACGACGGCAAGCTAGCACCTGCACTGTGAGCTAGTACCATTTTGTCGCGCTAGCACCTGCACTTGCACGACGCGCGTGTGCTGCATTCCTATGCCGCTCATCTAGAGAATGAGCATGAGAGAGATGCATCTTTGCTGTGTGTAAACTTCTAGCAACGTCGCGCGCGACAAATAAAGCGTTTGCGCCATCTCAATCTGGTTCGAGCTGCTGCGCAATACAGATTTAAGTCGGGTGAGGGCGGGGCATTGTTTACGGTTTGTTGATGCATACTCGAGGAGATTGGTGGAGAAAGTCGTGACCCCAAGAACGGGGCGGGCACCAGGACGGACCAGGGGTACAGCAGCACTCGGGAAGCGTCGGCGACTGCGGCTACTGCTGATATCCTGCGCACCTCCCCAGATCTCTGTTGTCACCACACGCAGCAAGACGAGACGAGCTTGACGAAATGGCAGCGGCCCCTGCTGAAACTGCGGACGAAAGCGAGCCTGTTCGAGTGCCTCTCGGCCCTGGCCGATTTCCACGTACGAACCCTCGCGGTGTCGTTCGCGCAGCGGAACGATTTTATCGGCCCCTACCTGAACGGGTTCAGTTTGGGCTTTTACCAAGACATCCAGAAGCAGTGTGAGCATTGGTACATCCTCGACAAAGCGGCCCTCTATGCCGCCAGTGAGGCTTCCTATCTGCGAAGAGTTTATAACTTGGCCGACGTTGGTCAGCTTCGTTCTGTGGATGAAAAAGACAGTGCAGCGAGCGCCTCACAGTCTGAGGATCGTAATGAAATAATAGATGCGGAAACGAGAAACAACTTGCGGGACAAAGAGACTACAGATCTTCAACCCCTCTCCACGACTGCGGGGGTGCGAAAGCCCTTCGGCGTCGTGTCGTCGTGCGTCGAGTCCACGCTGCAGCACTATCCAGTCGAAAAAAAACTATGTCGCTGTCTGGAAAGAGTGGAACTTGTGATGCTCGGTTCCGCCAGTTCTTCCAGAAAAGCTTGTTGTAATGCATGCATGACTAGCACAAGCACTAGCTGCAAAACCTGACGTGTGCGTTTTTGGCAACCGTGAGATATGATTTTTTCTCACGCCAAATAGGCATTGCAAAATTGTTGCAGAACTTGTGCTCATGTTGCTGCGCCCTGCAATGAATCCAGACCGTCTGTTGGGCCACATAAAACCTGCGTGACAAAGTCCGACTGGACTCTTGCAGACCCGGACGTATTTGCAAATGGATAAGCACTGCTCTTTGACAATGAGCTTTTGGCAGTGCTACACCATGTTGCACGCCCACAACACAGAACTGTTCTACGAGGCCGCCTATGATTACGACTTGCACCTGCACGAGGTGACCTGTCTGCGCGGGGCGAATCTTGACGCGGAAGCCTCCTTACGCGGCCTATGCATCATGGGAAACATGTCGCACTTGTGATAAATTTTGCGCGGCCACAAATTTTTTCAACAGCAAAAAATGCAGTTTTTCATGGTGAGTCAGATAGTAAGTCCCAGTTATTTTTGCTCCTGAAAAAAGTAGAGATGCATGGTCGCGATGATAATCACGAGTACGCCATAATTTTTCCCGAGGATCCGACAACCAGGGCGACCCGGATTCTCCACTCCAGGCAGACGGTGCCCATGGTGACGAGGACGGTGCTGGCAGTACGTCAGAGAGTGGACCGCCCGGGGAGGCGGCGTGGGACGGCAAGAGCGGAAGCGCCGCCGATTCGTCGCACACAACAAGAAGTACTCTCGTCCTAAAACACCAAGGCGCCCACCCGCCTGCGCAACCCGAAGATCCGCACGCTTGCATTCGCAACTCCCCCTTGTGCCGGCTCGTGTTCGACGGGCTCGTATCGCGGTGGCGCGCGAAGCCCCGGGCGGTGCTTCATGCGTTCGGGCAGTACGAGTGGGTGCTTGCGTATTTCACAAGAAAACATTGCTAGTGTAACTTTTTGTAGTTGATGCAGAGGACCCCCGACGATGCAAGACACCTACAGTTCTTGTCATTCTGAAAAAGCGTCATAGGCTAAGTAGTTTCGTACGTTTACGTGGTTTCGCGTAGTACTTGCGCATGATGTTTTCTCTGTCATGCCAGGAAGATTTGTGACGCTGTTCCGCCAACAAGGTTACACCGACAATCTTTTCGTGCTTGGATATTGCGGTAGACGCCGCCGACACCAGCATCGGGCCCGGTTGCTTCTTGCGCAACTTGGAGGAAATCTTCCACAATCCGCAGGTCATTCCGGAGGAGGCCGAGGTGGTTGTGAAGGACCCCTCGAACCAGGAGGACAGCAACGGCGGGGTATTCGCGTTCAAGGGTCGGTCGAGGTTTGGGAAACTGTTCGTAGACTTGATCATATGAACTGCAAAAGTATCGTACTCGTATAAATGCATTACAAATTTACTCAGCATGAGAGATAAAATTTGTAGTGCTGATTTACCTTAAGAAAAAGATTTGTAATGCATGATTGCAATACGAGTGCGATACTTTTGCACAGGATTGATCAACGACAAGGACAACTGGCCTGGGGAGCTCATTGTAGGAAAAGAACATACTCCTGTCATCTTTACTGTGGTGGTGATTTTTTTTTGAGTAGCATCTTCACATGTTGGAAAAAAAAAAATCTCAAGGAAATTCTACCGACGGCCTAAGGAGATTCTCCCTCAAGGAGATTCCCCCCTATAAAATTTGAACTATGAGCTGGCGCCATTCTTCATCCTTATAGCATAGAAAGATATAGCGGACAAGACGAGCGCTGGCGCTCGTGCAAGATGAAGGGATGAGCGTGGGCCAGACTACGCGTGCGCCGACCGTTGCCACCAAGAGCCCCCGGCCCGCCTGTGCACCGGTGGCGGAAGAGTTTTTGGCCCTGCCCTTCGCCCGCCTGCCCCGCCCGCGCCCAGGCTGCGCTCCGTCCTTACAAACAAAACGCGCGCAGCAGCTTTCCTCGTGGTTGGCTCCCAGCGGCGCGGTGGCGGCATTTCTTTTTTTTCGGTGTTTTTCGTCTTTGAAACTGTACAGGACAGGACAGCTTCTACTTTTGCGCGCGCACTCGCCAATGGTTAGCAAAAAAGCAAAAAGCTGCTCGCGTTGCGCGCGTTCCCCTAACTGTGAACCTCTTTGTAGCTGGTTCGGTTGTGCATTGTGGTTTTGCACGGCCGACAGCAAGGGCCGGCGGGCTTGTTGTACTCGTGCGCATTCCCGGGCCTTGCAGAGCAAAGACTGACCTTGCTCCGCACACGAGCAGCGCGCGCAGCGTCCTCCCTTCCTTTGCTTCGACGGCGTTGCGTGTCCCATTCCTGCACCGTCGCGCCGGCTTTTTTTATTTCGCGCGCGCGCCGCGCCTGCTCTGCCCGTCGTTGCTTCGCGCCGACGGCCTTGCTGCGCCTTCGTACGTTCGCGGACCTTTAAAATTGCCTCCGCGCGCGCGCAGCACGTGCTCCGTTCCTCGCTGTTTCGCGCCGACGGCTTTGCGCTTTGTTTTTTTTCACGGGCGCACGGCAAAAAAAAAAAAATTGTCGCGCGCGTGCCGCACGCGTCCCACCCTTCGCTGCGTCGCGCCGGTGCCCTTGCGCTTTCTTCCATCATTGGCGGCCGGCCAAAAAAATTCTTGCGCGCGCGCTGCGCGCGCTCCACCCTTCGCTTTTTCGTGCCAGCGCCCTTGCAGTTTGTTGCCTGAGCGGGTACCCGACAAAAATTTTTTGCGCGCACGCCCCACCCTTCTCTGCTTCGCGTCAGCGGCCTTGCGGTTTGTTGCCTGCGCGGGTACCAGACAAAATTTTTTTGCGCGCGCGCCCCACGTTTCTCTGCTTCGCGCCAGCACCCCTGCATTTTCTCGCACGGGGGCCCGACAAAATTTTTTTTCGCGTATCCTTTGCTGCTTCCCGCCAGCGCCCTTGCAGTTTCTTACAAGGGTAGCCGATGAAAATTTTTCTCGCGCGCGCGCAGCGCGCGCGCTATTTTCCGTTGCACCGCGCCAGCGTCCTTGCACTTTCTTGCACGGGTGGCCGACAAAAAAATTTTTCGGGCGCGCGCTGCATCCTTCGCTGCGTCGCGCTACCGCCCGCGCAGTTTCGATCGTGCAAGGATAGCCGACAAAAAATTTCCTGGCGCGCGCGGTGCGCGCGCTTCAGCCTTCGCTGCCTCGCGCCGACGGTCCGGCGGTTTCTATCTTGCGCGGGCGACCAAGAGTAAAAATTTTCTTTCCCGCGCGCGCTGCGCGCGCCGCTTCCTTCGGTGCTTCGCGCCAACGCCCTGGTGGTTTCTATCTTGCTTGGACGGGCGACCAAAAAAAAATTCTTCCACGCGCGCGCTGCGCGCGCGCCGTTCTTTGTTGCTTCGCCCCAACGCCCTGAAGGTTTCTACCTTGCACGGGTGGCCGGCGAGCCGCGAAAATTTTCTCTCGCGCGCGCGCTGCGCGCGCTCCAAGCTGCCTTGCCTCAGGGTAACGCCGTCGGCTTTTCTCGCACGCGCGGGGGGGTGGCTGACAGAAAGTTTGTTCGCGCGCGCTTCGCGCACTGCTCCATCCTGTGCTGCTTCGCGCCGGCGCCCCCGCAGTTTGTTTCTATCTCGCACAGGCGACCGACAAATTTTTTTTTTTGGCGCGCGCCTGCGCGCGCTCCATCCTCGGCTTCGCTAGCGCCCTTCTAGTTTCTTGAATGGGTGGCCGATGCAATTTTTTTTCGCCCGCGTGCCGCGCCCGTGCCCTTCTTCCTCACTGCCCTACGCCGAAGGCCGTACGCGTTCGCTCGCGCGCGGCTGGCCGGTGAAAATCTCTTTCGCGGGCGGGCGTTGTGGATTCTTGGGTGTGGGTATTTGGCGTGCTGTGTTCGGGCTACCCCGGGTCGTGGGTCCCCGGGGTTGTTCCCGAGTTGCTATCTCGGTGCGCGGAGTGCCGGCCGCCGCCAGTTGCAGGGGGGCCCGCTGTTCCGGTCGTTGGGAAGGGCCCGCCTTGGTGGGGTGCCCTTGATGAAATCGCGCCAGATGATTGAACAGCCCGGGGCTTCGCTCGCTGCCCTTGCAATCTCGCTGAAGTTGCTGGGGGGCGGCCTCTCTTTCAAGTTGCACGTAGCTCCTGAGCGGCTGCCGGGCGCCTGGCCCTTGGGGATCAGCTTTTCTTGCGCGACTTGCCTGGCGCGATTTGTGTTTCGTTTGAGGCCGGTTCTAGGTGGTCGTGGGGGTGGTTTGCCTTTAAGGTCGCTCCGGAGCGGGTGCGGGGTGGGACGACTTGCCGTTAAAGCGGTCGAGGGACGACTTGCTTTTCGTTGCGGCTCCGCACCGGCCACACCGGACGAAATGGCCGCAAAATTGCGGCCGCTGCCGTTCTTCGGGCTTTATAGGCCAGTGCGCGTGTGAGATTGCATCGGGCAAATCGCCCTCGAGCGCGGCGCCAACATAGTCGGCACGGCGCCCTTGCGCTTGCGTCTGCGTCGGGCCGCATAGGGCAGTGCGCCCGCCCGTGAAGGTGCGGCCTGGGCCGCAAAGGGCGCCCCGCCCCTGGCATTGCACTGCGCCCGGGCGTCCAAGGGCGATGAGTCCCGCTTTTGTGGTTTTCTGGCGGGCTATGAGAATCTCCTTGGCAAGGAGATTCTCCCACGTTCGGGGAGAATCTCCTTGTCAAGGAGATTCTCCATGGAAGAAGAAGAGCGTGACGGCAGGAGGGAATGAAGGAAATAGAAGGAAAATGAAGGAAAAAGAAGTAAATAGAGGAAAAAGAAGCACATGAAGGAAAAAAAAAGAAAGAAGAAAAAAGAAAAAAGAGAAGAAAAAGGAAGAGGAGGGGGAGGAGGGGAGGAGATTCTCCTGGGGGTCCAGGAGAATCTCCGTGGGCCAAGGAGATTCTCCGAGTCCTTGAAGTTTCCCCTTCACCGATTTGCATTTGTATTTTTTTCCCGCGACAGGACGAGAAAAGTATCGCGCGAAGCCTTCTAGTCCTGTACTTATTTGGAAAAAAGAGGCTTGAAAGATCATTCATGGGTCGTCTAGTGCAGTGCGTTATTGACGAACGCACCTGCCTTGCATTTTCTGCGTCACCGATTTGGTTTTGGAGTTTCAACCACACAGTTTTTTTCTTGCATACCGTGGGGGCGGCTGCTACCCGGAGCAGATGGCCATGAACGAGGCGTTACTGGAGCTGGCCGCCCTGGAGACCGGGATCCCCTACAACTCTGAGTGCTTGAAGTACATCTTCGGGATGCCGGGAGAGAACGGGGTCTTTGGCTGCCAGTTCAACACGCACATCACCTGTTTTCGCCACTTTCTGGAAACCCTCGCGGGCCCGTTCGGGCAGAGACGCACGAGGAAGGTGTTTTTCCTCAATCCGAGGTTGGTAGACCTAAATTTCCGCCTATCCAAAAGAAAAACTCAACACTTTTTAGTTCTCGTGTAAAGTAGTATCACTCTGGGATGCTGCAGGTGAACTTGAACACGCAACACACCCTGCACAGGCTTGGGCTACAACCCGGTCGGCAAGAGATATGCGCTCGATCTAAAAACTCATGATGTACAGCACTTCGTATCTATCGTGCTGATGAATGCCAATGCGCGTGGTGGTCACAGACACAGGGCAGTCTCTTCGTCCTCGTGTGCTAGATTACTATATTTACGTACGGCACGGGCGCGCCCGGCCTCGCAATTGTGAGTTTTTTCTGTCATCAACCTGTGGGGCAGATGCATTGTCATGCTTGTAGCATAAGAAATACAAATTAGAAAACTATTACTACCCGACGAGCAGAGTTTTTGTCCTCGTGGATAGCGCCCGTACGGGAATGTGCCGATGAACGATACCAAACTTGTGCACGACGGTGAAAAAAACTCTCCCTTCCTGTGGCACTGGGTAAACTACGACCAGAAGAAGCCCTTCATTCTGAAGCACATGCTAGGGATCGAGGACGAGAACAGTGAGGAAGCGCGCAGGGAGCTCGACGAGTATGCCATTGTCGACGAGGGGACGGCGAAGCGCCATTTTATCGCCTCCCCGCAGTGGTGTCAGCGGGTAATACGCGGCCCACTAAGTAGTAGAAAAACGGCAAGAGATGACCAGCAAGGCGTCGGTAGAAGAAGTCCTACTTCGTCGAGCGGCCAGGACAGCGAGGACGCAGTTGTGTCATCGGTAGAGGACGGGACTGGTGAGTTGGCGAAAACTCCGGGGGATTCGCCCGAACTAGACCTCGAACCTGATGAACCCCCAGACGTAGATACCTGTACTTTTGGCAGTCCAGAGCCCGTCTGCCAACATCTACCGCATCAGTACATTTCGCAGTGTTGATAGAAGATGCACATTCAATTTCATCAAGATGATGCCCAGCAAGATGAACATGCTGAAGCTTCGAGCAGTGAGAAACGTGTGGCACCCTTTTCGTACGCTCTTTCTCTCGTGCTGATCCGATGGAAGCTAGGGATGAAACTAGTTTCTACAGTGTAAAAAATGATTCTGTCTTCATCTGCGCAGTGATCGCACCAAAATGATCGTCTCAGCTAAAAGGCCGTATTTCTCGGACAAAATGGATCCTGCCACGACCAAAACCGTTCCGGTCAACATGCTTTTCGCTTGTGCATTCGAACTTGTAATGTAGAAATCAGCGTATGCGTTGTAATAGGAGAAAAGTACACAACTAAGAGGCGAACACAGAACTTCTGCGCAGCGAAACTCTTTATAAATTCTTCTATGAAGGAGCGTCATCCCCTTATGCGGGTTTTAGGTTATCGGCTGCATCTAGTCTAAGTCACAGCGGGATGTTGTTGTTGTGAAAAAACACAAGAAGAAACAAGAGCCACCACCTAATACCATGGCCCCAGCTACCGGCGCCGCTCCGGCCATTAGCGAGCAGAAGAAGATGGATCAGCTGAATGGAGAGGACACACAGAGGGCCTTCGACCGTCTTTTCGAAACGGAACTTGCGCCCCGCTTACGTCAGGACGGCTGGGAGGTTCGATTAGAAGATCCGCCGCAGGCTTACCTCCACCTTTCCAAGCCGGCTTGGGGCGACCAACGAATATGCATTCGCACTCATGGGTCTGCTGGGTTCTCTGGACAGAAGTGGATGCCGCGGACGATGGCTTTTAACGTCAGAGATGCTCAACTTGGAGCATGCATTTTGCTCATTTTTACATTAGCAATGAATTATGTATGTATGATTATGCAAATAATCGTCCTGCCTCGTCCGAAGAATGTTGTTGAGACACTTCACAACTCAATTCGCACACGTGTGCGTGATAGAAGACAATGCAGCGAAATAAAGTATCTTCCGGTAAAGGTTTGGCATTCATTTTGGAAGATGCCGACCTTCATTCTCAGCCTCCAACTCCATCGGAGTAAATCTGCATGGCACGACCATAAAAGTGCGTCACCGCATACGCATTTCCACCAGCCCCAGACAGCACATTTTCATCGTTGATGCCGCATGAACGGGATCCACTTCGAAACGTACGTGTTGCGGACGCAGTTGAGAACGAGAGCCGCCCCGGTGGCGTTGCACTGCGAGAACGGCTGCGCGTATCGAGCCGATTTTCTGCGGATCTGCACCGAGAGATTGAAATCGCCCGACGGCGCAGGAGGACTCTTAGCAGAACGGCTTCTTTTGCCTCCCGTAGAAGTCCGAGGCCGAGCTGACACGGTGGATCTTCCTGTACTAGATGTTGATGAAGAAGACAAACAAAGGAAAATACAAACACCGAACCAGGTGGACCAGCGGCGAGACTTGCCGTGCACCTACGAGATAGGGGACCCAGCCTCGGGAGACTGCAGCGTGATTGAGGTGCAAGTCCCCTTCGACGGCTTGACCGCGGCGGAGACCGTCCAGCGACTGGCGGAGCAACTGGACCGCTTCCAAACGGTTCTAACGCCCTTGGTCGATGAAACGATTCAGGCTTGCAAAATAAACAGAGCCTGATATGGAGCTTACAAGCAACTTGGTGCCCTGTTGCTGACGCACTTTTTACAACCTGTGGGCATGGTGTAGTAAAGTACTAAGCATGAAGATGTTGGACTTGGATCTGCACTTACTTTTTCTTCGCGGTAGTTCAGAAGATAGGGCAGCTTCATCCTCATACCTGAAAAGCTTCTCGCATGTAGTGCTGTGCGGTCGCAGCAAGTTGGACTTTTTGTTTTTTCCCGATCGGTACGACACAGACAGCGCAATTTTCGATACATTTGAGTGCCCTTACGTAGAAAAGAAAGAGAAACCGCGGACCGCTTGCCTGTCTGTTAAGGCTTCATTTTGTCGCTCCACCCAAGTTGTTCGTGAAAACCACAGGATGACTTGCACTTGTTGAAGTCGAACGGAGCATCATGAATGTTGCGAAATAAATTGGCTTTCAATGTGGAGGCTCTTCTACGAGTCTTTCCTCACCTGCTCAGATGAAATGGTACATAATTTTGGCAATCTGATCATCATTGCATTGCTCTGACTGCAGCATCTGCATCGGAGATTGAAGGTTATGGATTGGATCACCGGTATACCTTAGAGGATGGGATCACCTATACCTTGGTATCAGGAGGAGACATTGCAATTGTTGAACTAATAGATTTCATTCTGATAGAAGGTAGCGGAAGCAGTTGCGCTTGCGCGCTCGCTGCAGGAGTCTTGCTGCAAAAGAAAAGAAAACTGTCACTGTCTTTAGCAGATGTCGAGGATGTTTCACCAGCGACAATTATAGGTAGAGTTTGATGAAAGAGAGCAATGTTTTCTAGTTGCAACAGGAAAGAAAATGCGGAAACATTCAAATTTAGTCTTCTTGTTTGAACTTGAATAGCAAAAGAAATTTAGAAGTACCCGGCGTTAATACTATGCCATGGCGAGGATCATTGGTCCCTGCTTGTCTAGTAGTTGATGATGCAGCGACCTTCGTGTGTTTGTACACAGGAGCAGGACGGCGCCGAAGCAAAAAAGGATAGTGTGACCATGCATAAATGTTCGGGTCAGCAAGGACGGTAGACGTAGACCTCCCGTGAGATCGACACGCCTTTGCAGGATTGTATAATTGAAAGCAACTTCTACGACTACCCGACCCGTATCATGTGAGTACTACACGACTTTTTTATGCAGTTTGAGTCTGGAGCGCCAAAGTAAGAAATAGAAATGTCAGAACATCGAGCGACGTCTGAAAGAACAACCCTCCCTGGCGGCGCGGCCGGACAGGTCGAGCCCGCGACGTTCCTGCCCGATGTCATGTCCGCGGAGGAATTGGCGACCGCCCAGGGGGCGACCTGCGTGTCGATTGTGGCGCGCGTTGCTGAGGCGAACTTGCACTACATGGGATCGATCACCATGAACTCGTCCCTGGCGCCCCTTGGGTTCTTGGACGGCAGACTGTGCGAAATTCGAAATCTGACCCGAAACCCAGTCCTGCTGGAGGACAAAGACGAAAGACCACGGACGCGAGGTGGTGTAGTTGCTCCTGGTGCAGGGTCTCACCACGACAGGCATGATGCCCTGCTCCGTGAGGAGCGTGTCCTGCCGGGGGGGAGCGGACCTAGAAGGCACGGGCTCGTCGTCCAGGGGCACCAGACGTGGCAAGCCAGCACCAGCGACACGACAACCACGTCAAGAAAAATGCCAAATAGAACTCCAAGTCTACTCACTGAGGACCCGCAGGTACAGGCAGGGCAGAACTGTTCCAGTGGTGTTGGTGGTAGTAGTGTTGTACTGGGCCAGGATTACGTTTACGAGGCATCCATGTTGAAGAATAGTGGCTCTGGCTGCTCGCTGTCGAGGTCGTCTACGGTTTCCAGTGGGCGGAGCAGCGAGGACTTTGATACAACAACTCACGAAGCTGCAGCAGCGGCTCCTCGTATTTCTGGCGGACAGGGAGCAGAAAGACCTCTGTGCGGGGCGCCGACAGAACAACGAGATGAAGGCAGGTCTCGTTCCGCCCACAAAGATAGTTTTTTGCCCACCTCGTCTTCCTCCGCACAAGAAGAGCAGGAGGGCTTTTTTTTAGCCGGGCAGACGAAATCGGTGACGACGAAAAATCGGCCCCGCGCTAAAACAGACCACCCTCGGGGAACAAATTCCTCGCGAGTTGGGGCAGGAGAGCAGAAGTGCAAGAACTCACTTGGTTTATTTTCGCGGCGGGTTCAGCCCCCGGCTTCGTCTTCATCGAGGGAGCCGATACAGTGGGGCGGGCAAGGCAAGCAAGACCGCAACCTCAGTGTTCACCTCGATATCCTCTCCGCCGCGATCACGAGGACCCCCGGGATTGACGAGGGGCCGCAGGGCTTATGCATTGGTCCGTAAATACGTCTGGGTCAGGAACATTGCCAACTTGTGATACTGACTCTGGAGAATCTGAATTACAAAAAAAGCAGTCTTTTGCATAAGCATGAATAAAGAGGTCTTGTCCATACCATGTGGCAGCTAGTTGTACGCGATGAGCGAATTTCAGATGCGGGATCATAACTCCCTCGCAAAGAACATACTGCTTTTATGCACACGACCATCGGACGATAAGTAGTAGATCCTTTCTTTGTGTGGTCCAAAAGCTGCATAGCGCCCCAGCACGACCCTGCTCGACCTCCCTGCCGATGCGTTCGGAATGAGGAGAAGGTCGACGTTGTCCTTGCTCTTCGGAGCACGCAAGTTGGCGTGCGTTGCTGGTAACTTATTTCGAGGGGAAAGGGTCCAAAAAACGCATGGTCGAGGACCGGCGCACTCGTTCTCGAGATCCAGACATGTTTGCACTTTATAGGACGCGCGCATCACGGAATCGTTTGGTGGAGTCGATGGAGATGGTGCTGGCACAAAAAATGCCGAAAACATCATCAGCGAAATAAAGACGAACGAGAGCAGTTGTCAAGAAAAAGGTCCTCCTCGTCGCCCAGGCGCTGGCGGCGCATCTTTTTCCCTTGCCGACCAAGGCGGCCGGCCCGGGGCGAGCCGTTACGGCCATGCGCTCGTGGCGAATAAAGCCGATGTCTTTTACACCTACATCATTGCGGACGATGATATTCCGGTTGGCGAAGTCTGCTTGAACGGCGCGGCCGCGCACCGGGTTCGCGTCGGCGATCTCGTGCAGGTCAGTCCCCTGCTGTACAATTGCTCGTCCGTGCCTAGCCGTTCTCGTTTTGAAGAAGTTAATTCAACATTTGGTGATGTCGCGGCACGCCGAGGATCGTTTTTCCACACCCAACACGGTAGCTCGAGTTCCACTTCCACGCCCAAACCGGTCGTGGGAAACCTGATCTTGCAAAGTAAAGACACGCGGGAAGGACTCGGGGTGGGTCATCGGAAACCTGAAGATCTTGTTGCCCCAACTACTGCCCCTACTACACCCGCCGATGGCCGAGTGGAAAATTTTCCGCTGGAACACGGTGTTGATGCTGTCGGAGCTGCGCGAGGACACCTTCCTCAACCAGGCCACTCACCGCCAGGTGCTGCCGAGGTGGACGAGGAGAGGTGTGATTCGGGTAAAAAACAACAATTAGACCTCCTACGACCGCGTGAAGATGAAGTACGAGCGCGAGGCAGCGGCCCCGCGCCCACCTCCCACCTAGATGGAAGTTTTTGGCGGATAAAGGAGGCGGACGAGGGGGAAGTTGTACACGAACTAGTACGTCCGGCTCCCAGCAGCTACCAGTACCACCTCACAAGAAAACCCGACGAGGAGGTTTTGTTCTCAACAAATAAAACCACCAGGGCTGTGGTGGACCTGAGTAGGACTTCAGGACGGTCAGCTGCTCCAGCAATGCCTACTAGTAATAGTGTGGTGCCTGTGGCTGGGCCACCAGGTCCACGGGCATCTCCTGCGAGGCCGCAAGTTGAAGTAGACGCAGATGATGACCGTGACAAGGGCACTGTATTTGTAGCAGGTGGGGAGAAAAGAAGGATTTCATTTGTTCCTTTCCCACCAGGCGAAATCAATACATTACCCGCGAAAATCGCAGACGAAATTTCATTTTCCTCCCCCCGAAGTGCGAAGACCCGCACGCCCGACAGCACCACTCGCTCTTCCCCCGATTTTTTGACTGAGGTGATCGACCCTGATGTACCGCCGCGTGGCGGGAAGATGAAGGGACTTCTTGAAGATTGCGCGCCGGTTTGCGCAGCGGCGCGCTCCTCGTCTACGCCCCAAATAAAAGCGACCACGAACAAGGGGCCCGTGCTCCTGAAACTGGAACAAATAGACCTTGGAAATAAACACTACGACTCCAAACCGCAGTGGCGAAAGCCAAAACGGACGAGAACGCGAGGCGAGATTAGCGACGACGACGCCGGGCACGGCCAGAAAAATGCTTCTTTTGGGCGAAAGTCGTCTGCTCGTGCACGAGTAGAGGGACAACCGCAACTACCTGCACCGATCGGGCAGAACCTGGCGAGCTTTGTGTATGGGAAGTTGCACTGCTTCAAAATCACGAACGTTTTTTTCACGCGGTCCGATACCAGGGCGGAGCACAGGCAGCGGCTCGTCGTATGACGAGGAAAAAATGATCCCACCTTCTGACATTCATCACAAGCGTACCATTTGTATCAATGCCGTGCTGCGACTTCTTTGTATAAATGAAAAAGACAGCACGACAGAGGGATGAAAAGGAGAAGTAAACGGAATAGCTGCTAGTGGAGATCTGTTTTTCATTCGTTCCAGCTACTTACCTACAACAGTAAACTATCATGGCTGCCATGCTCAAAAGCTGGCCCGCTGCACGATGAATAAGAATATTATAAACCTAAACAGACCTCGAATGCTCCTGCGATCAAGAATTTGTGTGAGACATACACACAGCCCGCATCAGAAGTGTTAGTTTGAATAAGGGGACCACGAGGCGGTGGGATTTTTCATTTTGGTAGGTTGTGGACCCACACCTCGCGCGCGCCGCAAACCTGCTCGAAAACAGCATTGTGCACTTGGTCAGCGTCGATTCCGGCGCACGGTGGGTGCTTCCTCTCGAATACGCCAGTTGGAAGCACGAGTCTGCGGCTGGCGAGATCTCCTTGGTCGTTGATGAGTTTAGCGATACCACCGACATCCGAGAAAGCACAAAGGCCTGCTTCAGCATCGGCATGACGGTAATCATCATGGGGTACGCGACCAAGACCTTGCCGACGTTGGTACAACCGACCACTGGGCGAAACCATGCGGGTGAGGCTGGTATCACCATAAAAACAAATAGTGCTAGTGCACCAATCTCAGAGCGGCCAAATGTTTGTATTGCACAAGTTCCCAGTGGGGTTAGGAGCTACAGTTGCCAGCTTGTAAGTACTTACTTACGTCGTAGTAGCAGCATCTTCACAGATTTTGGTTCCTGAACTGTAGTGAAAATCCCCATTCATGGTCATTGTGCGCGCGTGCTGTATAATTCCAAGCGATGTCTGTCATGCTAGGGCGAAGTTCACCACTGGCGTAGACTTTGCAACTGATAAAAATGCGTCGTGTACTAGTTCCCGTGAGCTTGACGCAACACCAATATTGGCGAGATCATGCCCTCAGGGATTAATCGTAAAGTGGATGACTTCATCTATGTACGTAGTACTATGAGTTGACGCCGTTTAAATTGTTTCGTGCAACTCGAGAAGATCATTCCACCCACCTGTGAAGTAAACTTTGCGAATGCAATGCAAACTCTTAGATCTTCCTGGGGTGTGGCACTTTTCATTTTCATAAGTTTAGGTTGGACGGAGATGCCGTTAGCTGACACCTCCTCTGGCGCTGACGAGCGGGAAGAAGAAAACCGGCCACATGCTGGTCTCGCAAATCGTTATGCTGCGGCAGGACACGTGGTATGCAAGCCGAAGGTCATTGTGCCCCGTGACACCAGTGAGAAAAGTCCGCTTTTGTGCAACAAGCATTGGCGGGAGCTGCAGACCCAATCCGAAGCCGAAGTCAACGAGAAGATGCGGCAATCGGGGAATTTCGATGTCAGCGCGGCGGTGATTGATGTTCCTCTAGAGGAAAAGATGAACAACAGAACATCCGAACGAATGGAGGAACAGATCCTCCCTCCGCCTGGTTCATTGCGAAAAGGAGGAACGACTGAAAATCTCGCTCTAGCCCCGCAAAAGGTATTGAAGACCCAGCACGCCATTGACACCACCACGCGCAGCACGCCAAGAGCGACGTCGCAGCGAATAAATCCACCGGCGCAACTTCTTCTCAACGGGGACTACGTTGATGGAGAACTACACCAGGAAGCCGTGCCTGGAGATGTTGCCGTACAGCAAGCAGGCGATGCAAGAGCGGGAAATAAAAGCGACGTTGACACAGACACAGCGACAGCAGCCCCAAAGCACGGCCAGGCGGAGAAACTACATGGGCCGGCGTTTCAGACTTCTTCTGGCACTAGCGCACAACAAATGCAGTGCGGGTACGCGGCTGCTGACGCGGCTGCTGTGATGAAGATGAACAAGAAGGCGGACGCGAAGGGAGCAGCACAAGAAGAGCAAGAAAGCGAAGCCTTGTTAGTACGGGACGAGCAGGAAGTAGAGAACAACTGTTTCTTCGAGTTTGTGCACGAGCAGCGGACTTTTTCGGTGCTGCGCGAAGCGGATTTCGAAGCCTATACCGACTCTTTTAAGCTCGAGCGTCCCGATTTCGACTTTGAGAATCCGGACGTGCTCGCTCTTCCGCACGACCACCCGAGCGCATTCGAGACCGGCGAAATGGTGCACTGCTCCTTCGTGGAGGCCCGGAGCATGTGGACCACCCCCACGCGCGGCCGGACGCCCGAGAACCGATCCAATCGTGTCACTAGCTACAAGCGCAACACTGCGTGCGTCAAGGAGGTCGCGCGCACGCGGTTCCTCTCCGCTGGGCGCGGCGACGGCGTGTATTGTGCGGCGTTCGCCAGCGATCGCTTCAAAACCGTCGCGCCGGATATCAGATTGAAAAGTGCCGCCATAATTTTAAAATAGGGAAACCATGTAGTTCGTTTGTATGGCAACGCAAGACTTACCAGCGGAAGCATCTTCTACCTTGCCTGTCTCAGCATCACAAGTTTTCTACAACCCAGCAGAAAAGCGAAGGCCGTCCGTGACGTTGCACGACGGAGCTGCAGTACAAGAAGCGACATTCGTTGCGCTAAAGCTGTGGCACAAGAAAATGCGTCGCGCTCTCTTCATGCGAGACAAAAACCTTGTTTCATCTCCTGGAAAATTCGCAACACAAACATTTTGTCGACGTTCTTCACATTTTTTGTGGCGGAGCACTTTTTCGTTCGATGCCGGAAGTCGTGGTGGAGCAACACGGGGGCGGTCAGCATCGGAGCTCGACGCCAACGCGCACGGGCGGCAAGAATGCTGGTGTGTATGCGCCGAAAATGAAGAGCTGCGGTGGGTCGTCTCCAGAAAAATTATCCGCGACGGGCGGTGCAGGAGATGTAGGTGTAGCTTCCGCGTCCCCTTTTACGACGATTCGGAACGCCAGAAATCATATTAAAACACTGCTATGATCCGCTCAATCAGGTGCAGCTACGATCAGGACATGTCTTGTTTAGTTGCATTTATCACACAGTATCTTCTGAAAAAGATTGTCATGAAAGAGCCGCAGCATGATCTCGATCGGGCCTTTCCCCGCAGGAATGTGCATTGCAAGTTCCGGGATTCTTAAACGGAACGAGAATCTAGTGAAATCTGTGCTGAGGTAAATGCGTGCTGCACGTTCCTCATACTTCTTATCACGCAAGACAAAGTCGAGAGGACTTTAAGATATGTAGCAATTGAGATGGTAGATGTAGTCACTCCTGAGTGGGTTATAACTGCAGGAGCTGGATCTGGGGCGAAGAACTTCCGACGTGCTCTACTCGACGGCTGTGGTTGGCCCGATCTTCGTGTCGTCCACCTGTTTGATATGAGACGGCATAACTCCGACTCCCCGTCGCCCTTATTTGTACATGCATTAAGAGCAAAAATAGTTAAGCTATACAACGTCGGCAAAATAAAACAAGATTGCAGCTGTTGCATGACAAACGTCCACAGGATGTTGCTGCTGCTTGGGTTTGAAACAAGAACTTGTCGTCCAAAGAACAGTGCAAGGTAAAGTGAGTGAAATTGTGGATTTGATGGTTTTCTGCATGACCAAGAAAGAGGGAGAGATGGAGCTGTCGTGCGCTTTCATATTGGCGGTCGAGAAACAACCTCTTTCACGGTATCGAAGACGAACTCATTTTTGCCCGACAATACAAGGATGAACACTAGCGCACCAGCACTTCCACCACAGTACTAGAATAAAGTTGTGCTTGGCCACTGCCTGCCACGGGAAATAAACGAGCCAATGGGTCTTCCAGCCGGTAGTTACTGTGCCGCACATCAAAAAAGCTCGGCGCAAGGGCTGGCGCTCTTTCTCTGGAAATAAGCTTGATAGAAACTCCAGTGGCTGCACGTATTTGTTGTAACTGTCTCATTCCCCCCGCCACCTCGCAGCATGGAGCAAGGCACAGACAGAGCTACCATGGGCTTTTACTCTTGGATAAAGTTGCACCGTCACGCTTATCATGTTGTTCGCGCGATTGTGGTAGTAATCGTGATCTGATCGTTGCGGATTGCTCGGCACCAAAGGCACTTCATTTGTTCCGTGCTCAGCAACGACGGACCTGTTCATCTGTATAATCCTGATTGTTTTGTATGTTCGAAAAAAAAAGCCACTCTCGTCTGGCGCGAGAGAAAGTCGCTTATTTGGAAGGTGCTGTAGTTTGTCCATCTGCCTACTAGTTTCATTTCTAATTCTTCTTCGTGCTACTCCCTAGCCACCAATCTTCTTGTGTCAAAGCCTGTGCCCTCTCGTCGAACCAATTGACGAAAGTCTCATGAGTTGGCGCAGTCGATCACAGAACGTTCGCATGAGCACACCTCAAGGCGCACCAATAATGATAGCCTTGCAATTGTTTTTTCCTGGCAGGAGCAGCAGCAGCATGTGCAAGAATAGAAGGCCGTGCATGAATGAATACGTCCGTGCGTGTGCATCTGCTTAGGACAGATAAAACAACGTGTTCATGTATACTGCTGCAGCGCTACGAATCAGGAGAGGTTCGGCAGGTGCTGGTCACGAAATCATGAGAGGAAGTCCTCGACGCCATGCCCTCCTTGTACCTTCCAAATGTAAAGACAAAGAACCCTCCACCGTAATAAAAGAGTTGACGCACCGTATGTTTACCATGATATCAGATGATGAAGAGAGTAGAACCGTTTTTCGGGGCATGAAAAAAAGCAAATAAATAACCAAGGTAGAAAAATTTTTAAATTCAAACCATTCAATAAGAAGATGCGTACCCCAAAAGTGCTATCCTGTGCAGAAACAGACCCGCGCCACGCTTGTCATGTTGCAAGTTTAAGGGACATGCTCGGAACGTCATCTCTGATGTGCAGCGCCATGTGAAGAGCAGTCAGTCTGTTGTCTACTGTTTTCGTTGTCCCCTACGATAATTAAATTTTGCTGCTCGAAGGGACAATAAGGACGTGGATTCACGATGCGCCTGCCGCACTAGCGAACGACAGTTGATGCGCTGCGAATCCAATCACACACTTGTCATGCGCAACAGCCAATGTAAGGTCTGGGTCTCCAGCTCCAGTTGCATTAACAAGCTGAACAATTACCACACTGGTCATGGTAAATCTTGCCGAATTGCGTGGTTAGGGTGTTTTTGCACGGGACAAGTGGTAGTCTTCGACTTGGACAATTGTTGCTGGGATCCGGAAATGTACCAAATGTCGCACGGCTCTCCCTTATGCGTTGCACATACATGAACATGATGCGCATGTTCCGGAAGGTTCAAGAAGACCGGTGCTTGTAGTGAAAGTGCAAAAATCTGGTCTGGCATAATATGCAATGCAGCTAGCTCTTCCTGCATAGATATACATGCCTCTAAGATAAAATGCAACTGGGCTGCTGGTGGTAGCCAGCCGTTTATAGGGTGCGGTACTACGCTTATTAAGACAGAATTCGGACGAACTGTTGTCATTGCTCATCTGCACTAAGGATGCACAAGTAGAAGTCTGAATCTATGACAACTACAACTTTCCAGACCCTGCCGACGTCAGCACATTTGCAGTCGATATCTGTTCACCCACGATCCCAGCACCAACACATGCAGGAGTCAGCACGCGAGGGGCGAAACGGTCCGTCTCTTGGGCGACGTGGCGGAGATCTGGGGGTTATGAACTGCAAAAGTATCGTACTCGTATAAATGCATTACAAATTTCCTCAGCATGAGAGAGAAAATTTGTAATGCGGATTTCCCTTAAGAATATAGATTTGTAATGCAAGACTTGCATTTATACGAATACGATACTTTTGCACAGGATAGGGGTTTCTGCGTTACAACGGCACTCTATGGATGTGTCAGAGTTGAAATCGACCAAGTTGAAATAATTTGTCATGCATAAAATGGATGCCAGTTCTTGGAACCCAGTTTTCAAGTGGCGCGTGACAAATTTCGGCGGTCCCTAAATCCAGTTTGTCATGCTGTTTAGGCAAAGAAGAGCGATTTTGATTTTCTCATGCTATTTTAGCAGCTCGAGCTGTATTAACCCCAAACAGGCTCACGGTCGGCCTCACTTGCCTGCTCTGCTTGCAACACACGTACCTCGGCTCATGCATTTTATGCATGACAAATTATTTCATGTGCCCGAGGATGATGGTGATGGCTTCGGTCCGCCTGACTCCACGACCTGGTGGCCGAACCATCTGCGGTGAGGTGCCCTTACAGGTTGTGTAGTGGTTTCGGTCGGTTTAGCATGACAAATTATTTCAACTTTGACAATTTCAATCCTGACGCTTCCATACACTCTGCGGGAGTACTGGACCCACGTCCTCGGGAGGGGGGACAACCTTGTGTACGGGCAAAAGGAGGAGCCTGGTGGCCCTCCTCTTACGCATATTAACCCCAAAAGTCGTGGAACTGGAACGACCACAATGTCCACGGGAGCATCAAACACGAGTCACCACAGCCCGTTTCTGGACGTAAACTTCCGCCAAAGCGGCACGCGCATCGCCATAGCGAGCTGCTGCGACGAACCGGACCGGGCGCGCGAACTGCTCGGCAAGTTCCGAATTATATCCTAGAGAAAAGCAAACGCATACCAGATAAAATTGTATTGCTATCTATCTTTGTGTTTTTTTATCTTCATGTTCATGATGGTGTGAAAATGAGAAACTCTGTGATGTCGCAATAGGGAAGAGAGTGTGTGATGCAGGATGGAGATCGTGATGCGGACAATGAAGCAGAGAGGCAGATGCAAGAATATTTGTTGTGATTCTGAACCGAAAAAAGTCTCTTTTTTGTTTACATAGAAAACTGCATCACAAAGGCGGCAAGGTCGGCTTATGTTGTACAAGCTTATTTCTCTTGGCGGATAAGTCCGCAACGTGAACAGGAGCAGCAGCCCAGCCGGGGGCCTCGAGCAGGCCGACCCGTCGACAGGGACTCTGAGGATGTCTGGGCTGAAGCGGCAAATGACAGAGATTCGCGGGGTATCCACTGAATAAAATATGTTGGGGTCCGGATCCGGAAGAACGCAGAAGTTTGTCACGCAGCTTTTTCAACATACCCCGCGAGGTCTGGAATCAAAGCCAAATCTAATCAGCATATTAACAGATTAGGCCAATGCTTCTCCATGCCTATAATTCCGCATGGTAAATCTTTTGTTCTGCGCTACATCCACCTGGGTGGAGTTATCCATCTCGGGGCATCGGCGCAGGGTAAATCTGTTCTAGCCCCCAGGCATTGGAAGAGACTAAATCTGTGTAACGCCCACCCGCCTCCAGGAGGAATCGAACTACTCTTCTTATCAGTAAATGGCTTGTCATCTTCGCAACCGCATTGTGCTGGATACTACTGATTAGCATGGCGATAGTTGGACAGCTTTTGTTGTTCATGCAACACGAAAAATTTGTCTGTCAGCCAGATCTACACTTAGCATGAGACCCAGACCAATACATATATTTTTTTTTGCAATGCATACGGAGGCAAGAGGACGAAGACCCCCGGAACGAGCGAGGGGGAGACCTTAATAGAACAGCAGGAGACTATGCGGGACGCGGTCAGCTACGTGCAGATTCACTACGGCGCCAAGACCCAGCATCTGTCGCAAATACAGAAACAGTCTGGAGAGGACTACGAGGACATGATTTTTTTCGATGACCAGAGCGGTCACATACGAAACGTCGGCAATCTGGGTGTAGTTGCAGTGCACACACCACGGGGCGGCGTCACCTGGGCGCATTTCTTTCAAGCGCTCTCCGCTTTTCATTGACACAAAAAAATTTGATAAGATTTTCATGGGTGCGGAGGGCTACTCCTTGGCCACAATTACAAAGATGAACAAGCAACATTGGAAGGGTGCCTTCCGTAGATATTAGTATTTGTCTGCGGTGCCATCGAGTGCGAATCTACGTGTTTTTGAAAATACATTACAATTATGCCATGCAGAACGACGACAAGATACCTTCTTTGTCTTTCTTGGGCAGTTTCTGGCTCACCGTGGCAGCTATAGAGTGCCAGAGAAGCGTGTGCTAAATTGTCTTCCATCATTGCGGAGGAAAAAATCGATCAGAAGAAATAACTAGAACACCACACGAAAGATGAGAGCACAGATGACATGGTCCGGCATCCTCTGCCAAGCAAGTATTGTATTTCAAGAAGATGCTTGAAGAAATGCGCCATGTTGGTATTCGTCAGGACGCACAGATTTAGGTATTGATTCAACGCGCCGCTTCCTTGCCTTTTTGCTACACAAATGTCTTGGAACTCGACCTCAGAATGAAACATTTGCATTGCCAAAAAACGAAAATTTTCTATTGTTTAGAAGCAAGGCGACGGAAAGGAAGCACCTGCACTGGCTCAGCTTATTAGTCCTGAGCGTGAGCGAAAGAATAATAAAGCAGGCGTCTTGCAGCTCCAGATGTTTCTTCGTCTGGGTTCGCCCCTTCAGAGGCTTTCAACAGAGGTGTTGCTTCAGTCTATACTTCTCTTGGGTATAGTACTCATACTAATTTGCAGAAGAACAGGGCCAGCGTCTTGGACCGTTGATATGATTAACAGTTGCCCATTTATTCGGTATTCCAAATCGACATCCATCTTCTCCAGAGATATGTGCATTGGTATCGACTATTCCGAAAAAATGAATTGCACACAGAATGCGCTGTATGTGCGGTTTAGTTGTGCTTGTCCGTCTCCACATCCTACAAGCTGTAGCGCAAACAAGCACCTCGCCGCGCCGTAAGTTTTGGAATGGCAAATTGGCACCAGGTTAAGGTTTGCGGCGCCGGCGCTGTAGAAAGAAATAAAACTGCGATGCGTGCCACAGTTCGTGGAAAAGTTCTTTAGCTTGCGTACAGCTGCTTTGCCATTGATTTTTGATTTTGGTGGCTCGGTGCCTTTTTTCTCGTTCCTACCGCCCCAGCAGCGCCATGACGGCCCGCGCCTTCGAGTTGCCTTAGCCCTCTTTCCTGGGCGTTCCGACAATGGGACCTGGATCAGCCGCATACTATGGCACTGAGATGTGAGGAATCTTCGCCACCAAGAGCAAAACCAACCAGAGCAGCTTCAAGCGCGCACGCGCCTGTGGTAGTGAGGTGGCGTAGCCCGTAATATGCCCGTCGGTCGATGTTAAGTACCTAGGTCTTTCGGGGCTTTCAGTCGTGACTGTCTGGACATCTAGGACTTCTAGGTCGCTCAGGACACAGAGTTGCGGCACGGAGAAACTCTGTTTTTCGATGAAGGTGGAAAATTCCTGCAGGCTTTTCAGCGCCGGATTCCGCGCGACGAGTCTGCCCATTCCGAGCGCGACCGTGACGGACACCGTGCAGGCGGACGCGAAACTCATGAACAAAGCGGACGTTCCCACGGTGGCGCCCGACCGGTTCACGTAATTAGTCATGGCGTTTCCCCTCTGGTTCATGAACTGCCAGAACGCGGCGGCCGCGGGACCCGTCGGCCCGTGGAGCAGCATCCCCATCGCGGTGGGTGCGTTTACGGGCACGAACGCGGACATGCGGCCGGGCAAAAACATCACCTCCTGCGTCACGGGGTGCACCATGCTCTTCACCAGCTGTTTCGCCTGCCAGAAAGCGTCGTTCTCGGCGTCGGAGTAGTTTCTCCCAGGTTTCCAGCCCGCCAGCAACGCGAGCGCGGTGCGCAGCTCCGCCTCCGACATGCCTGTGGCGCTGAAATTGCGCGTCTTATTGAGAAAAATCGAGGTTATTCGCCCTTGTTGTGAAGCTGCAAGGACCGGAGACAGCAACGCCGTTTTATTGGGTGACGCGCAAACAGTTCGCCTCTGGAGAAGGAGGCGGAGCCTGAGTTGGGCACGGCGCGCAAGCGGATGATCCGCGCTGCACGAAGAACGTAGCTGCTTCATCATCATTTTCAAAATTGTCAAGCTTGCGGAGAAGCAAAACTAGGATACGACACGCGAGAAAAAAGCGCAAAGGGTAGACGTAAACTTCATCTTGATTGGCATGGAAAGAAAAAAAGCGCTGCGTCATGTGGTCGCACCTCAGCAGGACCTCAGTGCTCTCTCGCAACTGCTACAAAGCTCAAGTATCTTGGTCCCGACGAGTGCTAGGATTAGATAGCTGCTAATGCTGCCAAGACCGTAAGTCAGTGTTGAGTTTGTGCCATTCTTGCGAGCCTGTGGCTCTGCGGCAGAGCAAGCAGGTATTTTTGCATAGTTTGAGTTTGCCCTCCTGATTCCTTTCAATGTTTTGTGTCCACGGATACTACCATCTCTAAGATAAAACGACACAGAGTTGCGGCACGGAGACACTCAGTTTTTCGAAAAATTGTTGATCTGGTAACCATATCAAATGCAAAAATGTCTGGGTCTGGAAGAGTCTGAGATTAGTCATGCATATTTTGCATGACCCAGGATGTCTGTAATGCACGACCTAGCATCACAGATTCTTCGAAGGCTTCCTGATACCTACCCCGCATGACAAATGCCCTCCCCGCGTAGCAGAAACGAGACCTCTCTTGCTGGTCATGCAATGCAGATTTTTTATAGTCCAAAGTTAGCATCACAAGTTCCAACCTTCCAGACCCAGACATTTTTACATTTGATAAACCAAATGCGTCTGAGATGCTCATCCATCGCAAACGCAGCGCGAAGGCTTTGCCGTTACCATATGGGAGGAACTCGGGGGTATACAACCACTCGCAAAGTCGGGCATTGCCAAGTGTGTTTTGCCTTCAGAAAGCGCATCGGGGGGAATTTGTGGGAATTTTGCTGAAAGCAGACAAAACAGCTATTACTAAGCGGGGGGAGCGTAAAAAAGAGCATTTTTGCAGCTCCGCCTGGTCTGCATCTGAAAAAAGATAGTGGTATTTTCGGCTAGGACCGATGGCGTGATTCGTTTTCTAGCGAAAAATGCGTCACTTCCGGGTAAGTAGCTCCAGCCGCTTATGAATTGAAAAAAAGTGTTGAAAAAATGAAATTTTTCGCAGCATGCAAGCGGGCGACAAAATTTACCAAATTCGTGCATGACGCGAAAACCGCTTAGAAATTGAAAATGGCAATTTTTGCTGCGAGAGTAAAAGCCGCTCGAAAATTGCCGCTCAAAAGTGGTTTTCAAATTTGTCCGGAGGCCCGTGGCACCGGGATTGGACGACAAAAAAACAATTATCAAGCCTGTGGAGGTGTGTCACACGGGCACGGTTTTCGACCTCTCTTAGGTCGGTGATTGGAACCCTTCACTCGCTTGAAAATGCCCGATCTGGGTGGCCAAAAAGGGCCGCCGGAAATGAACAGAGTTGCGTTGCTTTTTGTAATAAATTTGCGTATTTTTTCGGGCCAGCGTGCCCTCGCGCATAACGTTTTGCACAACGGAGCGATGCTCGCTGAAAATCTCACTCTTTTGCGCGCCCTTGCTTCCTGGTTAGAGGATGAGAACGCGGCCCGAAGCGGGCTGCAGTGTTGGACCGCGGCCCTTGGTCCGCGGTCCAAGAGTGGTGCCCGCGCTGGTCCAAGGGTGGTGCTGCATGAGCTGCATGTCGCTCAGGACACAGAGTTACGGAGAAACTCTGTTTTGCGAAAAATTGTTGATATCGGGTGGCGAATGCGATTAGCAAAGTATTGAGAGAAGAGGCAGGCGAAACAGGAGCGAGGAGAAAATGAATTGAATAGAAAACAACATCTGACATCCTGCTCGGCAGTACCAGAATGATAATCCAGTACTTTCGTCCATCGAGGGCATTTTCGAAAAACGCCCCCGATGGACATGTTTCATCTACTCTTGAAATTTAGTCGCGAAATAGAGGAGCAGGAGGACTTGGTATCAGGCTAGCTCCAGGTACGCTTTCTAGAAAGGTCTTTCATCTGTACCAACGGGGCGCACATGAAAAATCGTGACTCCCGCGAATCCTGGCAAGAAAAAGCGACACTGAAAATTACGCCTGCTGGATGCGCTCATCGCAAACATCGTGCATATTCACGGGGAGATGCGGCAGTCATAAGAGAACGAGATGAAAAACCATGATATAGTGCTGCCATGATGTAGTTTTAGTTTGCCGGAGAGTGAAGATGCATCGGTACTACTAGTACAGACCATATTCCTTATTTGCAACTCGAGCACTAGAACGATCGGAGCGGCATGATAAGCGCGTTCTTATTTCCGTGCTTCTTCAACCTAGGCGTTACTCGGGAAGGGCCGCAGCGAAGTCCATGACCATACTGAAAATTTTCTATCAGCTGTCTACCAATGTTGATGCATCATATTAGTTCTATGTATATATGATAAGCACAAGGACGACTGTAAGTGTAAGCCACCAGCTCTTGCATCACTGATACGAGCAAACTTTTCCTCCTCGAAAGAGAGTACCTACCTCATTCAGATCAAGATGGCGGCCTTTTCCCACGGACACGCACACGCATCCCGGCTTGCGCGAGGCGTAAAAATCTATAAAACTGACAAAATCTTCCACCCGGCGCCTCAGCCTATAATGCCCCAAAGGCTCTTTGCGGGTGCTGAGTTTTGTATGTACATATCGGCTTGGTATGCAGCAACGAAAGTTAGGGACCTTCTTGTATCGCAGGCCATTTTCGTTTGTCTTGTTTGTCTCGCAGAAAATGAAATGCAATGCTTCGCGTTGGCGTCAAAATAATGCAGGTCTCACGCGATTCGGTTTCTTTGCCTCTCTCAGGATGAGAAACAACTACGGGCTTCTGTGAATCGCGCAAGAGAAATAATGCCCGTGCTTCTGGCTATGCTGGGGAACGGAAGAGATGTCTCCTCTCGATACAAATGTTCTTCTCTTGCTGCAGTGGCTGTGGGTCGAAGTACTGGCGGAGAAGAAGCAGAAGAGAACGAGACTCCGTATCCACCAGGTCTTGCATGGCTGGCCAAGGTCACACGTGCTCAAAGTTTGGTTCCTGCAACCTACGACAATACGAAAACGATTCCCGTCAAGTTGGACGCAATTGTAGAGGAGATGCATTTCAGATGCAGGGTTCTTGCCGTTACTTCTTCTAAGTACATGACTTAGAAGATGGCCAGATTCATAATTACATTTTCCAGAAACACAAAACGAACCCAAAAATACAGAATTTTGCCCAAAGTGGGACGAGCGCAGGAGTTCGCGTGCCTGGTCCGTCGCGTGTCATGTGTATACTCACCTTCACCGAAGGAGTAGCTGACGCTCTTAAAGACCAGCTGCAGCAGATGCACTTGGACATTGATGACCTCGACACAGGCAAAGATTACTATCTTGACATGGACGAGCTAAAAGCTGTGTTTGACACAAACCATGATAACAAAATTACGGAAGAAGAGATCGACAAAGTAAAGTTCTTTGATTTGAACGGAGACGGAGCACTTTTGCAAGACGAAATGGAATTCGCTGACTCATTCAATTGGGCCCTCGACACGCAGTTTAGGTCGGAAGATGGTGACGCGCTCCTGAAAGATGTCAATGATCTTTTGCCTGATGGCCATATCGCAGAAAGAAATAAGAGCTACACTTATTCACTTTTGAAGATGTAGTAATGTAACTGAGTTATGCAGCTGGTTTGCTCGGCATGCGCATGACAACAAGAGCTCACAAGGAAAACATTCGTCAAGCTAGGCTCGGTAGCATTTGCCGGAGGGCAGACCGAGGTTGTCTGTGTTGCTTGTTCTGTAGCAATAATGTAAGTCACTGCAATACTTTTCTCTCTGCATTATCAAGGACATCGACGAAAAGCAGCTCGAGGCATACGACTTTAACGGAGACTCCCAGCTTTCGCTCGACGAAGTGAAGCTTCTCGTCCAAGTGGAAAAGAATGATGACGACTTAATTGATGCGAACAGCGACGCACTAGGCATTGCGAATGGCCTCGTGGGGGAGTCTCACAAGCTGACGGACGTGGCAGAGTTGAGCTCGTACGATTTGGACGACGACGGGAAAATGTCGCTGGCAGAACTGAAGATGATGTACGCGCTTCGACATCAAAACGGCGAGGAGATAAGTACTGACCGCCTTGAGGTTGCGGTCAACGGTCTTCTCCCGGCAGAACATGATATCGCAGGAAAAAAGCACTACAGTTAGTTACTTGCTTTTGCAGATATAGAAGCGTAGACCTGATCGACATGAGCAAAACATGATCACAAGGAAAACATTCGTCAAGGTAGGCTCCTTTAGCATTTTCCGCATGGCCGAGGTTGTCTGTCTTGGTTGTCCTGCAGAAATGTCCGTCATTGTGATGCTCTCGTGTAGTACTTTTTTCGCTGCATCATGGAGGGAACCATCGACAAAAGTCAGCTGGAGGCATACGACTTTGACGGAAACTCCCATCTTTCGCTCGACGAAGTGAAGCTTCTCGTCCAAGTGGAAGAGAATGATGACGACCTAATTGCGAACAGCGACGCGCTAGGCATTGCGAATGGCGTCTTGGGGGAGTCTAACAAGCTGAAGGACGTGGCAGAGTTGGGAACGTACGATTTGGACGACGACGGGAAAATGTCGCTGGAAGAACTGAAGGTGATGTACACGCTTCGACAAAACGACGGGAAGATCAAGCAAGCGCAACTAGTTGACATATCACGAAACCTGTTGCCTCTTGGAGAATCTTGGCCCAATTGGTTTGAAAGCACCCACGAGCAGCACCGCTTCGGCCAAACTCTGAGTCTCAAGGAGCTCACAGCGGCCGTGCGGCAGCCAGCAGCCTTCGATCCGAGCCACAACTACAATGAAGCGGAAGAGCGCAATTACCGCGAGCTGTTACTTCAGTCTTCCCCAAATTCCTATAGCTTTGGACAAATTTCATCCACAAACGGTGGCGAGAACCCGGCGGACGGTATGCAAAAAATCTTCGACGCCCTCCAAATCGACGGCGGCGATTTTACGGAGGACGAGTTCAATCAGCGGGACCTCGACGGCGACGGCCATATTGATGGAAAGGAGCTGCAAACAGCGGTGTTGTTGGGAAAGACTTTGCAAGCTGATCATGCCGGAGGTGAAGAAAACGCACCACAACTGGCCGTTGAAGACGTCCAGGCACGGATGAAGCTTCTACACCCTGCAAAGTTCGGCTCGTTCGAGAGCGACGTTGCCACTGCCTACAGCAGTACAGACGAGCATGTGGACCTGGACGGGAAGGCTTCTGCTATGGAAATAAAACTCGCGTACCAAATGCAAGGGGAGAGGAAAGAAATGTCGATCACAACTGACGAAGATACGGTCCGAGACACTGTGAACCAATACTTAGGAAGCGAGGCAATCGCTAGCAACGCTGAGCTTAAGACCTATGACTTTGACGAAGACGGAAAGATCTCCCTGGCCGAACTCAAGGTGATTCACGAGCTTCGTCGAAACCACGGGAAGTTCGACAATCGACCGCACTCCCTCGGTGGCATTGAATTACTTCAGGACCTACTGCCAGAGACGCAAGAAGCCGAGACGTATTGGACCGCATTCCAAGGTCTAGACGGTCATTCCGCCGGTCAATGGAGCAGAGAAGAAATTCTTCTTGCGGTGCGGCAGGCTCCGGCGGACGATTCCGCAAGCGACCTCCTGACTGAGAAGGCCGGAGTAGATCCGATCGGCCTGGATGAGATGAATACCAACTACCGAGACATGATACAGGCATTGCAAATAGACGGGCGAGCATCCGACTCCGAGCATAAAGCAGATGACTTTAAGATGCGGGACCTCAACGGCGACGGCGGAATTGACTCCCGTGAACTGCAGGTCGCGGTGCTGATGGGGGACAAATTCCAGACCGAGAGCGGAAAAGCGAACGTCGAGGACGTCACCGCGCTGCTGCAAACGCTGAAAGACGATAAGGATTTGGGACATCTAGCAGTAGGAGACACCGACGTCGTGCGCAATTACGACATCGACCGTGACGGGGAGCTGTCCCCCGCAGAACTGAAGGTCATGTACCAAATGCTGATCAAGGAGAGTGGCGATAGTGGCGGTAAACCAGACGAGCACATAGGCATCAGCGATGCGAACAACGACGCGCTAGACCTTGCGAATGCCTTCGTGGGACGAGAGGAGGACAAGCTGGGCGACAACTCAGAGTTGAGGACGTACGATTTGGACGACGACGGGAAAATGTCGCTGGAAGAACTGAAGGTGATGTACAAACTTCGAAACAGCAATACGGGGGGGATCGCCGGGAGCGACATCCCACAAAGTCTGCAACCTTCCAGTGGAGACTGGGACGACCACTCCGTGAAAAGCATCGACGGCGACGACCAAAAGCTGAGTCTCGAGGAAATTACAGTGGCCGTGCGGCAGCCAGCAGCCTTTCCAAGCCACAGCTACAATAACGCGGAAGAGGGCAATTACCGCAACCTGCTACTTCAGTCATCCCCAAATTCCTATAGCTTTGCAGAAATTTCATCCACAGACGGTAATATGAAAAAAATCGTCGACGTCCTGCAAATCGGCGGCGATTTTACACAGACCGAGTTCAATCAGCGGGACCTCGACGGCGACGGCCATATTGATGGAAAGGAGCTGCAAGCGGCGGTGTTGTTGGGAAAGACTTTGCAAGCTGATCATGCAGGAGGTGAACAAAACGCGCCACAACTGTCCGTGGAAGACGTCCACGCGCGGATGAAGCTTCTACACCCTGCAAAGTTCGGCTCGTTCGAGAGCGGCGTTGCCACTGCCTACAGCAGTACAGACGACCACGCGGACGATAAGGTCTCTGCTATGGAAATAAAACTTGCGTACCAAATGCAAGGGGCGAGCGAAAAAATGTCGATCGAAACTAAAAAAAATGCCGATACGGCCCGAGAGACTGTGAACCAATACTTAGGAAGAGATGCAAAAATCGCTAGCATTGCTGAGCTTAAGACATATGACTTTGACGAAGACGGAAAGATCTCCCTGGCCGAACTGAAGGTGATTCACGAACTGAAAACAAACGACGGAAAATTCGATGTGTCGCAGGGTTCACTCGGTGGCACGGAGCTGCTTGAGGAATTGCTGCCAGGCAGAATAAGCGAGGGGAAGAAAGCGGACTACCTGAACCAGTGGCAGACCATGGACGGCTCCAGGTCCGGCGGCAATGACAAGTGGAGCATTCAGGAAATTACTATGGCTGTGCGGCAGCCTCCGGGAGTCAACGGTCCTGGGGCTGGAGATGAAGATGCCGACAGTACATACAAGGAGTTCCTCAGAGGTCTGTCGCGCAAAGATTTGACATTCAGCCAAATCTTATCAAAGCAAATATTTCACTTCCACTTTAACAACAAGAGACACATGGCATGACGTCCGGCTTCCGCCAATGCGGACCTCCCTTGGGGTGATCTGGTAACCAAAGCGTGCATCACAAACGCAGCGCGAAGGCGTTGTCGTTGCCATATGGGAGGGAGTCGGGAGTACTTATGCAACCACTCGCAAAATGAATATGAAAGTGGGGCATTTGCAAGCCTGTCTAGTCTTCAGAAAGCGAATCCCGGAACATTTGCGCGACTTTCGCCAAAAGCAGCAACGCCAGCAACTGTCAAGCGCGGGAAGGGTAAAAAAGAGCAGTCATGCTGCTCCGCCCGGTTTGATTCTGATGAAAAAGAGTAGCACTTACTACTTTCGGCTAAGGCCGAAGGTGTGATGCGTTTTATAGCGGAAAATGCGTCACGATCACCTCCAGGCAGCTCCGGCCGCTTGAAATTGAAACAAATTTACAGAAAAAGTGCTATGCTTCGCAGCCTGCAAGCGGCCGACAAAATCGACCACTTTTGTGCAGGACCCGGAGACGGCTTAGAAATTGAATCTGAAAATGATAGCAAACTTTTGCTGAAAAAGCAAGCACCTATCGAAGCCTGCTGCTCAAAAGCAGCTTTCAAATTCGTCCAGAGGCTCGTGCCGCCGGGAACAAAGAAAAAGGACAGAAAGAAACGTCTACTGAGCCTGTGGAGGCGTGTCCAGCCGCCACAGATTCCAGCCTCGTGAGGAGCCAAAAGCGGATCCCTTTCCCCGCTTGAAAATGCTTGACCCGGGCGGCCCAAAAGGGCTGCCAGAATGGAAATGGCCAAAATGATGCAACTTTTTGAAGTTCCCTGTTTTCTATCTTTCCGCCTGTCGTCGTGCATAATGTTATGCGCGACAGTATGGTGGGCCTATGAACACAAAGGTGTAAAATGTGATTGGGGTAGCGACACGGTTTCCATGTAATGGATTCAGCTCACATTCACTTATTTGTGTATATGCGCGTGAGCCTGTATTGTATGCGCCGGCGACGTTAGCCCTCGAAAAACATCTGTTGTGTTTTTGGGTAGAGGGATTTTTGCAGTTGACACAACGAGGAGAGCAAATTTCAAAAAATAGCCGACGCCCTAAAGATTGACGGAAAATTTACAACGACCGAGTTCAACCAGCGGGACCTCGACGGCAATGGCCATATTGATGGAAAGGAGCTGCAAGCGGCGGTGTTGTTGGGAAAAAATTTGCAAGCAGCTGATCATGCAGGAGGTGAAAACAACGCGCCACAACTGTCCGTGGAAGACGTCCAGGCTCGGATGGAGCTTCTGCACCCGGTAAAGTTCGACTCGTTCGAGACAGACGGCCACAGTGCCTACAGCAGTACAGACGACCACGCGGACGATAAGGTCTCTGCTATGGAAATAAAACTCGCGTACCAAATACAAGGGGAGAGGAATAAAGAAATGTCGATCGCAACTAAAAAAGATGCCGATACGGTCCGAGACACTGTGAACCAGTACTTAGGAAGCGATCATGCAATCGCTAGCAACGCTGAGCTCAAGACCTATGACTTTGACGAAGACGGGAGCATCTCCCTGGCCGAACTCAAGGTGATTCACGAGCTTCGTCAACACGACGGGCAGTTCGACAATCAGCCGGGCTCCCTCGGTGGCATTGAATTACTCCAGGCCCTACTGCCAGAGACGCAAGAAGCCGAGATGTATTGGACCGCATTCCGAGATCTAGACGGTCATTCCGCCGGTCAATGGAGCAGAGAAGAAATTCTTCTTGCTGCGCGGCAGGCTCCGCCGGACGACTACGACGACACGCAGTACCACAAGCTCCTAACGGAGACGACTGGGTCGATTGATCTTACAGCTGTGAACGACAACGACAGACTTCGACAGATGTTGCAAATAGACGGGAAAGCATCCCACCTTAATATGCGGGACCTCAACGGCGACGGCGAAATTGACCCCCGTGAACTGCAGGTCGCGGTGCTGATGGGAGACAAATTTCAGACCGAGAGCGGAAAAGCGAAGATCGATGACGTCACCGCGCTGCTGCAGACGCTGGACCACGATACAAAGTTGAAAGCTTTAGCAGGAAGCACCGTGGACGATTACGACATTGACGGTGACGGGAATCTGTCCTCGGCAGAACTGAAGGTCATGTACCAGATGCTGGTTGACAAGGATGGTGATGCTCCAAGCAATCGAGACGAACTGATAAGCATCGACAGCGATGCGCTAGGCATTGCGAATGCCCTCAGGGGAGAGTCTAACAAGCTGACGGAGCCAGAGTTGTGGACGTACGATTTGGACGACGACGGGAAAATGTCGCTGGACGAACTGAAGATGATGCACACGCTTCGAGACAACGGCGGGATTTTACTTGACGATCAAAAGGCGAAGATCCCAGAAGGCCTGCTTCCTTCCGGGGGAGGCACATGGGACCTGTACAAAAGCATCGACGGCAACAGGCAAAGTCTGAGTCTCGAGGATATCACAGCGGCCGTGCGGCAGCCAGCAGCTTCTGCGGACCACAGCTCCTACACGCCCCAGGAAGAGAGCTTTTACCGCGATCTGCTCTTTCCGTCACCGCAATCTGCTTCTTCTATTCATGGAAACTATAACATGGATTTTGCCATGATTTCCGCAAACGCTGGCAAGAACGCTGGTTCGAGAAAAATCTTCGACGCCCTCCAAATCGGCGGCGGCCATTTTACGAAGACTGAGTTCGAACTGCGGGACCTGGACGGCAGCGGCGAAATTGACTCCCAGGAACTGCTGCTCGCGGTGCTGATGGGAGACAAATTCCAGACCGAGAACGGAAAAGCGAAAATCGAGGATGTCACCGCGCTGCTGCAGACGCTGGAACACGATACTGGGTTGAAAGGTTTAGCAGGACGCAGTGACAATAATGGGAATCTGTCCCCAGCACAACTGAAGGACATGGTGGGCGATTACGACATTGACGGTAACGGGAATCTGTCTCCAGCAGAGCTGAAGGTCATGTACCAGATGCTGGTGAAAGAGGATGGCGATGGTCAACCCAATCCAGACGTACGGATAGGCATCGACAGCGATGCGCTAGGCATTGCGAATGCCCTCGTGGGAGACCAGCAGAAGGAGCTGACGGAGCCAGAGTTGAGGACGTACGATTTGGACGACGACGGGAAAATGTCGCTGGAAGAACTGAAGGTGATGCACACGCTTCGAGACAACGGCGGCAAGATAACTATTGACGCGCAAAATCCAGAAAAAGCGAAGATCCCACAGGGCCTGCATCCTTCCGGAGGAACATGGGTCCAGTTCAGAAGCATCGACAGCAACGGCCGAAGCCTGAGCCTAGAGGAAATCACAGCGGCCGTGCGGCAGCCAGCAGTTTCTGCGGACCACATCACCAGCTACGAACCCACGGACGTGAGCACTTACCGCAAGCTGCTCCTTCAGGTTCAGTCAACCTCAGAGTCCTATGGCTTTGAAGATATTTCATCCGCAGACGGTAAGGCGCATCCAGGTATGAACAAAATCCTCGACGCCCTTCAGATCGACGGTGGCGATTTTACGAAGACTGAGTTCGAGCAGCGGGACCTCAACGGCGACGACAAAATTGACTCCCGGGAACTGAAGGTCGCGGTGCTGATGGGAGCTAAGTTCCAGACCGGGAACGAAGCGAAAATCGAGGATGTCACCGCACTGCTGCAGACGCTGGAACACGATACTGGGTTGAAAGGTTTATCAGGACGCAGTGACAATAATGGGAATCTGTCCCCAGCACAACTGAAGGATATGGTGGGCGATTACGACATTGACGGTAACGGGAATCTGTCTCCAGCAGAGCTGAAGGTCATGTACCAGATGCTGGTGAAAGAGGATGGCGATGGTCAACCCAATCCAGACGTACGGATAGGCATCGACAGCGATGCGCTATGCATTGCGAATGCCCTCGTGGGAGACCAGCAGAAGGAGCTGACGGAGCCAGAGTTGAGGACGTACGATTTGGACGACGACGGGAAAATGTCGCTGGAAGAACTGAAGGTGATGTACAGGCTTCGAAACCAAGGGGGGGAGATCGACGCGAACGACATCCCAAAAACTCTGCACCCTCCAGTAACATGGGACTCCGTGAAAAGCATCCACGGCGACGACCAAAAGCTGAGTCTCGAGGAAATTACAGCGGCCGTGCGGCAGCCAGCAGCCTTGGAGCAGGGCAGCAGCTACCACGAAACAGAGGAGACCACGTACCGCAAGCTCCTTCATTCCGTCACAGATTATGGCTACAGCGATATTTCCCATCAGGGTGGCCAGGGTGGCAGCGAACCGCAGGCCGACATGAAAAAAATCTTCGACGCCCTTCAAATCGACGGCGGCGATTTTACGGAGGACGAGTTCAATCAGCGGGACCTGGACGGCAACGGTAAAATCAGTGGAACTGAGCTGCAGGCAGCGGTGTTGATGGGGAAGCATTTCCAGGCTGGGGACGGGGGCCAGTCAGGTACAGATATACAGGAGACTATAGGGAACGTACAGGCTCGGATGGCTCTGCTGGACAGCCGGTATGACAGCATCAACGACGACGTGAAGCCATACGACTTCGACGGTAAAGACGGGATCTCTCCAGCGGAACTGAAAATCATGTTCATGATGGGCGGCGGTATCTTGAGTCAAAACGCGCTCCCACTGATTACTGACGGTCATCCTTTTTTTGCTGCCACAAAGATAGATCTCTGCCTAGTTTTTACGCAGTGCACCATCTTGCTAAGGGAAAGCGCATTGGCGTTCGCATGCATGATCGCGCATCGACGTGTAGTCCTAAGTCTGCATAATTGATGTCGCAGCTCCGTACACTAACTTCCAGCTGACTGGTCAACTGTGCCAAGTCTTTGCTCCTTTTGATGCGTAAGCACTACGAGCTGCATAGTATCAGGCACAGGGCGCTTTTCCGCATTACAAACAACCAAAAACACGAGTTGGATATGAGGACAATGAAGGACCATGATAAAACGAAGGACGTAATCAACCAGCTCTGCGACGGGCAGGCTTCTTGCAATATTGATAGCCTCGCGGAACTCAAGACCTACGATTTCGACGCCGATGGCAAATTGTCCCTTGCCGAGCTCAAAGTTCTTCGAGAGCTGGAGTCGAATGGTGGACAGCTTGCTCCTGCTAAGATGTGGAAATGCGTACGCACCGTCATCTGTTGTATCAAAACCATCTAGTTGCTTCCGCATCCGCTGTCTAGATGAAGACTCGAAGTCAGAAAAAAGGCGGCGCTTCTTGTGCCCACTTTGAAGTAAACATGTGCCTGTGCGAGAGTGGGTGGCACCGTTTCTGCCGTTCATTGCAAATACTTGGAGATTCTGATTTGGGACCTTGACCTTGATGCGCAGTGTGAGTGTCGTTCTAGGAGCTGGTCTTAGAGACAGAGAAAAGGAAGTCGAACTTCTGGTGCATGATAGATGATGATGTCTGATGATGCTGCTCATTTTATTCCCGGGATACAGTGTAAGATACAGTTACGGCTTCTGAGTGATCTGTTTCCCGATTCTTCACTCGACGACAACGACTATTGGAAAAGCTTCACCGGGGTATCGACCAACGACGCCGACACCAACTGGAGCAAAGAAGAAATTCTTCTTGCTGCGCGGCAGGCTCCGCCGGACGACTACGGCAGCACGCAGTACCACAAGCTCCTAACGGGGCCGACTGGGTCGTCGATTGATCTTGCAGCTGTGAACGACGAGCACAACGACAAACTTCGACAGATGTTGCAAATAGACGGGCCAGCATCCCCGCTCACAGCAGAAGACTTCAATATGCGCGACCTCAACGGCGACGGCGAAATTGACTCCCGTGAACTGCAGGTCGCGGTGCTGATGGGAGGTAAGTTCCAGACCGTCGAGGACGTCACCGCGCTGCTGCGGACCACGCTGAAAGACGACACATCAAAGTTGGCAGATTTAGCAGCAAGCACCGTGGCCGTGGGCGATTACGACATTGACGGTGACAAGAATCTGTCCCCAGCAGAACTGAAGGTCATGTACCAGATGCTGATCGACGAGAGTGGCCAGACCGGTGGTCCTGATGAGTATATCAACTGCAAATATGTCTAACTGGAAGAGTGCCAGACTTGTCATGCAGGTTTTTCATGACCCATCCCCATGACCATAAGGTCAGGTATGGAGGACATAGAATGACAGAATCTGTGAGAGTTCTATCATACTATCATACCTATCCTGCTGCATGAGAAACTAAACTGCCTCTCGATTAGGTCAAAAGTGGACATCTTTTGGGAATCATGCAGCACAGATTTTTACATGATTCAGATATAGCATGACAAGTTGCTTTGTTCCAGACCCACACATTTTTGCAGTTGACAGACTACATTGACATCGACAGCCCAGACAACGATGACGACGCCGTGCTGCTCGCGAATCAGCTGCTCCCGAGCCCTGGCCAAGCCAATACGTTCACCAACGACGACCTCCGTCTGTACGACGTCAACAACGACGGGAAAATGTCCCTCGAGGAGCTGAAGTTGATGCACGATTGGCACACTCGGTCGTATCGCAGCGGAATGGATACCGCAGCTATGCGGAGCCGCTTCGACGAAAAACTTGACTTCTCTCCCACGATACAATTCGACCCAAACTACGATATCAACAACGACAAACACTTCTCCCCCGCTGAACTGAAGTATCATACGTAGAAACTACTACTACGTCTTCACCCCAGACGAGGCAAGATGGGAATTTTGCAACACATATTCAGAAGCTTCGTGAGTCACGCACGACGAATTGCAGTGGTCTGTAGTGTAGTGCAGGTTAGAAGCAGGAGAAGTTGCTCAAATGTAAAGCCATCTACAGTCTCAAAGCACGACAGAAATTCCAAAGCTCGACTAGAAACGCGTCTCAGTAGGGTGCGCATTACAAATCTTCCTTTATTGGATGTAAATCCGCATGACTATGACATCAACTCCGGGGTGGGGACGCTTTTCCTCAGGATATCAAGGCCATGCGTCTTATACAGACAAACCAGAACTCCGGGAGCGGGACCGCACCGAATTCCGCTATTCTGTGTAAAAACGTCTCCACCCCCGAGTCAAGACGCGGCTTCTGGTGGACAAATCCAGAAGTTTCTAGGAGGTTTCGATGGCAAGTGCTCATGACAAGAAGCGCAGTCGTGCTCACCTATCACACATGCATTACAAATATGTCCGGGTCTGGAAGATGCCAAATTGCTGACGCGTACTCGTCGGGTTTACACAAAAGTCTGTGTTGCGTAACCTTCAAGAGCACCACGATTTTTTCTGCCTCCAAAGCGGACTCCTCATGCGGAATAGGCATGGAGACGCCCCCCAAACCATTTGCGTGATCAAAAAGATGCATTCCGAGTGATGTACCTAATCTTCCAGAACCAGACATATTATTGGCATGTGATACCACAGCGAGCCGTCTCCTTTTATGCAGACATAGAGCATACCAGCACATTGATTCACAAATATTCGAATTGATTGACTAGGAGTCCTAGTACACTAGCCCAAATAGTATAGCATGCCTCATTTTTTTCGAAGAGCCGCGCGAAGAGTTACTTAATACAGCACATGCACGAAGATGTGCATGACAAGTCTCGAGCGTAGAGGACGTTCTTGGACAGGATACCCCCCAGCGAGCTGCTGGTCGTGATGGATCAGCTTAGCCAGGAAAGCGGATACCCAAGAAAAAAACTGTGTGGATGTAACTTTGTGTTGCAGTTAGGTTATCATGCAGCTGCTCCAACTGTCAGTCCAGCTACACGACGAAGTTGGGCAACTAGTCGCCCTTCGATTTCGCCCTGCCAGTCCAGCAATAGTGATAGTTTTATACTAGTACAACTGTTTTTTCTTCTTGGATATCGAAAGTCATACACGTCCGATAACCGACCAAGATACCACGAGGGCGATGTCACGCGACGACTTCAACCTGTACGATGTGAATGGAGATAACGACATAACCCTAGCCGAGCTGCAGGCCATGCAAAAATTTATTACAGTGAAAAAGCCCGTCATTCCTATTCCATGAACTACTGCCCCTGGACAGGCAAACATATAAAAGGTCAACGTGCGGCTCGCAATAGCATCGCGACGTAGACAAGACACAAGGGGGATTGCAATAACCATTTTGCAGGTCTTGTATGATGTCGGAGGCTTGATTTCGTCTGCGTCTCGTCCCTGTGCGCTGCCGTCTGGGTTTAGTTGTTGAACCGCACTTGCGGTTGCGTCCCGTCGCGCTGCCAGAAGTGTTTTATAGTACTTTTACTCCGAAAGTGGGGGAGGTTCTAGGGGCCGGGTCGCCGGGCCCGTCCAGCTCGTGCGCAGAATTTCGCTTCGGATGTTTCGCTTCTAGAATTTGAGAGCCTGTCAGGATAGTCTTTCGAAAACTCACTCCCGATGAAGCACTCCGCAAAACAGAGCCGGGCTTCTGCATTGAGGCCGCCCCGGGGACGCCTGCAAATTCTAGGCGCTCCGCCGTTTTGCGCCGGAAGTGGCTTCGGGGTGTCGACGCCGCGCGCGCTTTGTTCTCATTGGCAGTTGCCCAAACGAGGCCGCGAAGACAGGCCGCTGGGGCCGCCCGGTGGTGGATTTAGTTCCAGTGGCATCTCGTTGCCTACGTGCACACTTGCTCACTTCGCAGAAAAGTTGCTCCGCCAGCGCCACCGTGGCGCGCGCGTTACACTGTGGCCCTCTGTTTCACTTGTCGCTGCTCGGCCGCGTCAATATTGCTCCCACCCTGTGGCGCCCCCTTCGATTTCAGGGGCATTTCGTTGCCTACATGCGCACTTGCGCACTTTGCAAAAAATCTTTACCGCCGTGCTATCGCGTCACGCACGTTACACGACGGCTCTCTGCTTCGCTGTCGCCCCCGTTGCGTGTCGGTATCCGTGCACGAAAAGCCTTGCCGCTTTGGGTCGCAGGAAGGCTCCCTCCAGCTAGGTACGGTGCCCGTCAGCTAAGTAGCCCCGAGAGGGGCAAGGCGCACGCTGGCTCTGGCCCTTCGCCACGGCCAGCGGCCGTCGTGCCCTCGGATGGGGGGCAGCGCTCTGGTGTGATCCGGCTAGGGGGCCACGCAGCCCGAAAGGGTGGCTATATAGGTCCACCCAGGGGGTTCTTGGAATTGCGAAGAAAGGGCGGCGGGGTGTCGCGGCGTCGGAGGTGGCCCGGGTGTTGGTTCGGCGCAGCCAGTCCTGTCTCCCTCTCGGCGCCCGGGGTTCCGGCCCCTGTCGTCGAGCGGGCTCTCGGTATTTTTTTCCTGTTGTTACTGCGTGCGCGGCGCCCGAAGCGCTTTTTTTATCGTATCCCAGCAAGCGAAGCCGCGCGCCATCGTGTAACGGGCGTTACACGATGGCGAAGCCGCACTTGCGGTTGTACTCGCGAAGCCGCACTTGCGGTTGTGAACTCGTCGCGCTGCCTGAAGCGTTCTGACTACTTTTTCGGGCAGGCATGCAGTGACCAAAACTTAGTTTCTTGATGTACTTCTATGGTATCTTTCGGGAGAGTTCGATGCGTCTTTTGTCTGGTGGCGGGCTGTTGATTTCATTGTGATACAACTCAAGTCTGATCCCAAGCATGACGATGCCGGCGTCCTCGACGCGATCCGAGCCTGCGTTCCTGACGCCACGACTGCTATTATGCAGAGAAAAAAGGGCTACGGCAGTAACACAGTTTGTTGCAGATGAACAAAAGAGCCAGACAGAAACGTTCCGTCTTTGATAGGCTCAACAAGATCATAGTTTCGTTAGTGTGTATGTAGTTTGTCTTCCCGTCAGTTACTACAGGTTTTTCTTCGATCACACAGTGCAGCGGTTCTACCCTAGTACAAACCCAGAACCGGCTGAAAAACGCCCGGGTGTATATATTTTGCATTTTCCTGCACCTGGACGGCGTCGAAAGCCTGATGCCATACCATACGACGCAGACCAAGTAGTGTGTGTCTGAGTCTGTCATGAAAAATTGACACACGTGTGTAAGTAACCGGTGTGTGCAGCCCTGTGCGCGTTTTTGTGTGGATAGCTATGCAAAAGAAGAAGAAGAACAGAGTGCCTGCGCCCAGGCCACATTCAAGAACCGTCATGCGCAGTTTTGCATTTGGCAGTGGTCACTAACACCAAGCAAGACTAAGGTGCTTGTTCCGAGTTAGGTTCGATTACAAGTCTTGCCGAGCCGCCCTAATGACTTTTGCTGGACTCCTCTTGTTAGAGTTGACTAACGTAAAGATGAACCGAGCCTCGGCGACGGACAGATTTGCATGGGTGGCACCAAAGTCTCGCTTATTTATGCATCTCAGCCTACTTGCAGTTGCATGCAAACTTGAGTTTGTCATTTCCACACCGAGACTACAGCCGGAACAGGTTCAGTGAATTGACAGCAATATGTTGGCCTGGCTGTTTTTGTTTGCTCTTCGATGGCGGATGCGGAAGACCTCAAAACGTACGACTTAGACGACGACGGGAGAATTTCATCTGCTTATCAGATTCGAGCCGGTTCTTGTTTCCACCCAAGCACCATCCAGCGTAGGATCAATCATGAACGCCGACTAGAAGTGAAACATATAAACAAGTAGAATTCACTGTACTGGTTCTCGGCGAACGTATTTAGCACTGGTCAGAACTTTACGAGGATGGAATGGCATGGGAATGAGAAAGAGCTTTCAATTTGATGCTGCTGAGCTGAAGACGCTGCACGACTTCCACCAGGGAACTGCGGACCCGGAGTATGACATTGAAGACCCGAAAGCAAAGGCAATCATAAAGGGTTTGCAGGCGGCAGACTGCGACGCGCGTGCCGGGGGTACAACACAACAAGTGAGCTCCTACGACATAAACGGCGATGGAAAACTGTCGCTCGCAGAGCTTGAAGTTGCCAGCACGATCGAATTATCAAATGTAAAAATGTCTGGGTCTGGAAGAATGCAACTTGTGATGCTGCGTTTCGATGCCTAAAAAATTTGTGTTGCATGAGCAGCAAACGGAGTCTAATTTTTGCTACGCGGAGAGGACATTTGTCATGCGGAATGGGCATCAAGAATCCCTCAAAAAACCTGTGATGCTAGGGCATGCATTACAGGCATCATGGGTCATGAGAAATATGCATGACAAATCTTGCATTCTTCCAGACCCAGACATTTTTGCATTTGATACGAATTTGATGACAACGGCCTGAAGGAAGCGAACGCGGTCCTACCAGCAGTATCAAATGTAAAAATGTCTGGGTCTGGAAACTTGTGATGCTGGGTGGCGTCTCATGATGGGGCCACAAATGCTGGCTCAGCATGACAAGTTTCTGAGCGTCTAGGTGTTGCCTATTTTGCATGACAAACTGCGTTCCTGCATCACAGAAAAGTGGAGCTCTTGGGTAACGGCATGACAGATTTAAGGGTCATGCCAGACAAGCATGACAAACATGCATTCTTCCAGACCCAGACATTTTTGCATTTCATAAGCAGGAAACACGAACAGTTTCGCTTCTGTGCAGGAGATGTGGAAATATGACATAGACGACGACAACAAGCTATCACACACGGAGCTGAAGCTTATGTACAAACTTCAGACCGGGGGCGGCGAGCTCGATTCTGCTACAGATGCCGCACTGCTGCACGATCTGGACAAAGACTTCAATTGGCAATCGTCCACCATCAAAACGGCGGATGGACATATCGCAAGAAAAAACTGTTCACTCTAAACCTGTAATGCAGAAAATGCATCGCCGATGTGTCTGTCTTGCTACGCATGCAAGACAAGTAATATCTACCCGTGTTTTCCCTCAGGAACCTCGCATGGCAAGTTTTCTTTGTCATGTGTAACGAAGTTGTAATGCAAAACTTGCAAAACCAAAATCCTCACAGTGAAACACTTTTTTCGTACGATAGGAAACGCTGCGCATGCGGAAACGTGGAGTCTTAGCGAAATCGTTCTTGCTGCCCGGGACCCAGGAGACCAGGGCGGCGCGCAGCCGGCGGATGCGGAGTCGGCTTTTCAAAAAGCCTTATCGGGTGAGGCGAGCGCGCTGACGTGGCACCAGGTCGCAACTCCGGAGGGCAAAATGCCCAGCGCCGGGGCGTATCAAATGCAAAAATGTCTGGGTCTGGAAGAATGCATGTTTGTCATGCTTGTCTGGCATGACTCTTAAATCTGTCATGCACGTTACCCAAAAGCTCCGTTTTTCTGTGATGCAGAGCCGCAGTTTGTCATGCAGAGTAGGCAACACCTAGGAGCTCAGAAACTTGTCATGCTGAGCCAGTATTCGTAGCCTCATCATGAGCCGTCACCCAGCATCACAAGTTTCCAGACCCAGACACTTTTACATTTGATAGGGCGGGTGGGTCGGACATGCAGAAGATCTTCCGCACCCTGGACATATCCTGTGCAAAAGTATCGTACTCGTATTGCAATAATGCTTTACAAATCTTTTCCCTAAGGTAAATCAGCATTGCAAATTTTATTTCTCATGCTGAGGAAATTTGTAATGCATTTATACGATTACGAGTACGATACTTTTGCACTGCATAGGACATGGGCGGCGACGAAACCCTCTCGCGTTCGGAGTTCCTGATGCGCGACCTCAATGCCGACGGGAAAGTGGATCACGAGGAGCTGCGGGTGGCCGTGCTGCTCGGCAACAACCTGCAGGATCGTGACGACATGAATTTCTTGGAGGTACAGCAGAAGATCGATCATGACTTGCCGGACAATCTCAGGAACCGCGCCTTATGCTGTGCAAAAGTATCGTACTCGTATTGTACTCGTATTGCAATCTTGCATTACAATTTTTTTTCTATATAGGTAAATCCGCATTACAAATTTTATTTCTCATGTTGAGGAAACTTGTAATGCATTTATACGAGTACGAGACTTTTGCACAGAATACTCCTTGAATTACTACGATTTGGACGACGACGACAAGGTTTCACAGTGGGAGTTGCAGGTTGTGGCGGACAGAGCCGGTTGCGCACCAGCGAAGGACAACGCTCCCGCCAAGGACTTCACCGTATGAAAATGCACAACTCCTTGTGCCCCTCTTTTGATCGAACAGCACGGAACTGCGGAAATGTGGGCTTTTGCATAACGACGAGTCTGCACACGACGGAGTATACTTAGCTAGTAAGTACAACTGCTTGTTGATAAGGCTCCAAAATTTGGCAGGCAGGCTGTGATTATGAATTGAAAATAGGGGAGATGTGCATGTGTTTCTAGTGTTTTGCACTGCAAATGGCTCGGAAGGTACTAGGGAGTTATGCACTCTCATACACCGTTGGTGCCGCCCTCCTCGCGAAGTTTCACGAGGGTGGCGCCATACACGCCAATGAAAAGGTTATCACAGGAAAAAAGTCTTACAGGTACTACGCATTTGTTGGACTTTCAGCATCACAAAGTTGCTCTGCATGGCAAAGAAAACTTGGCATGCGCAGACTATAGGAGAGAACACGAATGAAACGACCCTGGCAAGCATTTCCTGCATGACAGAGGTCGTCTGTCTTGCTTGTCTTGGATTAAAGTGTGTAACTGTAACACTTTTTGCGCACGATAAAGGTTATCAGCAAAGCGGAGTTCGACACAATTCCCGCGGGCGATCTTCCCGAAAACGTGCCGAGTGACTGGGACGACTTCGCCCGTGAGGCGGACGGTGACCACTCGGGCGACGTTACTACTTTCGAGCTGCAGCAGTTCTTGCTGCGGAACAAAGGCAGTCCAGTGATCCTCCCACCGTATCATGTGCAATACATAGGTCTGGGTCTGGAAGGTTCTTCTAAACTTGTCCTGCAGTTGCAGAATCTAGACTTATTCTTGCCCCTGTCTGCGTGCGAGAAGGTGGGGTCCGGAATGCAGGACCTAACACGACGACAGAATCTACTGTGCGAATTGTGCCTTTTTATATATATGTATATCCACCTCGGTGCTGAGAAAGTGAAAAGTGAGCAACTTTTGGCAATCGCGCAGGACAGATTTTTGTTGGGTGACCCACAGGACGCATCAGAAGTCTGCACTCTTCCGCACCCAAACATATTTGCGATGCATACGCCGGAAGCAATGCCAATCTACCGTACGAACCCGGGGGGTGGCCCGAATCCACAAATCCCCTGGGCGACGGCCTTGGCCTTGGGCGGTACTGCAACCTATGCATCCCACCACATGGGTCTTTTCAGTTCGCAGCAACCCCGCAAGCCGCAAGTGAAGCGGCGACACGAGGACAAAGCCGCGAGTTTTCTGGAGCACCAAGGCGACGTTGCTGTGGACGACCCGGAGAGTCGTGGGAGCTTGCATGGGGACTCCCCTGGAGTTGCAGTGCCCCCACGGGTGCATGTGACGGGCACGGGACCGCACTCCGTGTCGATCGGGGATGAGGAGCGTCGCAAAACGAAGGCCACAAAAGGGGGCATCATGACCTCTACAACTTCCGGGGAAAAATTTTTTGAACAAACCGAGACAACAGGAGAACAAGGCAGCACCTCCTCCGGGGACGAGGGATTTTTCGAGCCCGAATCTGCAGCAGAACACGCCACCTCCTTTCAAGACGTCAGCCAAGCAGCGCTTGGTGCACCGCCAGACCAAAACTACGTAATGACGCAACCACGCGAAGAAGAAGAAGAACCTCTCGTCGCAGAAGCAGCGGAATCTTTTTACCTCAGCGAGCCGACGCCCGCTCGGCTACGCGGCACGGCTAGAAACCGGAAAAGCCTTGTTGCTGCGCCACCACAGATTCCAGCCGACCCGGATGCGAGTATAATTACCATGGCAGGCGTAAGTGAAAACGAAGGTGGGGGAAGTGAAAAACTTGCAACCCAGTCCGCAGTCGAGATGTTGGAACTACCACCCAATGAAGCAGTTTTGTCTGGTGCCTCGAGCGGCCCCGACCAGGACTTTCCGGTCGACACAGATAGTACGTCCTTCCTGGCCGTTATCCCGAGGGAAAAAACGTACCCACCTTACCATGGTCGAAATGGAAACAAGTCCGAAGCTTTTATTGTACATGTGCATGATCTACTTCTAGTTCTACCCTTCTTGTGTGTCCTCAAGCGATCTGCGGCCTGGGGCAGAGCCGGGCAAACAAGGCTCCAGAGCGCCCAGCCACCGGGATAGCTCCGACTCTGGGCATAATCAGGGTGCTCCCAAGGCCGTGACTCCCCTGATTAGCAGCCTTCCGATATGTTGAAACTGAAAGCGCGAGAAGGTCTGCACAGGAATTCAGGTCTGGTAGTCACTTCTACCGGACTAGGTGGTCTCCCGCGTCCCTGTCGATTGTTGTGTTTTTTTTCTGTTATCTTAGTGTCCGCTGGTTGTTCTGTGCGCCTAATGGCCCGTCCGTTGCGTCCTCGCTATATTGGCACCCCCCCTGCCAATCACTATGCATACACAGGAAGCCCCTTGGGTTTAGGGTTTAGGGTTGAAAAAGCCCCGAAGTTGTCGGAAAGGATGTTTCTTCTATGTCGATGGACAATGTGCCTGGCAAACTAATCGCTGACCATTCCCAGGGCTGAGCTCTGTTGTCGTTGTGTAGTTTCTTGGGTCCGTGTTGATTCTTTATCGTCGTTAAGGTTCTTCTTGGTTGAGGGGCCAAGCGCCTGGCAAACTAACCACTGACCATTCCCAGGCCCGAAGTTTCGTTTTGTCGTTAATCCCTCAGAAACGTTCAGGCTCCTCGAGGGATCAGCATCGGTGGCTGCGGCCAAATCAGTCTGCCTCAAGGGGCGGGCCGCTACCTTTTCCACGGCTTGAGTGGCCCTTTAAGGGATGGAGCTCCGTATCCGCGTGACCTGTCACTCTTGTTGTTTCTGGATTTGGTCGTCCTGATTCGTCCTAGACTCTTAACCCCATCTGGGATGTTTTCAAAACCTGCGGTGAGCAATGAAGGGATCCCCACGAATTGGAATTGAATGCTCTTGCTACCAAAGCCAAAGCCAAAGTCCTCAAGCGATCTGCGGCCTGGGGCAGAGGGGGGGGCAAAGTGTGCCGCGATTCCTTTGGCATGACAAATGTGGGGTTGGGTCCGCTTCTTCTTCTTCGTCGTGAAGATTACTTTTACCAAGCGTGGCCGCATCAGTAAGTAAGCCACTTGGAGGAATTGTTTACCTCTAAAATGTGTTGAGCCATTGGATTTAAGATCTGACAGATGAGGACGACGAACAGGGGAAGAACAACTGCATGAAACCAATTCTGGGCATTCAAAGCTTCTGCCTGAAGACAACTACTCCACCAGGCTGGGTACTTTTTTGCACAGCATTACCGTGGGCGAGACAGAGGCTCTCACATCATCGCAGGGCGGTGCGGGGACTGGCGCTCCGGCCCGGGAACAAGTCGAGCTTTCCCAGGAAGATAAACTACCCGCGGTAGGAACGGCAACAGGGCTCCGCGGGACCACCGGTGAAAGGCCGGATAATACATCACGTGGCGTTGGATCCACCATGAACGGAGCGGAGGCAGCTAGTTCAGGAGAGGATCAAGCGATAACTTCGTCGGGTACGACGTATGATCTTGAAAAGCGACCCTACATCGAACCCAGGAAGTGAAATATCTTTGTGATGGTGCAACCTTTCCCTCCTTTGGAAATATTCATTGAGACACCGGCGACGTGTATGATCGTATCAGCTGCAGGAGAATCGATTTTGCACCCTAAATTTATAGCAAAATTATGTGCCGCAGCACCGCATTTTTTATATTATACCAATGTAACTGTACGCGAGAGTGAGAGATCACTTCATATATCATTTTGAAACTGCAGAAGCGGCTTAGATAATCATCGCGTGCTGTCTCTCTCGTCGTGCAATTAAGAAGTTTCTATCTTCGCAAAAACGTTCAAGCGTGGAAGGCAAATCCTAGCGCCTCCTGGGAGTCGCGAGGCACTTTTCATTTTGATACCACGCTCGCCGCCTCGTTCAGCGGAGGCGGTGACGCACAACAGGCCGAAGTATAAAATGCAAATATGTCTGGGTCTGGAAGGATTCAATTTGTTATGCTACTTTTGGAATCTACATAAAACCTGTATTGCATGAACACCAGCAAAAGAGGTGTAAAAATGTGTGCTACGCGGAGAGGGCGTTTCTCATACAGTATGAGCAACATCAGAAAGCCCTCGCAAAATCTCTGATGCTAGGGCATGCATCACAGACCTCATGGGTCATGCATAGCGCGAACCATAGATCCCTTTAGCTCTCACTCGGAGCCGAATGGTGAACGATGAGTGAAGGTAAGGCGCCGATGACGAGCAGCGGCTACAGCCCTATGGGATGATGGCGGCGACAAATAGTAACAGTGTCCCAACCCCGAACCCAGCAGTACCGGGTGGCAAGGGGGACGAAAGAAATCAATTACAGCAAAGTAATAGTGTCGAGGATGACCGCGGCGCGAGGTATGCTAGCAACAGTAGCAGTAGGGAGATCGGGCAAGGCGGTTCCGGGCGGGGACCAGTGGCAAACGAGCAGCACGAGACTGCCGGGGCGACAGACAACAAGCAGATCCCGGAAGGGCAGGACAAGAAGCAGGCCGCGTCGGCGAGAAGTAGCAGTAGTAGCAATTACGCGCAAGCAAATCGCCCGCGCACGGGCAAAATAGAAACCCTGCTGCCACCGCTCGAAGACGACGAGGTTGAGTACGCAGCCACGAACGCGCCGAACTCAGCAGGGCAACGCGCGCAGAGTAGCAGGCCCCCCCCCGGAGCACGGGGCCACAGTAGCCCAGGGAGAAACAAAAACGACCTAAGTTCAAGCGTTCCCCCCACGGAACCGAAGACGAGGGCCCCCCAGAGCCCGAAGCGCCTGAGCAGTGGCGTTGCGCGGGATGAGGCTTTGTACGCAAACTGGAAAGCTTCGCTATTTCCGGGGATCAAGGCGAAACGAGGCACGACAGAGCACGGCCCGGCAGCGGCAAACGTACGACAACAAGATGGCGAAACGTCCAATGCCAGCCAGCCAGCAATAGCGGGACCCCCGCGCGAACGAATCTCCGCTGCGAGGCAGCACGACGGGAAAGGCGAGGTACCGAGTAGCACCTCGGAACTGCTGCACGCTCCAGATGGATCAAGCAGCGCAGGGCAACGACAGGACTCAGCTGATCAGCCGTCAACGGGAGTTCTTGCGTCGCAGGAGAGCAACAGTAACTCTTCAGCAGCTCCAAAGGAATCTGGGTGGCTCGACGAGTTAGGCGAGTTGGACGGCGCCGATTTCCTCTTTGGCGACCAGGCAGGCGACAGCGACAGCGAAGGAGAGGGGCAGGCAGTAAGATCCCTAAACCACCTGACATGGAATCTGAACGGGCTCACGGCAAAAACGGGCAAAATGACGGAGAACTCGGAACGATTGCAGTCTGCACTATATCAAACAAGAACCACAAGCGCGATCTCTATTGAACTGAGAACCCCACTCCTCACGTTGGATCAGGCAGAACTGAAGAACTCACGCTTCCGCCCGAAGTTGGGCGCTCGAGTCTCAACAGCCACGGACGTGCGGAAGTATTGCGCGAGCGTCTTCGCCGGGGCGGTCGGCATAGTGCAGCGGGACTCCCTAAAAGAGCCACCGCTAGCGCAGATCCGCCGGGAAGTATTCACTCGCGAGGTCGACGCCGGTTTTCTCATGAAGGAAGTAACGGAAAAAGAGGACATCGTTTTGTGGACGACGGCGGAGCTATCCACCGACCGGGTTTTCCAATGTGGGCTGTACAGACGCGACACCTATATTGCAAAGTACAAAGAGGAAGAACGCGCAACGGTCGCGAAGCAAATGAAACCGCTGCTGCAAGAACTGGACTCGACAGCAAGGCGCGCTGACCTTCGAATTTTCGGCGGGGATATGAATGCCGAGTTCTATGAGGGCCCCGATGGCGAGTTTTTCTTCGCTCGCGAGAAAGTAGCGCCAGTCATACATGAGGAAGTGTTAGCACCCCTCGCCCGCCTCATGTCCCTCTACACTAAGTACCACTGCCCAGCTGGACCGACTTGCTTCCGCATTACGCCCAGACGGATCGACTTTGCCTTAATAGGAGCTAAAGACGCGAACTCACTGAAGGTGAAACAGAAGAGAGTAAAAGTACCAGCAAACTGGCAATATGAGTTCAACAAGAAGCAAACACGGTGCCAGTGGCTAAAGGAAGACGAAACCCCGGACGAACCCGAAACGGACCACCTAGCAATCCACACAGTAATCCAGTGGAAGCCGACACAAGAAACAACGGACCAGGTAGCACCCGGCTCGGGACAGAATAACGCGGGCGCCACAGGTAGAAAGCCGACAGCGTTCAACGCAACCTACGCAGAACGAAAACCGGGCGGGCCCGCAGCTGCAGGCAGAGTCAAGGTCCTGAAGAGCAAGGCGGAATTTGAGAAGTGCGCCCCCTTCCCTGGAGCCATAGCCTGGCCAAGGGGGGCAGCGAAGAAGGAACAGCTGGCACCAATTCTCGAAGCCGCAGATATGCCAAGCACCCGCGCGGTAGGCCTTGACGGCATACCGAACTGGATCAGAGACTTGCTGAAGGCGGAGTGCCCCATGAAGGCGAGGAGCTTAATGAGCGAGCAGATGGAAGCTTTCTACGGCCGGAAAGGAGGAAGAAAGGCGAAGCGGGAGAAGAACCAGCAACCAGAAGAGCCGAGCCCGAAGGGGGGTGGCAACAGTGCCGAAACCGCCGATGAAAAGGCCCTGCGGGAGAAGAAAGAAAAGGTGCGCGAGCTAGTAGAAAGATGGCAGGCGACGTACCCGAAGCTCGAGGAAGACGAAAACGAGGACAGCATCTACAAAAAGGCGAGGAGGGTCAGAAAGTTGGTAACCGGACAAGCCCGCGGCGAACTTGCGGGAGAGCTCAGTAAGATCAACATAGGAACAAAAGAGCAGCCGAACTGGGTGGAAGGAACGGAGAGAGTAGCAGAAGAGGTCGCGTTCTACCACCTGCTCAGAAACGAGTTGATCCGAGCCGCTGAAGGGCTTGGCCACACCTTCAACAAAACGGAGTTCAGTAAAGCCTTCCAGCAGCTAACGGATGCGTCGGAGCTTGTCCCTGAAATCATCATCACCGGGCCGCAGTTACGGAAAACCCTTTCAAGAATGAATGGCGAGGCCGCCGGAGCCGACGGGATGCGAGTCGAAGGACTGAAATCCCTCACCGACAGTCAATTGCAGGATGTCGCAGACGGGATGACCGACTTTCTGCGTAAAGTCGGCAAGGCGATCAACTCGCCCGGCAATATGAGCCAGCTCATCCCGCACGCTCTGACGGTGTTGCAGGTCGAGACTCTGACGAAAGCGTCGGGGCCGATCACCGAAGTCAGTAAATTTCGCACCGTGATCAAGAATACCTCAGTCATGAAGCTCCTCGTAAGCCACCTCACCTACATCGCAACACGGGTCGCCGATGTGAGTGACGTATTCACCCGATGCGGGGCAGCCGGGAAGCCAGCAGCTTCGTGCACCCTCCAGCTGCTAGAAGTACTCGAAAGCTGCCATGGCAACGAACTGCGCGACGGCTACGACGACCAAGACGAAAAGAAGGATAATAGCAAACCGGAGGCAAAGGCGACAGTCCCACCGCAGCAAACCACCACCAGCAACCCGAGCAAGGAACAGAAGAAAGGAGAAGAACAACAACTGGGGGCAACAGCAGCCGTCAGTAGTAGCAGTCTAACAGAAGAGGCAGCCGAGGCCGCAGTTGAGGTAATCGAATGGATAAAGCTCCTGATGGGGCTCGACGCCAGCAATTTCTACAACTGCTTGACATTGCCAACGGCGGTGCGGTGCATGAGACGCGCGCGCTTGCACCCGACTTTCATCAAGCTGATCATGCTCACTACGTGGCCGAAGAAGATCTTCTTGCGGAACGGCGATCATTACGGAGAGGTGCGGGCCCACCATGATCTCATCCAAGGCTCCGTAGAGTGTATGTTGATCGGAGCAATAGTCTATATGGCCGGCGTCCAGAAGGTAGCCGACTTCTTCGAGGAGTGTTACGACGAACAAGGCCGAATAGTAGCAAGCAAAATCGAGGGCGCGGCGCACAGACTGAAGAGGAGCGTCAAAGAGTTGTACAGTGGTGACGACATTGACACGTCCTTCCCTGACTACAACTTGAGTGAAGTCGACGAGCTCTGGTATGATGCTGGCTCACTAGGCGGCTCAGCAACAGGATATCGGCGCACGCAGAGCTGGAACAAATATCGGAAAGTGCACACGCAACAACACCAGCCCGGTACGTTGCAGCGACCCGACGGAGCACCGCGACCGAAAACGTCCTCCGCGCTCCAGTTCGTCGAACGATGACGGAACTCTGTGTCTCAGATACAGACCCGCGGACCACGCGCTAGCGTTGCGACTTTTGAGCACAGTAAAGTCGGTCTACGAAGATATTTACCGAAGCGAAGGACAATATCTCGCGCCTCTAAAGTGCGAGCGTGTCTTTTCCGGATCGGCGGAGCAGTCCAAGCAGGTGCGTGAGGTCTTCTCTCCCTTCGGGATCGAGTTCACGGAAAAGCAAGCCGTGAAGATCTTGGGAGTGGCGATAAGTCTGAGTAGTATGGACGAGCAGCGGGCAGCACTGCGCGCGCAGGTCAGAAGAGCGATCGGAGCAGCACAGCACCACACAGAACAGCTAATGGTCGCGCAGCCTCAAATGGATGGGAAAGAACTCCGAACAGCCGTTCAGGTCTTCTTCCTTTCGCCACTGATCTACCGCTTGCCAGTTATGCACCTCATCTTCCAGCCAGAGGACTGGACGGAACTACTCACAGACATCGCGTTTGGCGTGGCCCGGTCGCTGGGTTTCAGCTGGGAGGCAATAGCGAAACTAGCAGAGAAGGCGAAAGTTGGAGGCGACGAGTTCTACCGAGTCATCTTCAGCGAGAATGTGCTAGCGCTGGTTGACCCGTATCTGTTAGGCATTAAGATTCTACGATCAGCAGCACAGGCCGGCTACTTGACGGACCCCGACCGACTAATCAAGTGGGCGACGTTCCCGGTCACGTTTCACGGGGCTAGTAGCACGGGTTTGACAGAAGCAGACGCGGCCGACGTCGACGACAAGAACGAGGCTGGCGTAGCGCTGTTGGAAGCAACAGGAGAAGGCGCAGCGACAAGGTTACCGCCAGCAACCGACTTGCGAGTGGCGGGCTTTGTCCCGGATCGGTCTGGACTCAGCGAGGAACCCTCACAGAGGACCGATCACCGACGCCGCTTCTTCAAGATCGAAGCCAACAACGCCGGCGACGGAATCGTATCTATGCAGCGAAACAAACAGCGACGGAGTAGTTGTGAGGCCGTTTGTCTTACAGGTAAAAACAAAGCGGAAACATCTGAAGACCGAAACCGGCCGGAAGGAACAGAGAGCAGTAGCATACATCAGCAACGTACTGTGCGCAATACCGCAGCTGCTCCAAACGCAACAAGGAGTAGGACGCGACAGCTTCGTAATCTCACTAGAGAACTACCAGGACCTTCATGGAGGAACAAAGGGACCGATCCGACGAGGACAAGGAATCGGCCTGGACCTAGTGGAAGCAATCGAAGGACTACAGCTCTTAGGACACCGGGTCCTCCGGAAGAACAGCCAGAGCCGAACAGAGTTGAATGCGTCGCAGACGGTGCACGAAATCGGACTCCGGTTCGTCAACATCCCGGGGCACGATAAGAACATGGACTGGCCGATCTACGAGTTTGGTGAGGAGCTGTTCGCCTTCGGCCCAGTGTCGTCTTGGCAGAAAATGAACAAGAAGGAACGTAGCGACTTCTTGGCGCGGGCGCTAGGAGTAGAGACAGACGAGGAGGCGGCAGAGCGGGTTCGAAAAGAACGAGAAGCCGAGAGCGCACTGCCCGTGCCAAAGGCACCGCAGGGAGTGAGCCAGAGTAGCGGGACAAACGGCAAAAAGGCGACCAGCGGCGAGGCACCAAAGCAAAAGCAGGCGAAGGCGAAAGTGCCAGGACCAGCACCGCCACGACCAGAAGGAGAAAAAACGCCGCCACCAAAACGCAGGAAAGCTTCAGAGCGATCGGGCGACGGCGCTGACAAAAAGAGGAAACCCAACAGAAAAGCGCCACCAGCACCGGCAGCCGCGGCAGAAGAGCAACCCCCAGCAAAAGCCCCGGCACCGAAAAAAGCAAAGGGGGCAGCCGGGCCAAAACCGAAGCCACCGGTAGCCGCGGCTGAAGGACAACCCCCGCCAAAGGCCCCGGCACAGAAAAAAGCAAAGGGGACAGCCGAGCCGAAGCCGAAGGCGCCGGAAGACAAACCACCGAAACCCAAGGCAGGCGGAAAGAAGAGACCCGCGGAGGTGGCGGAGGAACTAACGGAGGCGGCGAGCAAAAAACAGAAGCAAACCAACAAAAAACAAGACGAAGCCAATCCGACGAGAAACAGGCCACCACCTAAGCAGAACGAGCTGCCCAGGCAATCTGCTAGCTCTGCAGCAACAAATACCGCAGAAGCGGCGCCGCCGAAGAGTGAGCGAGCTGAGACGAGCACGAGCCACGGAACGGAGCTGCCGGCGGAGCAGAGAGGTCGGAAGGACCCAAGAGCGGTGGACGGGCTCGACGGGGCATCTGAAGTAAACATGCGGGAAATTGCGGAAACGAAAAAAAAGGAGACACCGCCGGCGCGGCCGTTTTCCATGTTTACATCGACGAGCCAGTTCTCGAAGGTCAGCGACCTGTTCCGCGCAGTGGAGCAGGTCAATGAACGGACTGCACAGTCGTCATCCGCCTCTTCCTCCTCCTTGTCCACAAATACGAGAGTGCAGAAGAAGTAGTCCCATTAGGTGGATCCCACCGACAGACCCCCAGCCCGCCCCCCCCCCACCCCATCTCGCCATAACCCTCCCTGCCCACACAGTGGACGAAGCTCGAATCAGCTGGCGGGGAGCAACTGTCCGACAACAAGGGCTGTAAAAGAAGCATCCGCGAAAATAACAAGCGCGAACTCTCAGCAACCACCGGGCTGCAGCATGCCATCCGCTAACTCGCGGCTGGTCATCAACAAACGAAAGCGTCTAAGTCGAGTCGAGTTATCCAAAAACGAAAACGAGCACGAAAGTGTCTGCACAGCGTAGCGGGTAACTTTATGAAAGAAAAAAAGGAAGGTAAAAAAAAAGTCGAACTTGATCTGCGACCTGATCTGCCTGCTAAGGTATGCTACCTGAGGCGCCTCCATGTTCCTGTTCGAGCGCGGCGACGAAGACGAAGCACGAGAGCAAGCACGCGGAGGGATGCAGAGAAAAAGAGCGGAACTTCAGAAATGCGTGGCCTCTTGCCCGTTCCCTTCTACTTTTTGTTTTGTTCTTGCTCCCCGAAAGGGGGTTTCCTGTGGGGGGGGGTGCGGGAAGTCAGAAAACAAATGGCACGAAAGACGCCTGCTAACGAGCTGATCAAGATAAGGAAATGCCTCAGCTGTAGGCAGGGCACTGCGAGGTCATGCGAAAGAAGAGGCATTAGTGTGATTTCCTTCCTGGCAGGTGCGATCGAGGTGCAAGCTGCGATGGCTGTGTGTGTTATGCAGTGGCGCGTAAAAAACTACAACAGAGAAGCAAGGCAAAAAAGATCAAGCTCGGGCCGCGCGCGATGCTCGTCCCATTCGTTTTTTCCGCCGGTTCACTTCCTTCATCAGGGCCTTGCTCAACCCTGGACCAGAACGAGTAGGACCAAGGACCCAAGAGGGAGGCACTGCAGCGGAAAGTTGGAGCAAAACTATTCTTTTTGAAAAAGAACCCAATAGGAGCCGACCTGCGTGGATGGTTACAAAACAGGTAGCTTGACCCCAAATGGCAATGATCATTGGGAGCAGCAGAGCGCAGCAGGACCCCGGGACTGCAACAGCTCACCCCTGTTTTAGCTTAGAAATACGCAGTGCGCCGAGTATGCCGCTACCTCGACCCCTCAATCAGGCGGACGGCCCGGGGCGGGGATGCTGACGAAATTCGCGCTATAATCTGGCTAAATTTTTCCGCAGGCCGCGCAGCTTTTCGGCCCCACATTGATGGGCCGCGCGCCTTTGCCCGGCCTGCGCCCGCCTCGTGCGTGGGGCGGCCGGGCGCCGGGGGCGTTCCGCGGCTTCGCGCGAGGCCCTTTGCGCTCCTTTTTCGGCGGTGCCCCCCGTGGCGCCGCCCTCGAGCGATTTAAAATTTAAAAATTCGGAGTGGTTTCCGTCCGAATTTTTAAATTTTGCAAAGGCCGGCCCGCGCCCCTGCCAGCTTCGCGGCCCCGCGCCACCGCCCGCCGGGCGAGTTCGCCGCGCTGCCGGACCCCCGGATCCGGAATTCGGGGAAGCTAAATCGGACGGATAAATCTTTTTGATTTTCCGCAGAAATTTGGCTAACCGGACGCCTAAAATGCCGCTAAAAGTGCGCTAACTTCCCCGCTAAGTATGTCGCTAAATATGTCGCTAAGTATCGCGCTAAATGTGTTGCTAAATCCGACAACAGGGAAATCCCACTGGATTTGGATCCGCGGACCAAATTTAGAAGATTCCCGGTCGGAATTTAGAACACATTTAGAACGATATTTAGACACATATTTAGACACATATTTAGACACATATTTAGAAGCATTTCAATTGGACTTCAGCCGCACCTTCCACCCGCGATCCGATCGCGTGTGAAAGGTCCAGCTGACTCTCCGGGGGCGGAGGGCAAGGCGTTCTTCCGTCGAGCGCGGGACGTAAGCTCCGCGCGCAAGCTTGGGTAGGTCGGCGGGCGTTGACTTGAAGTTGCCCGACCGCTCCCGGCAAGCAAGGTCCGCAGCAAGGTTCCAAGCTCCCCGGGCGTGATGGCCGGGTGGCCGCGCCGCACGGCCCGGGCCGAGCGAAGGCCCCGGAGCCCGCTCTGCGGCGCTTGGCAGAGCGGGGGCGGCGGTTGGTTTCCCGCGGGCTTTTTCTGCTTTGCCTCTTAGGCAGTTTCCTGTCTTTGGGGCCAAACTATTTAGCGGGAAAATAGAACAAATTTAGCGCGTTACACCGCCCCGCCTCGTCCGTCTGACCTCAAGAAAAGAAGTAGCCCCCCCAACTACAAACTCGCCGTCCGCGATCAGGATACGATGCGTACTAACCAACATTGTGCGAACCGAGATCCCGCGGGGCACAGGGTCTGGGCGGCTCGAAGCAGAACGTGCAGCACAAGCGGGAGACAACACATCCAAAGGTGGGGATGGTCTCAGGTCGTTCAGGTCCGCCAAGGGTTGCGTCTCGCTATCAGGGTTTCGCCAACTCCGTGGGGGCGTTGCGGGTATCTCCCTAAAACACCAAAACCGGCACAAATTGGGCCGGCAGTCCGGGTAATTGCTCACCAGCCGGCTTGTATGGCGAATAAGGTGCTCGACGAAGAAGAAATAAGCATGTAATTAGCACCTCCGGTTGGTAGAGCGATCGGCTACCGAGGCACGTCAGGGGGCGTCGCTACTTCAATTCAAATGCAAAATCCGCATGACAATCTCCTGCATTCTTCCTGACCCAGACATTCTTGTATTTCATACGAGGTCGCCAAGCGCAACCTGCGTGGGTCTCCTGCGCAACAGGTTGGCGGGATGGCGGAAACCGGTGGGTATTTTTCCCGTGCGGATTTGACGGCGTTTTCGTTTCCGGTACTCCTCTATCCCGTGCAAATATTGATCTGGGTCTGGAAAATTGATGTCACGCTAAGACATCATGACTGACGAAGTTCGTCCCAATCATGACTGACGAGGTGCAGAAGTTACCCAGCTAAGCATGACAAATTTTCGAGAAGAAGTTCTATGTCGCACTCGCGCCGCTGTGTTAGAAGTTCTATAGCTTATAAACTTGTTGAGTCCTCAGAAGTTCGCTGTTTGCATTGCAAAGTGCCACTGCTAGATCATGGTGTTGCGCAACGTGCATGATTACTTATGTATGATACCGGGTGCGCTTTTTTAGTACCTGAGGAACCTGACATATTTGCAATGTATATCATGCTGCTTTCGGCGGGAAGCCTTTTGTCTCTCGCCCTGCACCGATGGTGTCTGCGGCGCAGAATCTAAAGCCGCAAAAAGAAGATTTTCGATTTAAGAATTTTTTAATTGCTGCTTCCAAACTTTAACTGTGGACTGCAAATCAAGTCTGAAAACATCTTTGCCAAACTTCTAACTTTGTCGAGCAAAATTAGAATCAGAGCCGTATCCTAATAAATTCTAGTGTCCTCAGAAGGGCGTCGATCGGCATGTTTTATTTTCCTTGCGTGCTTATTTGAGAAAAAACAAAAAGCTACCCGCGATCAAATACCGAACCGGCAAAGAGACGATAAAATACACTAACATGTATCGTTTTTACGAACCTGTTGATGATTACTTACAGCTGCACCTTGCCTTCACCTCGCGTGCTGTGACACTTTTGAAATTATGACCCGCTCAGCTGTTACAATCTCGAACGTTGCAATTATAGAGTCTGGATTTTTTGTTGCATAGAGAGCAGGAGGAACATGCAGAGCTTTGCCTACTTTGCGGTTTTCGCAATACAAATTTCGCGAGATTCTTATGTGGTTTGGAGCTCCGGAACTTGTCATGCGCAATCTCGTGGAAGTAGGCTAGATCATGCACTTTTTGCATCTCAGATTTCCATTGTATTGTAACCCTTGAGCAAAAAGTTATTGTAACACCTGAGCGGGTTAGAGTTAGTATAGAAATGCTGCCCAATAATTTTTACAACGTGCTCTGCCCACCCGTGTAGCTGACCACCTTTTTTTTTAACCCGCTTTACTTCCACTGTAAAGCGTTTCAATGTTCCGGATGGAATGGTATGGTAGGCACCATGCCCTAGAGTGTTTCGCCTTGCGTTATGTGATCAAGACTTACACCCACGTACGTTGAACTCTAATGCACCACCAACGAATCGAATTTGAAATTTGTTTTCGGATTTGCAAAAAAATTTTCACTTTTTATAGTAGCGAATCGTTTATTTTATCACCAAAAGCTGCACCCTGCCGTCACTTCTTTGTGCTCTAACCCAGTTTTTATTTGCCTAATTTTGAACATGATGCTCTGCCCACCCGTGCAGCTGGCCACCTTTTTTTTTGGAAGCTGCCTGTCTATCCTCTTGGAGGGTTGATAGCGTGGCTCACTTCTTAATCAATCTTTTGATAAACTAAAACTAACACTTAGAAAGATATTGTCTCGCTTTCCTAGCAGATGCAGAATCCCATGTAACTTTGTAGTTCGACGTACAAATAATACAATCTCGAAAGGAGGAAGCTCGAAATTCAGCATGACAATCCTATTGACGCAGTTTCATCGACTGGGTAGCTGCGAAAGCATTCGCAATCCCACAGCTGCTCGACGTGCAGCCACAAGTTGTCTGCAGATTGTTTGCGTGGCTTAAAAATCGGAACAATGATTGAATACTGTCTGCCAAGCAGAAGTAAGCAGGAGCCTAACACCTGCCTATATTGCGCGCTAGTTGTATATTCACTCTTGAAAAAATTCAAGGGAATCTATGTGAATACCTGTACCGGTTCAGCTTCCGAGAAATGAAAATTGCGTTTCCTGGCACGACACCCTTTTTACAGATCCACATTATACTAGAATATCAAGGGTCGCCGAACAGAAAGAATAGAAAGACCAAAGTGTCGCTGTCTTTTCTGAAATGAATTTTTTGTAAATAAAACGGTTTCGCTTCTAAACAATTTCAAACAGAAACGTGGACATCCTGTATAGATGCATGAAAAAAGTTCGGCTGGCATCGCTACCGCAACGGACATGGCGACAGCGGCTTTATACATAGCAAGGGCTCATCAACACAGCATGACCTTGACTAAGAATTCCGTAATGTACTGTACAATACTAAAAGTAAAACGATGTCAAAAATGCTGCCCTGAGTGCCGTTTCCCTGTGGGAATACTCGTGTTTACCCTGTATGATATAGCGGATTCATGAATTGCATAGTTGTGCCTGTGGCACTACAGCCTCTGTTCATCATAGATACAGAGCGATTGCGACACGAGCTGCATATTTTTTTCCTACACCATCACCATCTATCACACGAAAAAATGCAACTGGGATATAAACATTTTTCATGAAATAAAATGCACCCCTGTACATACTTGAAAAACACCGCCTCCTCATTGCGGCACGGCAAGCGAAACCGTGCTCACGAACATAAACTGCCTTTAGGACGACAAGTTGAAGCGGCAAGCCAGAAATTACCTTTTGTGTTCTCGTCACAGGTACTACGTGGAACATCTGTGCTGCAATCACAAAAGCCACACCGCTGATGAATGAATATGAATTTTATATGAGAAAATGAGAATGATGCACTGCATCTGCATCACAAATTGAAGTTTAGGAATAATGTCGCTTGCCATGTTATTGCATCCATCTTCCGCCCTGAAGGAAAAGCATTGTTCCCCCTGCAAACGACGCAGTCTAGTTTGTGTGGATGCCGCAACTGTGATTAAAGTTCAAGTTTTTCACAGATAACGATGAACAAACCGCAATGGTCGTGCCGTTGAAATGCAATCATCCATACTTTTATTTGAATAATTTGCATTTCAAAGACCAGAGGACGATGAAGAGCAATAAAAAAATTGCATTTTGTACAAGCGCACGCAAAATCGCACTTTTTTGCCCTTTTTATTCAATGTTTGGCGTGTCGGGAGGTCGTGCTTGCTGGTCTAGGTTTTGGTGCTGTTTCGCATATTGAGGATGTCCAAAACACGTAAGCAAAGCCGCGGCAAACGGATATTAAGCAACAGGCTCGAAGACCGGAGCAGGAACCTTTCGGTTCAACACGGCCATTGTGATGAATGTCGAAAAGCATATGCAATTCGGGGACGGAACCACGCAAGGTTTCGTCCGGCTTCAGTCGCTTGCCTTTATTGCGGGATGTTCAAAAAGAGCGAGCTAATTTGCACGCAACAGAAGGTAAGAACCAAGAGGAAAGCAGTTTTCCTGCGTTTGGAATCTCATTTTTCTATACTTGTTTCTCCTCGCTGAAAGCCGAATCGCTATCGCGCGCACCACTACGTGCCTGGTATACATATGTCGCTCCTCCCGTGATGTTGCAATCTTTTTACAATTTTTGGCGATCTTCGCGACTTTATTATGTCATGCTGCTTTTGTGTGACGTGTCCATCATGTCATTGTCCAGCCCGTAGCCGGCATTACGTGGCTCGAGGACATCGCTGCAAGGGTTGGTGCGAAATAATTAGCAGGGTTGCAAAACATAAACAAGGTATATTATGTCATAGAGATATTATTAGAAGTTCTAGTTAGTTTCATCCGAACTTCGTGTTTTTTTCTTGTGGATCAGATGGACGACCTAGCTGCCCTGGAGGCGCTGCTTGAGAGCAATCAAGCGTTGCTGGCGGTGCGTCCCATCGATGTGGAGGAGTCGAATATCAAAATGAAAAATCCCCCCTCCCCATATCGAAACGACGTTTCTGATGCTGGATTTCCATACACAAATCACATTTGTCTTGCAGTAGAGGACTGCAGGCATATGTCAAGCCTCATTCGAGAGGTTTTGACGTAGGTGCCTAGCATGCCAAACGTGTACGCTCTACGCCCAACAGCATCACAAACCGCCTGCAAAATGCGGGGCGCTCTCTGGACTTGCCTTCTTGCAAGACGGACAGGATTTGAGCTCACAAATGCGCATCGCAAATTTTCAGACGGATACGTTTTCAATATGGGGAGGGAGGATTTTTCCTTACGATATCGAAGCTGAAGCAGGAATGGGCGGACGTACTGGAAACATGGCAAAGTATCGACCGCCTGTGGATCTTATCACATGCAAAAGTGTCTGGGTCTGGAAGGTTAGAACTTGTGATGCGGATTATGGAAAAGGCAAAAATTTGTATTGCGTGAGCGCCAAAACCAAAAGCTGCTCAATTCTTGTTGCGCAATTAGGAAATTGCTCATGCACAGTATGCATCAGAAGGCCTGCGCAAAACCTGTAATGCTTTTGCGTGCATTACAGACGGGTTGCACAATCCAACAGTGATGCATGACAAACAAGGGCACTCCTCCCGACCCAGACATATTTGCATTTGATAGATCTCCCAGGAGTGGAACCGGAGCGACCAAGACCTGGTTCGGATCTTATCAACTGCAAAAATGTCTGGGTCTGGAAGAGTCGGGGCTTGTCATGCACATTTTGCATGACCCGTAACTAAGGTCTGTGGTGCTGGTGCTAGCATCACAGATTTTGTGCGGGCTTCTTGATGCTAATTACGCATGAGAAATGCCCTCTCTGCGTGCCAAGAGCTGAGTCCTCTTGCTGTTCATGCAACACAGATATTTTTAGAATCCGCAGACAGCATTACAAGTTCCACTCTTCGAGACCCAGACATATTTGCAATCCATAGGCCTTGCGGCGGAACAAAGAGGACTACGAGAAGGAAGCGGAGGCGGACGTGCTGCTGCTGCGAAACCACCAAACCATGGTGAACGCGAAAAAGAATTTAGTGGACGGAGCGCGCAAAAAGAAACAGCAGGCGGACGAGGCACTGCAGAAGGCGATTCAGCAGAAGGAAGAACTGCTGCAGAAGTTTGGTGGAAAGATCTCAGTCGCGCTGGCCCCCGTGGCACGGAACCGCGAGCAGCGGGTGAAGAAAGCCATGGAGCTACAGCATAAAGCCACACTGTATGGCGTTCTCAAACGTTACATTGTCAGCTGTTACATGATTTGTCATGCAAAATTGCCTTCAGAATCGACACGATCGAGCTGCTCCGCACGACAAAGTCCCAGAGGGCCAAACAGGCTGATAATCGGCGCCAAATCTGTCATGCAAGACGCGCGCGATCCCTCCTATTACTTTTCCCATTCTTGCATCGCAAATCCATGTAACAGTTGAGAATGTAACAGTTGAGAGCGCCATACACTGGAGCTGTCGGCGAATCTGGAAACGCTGGAAAAAGCAGAACTGGCAGCGCGGAACTTTGTCGAAGGGACAAAGTCGCGCATCGCGGAGCAGCAGCAGCGAGAGCAGCAAATCCTGGACCTCTGTCGCCAGAGCTTCCAGAAAATTACGGTGCCGCCGGGGGCGACTTCAGCCAGCAGCAGTAGTACAGGCGGCACCGCAACCGCCACAGCAGTCCCCAGAACAACTGAAAGCGACGAGCTGAGCAGCGCGACCGGGGCCGCACCGCCGGATCAACGACACTACGATTTTGGAAGCGCATCAGCCGGCACCCCGCACGAGTCCGGCACTACAGGTGCTCCCGCGACGGGCAGTGGCCGCGCGGTTAGCTCTGCAGTTCTTGGCTTTCCTGACGGAACAACGATTTCGGCCGGACCCCCCGCCGCTCCGCCTCTGGAGCTCGCGGACGAGAGCGAATTGGAGCGGTTGCGGCAAAAGGTGAGCGAGCTCGAGCGTGCCCTGGAGGAAAGAAAAGCGGTGCACACAGCGCGGTCGGCGCGAACTTCGTCGCACTCCTTGACTGAGCAGTCATCAAGGCAAGAAGGCGATGGGTCCGGATCCTCCTCGTCCTCCTCCAGCAGGAGGAATTACACTGGTGGAGGCGGACCTCTCTCGGCGATCCCAGAGCAGTCGTCCGCCTCTTCTTCCGGGTCCTTGGAGCCGCTCCAGGCCGCGATAGGGACGTCGGGAACTACTACAGCAGGGGCATCGGCGGCGGCGCGGGCGAGCACGACCAGTGGGGCTGACGATCACAGTAGTTCATCGGGAAATATAATTAACTACGGTGACGTATCGGTCCATAATGACACTTCGTTGCTCAACGAATCCTTTTCCTCGCAGCTCGGCGTCATGGTGCTTGCGTCACCCGAGGAGGCCCCCGACTTGACCGTGCCGCTGGGGTTGTCAGAGGAAAAGTTGAGGCACATGCAGACCCGCATCAAGCAGCTCCAGCAACTCGTGAAGAAGGAACGCTCGCAGAAACGGCGCGCCGAGGCCGAGGTCACGCGGTTGAAGATACGAGAGGGCGACCAGGGGTCACGGGTCGGCGAGGAGGAGAACTACTCCATGGTTGAAATAAGCCATGCCAACGCAACTTCGTCAACGCAACACCACGCGGTTCTATCCAAGGAGTCGTCTGCGTCGTCCTCCTCGAGCAGTGCTGCTTCGAGCAATGCCAATGCAGCAGCGGAGGTACTGCGGAAAAATAAGGCAAGAGCCGGCCAAGGAAAAGACCGGGAAGTAGGACAAGAACTTGGACTACGAGACGCGGATGTCGAGGATCCCGGCGCGCCACCGAATCAGGGTGCGTCTGAACAAGAAGGAGCTGCGCTTGGTTCAGTAGCCGGCACGGGACCTTCGTCACGCTCATCGCGAGATCGACAGCGACTACTAGTACAGCAGGTATCCTGGTGTGCGAAACTTGTCGTGGAAAAGGTGCAGTCGTGTAAAACGCAATCTTGCATGGCCCAATTGACAAGTTGCTTTTCTTTATTCTTTTCTGCTTGAGTGTGGCCGCTGTGCACGACGTCTAACTACTAGGAGGTAGAATAACAACAAATCGCCCAATTGTTTCTTTTTTCCCTCAGAATGCAAGGCAATTTCTTGTCGTTGTCCTGCGAATATATATATTGCGACAGTTTTGCAATCCATGACGGCAGCCCGGCAGCAAATTGCTGCTCGATGTGGTGCGAACCGACGATGGGGCCTTCGTCGCGCGCTACGACAAGGAATTCCAGGTTGTGTTCGACCAGAAGCAGATGAATGGTGTGGCGCGAGGAGGTGGAGATAAACTGGGCAAACATGGTAGTACAACTCGTCCGTCTCAGTCGGACCTCGACGTGCCCTCCGCGGAAGAGGCTGCAAGAGCGCAGGTAGAGTTGTGGCGCACCATGGCGCGAGACGACAAGCCGGGAGAAAATCTCGTCGATTTCGGCGCACCGGTCGTGTTGCGCACCGCACAGAAAACGGACCCTGCGTCGCCAAGCGACTTGCCGGAGGGAGCGGAGACCACACGGCTGCATCCGGGGGACCCAAGGAGAGGAGGGGATGGTCTTGATGCGCCACCTATAGTACCTGCTGCAACGGGATCATCCAAAACGAGCGCTGTCGCCTCAACCGGGCCCTTCTTCGAGAACGAGCAGCAACCTCCGGGTGGCACGATGGAGCGATTTAACAACAAGCAGAATTTCGAGCACGGCGAGACCGGGGCCACACCGCCACGGTTGCTCGGCGCGACCGGCGGTGCAGGAGCAGGCAACTACACCGTGGCCAGCGGGGGCACACACAGCAGTAGCAAAGAGCCGAGCCTCCTGGGCAGAAGCGGGAAAGTAGAAGGTGGGCAAGCGATTACTACACCGAGTCCTCCCGGCGGGACCCGTAGCAGCCCCTCCGGCGGGGCTCGCCCGGATGATCCCGGTCGGGAGGAAGCTAATTTCAAGCCGGGGACGAGCAGTAGCAAGTCGCAGCTGGAGCCAGGTCGACACGACTTGCAGTCGAAGTCTTCCTCCACCCCCGGAACGACCTCCCGATCCGAGCCCGAGCAGCCGCACGATCAAAGCGCAGATGCGAAGATGCCGGCGCAGAGCAGGAGGCAGGAGTTGTTCGCAGAAAAAATGAGGCAGCTTGTTGTTCCCACCGCTCCGTCGGCGCTCACGAGTTTCCGCGACTTTGTCCAGAACTACAGAAAGAAGGAACAGGACCTACTCTACCAAAGAAAAGATTTGTATCAAAGGGCCAACGAGGACTTCTTCGCAGAGGGACGTGGGCCAGGACCACGGGTACGGCCGCCTGCTAATTATCTGGGGCATGCCGCCTCTTCGTCGTCGTCTTGGTGGACTACTAGGGGCGGGATCATCAACGAAGATTTTCTGGTCCAGCAGTTTGCAAACACGGACTTCCTCGCACAAACCTTCACCAAGCAAAATTGGAAGCGACACAAGGTCTGGCGGGGCGCGTTCGTTGAGGAGCGCCTGTTACTCTTGTCGGATTTCTTCCTCGGAAGGAACTTTTTCAAGTCCTCCTCGTCGTCCAGGGATCTTTACAATCAGGTGCGCCGTCGGGGGCAAGAAGAATCACAGCCGACGGAGAACTCGCACTCGGCCAGTGGCGCGCCTTCGACTTCTGAGCCAACTGGTGGGACGAGCGGGGCACGAGCTGCCGCTGGAGCCGGCGGCGGCCTCTTGACCAGTTCTGCAGTGGGGGCAGATGCCCAGCCGCAACTGGAAGCCGAGATGATGCAGCGCCCAAAGAAGAGTGTCAACTTCAGGCTGCTTGCCTACGAATTTATGCTTTTCTTCGTGGACGTTTATAATGCCAGCCCTTCTGGTTCTGTGGACCAACCGATCTGCAGTGTGGAGAATCTGGTGTGGAAGCTGCGACTGCAAAACCGACTGACTGCGAGCGAAAGTTCTTGCGTCGCCGACTGGACGCTGGGACGCGGCGAAATGGGAGGGTCCGCGTATGCTAGTCCTGGCGGGAGGAGGACCGCCCAGCTGGACGCCGGGACGGCGTTCTTAGTGCACCTCTCGGAACGGCTGCTGCGCCAATGTGTCGAAATAGAACACTTGGTGCGGAGAAGATCCGCGACGACGAGAAGGCTTATATGCGACTGCACAACTCGTCGACCTCTCTCACTGATATTTTGTGGGTCCAGAACTGGAAAGCGACCAGGCTAAAAATAAGGCAAGAGAGTAGTAGCTTCTGCATGCTGATGAATAAGCAAGCACGACGACGGACCTGCATATTCTCGTGATCGAATAACAAGAACTGAGACTGCTGCTGGCTCTATTGGCGCGCCAGCTACTGGCAGGATCGCGCACGATTGCGCGCACCAGCGCCTTGGAGATATACACCCCGCGGACCAACCCTCACGGCGCGGCCCGGCTCGGTAGTACAGTGAGTCTGTTAAATTACCATGACAAATAAAAAGAAACATGGCAGGAGCACAGATTTGAAATGTCTTACCGGGCTGTTGAAGTAGCGATGAGTTCTTTGAAGACAGAACTTGTGATGCAAATGCTGCCGCGAAAACAAAGCTAAAGGCAAGCGCAGATGGCACGCAATATCACGCATGAGAAGGAGAGGTGGAGTTGTGCACTTTCACATCGAAGAGGCGCTTGCTTGGCGAAAGACAATTTCTCGCAGCTGAAGGGTCGGCGACGAGGACGAGGAGGCAGGAGAGGTTCTGGAGAGCCGCCTTCGTCAGTTTCCCGAAAAATATGGAAAAACGGAGCGGGTGGAACCAGTAGACCGCACGGCGACGAGAATGATTATGATTTTCACCTCCCTTCTCGTCGTGCTGGAAGACCACGACGACCGTCTCCTGTCACGGAGGAGGAGAAAACCAGGCAAAAGGGGTTTGCTGCTTGGGTCACACGCACCCTGCTCGTGTTGGAGGACTGTTTTGAGCATGCGGCCGTGAGGGCAGCGACGGAAAGTATTCACAGAGCCAACCATGAGCGATCGACAGTTGTGTCGCAGGGTGACGTTGTACGGGTGGAACACGAGGAGGCGGCGGCGCGAGAGGTGAAGCAAGAACCTTTGGCATCTTCAGCCGCCGAGCGGGTGGACCACGCTGAGAGGGTGAACCAGCACGACGGAGAACACCTCCGTCTCGAGGAGGTTGAGCACGCATGCGCGCAGCTAGGTCTGACGCTTGTGCAGAATCTTCTGGAACGGGTGGCTATTGGGGCAGATGAGTTCATTATGCAGTGCAAGATTGTTGTCTTGAAGGTTCGGAAAGGTCTTACAACTTGTTGCTCACTGTCTCGACTGAGGACGAAAAAAATCGGTCTTGCATATTAGAAACCAACATCTGGAGGTTTGCATGCGGACTACCAAAAGTTTACACCTCCACTACTTTTATTGGACAAGACAACTAGTACTACAATTGGGACGACTAGATCATTTCTGTATTTTTCGAGGCGAATGCAGCTGCATTCCAGACCTCGTCGCGCATCATGGAGGGGCTGCGTGACAAGCACAAGCTTACCTCCAGCCTACAGACATATCTTCTATTTGGTGTGAATATTCCTCGTAAGACGACCTCCTGCTGATGTTAGAAACTCCTACGCCACAAGCGAAGAGGCAAACCACATTCCGAGGAAGGAAGACGCAACCACCAGGCGCTTCAGTACGAGCCAGGTGAACAGTGCGTTGCATCGGTGGTACTACCACCAGCACAAGTGGCAAATATGAAATGCAAATATGCCCGGCTAACTCCGGAAGCTTGTGGTTGTGGTTGCAGAATGAATCACGAGCACGCGTCAATTTCTATTGACCGCAAAGCGTGAGACGTTTTTTGATTCGTCCCAATTGTTGTCTAATCTGCATGTTGACAGAGTACAAGTGAAACATGACAGACTTAAAACAGTCATGATACTGCCGAGCATGACAACCCTTGCACTTGCTTGCACTTTTCCAGACCACCCAGAGGACATAGTTGCAACGCATAGCAGCTGGAAAAGAACCATCTTCGGAGCAGAAATACACGGGAAGTCAATGGAGCACCAGAAAGCAGAGAAGTGCTCGATTGCAGGAATTTCTCGTCCGCCGCCGCACCGCTCGCAGCTGCCTGCGCCGAGTTGACCCGAATCACCAAATCTATCTCGGTATGCATTGCACAACCGGCATCGTGCTGCTTATAAAATAAACGGCTCTAGTACACCAAATACAAATAAGTTTGTGCACTTTATTGATATTGAGGACGTTCCGTACTTGAATGTCGAAAAGTTCTGACCCTATTCAACGGCGTGACCCTACAGTTCTCTGGGGGTAGCAGGCTAGCCCTTCCGTGCGTCAGAGAAGGGAGTACCAGTGCCAAGCCCTAATTATCACCAGATTTGGGCGTAGATTTGTAGCCCTGGCAAGGTACTTCTCACCACGTAGAAAAGCAATAGGAATTTTGTCATGCCATGTCGCTTGTTCAATTATTTTTAGGGCGACGAGTTTATTTTAGATTATTGAGGGTTCCTATTTTGATTTGAGATTAGGACGAGGAGTGCGATGCTTTTGGACAGGATACCCGGTCTGGCACCTCATTTCCCTTGTGCAGGAAATTCTGCAGCAGGTTGTCGGGGAACAGCAGGAGGGTCTCCGGATTTTTCAAAAAATCGAGCAAGAAGAGGAAGGCGATAGGAACAGAGATAAGTATCCGGAACGGCAAATAAATTTCTCCCAAGCGGCCGGAGGAGGATTTTCTTCCTGTCCCGCTGGCAGCAAGAACGGGGGCAATAACGATCTTCCATTTTTCCACCTTGGAACCCGGTTTTTTCTCAAGCTGTTGCCCCACTTCTGGGAGACCACCTACGCATTGCAAATCAATATGGCTGACACTGGGTCTGAAAGACTGCACACTTGCGGTCATACTGAGAGCCAATAATAATGATCCCGAACCTGTATAAGTAGGGCATGCTGCGAAATTGCCTTAAACTCACTGGTCCTGGTATGTGTTTGTCACGCAAAATGCTTGTGTTGATGCGCGTTACGCATTACTCGACCATTCGAAATAAATCTCTTATGCTTGGCTGCCTAGTTCTTCTCTAGTCAGTTTGTCACTCGTAGATTAGCATGACAACTTTCCAGACCCAGACACATTTGCATGTCCATTTGATACTACTGCGCAAGTGAACACTTTTTCCGACGACCTGGACCTCTTGGACACGAGCTACTCAGACGACGGCGCCGCCACCGCCGAAGAAGACGATGAGTACGTCGACCTCGCACGCAGCATTTTGTGGGTCACCGCGAGTGTGAGTCCGAGTTCCGTGTTGAGTCGCGGAGGTTTAGAAGTATCCGCGTCAAATAAAAATGCCTCCGCGGTGGACCGTTCTTACAGTTGTTTCCTGCTGACCGCCGAGACACACGGGTTGCTGGCCTTGTCCGCGCGCTTCAAAAAACTGTTTTTCGACGTTATGACCCGCTCAGAGATTTTTCCCACCTCGGCTGTGAATCTGAGAAAAGAGAAGCTTTCATCTCGTGGAAAAGCTGTTCTGCGATCTACTTCTGGCCAGGAGTTCCCGCAAGAAGGAGGTTGCAAGAACGCGCATGAAAACAAGTTCACAAGGGTCACACTGCTCGTCTGGAGTGGTGGACATTGATTTGTACAAGCGCAATGAAGCTTGTTCGTATGTATTTTTGATGTTGTTCATGCAAGATAAAGCAAATTCATCAAAACTCAGGCTTTCTTTGTAAATTGCTCAGATCCAGATGGCCGATGTAAATAAAGAACCTGACCGGGCGATACGCGTCGAATACAATGCAAGAAACTACGCCTCCGTGTTTCACCACGTCCTCGAGGATCCTGAAGGGCAGGCGCAGTTGGACGCACCATCCAGAAGTGCCTTAGTCGACGACGGCGGCGACGAGGAGTTATCATCGAGTGGAGCGGAGCGAGGCTCCTCCTCTTCGGCCTCCGAAGATGAACAAGCGGGCTCTTCCTCAGAAGCAGATGAACCGTCGCGGGCGACACTTTCTAAGCACCATGCAGCTTCCTCTTCCGCGCGGACAAGAGGGAAGAAGAGAGGAGTTGCAGCCCTCCACGGGGCACTTGCAGTGCCGCGATCCGCACCGGACAAAGGGCGGGGTCGGCGAGGGTATACAGATCCTGACGAGCAGGACCACTATCGCAGTGGTTCTTTCGCCGCTACGAAGGGCGCGGGGCTGCTCGATACTATCGGCTTGCAGAATACCTGGCGAGGTTTCCTGCGGTTCGAAACCCTGCTCCAACGCGCTGCGAAAAGCTTGTGGGCCGGGACCAGTTCATCTTTCAACATGATCTTCAACGACGAGCCCGGAATTATGAGTTCGCTGCATGATCATGCAGAGCATGAGGAACATCAACAAGGTGACGAGGTGGATGCGCCAGCTGGCCGCGCGGAACTCTCCAGCTTTCCTGTCGGGCCCACACGCAGCCTTGAGTCCGGGATCCATTTCCTCAGTCGCACGGGCAAAAACTTGGCCTCCAGCACGAAGCAGGCTTTTTTCGGGGCAAACGAACAAGAAGCTGGTCACACTCTTGCAGAAGACACGGACAAAAACACGGAGATGTTGAACCACAATTTTTCACCTTCTGACTATACAGCCAACCACAACTCGAGCTCGTCTCCTGACGATGCCAAGTCATCTCGTCCGCCCGGCGCGGCGCGTGCCCCGTTGTACCAGAAAAGGGGACATCAACGCGAGGCCGAAGCAGACTCCTTCGGGCCGCGGCAAAGAACGCAAGCGGACGTGGCGAATAAAAGGGCGGGGAAGGAGCAGCAGGACGAGGGTGCTCGACCGCTCTGGACGCTTTCTCCCTTTCACGAAACCGCGTACCGGGCACTGCTGACGATCGACTTGCGCGACATGCTCACTCTCTGTCTGAAGGACTATCGCCGCTTCGTGGATTCTGAGGGCATGACGGTCCTCGTTCAGCTATTCGCTAGCGTCTCCGAGCGGTGTTGCATTCGCAGTGATGCGTTGCCCGAACTCTTATTTGAGGGGGAGGCAGATCAACCCACGAAGATGTTGAAAAGCGCAACCTCGCAGAAGAAGCAGAGGGGAACCAATCAAGTGATGGAGCAAGATGATGGGTTCTTTTCTTCCAGAACCGCCCGGCGGGGCGGGGACCGCAGCCGCACTCTCAAACAAGAACAGAGCCTAGGTGCTCTCTCAAGGAGGAACCTACACGAGGCAGGCCCTTCCTACGATTTTGACGCAGGAAGGGCTGGTGGTACCACTACTACAACTCCGGTGACAACATCGAGGGGAACCACGAAGACCGCGCACCAACGGAGGCGGCACTTCTACTGCTACCTCGTCTGGTCGGCCGGCACCGCGCAGTGCGAGCGGCTCCTGCGGCCGATGAAACTCTGGGAAAGCAAGTCTGCAAAGGACATCGGGCTTTTTCAGCAGATGCTCTCAGTGCAAAAATTCATGGACGAGCTCGCGGAGAACATTGAAGCGCTGAAAGAGGAAATTGCTTGCGACGACGAGTACTACAGCCAAGCTCTGGACCTGCTTTTTCTTGACCCAGCGGTGGGCAAGCAGCCCCGCAGTGGAGCTACTTCCGGTCGTCCAGATTCTCAAAGGCCGGCTGCCTCCTCATCTAGGAGATGGTCGAAGCGGGCGAACCCGAAGAATTATAGGTTTGATCAAAATACTAGAAGGGATCATCACGGACGGGCGGGGCGGGCAATTCCGGTGGAAAGTAGTACTTCATCATCCACGAACGCCTCAGAAGAGGAACCGAGCATCTACTTCTCCCACTATTCCGTACACATAATCGTCGACGCCATCCGCTACGCCGTCCGGGATGTGCTGTACTGGGTCGCGGGGGAGAAGCGGCACTCGGTTTCTCTACCACCTCCTACGGACCGCAATCTGAATGCCGAGCCTGGTGGTCCTTCTCTGGCAGGCGGAATCTCCGCCGGTGGAGGTGGTGCTGACCACATCTACTTCAATGCTTCCACCGCGCCAGCCGCAGTTACCTCGGCCTACCACAGTCCCTCACTGCCGTCCGCAGGGGAAGGTAGTGCGTGGGCTTCTGCTACGCCGAATCTGGAGCACCTTCACCACGCCGCGACGGGAGGAGGTTCTTTTCCGTTTAGTACCAGCAGGCCAAACATGACGCGGCCGTGGAACGTTGCCAGTGAGGAGGAGTTGCCACCTTCGGGAGGGAAAGTCGTTTGGGCGGTGTACGAGCTAGAGCAAGAAGCGCTGCCCTGGACGACGGGGAGCGCCGCCGCAGGAGCCTTAACGCTTCCTCGGGATGACGAAAATGCAGCAGATTATTATATTAACCGAGACAGCACCGCTGTTAGAGTCGGTGGTCCTGGTCCACCAGCACTTGCAGATCAACACGCGAGTGGAAAGACAATAAAGTCGAAAACTCTCTACTACGGGTTCTACACGCACTTTCCGGAATCCTTGAATGCGATCCTCGAACCGCTTGTGAACGTTGCCATCGTGTCCCGATTCCAGCAGTTCCACCACGTGATCATCTCGAAGTGCCTCGCGCCGCGTGAAATCCGGTTCACGCCCATGCGGCCGCCGGCCCTGCTGCACACCACGGCGGTGCTCGACATGTGGAATTTCGTGTTTTCCGCCTTTGATGCGGTCGTCAGCTTTCGCATCCCCATCCAGATGTGCGTGCTCCCCGTGTTTTGCAACTTTCTGCAAAAGACGCTGAACCAGTTCGCGGACCTGTGTCTGCAGTTCGACGGGAAAGCCGCCGCGGGGAGCGGTGCCACAAGCAAGGGTACTACTTCCATCGAGCTCGGCTCTCCAGAGCAGATTTTTCCCCTGCTCGCCAAGGCGAAGAAGACTTTTGCCGAGGTCCGCCTCCCCGACAATGCCGGCTACTTCTCGGATGGAAACTCGACATCCTCCGACGAGCAGGAGCCGTACAACTCCGGGCGCGGCGAGATCGGTGCGAACTACGCAAGCTCGCCGGAGCCGCGCGGGGCCCCCGCGGCGGGGCGGGCTAGCGTCAGCCCGCAGCCGCAAAGCACCACGCGCCTGTCCTGGCTGCGGCGACGGGGCTCCAAGCCGGGCCGCACCGCGGCAGGTGGTGGAGCAGCAGTCCCTGTGAGTGCAGCATCAACTACCGGAACGGCGGCTGCCCGGCAGCCCTCGCGGTATCGGTTTTCTTTCGCGCGACGGAAGGCCAACGATGTGATGAACCCGAGCTCCGCTCTCCTGCAGCCCTTGGTGGCGCAGGCGCAGGTGGCCACTCCGGAAAAGCAGCTTCCGGCAATGACCGAGATCGTCGTCCGGGTTCGAAGTCTAGCATTTTGTGCGCAGCAGCTGCTGCTCCTGCGGGATCACGTCTGCGAGCATTTGTGGGGCACCCAGGATGGTCGTGGAGGAAGTGGTCCTTCTGTCGAGCAGGGGGGCGAACTGCGCGGCCAGCCGAGGGAAGGCGCAGCCCTGCGTCGAGAAGAAGACCGCCGAAGTTCTTACCACGGGCAGGAGGAGCAAATGAGTAGAGGAGCAGCGGGTCGCGCAGCAACTTCCTTGGACCAGAAGCAGAAAGCCCAGGAGATGCTGGAAACTGCGCTGCTGCGGTGTCGCCAGGCGACTCTTCTCCCCGCGGTGGAGCGGTTGATCGGTTATGTGTGTGGTCATATGGTGCACTTGGAGCTTGTATGCAGTGCAAATATAATCTCTGGGTGGTCTGGACGTCGAAGACTGCGCGATTGTGATAAGTATGCAATCTGTCAGCTAGTACGCAAAAATCTGCACATGCACGAGGAAAATATAAAGCTGCCTTCTGCTTGTGCTTGTTTTCCACTTTTGACTGCACCGAGAGACGAGCATTTCTCATGCCGTATCATTCGTGAAATTAGAGGCTTCGCGCAGGCACAGCTCCTGCATTGTTCCAGACTTACTGGGGCATGCAACAAGACCACCTCTTTCATTGTTCATTGTTCTCCTCTTCTTGCATATACAAACTTCTGCAGTCTACTTCCAGATCGCCAGACATGTTTCCATTGGATAGCATGGGAAGGCGTTGTGGGTCAGTCTGTACACGACCACAAGGACCACCGCGGGAGGCAGATCTACTGCAGCTGCGGCGCAGTTGGCGCCGCCGAGTACAACTGCGCACGCCTTCCACCCACGAAACCGCAACCAGCTTCGCGAAAACGCCAGCGACAGTGAGGATTCTGGGGGAGTGGAGCCTGCTGGAGGTGCGGGATCGTCCGCCTCGCAGCCGCGCCTAGTTGGGGCGGAGAACCTCCACGACGGCCCACCGGAAGCAGAGCAGCAGGCGGTAAGTTTGGAAGCCTTGTTCGAACACAAATGGCGCCCTGCGATCGAAAACTTCTTTGACCAACTGGGCATTCTGAACGGCTTCGACGTTCTTGCACAACAGGAACATGAGGACAGCATCGGTGGAAATTCAAGCTCGCCATCCAAACGACGGAACAAAAACGCAGCCTCATCTTCGAGCACGAAAACATTTGCGTCCACTTCGGAGCCCGACAGAGACCTGTCGAGTCTGGCCCTCACCGAGCACTTTTTGCCGGTGCTCTTTCAGGCCTGGGGATACGTGGTCGTGCATTTGATGCGCCAGGGAAAATTGGACGATATGCAAGAAAGAAACCGGGTAAGTGTAGGTTTGTGTTGGAGACGATGCAAGACAGGTACAACGCTTGTCATGCTCTAGATATGTAACATCATAGGGGGCTTCTAGCTTGATCCGAGATCAGAGGAGCGGGGAGAGAAGTGTCGCAAGTCAAAAAACGCCTGACAGGTCGTGTCGTCGATCCCAGGGTGCAGTTGCTGCACAGTCTGTAGTTATATTCCAGGCAGCTTTCATCTCGTGATGCTATTCTTCCGAAAGTAGAGTATACACTTTCACAGTTTATTTTTTCTTGCATACACGACTTCCTGAAACGAGTAATCGACGGCGACGCCGACTTCTTGATTAACCTCGCTCGGGAGTACAGTCAAGGCACGAGTGGTCAACTTTTCAAAAAAGCGAGCAACGCGGCATTGGACGAAGCGGTCGCGACCGCGCAAAGGTTGCAGATTTTGCTCAACAGCGGGGTCTCCACGGAGGACCTGAAGTCCCTCGCCTGGCAGTTTGGGGCGGAGCAGCCAGCCTCTGGAAATGCAGCAGCGTCAAGACCTGGAGCGGGCGACCAGGAGCCGCAACCTTTAGCAGAACCGGGTAAACAACACTTGACGTTCGAACAAGCAGGAGACCAGCTGAATATCCAGCCGCATAACCAACTTGCGCGGACCACCACTGCTACTGGAACAACAGCTGGCTCGGGCTACCACGATCAAATGAGCCCGCGTCCGGGAGACCACTTTTACCGCGGTCCGCAAAACCCGCGTGTCTTAGAAGTGACGACCACCACGACCTCCAGTGCGGGACCGCGATCCGATTCTACAAGGCTGCGGGGTCCGTCTGCCCCGGGCACGACCACAACCAAGCTTCTCTGGGACCAGGAGAATGATCAAGCCCAGCAGCGCGGTCGTACCGGGTTGGTGTCGTCCGATCCTCACTCCAGATCACCGCAGCAACCTCAAACGTCCGACCTGTCCGTGCCGGTCGCAAATCAGAAGAGTCAGCGGTCGGCGACACCCTCGTACCGTAGTGGGTTCTTCAACATGCGCGGCTCGCAGAAACGCGCGCAAAGCGCTGACGTAGTGGTCCCGCCGGGCGGGGCTGGACCGGCTGCTGCGAAATTGAATAGGGACGAGGTAGGGCCGGCAGACGCGTCTAGTATCCCGTCGAGAAGCAGCCTTTTGAACGCTGAAAACAGGAGTAGCACGCTCGCTGGCATGACACCTGGAAGATACGAAAGTCACGAGTATGAGACCGCACAACTCCCCACATTTCTCATCTGTAGCGCGTAAACAACAAGACACTTGTGGTTGGCAAGCAAGAGTAGAACGCACGTTGCGCATGACATTCGCGAATCTTAGTTGCAGGCTCAACATGACAAATTTGCACAGGAAACTCGTGCTGTTTGGACTGGCAGACCCTGTCACGCAAGCAATGTCAAGAGGCAAAGAGTGTGTTTGGCATTTTGCAAGACAAATCTTGCGTCGTATGTTGTTGGGAATCTACTAGCTCTAGCCCGAGGTGGGCGGGGTGCAATAGCCCGAAAAAAAAAAAACAAATGTGAGCCATGGTTGGAGAAGGGGTGTCGGAGCCCGAAAAAAAGCTAGACTTAGTTGGTATAGTGGTCGGCAGATGATGGATGATGGCGATAGCAGTTCCATGGCCGCCTCACATATTGATTTTCCCGCGTGATACTATTACTAGCCATCATCTGTGGCCGTTTTCCGAGGGGGGGCCAAGATGCGCCGCACTTCCGTTTAGCATCACAAATGAGGAGGAGGGTTAGTTGTGTACTCCCATAACGAGCAGCAGCAGAGCATGGTGCCCAATGCTGCTAATTCGTCACTCGGAGCATCCGCGGATCGAGCAGGAGTCGGGGACCCAGCACGAGAACCGCCCCCAAAAAGCAAGTTCCGGGGATTCAACATGCCCAGGACCAACTTTTTTCAGAAAAAAAAATGAGTGACAAAGATGACACCCTCAGGGTAGCAGGTTGTCACAATGTCGGTTGTGAGGACTTGACTCTATCTAAAGATCGACAAGTCCCCCAGTTGTATCAGGTTTACTTTACTCACTCTATCCTTGTGTTTATGAATTTTTGCAAAGTTACATCTAGTATCGGAAATCTAGCCTCTTTCTGAAGCTAGACTGAAAGCAGGACCATCTTCAGGATCATGCCGAAACGTCAAAAAATGTTTGCACCATTTTGAGAGATATTTCTTCGCTACCACAGCGCGCACGCATCCACAGTCCCGCTATGATTGGTCGACCGGAGTGCGTATCGAAACGACAGCTCCTGCAAGATTCGCTTATTCATTCGTTTATTCAACATCACTAGCGTCGCATCAGACTAGCTCTTCGACTCACAGAGCTGCCGTCACAAGTTATCACAAGAAATCGAAAAATCAGACACAATTCAGAGCCACGAACAGCACATTGGATTTCGAAGCAATCGTAATCTTCTGGAGAGGACTCCTGATGTGGGTCTGTCTGTCAAAGAGGCACGCTGCATGGCCAGCGTCAAGTTCGCAACGCGTGACGATGATTTTAGTTAGAAGGACTATGCGGGAAAAACAAAAAGTCATGACACTTTTCAGAAGAAAAAGCTGCAGAGAGACTTCAGTAGAATTGGTTCGGAAGTCGTGAGCACTTTCAAAAACGCCTGAAGTCCAAACAGAGTCAGATCCTGTTGGCTGTTTTGCAAAAATTAATTTTTTTTGAAAATCTTCAGAAGGTTTTCTGAAGTTAGGACCTTCTGTAGATGTTTCGTAACCTTCAGAAGCTTTTGCTTTTGGGTCACCGAAACCTTCTGAAGGTTTTTGAGGCGGTCAAGTTTGATCTTCTTGAAGGTTTTGAACCTTCTGAAGGTCTGACTTTCAAAACCTTCTGAAGGTTGAGTGCTCCGGGAGAAGTGTGCAAAAGTGGCTGACGCAATTCCTTGCGCCACTGCCCGCCTTGCCCAGCATGTATTCATTAACGAACCAGAACGCCAGAGCATGACCACAAGAAAGCGTCGCCTTTTTTCGTTCTCTAACTATTATGCAGAAGAAAACTGCTGGTCTGCTGGCGAGATCTCTGCCGAACAGCAACTGTGGCGAGATGTTGCGCAAAGCAAAGAGTGGAATCCGCTCCTTCTCATTTGAATCTGCGGGATCGATTAAGCGCTGACGTCGAAGAGTCATGTAGATCCGATCAGCTGAAGCAGCGTAGGAGGTTCTGACGACCCTAGTATCTTCTCGATCGAGCATTTCTACGAATCGTTTTAGTAGAGCGGAAGATGGAGATGAAGGTAGGTCATGGCTGACACTGTCACTGAGATCCATTGCAATACTTGCACCTCTAACAAGCGACTGCGGTCCATGTGCATGATCTCATCGAAAATCTAAATGCGTCCGAGCAGATGAGAGGCCTATTTTCTATCGCTCTACTACAGGCCCCAGTCAAGTGCTTGATTCATTTGTTGCGTTTCTGTTGTCCTCAGTCACGATGATGATGATGATGATGATGATGATCCTTCACCTTCGCGAGACTTGATCTCTGCAGCAGTCTGCTTTGTTGTGTACGTAGTGTAAACTTAGAACTCAGCCGATTATATATTGTCTCCGCAGATCTTCATCCGAAGTGCGACTGCCGAATTCGCAAGCGTATTCATACATTTGACACTATAATCGCCGGGAGAAGAAATTATCGTCACAGGGCTTTGTTGTCGGGTGGTTGAGGTTGTTTTAAATTCCCGAATAAAAACGGTGTGGCTCGCAATTTCAATCGCAAATGTTTTTTATCGAGCCTCCCAGTCGAGCTCGAGATGAATTTTTACGTAATTTTGGAGTAATTTTGACTTGTTGCAAACGTGTGCGTTCAACTTCAAATATTTCCGAAACGTGAAGAATCGATGCTGTCTCTAATGTCATTTTTGATGAAAGTGTCTCTTCCTTTCTCGAAAGCTTTTTCTGTAGCTCACACAATTTTATCCTGAGTTGATTTCTGTCGCACGAAGGTGGAGTCAATTACTAGTTTGGTAAGGAAGCGGCAAGGTGCGCCGGGGGCGAAGCTACAAGTCGGTAGCGAGCGAGGCGACGAGGAATACTCGGGGCCTGACGCCTTTGGCTGATTGATGTCTTTCCTCGAACCAGTTGCGGTCCGCGGTCTCGGCAGCTGCAAGCAGGAAAATAGAAGAGACACTGTGGCTGATAAGGCCGGAGTCACCAGCGCGGCCCTCTGCCTTTAGGAGCGGCTACTACGTTTTCCGACCACGACGGAATAAGTCGCCGAGTCAGTGCTTAGTTCTACGCCAGAAGTACTAGACAGACAAAATGCATGCCATGTCGAGGGCAATCATGAAAAATTCTGTGGAAGATTCTCGTCTCGCTCGACGTGGTGCAGCAGCGCTTGTACGCATTGCAAATCATCTGTCTGGGTCTCCTTGAAGGCTTGCATTTATCATACTAGTCTGGCATGACAGACTGTGAGACCACGAGATCTGTAATGCATGGCCACAGAAGGAGGAGCGAGGACGAGGAGCGGCCCGTCCTACTTACCTCTAATCATGGAGACGCGCAGTTTTAGTTTTCCAGGCAGAATTATACGCAGAACGTAACAACGCAGAAGCCTGTCAATGCCTGGCGGTGCCAGTTTGCAGTAAGATTATGATCTATCATTCCCCGACTCGCGCCACAACTTTGTTTGCAGACACAGACATACACATAAATTTGCAATGCATAGCTAGCTCCTCCGTACCAGGATGAACACCTGCTGGTTGCTACTAGCGAAGATCATCTTGAAGATCATTCCTCCAACTCGGAGGTCAAGAAAATATCCTCGAAAGTAGATACAGACTGCGTCAAATCCCCGGAAAAGTCCGAGGAAAGTTCCAACGAGAAGACCGATCACAACTTGCTCCCACCCGAGGATTGTGACGGTGCACGACCACAGCATCCACTTCGCGAAGAAGATGATGAAACAGACTCGTGCACCAGCACACCTGCTCTGTTGACGAAGCTTGACATTGTGAAGCAAGAGGCGCGGCGATTACTGGAGAACGCGAAACTCGAGGGCGAGAAGTGCCTCAGAGCAAGAAGATCTGTTGAAAAGAAGTTGTGCATGTTGATGTTGACAGCCAGCACACGACGCGCCGACCTCGTAGATGAACGAGGCCCCAGAAGTAGTGTCTCTCGTCGTGGTGCTGAAGAAAATTTCTTATTTAATGGCGGGCGCCACGAGGAGGAGGCGACTCTTGATCATGTTGTTACCTGGCGCAATTCCTCCCGCCCAACAGAGGAACGACAGAAAGAGACGCGGAAGATCTGCACAGCTGCTGGACTTGGACAACGGACGCAGGACGGTGAAATAAAGGGCTCTGCTCTTCGCTCACCATTTCCCGCGAGCTGTGACGTGCAGGTCGAGGGAGACGAAGATAAAGTCGATCATCCTGATTGTGTGCCCTTCAGCACTAATGTAGCACACGAGGTACTACCGTATGAGAATGTCCCTCACTCGACGTTAAAATTCGAGACCCAACGACTGTTGCAGTTGTCGGAAACAAGGACTTTTGGCTCCAGCGAGCATGAGCGCAATAAAGGACAGAGCACTACCACTACTTCTCGCGCGAGCAAGAGCCTGAAAGGCGAGTTCTTGGACGACCACAAGAATTACTATTTTCAGCCGAGTCAACTGATGCTGTGTGGTTACGAGATCAATGACGGAGGAACAACTGGCGCATCGTCCCTTGAGCATGACGATCGTCACTGCTCTCGGACCACCTCTGGTGACCACTCAGAGGACCACCCAGTTCTTCGCCCGTCTCAACTACAGCTCCTGCAGCATCGACCGCTTTACCAACGGTATCTGCCCTTTATCTTGTTCCAGGACTTGCGACGGATCAAGCGGGAACTCGTGCGCCTCCGGGAAACCACAAGGACTGCGCGGGACGGTTTGAGTTCTTCGGATGCTATGATCCACATTCCGCAAGAAGAAGACAGCGAAGATGATCGCGAGGACGACGGCGCCGGCGGAGCTGCATCTTCAAGTGCAGCAACAGCAGCAGCCTTGCGACTCGCTACGGAAATGCACACGACGGGTTTGACGCAGCGCAAAGGATTCGTCGACCTGGTGAAAAAACTGCACCTGGTTTGCGCCACGCCCTATCTCACCCGGCAGAGCTTCCAGAAGCTTCACAGCGATCTGGAGCCGTTGGAAGCGTTACACAATGAAATCCTAGCGGAAGAAGAACAGGAAAGCGACGAGGTACAACCCAGTCCGTTTCCCAACCCAGCCGAGTTGATCAAAGTCAGCTTTCCCCATTTCTTCTACTCGCAGTGGGACAAACACATGCGATTTCCGATTTGCATACCCGAGCTGGATATGCTTACGCATGGCAAATAGGTCTGGGTCACCTGCTGGAAGAATGCAAGACTTTTGTCATCATGCTTGTCTGGTATAATTTTGACTCTGAGCCTGAGGGCTGTGATCGTGATGCATGTGCTGCACGAAAAGCCCCTCTTGCCTGTTAGTCACGTAAAAACGCGACCGTTTTTTTCCCTGCGGAATACGCAACTGCAACGGCTTAAAAACTTTTCATACGTTTACGTTGTGGCATGTTCAAGTGCGCCCATCACTGAATCGCAGATTGTTGTAACACAACTTCCACCCAGTCCCAGACCCAGACCCATTTGCCATGGATACTGGAAAGTCAGATGGACGATGACTTATTTTTCGATGATATTTCGACCCGTGAAGGAAGAACAGTGCAAAACGATAAATCGGAGGCAGCTATATGTAGTTCCTTTCGCCAAAACTGGTCTCGTCTAGCGAAAAGCGTTTTTGACCAGTGGCAGGCCATGACGTTCATTCTCTTCCGCGGGAAGTACTTTTGCTACCGGAGTTTCGCGCACGAAGAATCCGCGTCCGATATCCTGAGAAAAAACGTCCCCAGGATTTGCAATTGCAGGAAAACGAACCCTTGCAATGCGCATCCCCATGAGAGGCATTTTCAGTCGTGTTTTGGCATTTGTAATCCTGTGAACATGTATGTTAAGCAAATATCTATGTGAGATGCGGCTGTCCTTGATAAGCTGCACTACAATACAGAGAGGAACTTGTCATGCGTGAGCGTGACTCCCTCTCCCATGTCCGCAGCAGCCCAGTCTGTTTATGTCATGCGTGACTCCACCCAAAACTTCTGGATTTATGTTTCGAGATCCCCATCTTGACTCGTCTGAGGCGGGGATGTTTTTCCACAGGATATCCGACTACAGCTGGTTTTCCTCCTCGAGCAACGCCTCGACTTCAGAAAGCGAAGGCGACCAGAGTGATGACGGTTTGGAAAGAAGTACTATCAAGCCTCCGCACGACAGTTCCGATCATCCTGGAGTCGAGTTGTGCGCCGACGTGTCATCTGACAGTGAAACGGAACAGCAGGGGGCCAAATATGATATGACTAGGAGCGGGTCGTGCGGGGATGATGAAAGGGGGTCATCGTCACCTACTAAGGAAAGGGGGTCATCAGGGTGTAAGGAAAAAAACGACCAAGACAATTATCCGATGGACCACTGTTCGTGGAAGTTTGCAATGCAGGAGGCCCGGAAGTCCGGCCAGCGACTAGCGCGCGTCCGCGACCACGAGACACTGCACGAGGAGCGTCAGATATCGCAAGAAAAAAGTGTTACAGTTACACATTGTGTTGCAGGCCAAGCACTAC